TTCAGGACCTACCAAGGAATTGAGAGGGCGAGAGAAAGAGTTAATACCAGTCTGTATTTGCTTGCCTCTAGGTTTCCGCCTCAAAGGAATATAGGATCGTAAAGAAGCCACTACGGGGTCATTGTTCAATGCCTTTTTTTTTTTTTACGGACCATACACAATTCCCCAGACCCAGAATAATGGACGAAAGCGTCTTCCCATACCAAAAAGGATGGGAGTTCAGCCAGAATCTGATGAAGAGAATGGGTCGAGTAATGATAATCATTATGATTACGGCAGGCAAATCCTCAAAGATAAGCCGATCGGGACCAATCAGACGAGAGGCTTTGCAACCATGGAGCCCAAACGATTAGCTTTCTCCTACGTCAAGATCCTCCGGTGGAGCTGAAGTGGAAATAGACTGACAGTACGGAGGAGTACTGGGATCTGATGCCCAGTACTCCTCCGTACTGGGTGTATGGTATCGTATCGATACCCTTCTTTTTCCACTCTCCCAAGGCGGTATTTGTACTCTCTGGTCCTCTTCCTACTCCTACGGCTACTAGGAAGTATACTGAATACTCATTCGGAATATATCCCTGACTATGATCCTCATCACATTCTTGAAGATCAACTATTTCCGATATCCCTCCTTCTCAGAGCCTCCGATCATTCGCCCCTTGACCAGTTCGGCTGGTGGGGCCACGGCAATTCCGACGCCCTCATTGGCCCTCCGACCGCAAACAGGCAAGACTGTCAGACACGAAAAAGCACGGCCAACGGCCCTGTTTCGTCCCGAAATTGGTCCTCTTCCAGTCCCCTCGTTACAGAAGACGGTAGTATTTCAGCTCGTAGCTGACTCGCTTATACAAGACTCTGTACGGAGTACTCCCGTACCTACTACCATACATATTCTACCCCTCGCCGACTCTGTGGAAACTCCGTAACCCATGCTCCCCCCGTTGCGGACCCGAGTGGCCGGGCGGCTGGTGGGGCGGATGGCAAGGATGCAGTGCTTAATCCAATTCATCGCCCCTAATTTCCGAGCCGCTGGTTTGCTTGGACAACCTGCCCTGCAGCTGCTTGCTCCACGGGCACTGTAGGGTAGACAGTACCGTACTGCATCTGCATACACGGACAGGCTTGGAGTGCATATGCATGACCTATGTACTGTACAGGTAGTTGCACCAAAACAAGAAAAGAGAATCCTATGGACTTGGCAGGCACGGACGGAACAAGTGCCCAGAAGAGACGGACTCCAGCCAGGAGGAAAGAAATTACTACGTTGGTAGGTACAGGTAATAGCGGTGTACACCGTATAGTGCAAAGCCCGAAAACTAGACGGTCTCAATGTCGAGTCGAGGTAAGTGTACCAACTTGGACTGTTTACTGCTTCGGAAACAATCAGAATTGCAACCATGGACCCGGTCCTCGGTTCCTCGCACAGCTTAGAAATAGTGATTCCGTTATACCTTAAACCCCTCCAGTCCCCACTCCAACGTGCACCGTGCGACTCGATCTAAGCCACGCACCCTCCATCTCGTTTCCAATACCGTCTCAAACCGTACAGACATGGTACTGTATCGACGATTCTAGTCTGGCCACTTCCTCTCCTCTCCGCTCCTCCGCCCATCCCCAAAAAAGCACTGTCTATACGGAAAGTCCTGTACAGGACCTCCTGCCATTCCGACAACGGCCAAGCAGCCGCCCCGGGATCTTCCTCCATCAAACCCTCCAAACCCTCCAATAATACACTGCCCTGTATAGTCCTCCCTTCGAAAGAAAACAGACTACAGTACAGTACTACTGAGTCGCACCCAATGATCTCCAACGAATCCCCCCAATCCCGACCTTCAACAACTCCCCCCGATTTCGGGGTTGCCCAGCCGCCCCCCGGCATGCCAGCCCTGCAACCGGATTGGCCCTGACCAGTTTCCGCCAGCTCATTCTTTAAGGTCATCCAAACTGCTTATCGCGGCTTCGTCGAAATTACCGACACGCTCACTCGTCCAAATCTCTTTTTCTTTTCTTGTGACGCCTGATGCCCCCGGGTTATAACGTTGAAACTTGAGAGGGGAGAGATTTGCCCCGGATCAACCGCCCCCCACCATCCACCATCCATGGCCCATAGCCCCTCCCTACACGTTTTTTTTTTCTTTTCTTTGACTTCTTCCCCAGATATAAATTCTGCGCCTGGGAAAAGAAAAAGAATGGGTCGAGGAGTTGGTCGGGAATAAGTTACACTATTCTCTTTACGGATTCTGGTAAGTGCTTATGCATGTGTCTTGGTTGGTCCGAAAGGAAATTTGGCTCTGGCTTGCGTACTTTTTTTGAATATTACTCCGTACTTCCCGCAGATTAAGTCTAAAGATCTGAGTACTGTATTTTAGTACCAAGGCATCCAGTAGCATACACGAACCTAACTAACCACAGCATAGCTTAGCCGGAAGTATACCCAATCCCGTATACTCCGTACTCCGTAATCAGCAAGCACAGTCCAGTATCCAGTACTGTTGTACCCCTCACCCTCGGACTTAAGCATAAGCATTCACCCGGAGGAATGCCCTCCGGCCCTGACTCCTTGACACGTGAAGCGGGATGTCTCTGATAAGCTCGTGGGCGGACGTGCACAAACACTTAGGAAATCGGAATACATAAACATATTTCTCATTCTTCAATTCCACTCGACAGCCGAGTAATTCCTATAGTGCTATGGAGCAGTCTCTCTCCTTTTTTTTTTTTCCCCCTTCTTCTGCTCTCCGCGCTAGTTCAACGGGAAATACCTCCTCGTCTCCTATCCAAGCGGGCATCTCATCCGCTCTTGACACGGCTATCGGCCGGGACTGGAGTATACTCTACTGGAAGCAGTGTACTCCATACTCCATACTTGATACTAACTATGGAATATTTATCCTCTTTCCGCCTAGCCATTGACTCATCAACTAACCCTCCCATTCTATTTGAACCTCGACATTAACAGACAGAACAGCGAATATCAGCCTATACAGCACAGCACTTCATCACAAACAGACGATCTCAACGCAGCCCGATCTACATTCGCCACCAATACTGTCCTCGGCAGTAGTCCAGTCCTTTGCATCGAAGCGAAAATCTGATCGTGTGCCCACTACCCAGCCATCTTAGCTTGGCCCTGCATACCCCAAACTGCACAAGCACAGGATGCACCAACCACATACGGCGTCCGCGAAATAACCGGACACTCTTCCGCACATACGGAGATACAGACGCCTCATGCTACGCTACTACTACTACTAGTACGGAGTACTGTGTCTACTACTAAACAGATCGACTCCAGTCTCCGCCGCGCCAGAGATCCACCAATTGTGGAGTATTACATGATCCCCTCCAATCAAGTAGCAGGTGAACATAAGACGACCAGTGCGTGTCTTGCCTGGGGGTGGAACGGAACACTCGACGGAGCAGCTTACAAGTTACAGTAGTACTATAATAGGTACTGTACTCCGTAGTACTGGAGTACTGGCGTACTGGCAGTCAACTTGCACAGCTGCAGGCGAGTTCTTCTCACCCGGGTTCTCCCGATGCCTCCAGTCCGCTTTGGGTTCACCGGCGTCCGGACGAGTCCACGGGGCGGAGCAGCTGCCTGCATCGGGAGTTTTCGGGACTGGAGAGAGCTACCCCAGACTAAACTGTCACTGAGGACGAGGACGTGATCGTAGTTCCTCGGTGTTTTTTGGTTAACGAGAGACGGTAAGTGAGGTACGAGCATGCAGCCGAATATCGGGTTTTTGAGAGGAGAGCTTTGCGGGCTCTTGTCGCATGTGTTTCCTTCCTGTTCCGTCCGTAATTCACTGTCCAGAGAGAGTATGGACGTTAGCTGCCCAGCTGCCCAGCGCTGACTGAAACAGATCAACAGTCGCTCACCGTGCCAAATGCCAGGTGCCAAGAAAGGCATTCAGGTCAATAATGCAAGGGCCTCTCGTCCAGGCCTGTTCATATGCGCTTGGCGGCGCTCGTTCTACAAGGATAAATAGGAACATCTCCCTACGAATTATGACTGGTGAACTTGAATTTCTAAAATGAAAACATTGTCTAGCTCTACGTTGTTAATGTAGCTCAGACTTTCGATCTGGAGGTAGATGAGGTTTGCCGAACTGCCGGTGCAAATATGTGACATGCACGTCTTAGACCGAGTAGCTCAGGATCTTCTAAATGTTCTATCTCATGGCTCCAGAGATGTAGTAAAGGGATTGATTTAATGTAATACCATAACGAAAAGCGTAAATACTCCAGAAACTTCACCGCTCAAGGGTGGATGCGCGTGTTTTGAAATCCCGTCCGACTTTCTTGAATCACGAGTGGATCTGACAACTCTTGTTGCTTGAATGTCTGAGAAGTCTTATAACATTCTTGACAGAAGCTCTGTATGTAATTCACGCCGATGTCACAAGGAAGACATAGGTCTGTTTGATCATCATCATCAATGTCCAAGGCATCACATATCTCGCAAACCCTTTCACATGCCTCTTCAGAGGTCCCCTCAGAGGTCTCGGATAGGTGATCTTGTTCCAATTTGGATACGCTTTGTTCAACTTCCAAGGCTTCCAAATCTTTAGAGTTGGTATGTCCATCAAGTAGAACCTTTTTGACAAGGGGAGTTCCTCTGACTTGAGCCTCCGATGACGCGCTGCGGCCAAGAATATCACTCGCATCTTTCTGTATTGTTTTCACAGAAAGCAGGACCAATACACATTTCCAGTGGCCGCGCACGGTAGCCACCATCAGCGGGGTTCGCCCAAATCTGTTGGCCAGATTCGAATTTGCACCATGTGCACAGAGCATTTGTATGCGATCTTCTAACCCCAATGCCGCGGCACGATACAATGGTGTCTCTCCATCTTCCGACTGTAAGTTTGGATCACAGCCGGCATGCAAGAGGTGCTGTAGCAATGAATTGTTTCCATTCGCAAGAGCAGCAAACAAAATGGGCTCAACACCAGGGCCGTGGAAATTTGGATCCGCGCCGTGTTTGATCAATATATTCACGATGACTTCGGGTTCACTTGGTGAGTTATTCCGTGGACCAGTCGAACGATGCCGGTGTCGCTCTCTCGGATCACCAGACCGGCACAAAACGAATCAATCATCTCAGCCGGTGGCATGAACTCCAGATTGAGCTCTTCCATGTTCTCTCGGATCGCCAGTGCATGTTGCAGCTCATTTTCACGCAGTGGCCGCCTGCCATAGGTCAGCCAGAATAGAACTTTCATTGCCAGTTGTCCGCAAGCTGGTGGCTGAGATTTGATTCTTTTCATCGCCAAGTCATATGCACCGAACAGACCATTTTCACCACGTGATAATAGTGGCAAGGCCTCTTTCAATTCCCCTACAGTCGGAAATCCCATAAGGTGATCCAAGTGTAGCGTAGCAAGAAGAAACCTGGGAACATGTCAACAATTCCATCTTCACGACCGTCACTTTGTTTACTCACATTCCATCTGCGCTCGACACAATGCTCTGCCGAACCTCGTCTTGGGTTCCAGGATAGCTTGGTATGGTACCGCGCACCAAAAGTGGAATTCGTGTATTTGCGTAGTTGAGGACATCTTCATCAACTGCCCTGATCTCCTTCCGTGGGAATCCTTCGAAATCGCCTAGAATTTCAGAGACAAACCGCGACGTAGCCAGGATGTTCACTGGAAAATCATTCTGTAGCTTGAAAAGTTCTGATTGTAGTTTCCGCCGTTCCTCTGGTTTCGATGGAAGATACTCGTCAAGACCATCAATCACAATGAATATCCTCTTGTATAGGCCTAGCGTGTGCAATTAGTGCAGGGCTAACTTTATCATGACTTAGAGCTGTCCAGTCAGCCGAGAGTCTTGCGTCGTAGAGATCCTCTACATGCGAGTAGAGCTTCCCACTGTCTTTGTACGCAAGTTGTCTCAGGATATTTGATAGCAGGTCGGCAGGCTGTTGGGCGTGCTGGGATTGATAGCTGCAGAACAGAAATGCTACCTTCATCTCGGAATCCTTCTCGAACTTTTTATTGAGAAAGTCGATCACGATTGAGCTCATTACCGTCTTTCCAGCTCCTGGGATCCGGGACAGAACAAGACTTGCCTAGGCTCAGATAGCCAATGTTGGAACTCCGGTGAATCCAAGAACCACAGACCTGTGCCTTGCTGGCGCGTCTTGAACGCCAGCTTCTGTTGCACACTAAAATCAAGAGGGCTGATCCAGTCAAGGATGTTCTTGACTCGTTCTGTCATGATCACGGCTTTTATTTCAGATACATCTTTAGAAACTGGATGTAATTGTTAACAATTTGATACAGAACTGATTTCACCCAATAGTCTCAAAGCTCGTATCTTGACCAAGCACTTCGTTAGCGGCAGATGCCATGTCAACCTCCTTGGGCTGGACATATTGAAGAACCTCCTTAGCACACCCAGCCGCGGCCGCAGCAGCATATGCATGCCAGCGATCATTTTTATGAGAATCAGCATAGTCAGAAATCCCCCGAATCACCAGACATGGGAAATTATTCATCAATCCAGATGCTTCCATTTCTAAGCAGATCGCATTATGCTTCTGCTTGAGCTCTTCCCTAGTAGGGGCATGCTTGATAACAGAATCACCAGTGGCGATTGTCCCATAATGAATAACCGGATACTCATCGTAGCGTGGCTCTCGAGAGACCTCTTCTGAGGGATCGCATTTATCACATGTTCGACCAGCGGAATGTTTATATTCGGTCTCGAACAGGCGATCTGTGTCCTGTGTTGGTCGGCCATAGCCAGCCTTTCGCATAAATGGATACTTCAGAAGCATAGTGTCGATGTAGTGTGAGATGTGATTTTCGCGTGTCATATGTGCCGCCTCGAGCTGAACAAGGGCAGAGCTGAGCGACCTAGGCGGGCGATTCAGTGTTGAGATGCTCTGGAAAGAGCCGTCTGCGAGGCGTTTTCCAAAATCATAGACAACAACGCCTCCACTGGCCTTATCACTGCTAATGACCACATCGCCAAGCCGAATGTCATTGTCTTCATCTGGAATTCCAGCACCAATTCCAACCAGAAGTCCAATTCGTATCTTGGGAAAGGTGGAGACCATGTCTCGTGCGACCACAGCGGCCGACACCGAACCAATTTGATCCTTGGGCAAGCAAGCGACAACTACTTTGAAACTCCCGATCTTTCCAAGAAGGTATGAATTCTGGTCTGCTTCTGCTGCAGGAGTCTGTGGAGCTCCATGTTCCTCGTCTAGCATCCCTTTGGCTGCTGCCAATTCGATTGGGAGCGCAGAGATCCATCCCACTGTGTATTGGTCATTGGAGAAGAGTGATTGTTGAAGAGTCTCCATCGCCGTTGATCATTTCATCTCTCTTATTGCACAGTAAAAACTCCTCAGCAAATTAACCTGCGATATCGTGAGTGGGGGTACTCAAATAGTTGCTCGTCCTGAGACCAGCTCAATAGTTCGAAAGTGGAAGAGCGGGTGTATTTGTATGGCTTACTGACCGTTAACCAACAATAGGAAAATCAGTATGGGTACGACCTTCCATGGCGCTTATAGAAAGACTGATCCATTGCAGGAGAGACTGAGGTGCAAAAGAGGGGTTGGTTGGCAAGGATCTTTCAGCCTCAGTGTGCCAAGACCTGACGTGGACCAACAAGTGTGCGATATTAAGCGCTGGCACTCTACTATGCCGGAAGTGAAGACAACATACTCTTCTACATAATCTGCTTGGCGGCTATGAGGCATGCTGGCTCGATAATTCGAGTGCAATTAATGAATCAGTCTATGACCAAAACATGTCCACCGAGTATGCATCCCGCGATTCTGTTCCCACAATCGTCCATACCATTAGAATTGACTGAGCCGGATGATTGAAGTTCGAAGAAGCTCGAACTGTAACGATAGGCCATTAATCATGTTAGAGAGGAGAACTCGACAGACTTCCAGAATATCAGACTATTGTACAGACCTCAGGGCAAGGAAGAGGAATATTATATACACGCAAAAATACATGAGACAGGCCCAATTTGGTCTCACGGGAAATGAGCTGACCAGACGCTCATCATGAAGCAGCATTTTGTTTCATCTCCTCCTCAGCTTTCATCTCCTTCTCCAAGGCCGCAAAATCGCCCTTGAAGGAATTCTTGGCGGGTTCCAGCCGGACATCCCAGACATCCTCACTACTGGGGCCAGTCTTGTACTTGATTGCCTTTTTTTGGTTATGCGCGCGGATTGCTTTCCTGCGCAAGTCGTCCGACCATCCACGAGTTTTCATACACAGCCAGAAATTATCCCAATGCTCGCTGCAAGACCGGAGTTCGCCGTAGCGATAGACATTGACGAATTGTCCACCGAATGATTGGCAGAAGAAAGCGTAATCGAAGGTTGTTCGACAGGACATGCTGTCCGCGTAAAGGGATTCTGGGGCGATGGAGGAGGCAGGCTGTGCTAGCGGTGCGCCGGTGTCGGGATTGGCCGGTGCGGTGGTTGAGCCACTGAATGATTCTGGACCTTGTCTTTGGTTACCAGACAGCTCGGCATCTGCCTGTTGGAGCTCTGCGAGGATTTGCTTGAATTCAAGGTCGGCTTGTTCGTCTGGGGACAGTCGTTTGGGTGGTGGTGGTGCAATCTGAGGCGTTGGTTCGGGAACGCTTGTTGCCGTCGCAGGCGCCTCTTTTGGTGTGTCCTTTTGGGAACTTGAGTTCCACAGCCAGCCCATCTTGGATGTTTGTTCTGTGGAATATAGCTTGATCGCAAGGATAACGAAGGCACCGAGACGCGGTTTTCGAGCGATAATCAGTAATGTCACGTGCCTGGAAGATAACGATCAACAATCCTTATCGATAAGAGCATCCCGCGACGTCATTCATAAGGCATCGAACGAACTCCTGATTTTCTTCAACTTCCTGTGCTTGGCCATATGTGCCATATTTGAAATGAGGCCTGCACTCATTAATAGAGCCTGCCCATCTGCAAGGGCTTTACTATGGAGCTCTGTGGGCCGGGTCTACCAACCTTCTAGCTTGGGATGGAGAGCGACTCAGCTTGGGCGAACCTCACCAGTCAGCATACGTTCGACGTCGTCCCTACGGGCAGGTCATATCAAGCTCGACCAGAACGAAGGAATTTTCTATGTGAACAGTAAGTTTTAACGGATCCAAGTCGGATGATTCTCCCCATTTGCTAATCAACGATCTATCAGACATCTTCCCGCACCACCTACACTGGTTCCTACGGGGTCCACTTAGTCACATACAGTTTCTTGATGGAATCTTGCAAAGGATCAGCAATCCAGATCTCTCGGCATCAGATCCAAGCACTATTGCACAGCGTGCTTTGCCAAGTAGCCTTGGCCTCGAAATCAAGGAAGTGGTTCCTCGGTACAAAGAAGGAGGCGCGTTTATCAAATACGCCCGAAAACCTGATATGAACGATGAAGACATTAGAGGAGCGGTACAAGAGCATTTAAGCAAGAACCCGATAAAACCTTGGTACAATCCATTCCAAACGGCTGAAATCGACCTTGTGCAGGGAAGACCTTGGATCGAGGATTTGACGAGGATCCCCAGCCAGTCATTGAAGATCGAATTCTTGCCAGACTCCACCGAAGGAGGGGCTGTTGAGCTGACACATGAAGCTCTGTACACTCTGTTCCGACCATTTGGAAAGCTTCTTGACATTCACTCTCAGCCCAGTGATTCCAAGGTCGAGCCGAGGTATGCCACTCTGCGATTCAGCCGCCTGCGATTCGCGGTGATGGCACGAAATTGCATGCACGGGTATGTGGTACGCGAAGCAGAGGGTGGTGGCAAGACCGGGACTCGCTTCAAGATCAACTACGAGCGTAAGATCAAGCTGTCTATGATCAAAGATTGGATTTTCAACCACCCTCGAATCGTGATCCCCGCTATAGCAGCATTGGTGGCGACCATCACAGTCATCATTTTTGATCCCATCCGCACATTCTTCATCAAGATTAAAATCAAGTCTACGCTTCATACCGAAGACAATCCAGTCGTGCAATGGGTCCGCAGACAAGTCAGCAAAGCCAACAGAATGTACTTTGGAGACCGCCGAACGGACTCACGGGGTCTGGCAGCCATCTGGAAAGACCGTCAAAAGGAGATCTCACAACTGCAAGCTTGGCTAACAGAGACTGTTGAGACCTTTATTGTCATACACGGTCCACGCGGCTCTGGAAAGCGAGAATTGGTTTTGGAACAGGCACTGAAAGAGCACAAATACAAAGTCATCATTGACTGCAAGCAGCTTCTAGATGCCCGAGGTGATGCGGCCACAATTTCTACAGCTGCAGCTCAAGTTGGCTACCGACCCATCTTTTCCTGGATGAACAGCATCAGCAGTCTCATCGACTTGGCCTCTCAGGGAATGATTGGTACCAAGGCCGGATTCAGCGAGACCGTGGACGCGCAGCTCAGTAAGATCTGGCAGAACACGGCTGTCGCTATGAAGCGGGTAGCTCTGGAGGGTCGAAGAAGAGAGGACAAGGATGCCAACATGAGCGATGACGAATATCTCGAGGCACATCCCGAGAAAAGACCTGTCGTGGTCATTGAAAACTTTGTATATGACTCGGACGGCGATATCGTTCTTGACAAGCTTACCGAGTGGGCGGCCGGCTTGACGACAGCGAATATCGCCCATGTTATCTTCCTCACTACGGACTCATCCTTCTCAAAGCCGCTCAGCAAGGCTCTTCCGAATCAGGTCTTCCGCACTATTGGTTTGGGTGACTGTTCTCTTGAAGTTGGCCGTCGCTTTGTGATGAGCCACCTTGATACAGAAGCAGATGGTGGTGTCGACAATCAGAAAGAAAGTCCCACACGAAATCTGACTGGTTTGGATGACTGCATTAAGATCTTGGGTGGTCGTATTACCGACCTTGAGTTCATGGCACACCGAATTGAGGCCGGAGAGACTCCTCAAGGTTTGTTTAACCCCTCATCAGATCCATTGATTTATACTGACTCGTTGTTTAGCTGCGGTGGATCGCATCATCGATCAGTCAGCTTGGGAAATCATGAAGATCTTCATCCTCGCGACCGATACTGTCACTCCTCAGTGGACTCGTGAACAAGCCTGGTACTTGATTAAATCGCTTGCCCACGCAAAAGATGGTTCCCTCCTTTACAACAAAGTCCTCCTCGCAGACTTGTTCAAAGACAATGGCGAAGCTACTCTTCGAGCCTTGCAGCAAGCCGAACTGATCTCCGTCAGCTCTGTCAAAGGCTTCCCTGGGTGGGTCAAACCCGGCAAGCCCGTCTACCAAGCTGCCTTCCAGCGACTCATTGAAAACAAGACACTTGAAGGCCGTCTCGATCTTATGATCCTTGGACAACTCATTAGTCAAGAGAACAAGAGCATCAGAAAGTACGAGGAGGAGCTACAGGTGCTAGGATCCCTGCCGAAGCAGCCTCGGGAGCTGACGTCCCGTATTGAATGGCTTCTGGGCAAGATCCAAGGCTCGCAGTCTAAGATTCTCAAATATGAGCATGACAGCGCGGTTTTGGCCAGGATGCTTCAGAGCGAGAAATAAGCAGCGGCTTTGCGCGGTGTGGTGCTCTAGACACCCTGCATTTTGCTTGTAGATTCATGTTTTACATTTGTTGTAAATAGGGACATCTCCACCTGTCGAATAGTCATTTGGCATATGTAATCAGATATATCACTTCTAGGTACTGTACTAAATCGCCCCAATACATTCTTGGTGTTGTTATGTCACTCGGGTCTCGACCCCTACCGAAATTGAAATTCACATTTGCCTACGCTAACGATCTGTCCCACCATACCCACCCACCTTTAGATCGACCGAGTTCATCCACCCTCAGTAGGTTGAGTGGAGTATTTAATTGCTCTCACAGGGCGTCTAATAGTCGCTCTTCTGAGGGCCGCGCAAGCATTTGAAAGGCCGCGTATGCACTGCCATAATCCGGTAAAATCGACCCATTTTATCTACTCCATTCTAGACTGTGCTATCCACAGGTGAGAGGATGAGGCTTAATGGAACCGGTCCGAACCGGGAGCTAACTATTTCCAGGTCGATCTCCAGCGAGAGTCACTTAAGAGCCAATTGATGTGCTTGCGGACCCCAAGCTCCCCGCCTTACTAGTTTACTAGTTCGGGAATGTGGAACTTGTATACCTTTGATGTCCAAATGAATTGTATGCTATGATGCCCTACTTTTTTAGAGTGTTTTAAAGATATTCTGGATCGAAACCAAGGAACCTAGGCAAAGCCTCTCAGCGAAAGAAGGTTGACTTATAGTGCAGGAGATATCCCGGGATCACTGGGAAGTTATCCTCAATCTTTTCTTCGTCTTTTTTGATTTCTCTCACTGCCCTGAGCCTGGGTCTTACTTCATGGATTTAAAGAGTTGTTGGCTGTTTTGCTTCTTGATATCTGTGCAATTGTCATTCGATTAGCTTCGGGAGAATGGTCAACCCAAGCAAAGTTATCTCTTCTCTCCTCGCATTTGGTCTTATTGACCGATGTCGTGGAGAATATGACCAAGGAACTCAAACAGTGACCTATTTCCCTATTGTTGAAGACTGGGCAGGCGAAGGTTCCAGTCTGACGGTGACTGTTGACTCCATTAACGCCAACTATGTATCGCTTTACAATAATACAAGCGCACTGTCTAAAGGCACCAGAAGCGAGATAGCCATGCACACGGCAACTGTGATCAGCTCGGCAGCCTCTACCATCGTCGCGGCCACCTCAACCCCAAAATCTACGACTTTATTGCCGGCGTGATTGAGAGCAAGTCTGACGTGAACTCTTGCTGTCTGAACTTTGGAGCCGACACCGAGGGTACCTACTTCGGGGGTTACGCCTACAAAGCTACGACAAGCGGCTCAAACTGTCATGCTCAGACCGGGCAGAAGACTATTCTGGTGGCCGTGAAGAAGTGTGCTTATCGCCTACATGAACACGGTGCAACTCGTGGTTGCTGCGCTTTCACGCTTGGTGGTACTTGGACGGGACATTTGCGTCTCAGTGCCGAGCCCACCGAATATCCGGCGACTTCGGTGACTTGTTAAGGCCGAATTACAAGTCCATTTTGGAAAACTGCTTTTGCAGATCTTGCTAATTGCTTTTCCTTGCCGCGCAGATTGCTTTCCTGTAGCTTATTGAGCGTACGAGAGTGTCTTTCTTTCTTGTTTTCTCCTTTTCCTTACAGTAATTCAGTCCTAATTTTAAGCCTGTGTGGCATTCCACCATATACCCACAAAAAGAAGTTGTGCAAACATCACAGGACACGAGAAGGTAGAGTCTATTCGTCGCTCGCACTAGTAAATACTAGGCTAGGCACTTCCAAAATATATAGCGCAACTTGACCAGTTATCTTGTGGGGGTTTGAGCCAGTGCCATGAATAATCTGACTGATCTTATTGCAGCCATTCAAATGATACAAATAATTAAGAAAAAACCCAACATTAGCAACCGATAGCCAAATAAAAAGATCTGGCCACTTGACGTCCTGTGTCGTTGAGAAGGCGGTGAGGATTACAATTCTGCAGCTAAAAATAGCAAGCCACAAGCCCCTTCAGGCGATAATCTCGTAATCATCATTGAGAAGGGACCGCAACTGAACAATATTTTGAATAAGTTGAATAGGGAAACAACTTGATTTGTATTGTCTATCCTCTCCCATTTACTTCCGAGTCTGTGTGGGGTACAAAAGAGCCAACGAATTCCGTGTTTACGGACACCCCGATCCGAGGCTGTTTTCTTATTTCCTCTCCCAGTACGCCGATCACAGTCATGGCGATTCACGATATTTCGGCCCAAGGGCTGATTCAAACTGCGAGAGACGGTCTGTCGGAGTTGACCTGGACCACGACCTTTGCTGTGTTTGTGTTTTCATGCATCGCGACCCGCGTCATCTCGGGGTTACAGAGCCGCCAGCGTGTCCATGATCCAGCAGAGCCTCGAACTTCACGATTAGCGCCTTACTGGTTCCCATGGGTCGGTCATGGTATTTCATTCCTCTGGGATCATCAGGGTCTTCTTGGATCATTACGGTTTGTACCAGCATTCATATCAGCAAGATCCCGTTCTATATGCTAATCAAAAACGCAGTGACTCTATGGGCGAGTCTGTATTTGGCGTCTATCTACGTGGTGAAACTCACGATACCGTGATCTCACCATCAATGATGAAAACCATTCTTTCTTCCCAGGACGCATCTAGTACCCCCTTACTCGATCAGGCCCTCCAAAATGTCTTTGGCGATCGCAGCCTTATTCGAAACTTGCGACTGGCCCGTAACCAGGAAGTCAGTGATGATGTATCTGGAATCATGAGCCGAGAGCCATTCATCAGTGATGCCTCGACCGCGATCATCAACATGTTGCAGCGCAACGTCGCAAATTTAGTCAGCTTTAGCCGAAGCCCAGTCGACCAATTCCAATGGGAACGCGATGGCCACGTTTCCACGTCCGAGGAAAACCAATCCACCTGTGAGGCAAGGCTCTTCGAGCTCATCAGGAGCTTTGTCGGTCAAAATCTGAGCACTTTTCTCATGAGCGAGGCTTTTGTGGAGAACTTCCCTCTTTTCCTCACTGATTTGTGGACGTTGGATAAAAACTTCGTCCCATTATTCTTGGGTCTACGTCGATGGGTACCCACAACCCCGAATATTTCCGCGGGCTTTCCCGCACGCGATCGACTGCTTCATATGATGTCGGTATTCTACCGGGCATTCAACGCCTGGGACGATGGAATCGACCCCGGCATCGAGCTCCGCGAACTCGACGACGTATCCGACCTGGTAAAGGAGCGCATGAGGACCTTCCGCAAACTAGAACTCTCCCCGAGCGCTAGTGCAGCAGGCCACCTATCTCTATACTGGGACGTGATCGAATATACATCCAAGATCACGTTCTGGACAATCACCCACATCTTCGCAGACAGCGAGCTCCTCAAAGAAATCCGAAAGGAGATTTCTACCTGCGTCAAGTCATCTCGACCAAGCCGTCAAGAAACCGGCTTCCCCTTCGAGGAGCCGCCCAGACTCGACATGGACCTTGAAAAGGTACTGGACTCATGCCCGCTCCTCAAGGCATGCTACTACGAGTCCATCCGTCTGCACTCTGCAGGTATTTCGTTCAGAAAACTCGAAACAGATATGACTCTTACCGAGTCTACGGAAGACGCCACCCAGCCGCGTACATATAAGCTCCGTAAGGGTGAGAATGTCATTATGCCTCATGGTGTCTACCACAATGACCCGCTGCGGTTCTCGAACCCGGATCAGTATGATCCTCTCCGCTTTATCGTGACGGATTCTGTGTCTGGCACCAAGCGGGCCAATGCTGCTAGCCTTGCACCTTTCGCAGATGGATTGTATGGTTGCAAGAATAATGCTCTTACCGAGCGGGCGATCCTGGCGTTCACTGCGGGCATTGTTTCGATGTGGGATATTACTTCTACTGATGAAAATGGTCTGGTGGTCCCGAAGAATTGGACGACGTGGGGGACTTTCCAGCCTGCCAAGGATGTAAAGGTGAAGATGCAGTTGAGAGTGTAATATCCAGATGCGATCAAATTAAAAGCGCTTTGTGAATTGAGAATGATCTAGCAATATCTTAAGTCTTCTAGTTTCTGATTATTCTTCGATTATACCACTACTTTTCGCTTATTGTCGAAGTTTGGAAATGTTCATTTCAACAAAGATATCAGACAGAGGGTATAGTACACGTTGATAATATAACAAGAGTGGCGATGAAAGACAGATGTGGATTGCAAAGTCCATGACTTAGGCAAAGGCGCATCAACATGAAGAAGGGCCGGAGGTGAATATGGTGATACAACATAAAAGATCGTCCTAGAATTATGAGCTTTGCTCCATCGAAGGCCAAGGTCTGTTGAGGAAGTGTGGAGACGTATGATCTTATGAGATCTCGGTACTCAAAAATGAGCACGTATGGCATCCTTTGGATAGTGCCCACTAAGCATCAATTTCATGAAGCATATGCATGGAATCGACCTGTAGAACTCGTCAAGGTTCATGATCGACGACGACGATATTCTGCGTGACCGGGGCCCAACTCATAGTGCTCACACGACATCGCCAGTCCGGGATCCGGCGTTGGATCCAGAGATTCACGAGCCTTCCCAATAAGCCAGTCAGTCAACGTGACAAACTTAGAGGTCCGATCCCAGCCCTCCGCCTCATCAGCATGCTCAATAGTATGCGTCAAAATGCGACCCTTCTCATCAAACGAGAAGATGAATAACCCCGTAAACTGCCCTTCTTTGGAGAGCTTGAAAATAGGCTCTTCACCACCGAGCAGCACACTGAGCCCTCTATTTGTCCCATTCTTCGAAGATGAGAGCTGACTTTGTCCAGGCGTCAAGCCTGCTCCGGCATTACTCGACTGTGATGAACTTTGGCTATCGCTCTGCGCTCCAAGGGATGTTTTCGCATCATGGAATGGCCGGCTATCCGTGCGCGGCTCCGTTCTCCATCGTACGACCAGCCGCTCATCGCCGCAGTCATGTTGGTCCTCGTGCTTTGGGTCGAGAATTGTTCCCGCACGCACGATGCGCTCGCTCAGGATTTGTAGTTTCACGTTTCCCACGAGTGGAACGCTGCTCCATGCTACAGGGACGGTCCACAGCGCGGCGCGGTATAATGTGCGTCCCTTGACGGTGGGGAGATGTGGGTGGGTTGATGGGAAGAGGTGGAGGTTAACGCTTGGGGCGAGGATTTCGGGTGGGAGGGTATTGTATAGAATCGTTGGGAGAAGAGGAGATAGTGTTCTTAGAGCTGTAATATTGAAGAGCTGATTAGCGACACTGCAACTCTGAATAAAAGGCAAATTAATTGGCGCTCACTCTTTCCAAGCTTCAAGACCCGCTCATCTGGCGGCTTGTGATCGTTGTTCCCAGGAGCTCCGCCTAACCCATTCAAATCTTTGCGTAGCCTAGTCGGTGAGAAATAAGCTGTTGGAAGAGGCACCGTAGAAGGTACAGGTAGCCACGGATCATTCAGGATACCATAACGAGGATGAGCGAGTCTTCTCCGCGGGGAGGAAGTGACCGAGCGGCCTGCCGCTCTCGATGGCTGCAGCGCCAGGCGTAGGGAGCGCGAGTGCGACGGCAGCTTCGGCATTCTGCCTTGCAGTGAGCAGTTGAGCTCGAGATTGCGATCATGCCATGGGGTGGAGGTTGTTGGAGAGAGTGTGAGGAGTTGCAGATGCGGCGGTCGAGATCTCCGCCTTCCCGGTTTCTCAGCTTTTCATCGGGATCTGCGGGCCAATCGCAGCGCTTTTGTATACAATGTGTTGTTCGTGCTCGGAGTGACAAATAGGAACACGAGACGAAACTATACTATGTACAACACTCTACTTTGAAGAATTCTACAATAAGCGAGGGTATCCGGATTGAATACTGTCAAATCCAATTTTGCTCATATCATAACGTTTCACGATTTATCCTTGGTATCCCAAGACCAGTTCCCACCTCAAGCCAATTCATCGTCATCGCCCATGCCCATTATGCGTCGCTCTGCCATGTCGCGGATCTTGTCTTCCAGGACGCCTCTGCCATAGCGCTGTGCGACCTTGGCAGCTGCCTCCGTCATCTTGCCGTTGCGATCATTCATCATACTCACCAGTTCAAGTGCCTTCATACCACGCTCTTCACCTTCTCTACATTCGATGGCCAGCATCTGAAGAAGAGTCTTGTCAAGCTCCAGTTCCTTACGCGCCAGCTCGGCACGTTGACTAGCCGTGGCATTCGTAGAGGATATGAGGTCTCGGAAGAGCGAGAGAAGAATGTTACCACGCACGAAAGACTCCTCGAACTGTGAGCCCTCGTTACCTGCACCCTCAGATTCATCGCTAGGATCTTTGGGCGGATTGCTGGAGACAGGGACCTCAAAGTCGAATTCGCTGAGCAGCGGTCGTGGAAAGTACGGGTTTTTGTCACCACCCTTGAGAATGATACAATGGAATTTCTCTTGCGCGACGGCAACGGGCCAGTATGCTTCTTCTTTGCGGCCGCCTGCAAGTCGGGAGAGCTGCTTTGTGTCTAGGAGAGGCACCCATCGGGCTTGCCCGGGTGTGCGCCAATGCTGCAGCACTACCAAGACACCGGTCGAGTCGTAAATGCAAGGATCCTGCAGAAAGGTTAGTGTCGGTCATTTTAAAACTCTTTATGGATAGAATCGATATAGATATAACGTACTCCTGTGTCAGAGAAGAAGACACTCTGTAGCTGTGCTCCCGTGGGCAGCGCAACTACATCCTCATTTTGACAGATCTCGTCACGCTTGACATTCTCAACGGTGTATTGCAAGGTTGCATGTCGACCATCCGCTCCAACAGGTCCGTTTCCGATGGTCATAATGTAGTCTCGCCAAGCAGCGCAGGTCACCGCTTGACTCTTCTGTCGGTACACTCGGAATGGAGTGCCAAAAAGAGTATATACGCGCACATAGTCCTTCGTTGTCACTGCAACAATATAAGACTCACTCAGAGCCAAAGCTTGTGCCAACAGTCAGCATAAGATTTTCACAAAGAGAGCTCTTTATCCTGTACGAACCTCGAACCATCTCTCCCTTGGGCAGTTGTGTCCGCCAGTCTGCTCGCGCGGTCCATGTCTCATGTGGCCGGTAGAAGATTGTGGCAGGACTACCATCAGAAGGGTTGTTGGCGAAAAGTGTGCCGTTCTCATCTGTCGTCGGTCAGGAGAAGAGATTATCATGGGATTGATTGCTACTTACTAAGACACGCTTTGTCATATTGATATGGGTCGGTGAAATGGAAGTCCCGGTGCAGCTCTCGATCATAGAACTCTACAGTCACCGTGTGGTGTGTTTCTTGATCCACAGTCCAGACAGCACCCGTCAGGTTCAGGCCTGACGATGTTAGCAGGAGTTATCATTGGTACGAATTGGATATACATACACAAATATCGTCTGTTGCCAGCCCACGGCGTACTGCCAGGCTGAAGTGGTGGATGGGCCTTGGGTTGCAAGGAGGCTGAGTAAACACGTTTGTTGTCGGGCGCATCTAGATCGTCCAGATAATCATTTGGTCGTTTGCCGTACAAGTTGATCTCCTCTGCATATCCCGCTCCATCATCGTCGTCGACGAAATCACGCATCTCCTCGTCATCGCCCAGGATATCATCAAGTGAGTCGGGCGAGCCGATCCGTGTGGGCCTTTGGAATGCCTCTTTGGAGCGCTCCGCCAGTGTTCGTGGCACATTATTCGAAATCTCAGTCAAAGGGCCTGGGAATATCGGAGCAGCCTGCAGGGGCTTCTGCAGTTGGGACTCGTAGTCCTTGGGAACAAAGTTGTCGTAGATGAACAATTCACCATCCGAGGTAGTAAACGAAAGAGAGTTTTTGGTCGGGTGCCAGGCGAGATTAAGCACATTTCCAAAGTCATAGCGCTGGATAATTTTCTGCGTTTTCGTTTCCCAGAGCACAATCCGTCCATCGGCTCCTGCAGATGCGAGTAAGGTTCCATTGGGCGCCCAGCTGAGCGATGTGATATCCCCACTGTGGCCGCCAGCAAAGGTCTTCTCCTTCTTCCAGTCCGAGATCGAATAGATCGAAATATCCCTGGTGGCCTCTGCAACGGCAAATGCGGTACCGTCTGGGTGCCAGACAGCTTTAGCTGTGGCTTCAGCATCTGGCTCGAGCTTTCGAATCACCCCATCGAGTTTGCGGACCACCTCCGGCTCGTCGTTTGTCAAGGAATAGACATAAAGAATGCCGTCTGTCCCAGATACGGTCACATAGCGCGCGTTAGGGTCGAAAGTGACGTGCTTTGTTCCCTTTCCTTGTTCCCGCAGGTATTTCACCTGGGTCATGTCCTCGATTTTGACGATCTTGACCGTTAGTTCACTAAAGTCGTAATTAATTAGCGTCTTGCGTTTAAAGCCTCCGGATCGAGAGACTCACTCGCTTGCAACCGCAACCCACACGCCATCGCGAGACACCGCAATGTCTCTCACGGGCAAAGCGCATCGGACAAGCAGGCCTCCCATCTTCCCCGAGACAGCATCGTAGGACCAGACAGTTCCATCTTCAGCGCCCAGAAGAAGTATTTCATTCTAGATCGATCTGTCAGTTCTCCCCTGCCATTGTCCATTAAATTGCACATTGCCGTACCGTAGCACCGATTGCGAAATGCCCGTCAATGCTCCCATCCACCGTCTTGGGTTCTCCATCCTGATCGACCGTGTAGATGCGAATGGCCGAGTTTGAGCCACCAGTGATAACGCGTCGTCCGTCGGGGGTATATGTCAGTACCGTCGTTCCCGGGGTGTCTATATTGCAACAGCCAAGTTGTTAGTATGAGGGCTTGTAGGGTGTCCAACTGCGCGACTTACGGGCTGGCCGGCCCCGAGGGCGAAGCGGATCGAAACTCATGACAAGTTGGGTTCCACGCTTCGAATTTCGATAATCACAAGGTGTAATCGCAATCAGAACATCCGGGGCTTGTCCAATCGCTCTCGCAGTGTCGCAGTGTCCGGGAGTTGATGATCGACTTGTCCGGCGGAGACGCGTTCGCGACGCGCGCGCAAGGGATTTAACCCGATTGGGAAAGGTAGGGTTCAGGGCACGCCACCAGATCTATACTTGCATCTCATACATATCCATCTCTACTTATTTTCACTGTTACTGATTCGATTAACGACATTTCTCAGAAACCTTGACTTACACAACACGCTTAATTCCAGTACATGGTGGTAGGGACCTGAGATATTGGAATCCTGGGGGAGCTTCTCAACTGCTGCTGCAAACCCAGCTGGGACTGGATGTGTACCACCAGAATCCGCACTTTCATATGTACGAGTCAATCTACATCATGATTCGTGAAGAGATCATCACCAGAAAAATCTAGGACAGAAAGTTCCCCACGCTCGTGAATCGAACCCACGACTCCTGTGTCACCATACAAACATTTCGCGACACCCTACGATGCTCATAGACTTCACCACGATGCTCACACTCAACAAATACTATCTTTACACAATCAATATACATATTTAAAAACTTAAAGAAAGAGCTTGCTTGGTATACTCTACTAGATCTAAGGATTATATTGATCTAAGAATCATATTTCAAAAAGCGCGAAAAGTAGACCGCGGTGCTAACCTCTGTCTAGCGAGCATAAAAGGGAGTAACCCTCCACCTCTGAGGACCCCTCCTGGAAGGGGAGAGTCTAGTGGGAAACTCGGCAGGAGCGTCATGGTCTCTTATACCACTAGACCGCAGAGGTGGAGGATTACTGGGAGGGACTGGAAACGGGCTATAACATCTACAGGGTTCGCATTTCATTTGCTGGGTTCTTGTTATCTCGTGGATTTTTTGGGAAGAGCATACTCTGCAGATGATTTCTATAGTAGTTTACTGACCTGAGCCACCGTTGGCAGTAAGAAAGTCAAAGTCCGTTCCCTCATGCGCCTGGTTCACCGATCGCTCATACAAACCCCGGTACCCTCTTCTTTGCTGTCTTTCTCGAACCGGCCCTAATTCACTTTCCAAAGCCTGCTTTCGTTTCGCGATTCGAGTCTGTAGAATTTCATCTGAAACATCGAGATGAAGTCTTCGATTCTCAAGATCGCAGGTAATCAAGTCACCCGTCTCGACTACTCCGAACGGTGACTCTGGCAGCGCTGCTTCAGGCGAGATATGGAGGATAATAGTACCCCCCGCAGTTCCCGACATACGTCCATCAGACAAGCGCAGCATATCCTTCACACCCGCAGCAGCCAGCTTCTTCGGGATTGGAATCAGCCCTGCTTCGGGCATGCCCGGGTTGCCAATTGGGCCAATGCCTTTGAGAACTAACACGCTGTCCTTGGTGACTGGAAGATCGGGATCGTCAATACGGAGGGCGAGATCGGCGGAATTCTCAAATACCACTGCTGAGCCGGTGTGAGAGAGTAATGATCGATATTTTGATGCGGAAGCCTTGACCACTGCACCGTTGGGAGCAAGATTGCCGTAAAGGACGGCCAGCGAAGACGCGGGATAAAGGGGATTCGAAAGTGGCCGGATGATATGCTGCTCAAAGGAAAGTCTCTTGGATGAAGCTGCATCCAGAACTTCCCCCAGAGTCTGACCACTGATGGTTTTTGCAGATAGGTGAAGCAACGGCCTGAGAACTTGTAGCAGCGCCAACATACCCCCCGCATTATGGAAATCGTTCATATAATTATCTCCACTAGGTTTGAGATCGATCAACAGGGGAGTCTTCCTGCCAATCTCTTCAATGGTTTGCAGGGTTATCACGCCTTGCAGATCCGGGTGCCTGTTGGCAATTGCTAATAGGTGAACAACAGCATTTGTCGATCCACCTATCGCTTGCAGCACCGTGATTGCATTCAAGAAGGACTCCTTGGTCAGTATCTCCTGGGGCTTCCTATGAGCTTTTGCAACAGCTACTGCATTTGCACCCGTTTCCTCTGCGATTCGTAGTCGAGCAGAGGACACGGCTGGCGCAGATGCCCCTCGAAGAGGCATCATCCCTAGCGCCGCAGTGACACATGCCATGGTGCTGGCTGTTCCCATGACGCCGCAGGTGCCGATCTAGCAATGAAACTCGCATTAGTCTTTGGCCATACCCAATAAAATAGCTAGAGAGGGAAATGAGGAAGAAAACATACCGTTGGTGCAAGCTCTTCATTGATAGCGGAAATCTCCTCAACGTCGATTTCACCTGCCCGGAATGCTGCCCAGTTGTTACGGCAGTCCGTGCATGCTCCAATTCTCTGACCACGATGACTGCCGGGTAACATTGGACCGGTGATCAGCGGTAGAATCGGCTTATTAGCCGAGATTCCACCCATCAATTGCGCAGGGACAGTCTTGTCACAGCCTATATGATATTAGAAAAATAATCACAGAGCTTTACTTATTCCCAATGACATCAAACAACCAACAAGAACATCAGAGTCAACTCACCTCCAATCATAATACACGCATCCAAAGGCTGCGCCTTGATCATCTCCTCAGTATCCATACTCATCAAATTCCGCAAAAACATGCTCGTCGGATGAGAAAACGATTCATGGACGCTAATAGTAGGAAATTCGACCGCCAGCCCGCCACTCAGATGCACGCCGCGCTTGGCGGCCTCGATAAGCTGAGGCACATTGGCATGGCAGGGGTTGAAACCGGAGAATGTGTTGATGATGCCGATTATGGGCCGTGAAAGGGCGTCTTCGGAATAACCTAAGGCTTTGATGAATACTTTGCGGAGGAAGAGAGAGAAATGGGCGTCTCCGTAGGATGTTAGGCCTTGGCGTAGGCCGGAGGTGGATGTGATAGGGGTTGAGAGGTCGTAGTCCCGATTGGGTTCGGGTTCGTTTTCAGTCATGGTGAATTGATATTCTATTAGGGAAGACTTTGTATGCCAGCCCCTGTAATAGTTTGTGTTGCTTGTTCACTAGTCTGGAGGCTTATATATGCCCATTTGCTGAGTGGATGGTGTCATTCGGCCCAACTCCGACCGGATATAATTCCGTGCCTTCACCCCGCACTCGTAGGTTGCTAGTGTACTTGGTCGGAGCTTGCCTCGACGCTGAATATCGTATACCTTTGCCATTGGTCATCGGCGATTTGAAAACCTGCCGATCATAATTGAACAATTGACTTTTGCCTCCTTCCTCACTGATTCGGTGACCTGGAAGCTCAGCCGAAGCTTCCAAATTCTCCGGAGTTGCACGTACGCTGCCATATCAAAATGCGCATAGACCACAAATAATAAAAACAATACAATCTTGCTCTATGCTAATCATATAATTCATCAATTACATTACGCAAACGCGTATCCATATCCAATGCAGCTTCGCTCTTCATCCCACGCTTTATCTTCCCACTACAGCTTCGCCACAGGTCCCAAAAGATGCCTCATCTCAGAGTTAGGATACTCCACATTCTGCGAAGAATCAGGGCGCTGTCGATCCCAGGCCCATTTCTCCACCAATTCAGGCTCCAACTCGCCTTCAAGCATCTGGGTGATATACTTGCCCAGCACAGGGAAGAATTTGAAACCATGGAATGAACCGCACGTTGCAACGTACAGTCCCTTAGAGGCAGAGTGGGGAGAGATGATAAAGTCGGAGGATGTGGTGAAAGCGTCCCTTTTGAGCGTTAGATATTAAACCGTAAGTGAAGAGGTGTTAGTTAGAAGGAGGACTTACCAGCAGATTCTGTGTTTCGTCATTTCCCAGTCTGCGCTTGCGGGTCCATACCACAGATTCCTAGACTCGATAATGTCCTGCTTGAGAGGTCCGGGGACCTTCCACTGGTTGTAGTCGTGTGTAGGTGGAGGCGAGGAGATGTGACGACCTGGCAAAACCTCTCGGGTGTTTGTGAAAATCTTGGATCCCCACCACTTAAGCTCTCCATCCTTGGTAGGTGGGAGACTACCAATAAACGGCTTGCCTGCAGAGAACAGTTAGCAGCAAATCCATAAATATACCAATACAATGATCAGATAACTTACCCTCGTTGGGGGTATAACCCTGGAAGCCCACAGGCATATCTTTAAACTTCGCATACTGCTCCTTGTTAAGCTGCGCCATTCCAGTCGTGATACCTGCAGCCAAAATCCGCTCTCCAGCCCGAAGACCTGCATTACCACTGCTCGCAGCACTCCACTCGAGCAACGTAGGCGTGAAAGCGCCCGCAGCGACGATAACATGCGTAGCAGACAAAACCTGGCCAGATTTCGTCTTGGCGCCTGTGCAAGAGCCACGACCGTTGAATTCCAGCGTGGCAACCTCGGCGGTCACATACTTGACGCCCAATTCGAGGCACTTCTTGGTAACGGCTTGCAGAGAATCGCCAGCAGCAGCCCAGCCACTGGCCTTATTAATGAGAACCTCCTTAACGCCAGTATAATCAGCATTGTCAAACAATCCACCATAAAGCTTCCGCGCCTCAGCAACAGGCAGGGCAATAATATCATCATTGCGGCCAAGCTCCTTGTGGTGATTGATAACGTCTTGCGCATAGTCACTGCGGCATGTCCAGTATACACCAGTTTGGTGGAAATAAGGCTGCCAAAGCGGGTCAGACTTGAAAATGTCCTGCGCCTCGAGAGCAAGTCTGCAGTAGACCTTGTCATCGTAGTCGGCGCGGACAACCTTATTCCAGTCCCAGGATGCAGCTACCCGCGACTCGGCGTCGTATGCATCGCGGTCAACCAGAGTCACCGAGGCATTGGGGTATTTCTGGATAAGGTGATAGGCGGTTGAAACACCGAAAACACCGGCCCCAATGATGAGGTATGAGGGGTTGTTTGAGCTCATTTTAAGCAAAACTAGATGGTGGGTTCTTTAGGTTGCAGGGGAGTCTCGGCGGCTGCTCAATGAGACGGCGGTTCTTGCAGAGAGAGTAGAGCGGAGTGGTGTATGATTGAGAACCGTGCAAGAATATAGTTTCCCCAATTCCTGGGGGTGAATTGACGATTTATATGTCAATTCATCCAGACTTTAGAAGACTAGTTATCTCAAATGGCAAGCCACTCCGCTCTCGCCAACGGGCCGTGAACCGTTGAGCCGGTCACGTGGTGATATACTTCACATATCGAACTGAGCATTTCATTGATTTGGGAGGGGTGATGTGAAGTAGAACCAAGAGATGCATGTACTACAATCATTAGACCAGATTTGTTCGCTTCAATCAGTCACTCCCTTAGTTTTTGTTTCTGGTGTGGTCTCGATATACAGTGCACTTTGAAGCAATCGCGGGGGCGCACTCCAAAATAGCGGGCCAAGCTCACGGACCGTGTTCACGGACCGTGTTCAGATGCCCGTCCACGGCCCAGCGATCTACTGTATGCGGCTCGACCTCGTGACATCTCGCAGATAGGACGATGTGGAGAGTTGTGGCCGACACTCATTATTCAATCTACAGTAGATATTTTCGTATCCTCCTGTGATAAATTCAGAATAGTTCCCAATCTTAACGATTAACCATGCAATTGAGTCGAAATAATAGGACATTGTATTGAGATCTAACTAAGAACGATAGCATCGAAGAAGTTCTCGCTTGGTCATCGGAAGGCTTCCCGGCACCGAGCCTTCCCCGCGGTTTAGAACTCTTATCTGCTGTTACTGTTCGTCCTTAGTCCACTCATCGACGATCTCAATTACTCGAGCACATACAGGAAACTTAGGAACCGCTACGCCTTCCAACGAGAGCATACTGAAACGTCAGGTACAAAATCGCAATCACATCAGGAAAGGCTCAATATCGACGCAAGCTATTCATAATACAAACACCGCTGGCTCCACAAATGCAGCAAAAAGAAAACTCAAATCCCTAGCAGACCCATGTACAGAGGTAACGATATACAATCTGGCAGCGGACGACCTGTGATTGGGTACCTGTACCATTGATTCCAATATAGTTCCATACTTACAGCACCTGCTGCTGGTTCAGCAACTGTGCAGCTCCGTTTCGGAAAGCGGTAGAGTGCAAGTCACCAACGACAGAGGAGTTGGAGTGTACCGGCACACCACCATCGTGGCCTTGGTTCAGCACAGCCTTGTACTATTTGCAGAGCGTTAATATGGAGACCAGAGAGGGAGACGGGGTAGCACGGACCTTGAAGGCAAAGTTGAGGACAAGGGCAATGGCCAATCCAATGCAGACAACGATCGGGCCGAACATATTGTCGAGATCCTTTCCGCTGCGCTGCCGGATGAGTCGCGCGCGCTTCTCGTACATGTACCAACCCCAGGCGGCAGAAAACAGGGCAAAGAAGGTGTAGACGATAGCGAGAGCTTGGGCGATCCGGTTGTGCTTGCCAGCGGCATTGTACAAACCCAGAGACAGACTGGACAGCAGGATGCAGACGTGAAGCCACTTGATAAATGTGCGCTGATTGGCGAGCCACACCTTGCTCTCCACGCGAACGGGACCTGAGTCCTTGATCCAGATGCCTGGGTGGCGCACACCAGGGGGCAGGGAGACGACCTCTCGGCCAGTCAAGTTCTTCGGGTTGATACCTAGCGATTGCATAACGGCGGCGAAGCGGGAGGAAGATTCTTGAGGCTCCTGAGTCTCCTCTACGGGCTCGGCAACAGGCGCCGGTTCACGGTGCGGTAGAGGGGCGACGGTAGAGATGCGGCGTTGTGGTTTATTCTGAGTATCGCTGAAGCCAGAGGCACGGCGTAGTGCAGAGCGGCTGCCAGACTCACCCCACCGGCTGAAGGGAGATGCCGACAGCGGTCCACTGGGACTGCCAGTGCCGCCCATGAAACTGCCAACGGCCATGTCGTCCTCGGCACGCTTAGCCAATCGTTCTTGTTCCTCGTAGAAAGCAGTCTCCGGGTCGCGACGGATATCGTTCTCCAGCTCACTGAGCCAGAAGGGGAAGCTATTGACGTAGTCCTCAAAGAGCTGGGCGGTACCGTGAACAAACTTGGAGAAACGGGGCGCATCCTTGACCAAGTGAGAGGACATCAGGTCATTCACCCACTCAGCATTGTGGGCCTTGCCGCGCAGCTTGATCTCCAGCAATGCGTGAGGGAAACGAGCAATCTCGCCTGTTCGGATGGCGTCGAAGGGGTAAGACATGCGAGCATCATCCAGATCGGTGCGGTGCCATTCGGAAGGCTCACGGCAAGGCCGCTCGCTATCGAGGGAATCCTCGCGAATCAAGGCGAGATTGGTATCAAGGGAGATGCGAATACGATCATCGCCGGGAATTTGGAATGCAGTGCGGGTGTAGTTGGCCCGTAGCATGGGCTGCAGGTTGTGTTCCTTGATGAAAGACTGCAACTCCTCCACATTGTTCTTCAGGATCTGAGCCTCGACTGAGCCTTCGCCATCATTCATATCTTCTATCCGGTGGACTTGCTTGTCCAAGTGATACTCATCATCCAGGAACTCCTTGATATGCTTCTCCTTGAGCTGTACCCGAATTTCACGGCTGCTGTCGTCCTCAGCCACGATCTTCTTCTCCAAGAAAATGGGCGGCTTGTCCTTCAGCTGTCCAGTCCACCGCAGCCTCAAAGAGCCAGCTTCAGAGGTACGAGCGACCTTTTGGTTATAGAGATCAAATTGGGGGTTATCGAAGTAGAGAGAAGTAATGGTGGGGTCGTCGGACAGACCATCCAAATTTTTCGAGCTTCCGGGGTTGTAGATCAACATAGGCAGACGGCGGAGGATGAATGTCTTAACCTCGAGAACGTTGTCGACGTGCACCCAGAACTTATAGGACGCATACACATCACGTCCGAAACCACGTTCCGGCTCCTTAGGTTGCACAACGTCCTGGCTCAGGGTCTCGCGCACAAACGAGTACATCACTGACAGGCGGTGAACCAGAGGGGAGTAGTCCTCGGAGTTGAATGGTGTTTGAGACAGGCGCACCTGAAGCAAGGGCTTAACGCGGTAACGGGCACCACGCTTGCGGTCGTGCTTCTTGGCGGCCTTGAGGAAACCCGTAAAGTTGATACGGCTGTACTTTTCCAGCTCACTGACTTCTTTCGTAATGTTATCCAGCTCTTCCAGGACCTCCGACGCAATCTTGCGCTTCTCTGGGTCCTCCATCACCGAGCCTTCCTGGCCCGCAGCCGGTGCCAACGGCCGAAGCTTGGCCTCGCACGCCGTGGTACGCTCTCGGAGCTGCTGCGAGGTCTCTGATTGGAAGGTATTGACCTTGTCTAGTTGAACATTGAGAAGTTCCTGCACAAAGGCCTCCTCATCTTGTTCGGTCCATTGGCCTTCATCTGTGTCGCTGGCATCTTCACCGGTGACATCATGCTCGCGTAAAAGGGATTTCAATTTGGCGTAGTCGATGTACTTGCCCTTCCAGGGCGGGTACACTGCATGCCGCAGCGTCTTTCCGAACCTCATGGTGTCTCAACTGGGCGGTGGGTAGACCGGATGAGAACGGGAGGGGTCGTGGTTGTGGTTTGTGTAGCCTCTGTTGGTGGTTTCTGGAATGTCCACGGGGATGCGGGCAAACGGGGCAATTGCTGCAACAACCAGACTCGGACAAGATCAGACGATCATGGACTGGTGTAAGTTGCAAGGCTGGCAATCGATGATTGAAAATAAAGCAATTTGTCAACACCTCGAGGGTCCAACGACGAAGAGAAAAGGCGAAGCGAGTAACTCGTGAGTGGGATGGTGGCGTTGAGGTCGGTCGCACGTGCGCCCTCCAGTGGCGAGCTTCGCTCTGCCGGTTGCAGCTCCTCGGCCAATCAGGGACTCCGGTTCGATTAGCTTGAGACGGAGCTTCACTCTGGGACCCGGACTAACTGGAATAGACTCGGATTAATCCTCTTCCGGCGGTCTCGATATGGGTCAACGATGCGTCGGTTTGGACGTCGAATTCTGATTGGCTTGCGCTCACTGGCCACGGCCGCGGTGGATTTCGGTCGCTTGGCGGCTGTTGTAGTCTTGAGTCTTGACAGTGAGATATTTGATAGCCTTGACTCTGGATAGCACTTGTATTCCTGCTTTGGAAAGTCCACAGTACTTGAAGCAAAGCAGATTCTCCTGCCTTTGGCCTATCCTTGCATGTCATCATATCGCCCAACCCCAATCCTTTTAAGATCCATCGAGGAATCATCGTGTCAATGCAGCTTTAACTCAATCTCAGCCAGCGCCCCACATGCATGAACCTGGAGGAATATCTATCTGTCAGATTCCATGAAGGAGGACAAATTAGGGTGTATTGAACGCCTTTGCTGTCTTTTGTCGACTTAAAGCTCCAGTGACGACTCAGTCGAATAAGTGACCGCATTAATTTATCGTGATGACTAGATTTCTTCATAGACTTGGAACTAGCGGCAGGCATTCCTCAGGAATATTCCTCGTATGTACTTGATTTCCACCCCAAAGCCTCTTCCGTTCAACGTGAGTTAGCCTTATTCCTTTGGAAAGTTCAACTCGAATTAAACAACTCCAAAGGTCTAAGCGTGCTGTATAACGAAACTTTAAAAAGGGTTGATCGGATCTCCCCAACTGCGTTAGTCAGCCTCGGCAGTCGGAGATCATTAGTGACTCCGCGGCCATCACATTGCCGATAATCCATACTACTGTACATACCAACATACGCGGCCTCGATTTGGCGTTTCATATCGTTTGGTGTCGCGTGCCTCGTTCCCTCATCCCATGGCGGAGTCAACCCCCCCAAAGACACTCCAGGCCTGGCCCACCATCTCCATGGCGTTCTAACCGGCCTTCGTCGCCAGCCGTACCCGCATGTACCCAACCCACCGGGCTGCAAAAAGCGAGCCTCCGTTGCACTGATCTTACGAGTCAAACCGACCTACGACCATTGGCCGAGCTTGGATGCTGGTACAAATGACCCGTCCTTATCGGTTGAGGAACAGTTGCAGAATTTCTTCGCTCAGCCGTGGGTCCAGCATGGCGATCCTGAAGTGTTGTTCATAAAGCGTGCGTCACGAGAGGGAGATCGCTGGACTGGACATGTCGCGCTCCCTGGAGGCAAGAGGGATCCAGAAGATGTGGATGATCGAGCGGCGGCGATTAGAGAGGCATCGGAGGAAATTGGCTTCGACTTGACGACGGACGATGTGATTAGCGTAGGCAACCTTCCCGAGCGAGTGGTCACTACGAGCTGGGGATCGGTCCCGTATGTATCCCTTGCTTACCATCACAGAATCGTTTGGCAATTGCTAATTGCTTCCTCTTTCTAGCCTCATGGTCCTTTGCCCGTTCGTCTTCCTCACCACCCGCAATGATTGCCCAACCTTGAAACTCCAGCCCACTGAGGTTGCTTCAACACACTGGATCCCACTCCGAGCTCTCCTATCTCCCTCTGTCAGGACAGTCGAATATGTAGACATGTCACAGCGCTTCGCACGGCAAGGCGGGTACCTGGCTCGTCTCGCTATTCGATCTCTGATGGGCTGGATGCAGTTCTCGGCCGTTCGACTACTCCCATCAGAAACCCAGCAATGTACCTCGGTCCCTGGCTTTGTGCCGGACGATACGACCAAACAAAATTCACTATTATCACGGTTCAAAGCCTGGACTCTGGGCAATCAAGCAGACTCGGGCGATCTAAACCGTCCTTTATTACTATGGGGTCTAACACTCGGCGTCTTGGCCGATTTCTTGGACATGCTTCCCCCTCACTCTGCAGTAGAGCTATGGAAGTACCCGACATTCACAGCACCAGATCTCCAATTAATTGTGAGTATCTTGACCTATAACCTTCGAAAGCGCAATAAGCGCGAAGTGAAACTGGGCGCTCGGCCCACGGACACTGCTGCAGACAGCGAGACCGCCGCGCTGCCCGTTACCCCAAGTGCAGACGGTCATGATCACAATGAAGTAGGCATTGGTGGTCTGGGTGTCGTTCGGTATTATGGTCCCGGCGACCGAACTGCTAACTCGTATGCGGTGGGCATCATGTTGCGAGGATATTATCAACGGTTACGAGTTGCCATCTGGGTGTTCCTCGCCTGGCGCACGGCTCTTGGGTCAGCAGCAGCATTTACGGCCTGGCGATTCCTTCGTCGACGACTTTCATAATGTATTTTCACTTTTCTCGTTGGCTAGATCTAGATGGTATATATACATAATTGAGACTACAAGTCAGGATTCATACCTACCTCCCTAATTGAAATCCTATGCCGCGTCATGGCTTTCCCTTCCATTCCTAGAGTTGCCTCTTGTCATTCAATAGAATGATCATGGATGCTCCTGAAGCAGGTCGTAGATGATGAGCTTCTTGTGATTAAATCATATCTTGCGCATCGATACTTTGAATAATACAACTGTTTTGTCAATAATTGCCACCTTAATAAGGCTGTTAGAAACTAAACATATACTTTGCTTTATCATTCACACGGACAATTTGATGTTTCCATGAGACTAAGGCCTGATGTCCTCAGCATACTAGTAAAGTTTCCATGCTCTGTTTCAACAACACCGACTGTCCTGAATCCGAACTTGGAGTATAACCGAGTACCCGCAGGTGAGGATAAAACAAAGGCGTCCAGTGCATTTTCATCGACATAATCACAAAAAGTCTTCATGAGCATTGACCCAACACCTTGACGTTGATAATTTGGACCTACGGCCATGAAAGTGATTCCTCACGGATATAGGTTAGCAAGGCCTAAGAAAATCCAAATTGGGTGATAGCTTACAGCATATTCTATTGCCTTGGTAACTCCGAAGAACTCTTTGCCTTTCTTCTCTGAGCCGTTTTGAGATACTAAGCCACGAAGCCACATCCAAAGAGGGAGGGGTAAAGCTGCTCCGGGGTTTCAACTTTCCCCCTTCCCTCCTTCTAGATCTAACTACTGGGCCACTGCGAATGCAATTCCCTCTTTTCTCTCCCTTTGCAAACGCCTCTAGACTAATTGTCCAACCTATCAGGCCGACAGGCGATCCATCTTCTCCACACGCCTTGTATAGAGCTTCGTCGCCTTGATAAACTGTCTCAAGAAGCCCATCAATCGTCCATCTAATCTCGTCTTCTCTCTGCTCCCACTGTCGATCCTTTAGGCGCCGGAACATCAAGCGATAGAGTAGGTTGTCTTGATGAGCAGGAAATTCGACTTTTCGTACGAGCAAATCTACGTCCTCAGCCTCAACGGGCGATATTGAGCACGCCATTCTGTTTGTTGACAAAAAGAAATGTATGTGTGCATGTCCAGTCAAGTCATTCTTCTGTAGGTCCATAGGCCCTGCGATTTAACCCGTGATTACATAATCTAAGTCTTCCCCACACCTTCAACCCGCCTCAAGCTCCGCAAGTAAACAATCCCCTCGTCTCTCATCGATTGCGCTCCCACCTCCTGCTCAGCACCATGGTAGCAACGCAGAAGCTCTATCCCCGCGGCACTGTTAAGCGCATCGTCAAAGCTCATTCGAATCGCAATGTCAGCAAGAACGCTGATATCCTGGTATGTCCTGCGACCCAGCGCCCCTCAACGCGCCAGGCTCGTTGCTAACCGCAACTTTTCTTTGTTCGTCCAGGTATTCCTAGACTACATGCTATTCATGCAAGAGTACGATTTGAACCCGTCCTTTCCCATTCGCCCTGTCTCGATCGCACCCAGCTATACAACTCGGAATTGGAACTTTGCGGTCTCTTGCGAGTCAACAGGCTAACCATCGACGTTTAGATTGATGCGCGAGGCTTCGATCCGATCACGCAAGTCCGGCGAGAAGAATATATCTGCAAACTCCATCCGCAAGGTCACCGAGGTACGATCTCTCTTCTCGTTCGATTTGGGGTGTTCTGTGTGGGCCGTTCAAGAAATCGCTAACACGCATTGATCTTCTTCTGGTGTAGAAAACCCTGCGCAAATTCCAAGGATGATTGAATATTCCCGATCTTATCCTGACTAAATATACCACAACGATCTGTTTGGTCGCGTGTGTGGATTGTAGCGGAGTTTCTTTGGGGTTTGCGGGTTTAGGTCTACTAGCATTATGGCGTAATTAGTGTGTGAAGTTCAAGATACCCCAGAATTGTCGAGAACTGCCAGGCTTGGTAGTATTTTGAATTAAATGCGTCACTGAAAGAAGTTTCCCCTATTGCTTTGTTGAGTAAAGTCTGTTTGTTTGTTGAATGACCCTCCCCGTAGCCTAAGAGGCTCAAATGCGGGCAGCCCACCGATCAGGAAAGGGTTCGGGCGACTTCCACCCACATCCATTCTGCGGATCTTCGACTGCTCGCTCTCTCTCTCCAACACTCCCAACTTCCCCCTCCAACTTTCCACCCATTCTCCTTTTTCATCTGGAAAACCCCAAGCGGTTTTGTGCTTTGTCGTGCTTGCACCTTGTACAGCACATTTCTCCCTGATTTTAACTTTCGAAGCTGTGTCACCACATTCCATCATGGCTCCCGCCTCCGCCACCTCGCAGAAACCCAACGACAAGGCCAAGAAACAGACCTCCCAAGCTTCCAGCACCCCCAAGGCTGAATCGGAGAGTCCCGTCTGTGAGACAGATAGCAATGAACCTACTTACTTGAAGGAGCTGCAAAAGTGCGTGTGACGCGATCGATTGCTGCCTGACACGTGAAGCTAACTGGGTTGCGCCTCTAGGAGCCTGCGCAATGCGCTCAAGAAGCTGGTATGTGTCACGATTCCTTGGCTTCATGTGTTCCGATCTCCAATACTGCTAATTATGATACTAACGATCGATTTCTCGTTGGATAGAATGCGACCTCCAAGATCGACGTCATCATCGCCGAGAACCACGGCAAATCCCTGGACGACCTCGTGGCCGAGAAGAAGATCAATGCGGACCAGAAAGCCCAAGCCATGAAGAAGCCCGCTCTCCAGGCATCCATTGCACAGATTGAGGAGCAAATTGGTAACTACAAGCAGTTCGCTGCACAATACGAGGCGCGCCTGGAGAGCCAGAAGGCTGCTCTGGAGAAGGCTCACCAAGAGGAGCTGGAGGCCGTGCGTGCTAATGCTATCGCTGATGCTACGGAGACCTCGTCGCGCGTTCTGCGCGAGCAATTGCTCACTTTGACCAAGTTCCTGTGCGCTGCGGCCAATATGCGCCATGCGGGCGAGGCCGAGTCTCTTGAGAGCCGTGCTTTTGAGGGCGTGCTCTTCCAGGTCTACGGTGGTAACAAGAAGGCTGTCGATTCAATGGTGAAGCTGGTTGATGGTGCCGATGAGAAGGTGGTTGGTGTTGAAGGTGAGGCCCTGGAGTTGAGCTGTAAGTATTGTGTCGCCACGTCCTGCATGCCTTCTCCAAATCCTCATACTAATATTTACTTCTTTTTAGACGGTGACGTGAAGCTCGCATCCAACAAGTTTGCGCCTGCGGAGGAGACTCCCGAAGTGACTATCGAATCCGCCGCTGTCTCCGACCCTACAGTGGCCAATGCTGGCCTGACCGAGCTCCAGGATCCCTCTGTCAGCGACGAGTTGGCTGCCTCCGAGGCCGCCAATGCCACTCCTCAAGCCGGTCAGGTTGCACCTCCCTCGCAGACCTTGATTTCCGATGCTGCGAACCAGGTGGCCGAGACGACCTATAACCCCACTTCCATGGAGTCTTCTGCCACCACTGATGGCTGGGTGGAGGTTCCTCGTGACCCTGCCGAAACTGAGACTGGTCTCCAAGCTACTCCTGCCGACGTGAACAACAACACTGTCGCTACCGAGGGTACCGCAACCGGAGCCAAGGGACAGAATGGTGGCCAGAATGGCCGTGGCCGGGGTCACCGCCGCCCTCGTGGCGGTGACGGCTCTCGTGGACGCGGGGGCGGCCGAGGTGAATTCCGTGGCCGTGGACGTGGAGGTCGCGGTGGTCGAGGCCGTGGTGGATCCAACGGATCTCCAGCTGCGACTCCCTCCCCCGAGAGCCAGGGCGCCGTCCAGTGGTAAAGAGCAGTTCAACCATCCAATGCTGCTGAACCCACGAAAACTCTCTAATCAACCGGCTTCGCCCTAACCCGGACAACGCTGCCACCTCCCCTCACTGCCATTTCTCTCTTGCCGCTGGTCTGGTGTTATGGATCACGAACGCAACGAATTTTCTTTCCGGAGAATGATTGGGGCATCTTCTTCTTTTTCCCCTGCAAAAAACAATATCATCCTCTATCTAATGCTTTGTTTCGAGCGTGCATATTACCCCCGATCAGGGTTATCTTTTCTCCATGTATTCTATTGTCATTTCCTGGGTGATTCGATGGTGATGGAGCAATGGCGGGGTTGGCAGCTAGATTCCGATGGGATGGCTATTAATGAAGAACTCTAGGCGAGTCATGGTGGTTTGACTTTGATTGTAGACGATATGTTTGCGTAGCTGTCCAGGCACACGAGAGCCTTTCGATGCCTTGAATTATCGAGATCTACTTGGAGGAGGTGTCTTACTGAATACAGACAGGATCAAACTGAGAGTCAATTGGTAGCATTTATTGATATCCGTTCGTTGATGGCCTCCTGCTAGTTCGCTGCTAACCAATCCTTAGCGTCTAACCATCTGCAGGATCTGGGCGCTAACGGACCCCAGTTCATGTACCACCCTTTCTCAAGGGATTGCTAGCATTTGTTTATCAAAGACCAGATGTTCGAGAGAATATCTTCCATTCTCAACAAAAACTCCGCTTCTTTCCAATTCCTCTCTGACCTTCACCCCGAAATCAACCAACAATACACCTGATTCTCGCTGGTGATATTGGGCGCTTAGTCGACTAACGATAACTACCGCAGTTTCCTACAAAAGCAAACAGATCGGTTCGAGTTTGTCTTTCTGGTCCTTGGAAATCATGAATTCTATAACGAAACCTTTGCGACGGGACTGCAAAAAGCCAACCAACTCGAGCAGGAACCTTCTTGAATAGGTGCCTGGTCCTGCTCCACCAGACAGCCTACGACATCCCAGGATCCAATATTAATTACGAGCCTCGGTTGCACACTCTGGTCCAGGATCCCAGATACAGCAGAAGAAATTGTCCGGTCGAAAATACAAGACTTCAAAAAGATTCAAGATTGGACCACTGCCGACCATAATGTTTCCCACGAGGTGGATCTTACCTGGCTACTGAACGAGATAAAGACAATCCAACAGAAACAAAAACGCTCTATACTAATCGTGACGCACCATGCCCCATCACTTCAGAATACGTCCAGTCCACAACACGCAAATAACCCGTGGTCGTGCGCTTTTGGAACTGATATCCTTTCGCAGATCGCAGACTTGAGTGCTGTTAAAGCTTGGATTTTGGGGGGCACACATTATTCGACGGAGTTTAGGGAGAGGGGCGGGGGGTGGCGAAGCAGCGGGGGGTACGTACTTCCTTGGAATAAGGCTAACCAGTCGAAGGATGGATTTGATATTGGGAATGTTATTCATGTTTGAAATCTATAAGCACTTCCCTATTTTTAAAGCATCATTCATGAGTATATGTCCGGTACATAGTTTGTTGAGGTCGGGAATGATGCCGTTCGGCGTGGCGGAATCCCACTGCCCTCGGGGACCCTCCGGCTGATGCTTACTTTGCGTCGTCAGATCTGTTTCACTCCTTCGACGTCCGAACATTGTCCCTCTGTCCTCAACTCTACACCCTCTCACTCCCTCAATCAATCGACCAATTGCTTCGCCTTTCCACGGCGCTAGCTAACGTCATGGCTATCGCTGGCGGCCAACGAAAACAGGTCCTCAAAGTGTTGATGATCTCACTCCTGCTGGACCTCGTATGACACCTCCCCCTCCACTCGATCCCGATCAACTAACTCCGCACACTTCTGCCGAAAGCATACGCTAACCTACAATCAACCTTAGATATCCTTCACATTCATCCTACCCCTCTTCCCATCTCTCCTCTCCTTCTACCGCGCCCAAGACCCATCCCCAACATCCCTCCTCAACCGCATCTTCCACTACCTCAACGCCTACAAAAATTCCTTTGCCCGCCCCATCGATTCACGCTATGACATCGTCCTCCTCGGCGGAGCCCTAGGCTCCCTCTTCTCCCTCCTCCAAGCCATCGCCGCCCCAATCATCGGCCACCTCTCCGACCGCCATGGCCGCCGACGCGCCCTTCTAACCGCAATGGTTGGGAATATCTGCAGCGTTGCGCTGTGGGTATCTGCGACCGATTTCCGGACATTCCTCGCTAGTCGAGTCGTTGGCGGACTCAGCGAAGCGAATGTTCAATTGGCCAATGCGATTGTCGCGGATGTCACGGATGAAACGCGTCGGGGCGCGTCGATGGCGCTGGTGGGTGCTTGTTTTAGTATTGCGTTTACGTTTGGGCCGATGCTTGGTGCGGCATTGAGTACGGTGGAGATTGTAGCGGCGAATCCGTTTATCGCGGCTGCGTTGGTTTCGCTGGCTTTGATTTTTGTGGAAACGGTTTATTTGTGGGCTTGTTTGCCGGAAACGCATCCGCGGTTGACTATGCTGAAGCAGGAGGAGGGTACCGAGTCTGAAGGGAAAGAGAAGACCGAGTCGAAGGGTGTGACGCCCCGTGGACACACGAATAATCCGGCTCTACTTAATGCTGTTCACTTCCTCTTCCTCCTGCCATTCTCCGGCTTGGAATTCTCTCTGCCCTTTTTGACGGCAACGCTCTACGCTGGAACCACCACAGCTAGCCCAGCCGCTCTGAACGGCCGACTCCTTTCCTTGATGGGTTTGATCGCATCGCTCCTTCAGGGTACAGTCGTCCGCCGCCTGCCTCCCTTGGTCACCGTGCGAGCCGGTGTCGTCGCCTGTGCACTCTCGTTCTTCTGTCTAGCACGTGTCTCCTCACCGTCGGGCCTCTACGCCGCAGGCGGCTTATTGGCTGTGACGAGTGCTACAGTTGTCACCGGTCTGAATAGCTTGGGCAGCTTTGAGGCCCGGGATGCTGATCGGGGAGCTGTGATGGGTCGACTCCGTGGCTGGGGTCAGGCAGGACGTGCGACTGGCCCGATCCTGTTTTGTACGCTGTTCTGGTGGGCTGGGCGCGAGGCGGCTTATACCGTTGGTGGTTTGGCGATGACTGTCGTTGCTGTGGCGGTGTTTGGTCTGTTGAAATCGCCTTCGCTGCATGTCAAGACGGAGTAATTATGTTTTTAGACCGAGGAGTTTCTCTGCTTGGCCTGCTGGCCTGTGTTGCCCAAAGTTGCATTCTTGGAGGGTCGTTTTGGAATATTATACTTAGTACTCTGGACCAACTTCATAGCTTGTTGTATTACCAAAATCGAATACTAGTTAACTAAGTGCAGTATGGATAGACAACGAGTCGGGACGTCCGGAAAGAGATCAATACATGCCTCGGCCTACTTCGACGCTATAGTTCTTAATGCAGCTTAATCCAAAATTAGATGGTAGCCCGGTACAAGACTATCGACAAAAAATTAAGCTACCGTGCTGCAGAACAGGTGGATCCATCCACCTTGAACCGAACTGCCGCTGCTGACAAATTGACAGCCGTTGGATCCGCGATCTATAAGCAACCGTGCGCAACCTTGTCCAGTCTGCGAGGCTTAACAATCCGACAGCTGCCCAAGAGTCTTTCTTTTCCCCTCTCGTATTCTGTCCTTTGTTCTCCCTCCTTTCCTCCCTTCATCCACCTACCCGACATCCATACATAATGACCAACTTCAAGATCCAGATCATCTCTGACACTGTCTGCCCTGTACGTACCATGCCACTCTCCCACTCAGCTCCCCTACAACCTAGAAATCAGTACTAACAACCTCCCCAACCCCAGTGGTGCTACGTAGGCTACCGCCGCCTCTCCCGCGCCATAACAGCCCACCAAACCAACAACCCAAATGACACCTTCACCCTAACCTGGAACGCATTCTACCTCAACCCGGCCTCCGCCGAATACCCCGGCGTCAACAAAGCCGAAATGTACGCCGCGAAATTCGGGCCCGAGCGCAGAACAGCTATATTCTCGCGCCTATCCGCCGTCGGCGAAACAGAGGGCATCAAGTTCAATTTTGGCGGGAACACGGGGAAAACGCGCGATTCGCACCGGTTGCTTTGGTATGCGGGGCAATTGGAGGAGGCGAAGCGGGGGGGGGGGTGTAGCTGCGGCTTCTCCACCTTCTTCTGGCTCTGCGACGACAGTTGTGGGAGGACTGCAAACGCGGGTTGCGGAGAAATTGTTTCGCGCGTACTTTGAGGATGAGAAGAATATTACTGATCCGCGGGTTTTGCTGGAGGCCGGTGTGGAGGCGGGGTTGGATCAGGAGGAGGTGAAGAAGTTGTTGGATTCAGAGGATGGGGGCGCTGAGGTTGATTCTGAGGCGAAGACGGCGGCGCGCCGGTTGGTGACTGGCGTGCCGTATTTTTCGATTCAGGGCAAGTATTCGGTGGAAGGGGCGGATGAGCCGGAGACCTTTTTGGAGGTGTTTGAGCAGGTGAAGGAGGATGAGAAGGTGTAATGGTTGGGGGGTTTTAAGGGGAGTGGTTCCGTTTGTATTGGGCTATTTTGGAGTCTGATCTTTTTATTGCGCGCCTAATTATGAATAATGGGGGTCTAAGATGGATATCATATCTATGTCCAGAGACCTATTATATGACATATGGGTGATTACCAGGTATAATGTCGACGTAGGATTCCCTTAAAGAAGAGTTAGTCTGGTGCAAGCTGAATATCAACACTCCGCACTAATTCAAAACTCCTGTTATGCAAGGCCATCCAAGTAACGGGTTCTAATCTGCTCGCAAACTCCCCATATTCTTCTCCGGTTGGCGAGTCCCAGCACATAATCATCATTCTCGGCTGTGTACCGACTTTTCTTCTCAATATCCAAGAGTAGTTTGGAAGCCTTATCCTCTGATTCTTGGGATTGAAAAACATCGACATCATGAATCTCCCAGAGCCACGGGATCTCTGCTCTCAACGTATCCCTCCAAAAGCCGCGTGGTAAAGTAGTGACATGCATCGTCCATGACGCTGCCTTCAGGGCCAGAATGGAACCAGCAGGAAGGAGCTTGAAGATTTCGTGCCGTAGCTCATGCGGAAGCTTGTCGAAGATATCCCATTTTCCAGGGTTCTGATTTGGACTGGCCTTCTGGCAAAGGGACCGCTTGATACGCTCAATATCGGCATCGATCTGAGCAATTTGGACCGGATTGACCACCAGGAGCTGTCCAAGATCAACATTTTCTATTTCTATACTCGCATAATTCATTAGAAACTTACTTCGTGGCCTGGCTGATGATACCAAAACTGTTCCGCTGGGGGCTCAGGTTCACCATAATCAAGTTGCAACCTAACGTATCGACCCCCATTCAGACTTTCAAAAACATTGAACAAGACATCTCCTCGAATCTGCCCTGAATATTCTTGTTTCAAACATCTCTGGAGGATATCATGGTAGCAAATTTCATGGAAAGGGAATACAAGAGGCTGGGCCGTGTCCCCCTCTGTGCCCCCCCCATAATCATAATATCTAATAGAAAAATTAGAATTGTATAGCAGAGATGGTGTAATTTCATACGCGATCATAGGAATATTATCAGCAGTTTGATCGAAGGGAACGTTGGGATCTTATAAAGAGATCAGTTCAGTCATTTTACTCGGTCTGAACCAAATCCCAGAAGTAGATCAGATACTCACCATCACCCCTCGCAACCTCAATTCCCCCTAGCACATGGTTAATAACTTTGAATATATCGTGTACTGCGATTTCAAGAGCCCTACAAGGTCCCAATAGTAGCCAACACCCGTGAGAAAAGACCTAGAAACCAACGATAAGAATATGTCCACAATGTTACCAAAAGCCAACAAATAACACACTTATCATCTCCAGTCGCGTCAGGATTCATACCCAAAGCACAGAGTTCGTCTAGCCATTCCAGATCGCAGTTCTTCAGGACATCGTAGCGATAGCAGCGCTCGTCGGTCCCTTCAGGGTCCATCTCCACCTGACTGGAGAATGGACCACCGCATATCGCACAGTATACAGCCCAGCCGCCCATGCTGGTTAGCTATTGTCGAAGCTGAATAGCAGTGCTCGCGATGGGAATTGGGCAGTAGATTAGATATATGATTGAGGCGCGGGGGAGAAGCGAGAGGGGGAGTTCGCGGGCCTGTGGGCAGTTCGTGTTTGCCCCACTCAAACACGGAAGGAGGAGTGTAAAGTGGCTCCGTGTCATCTTATCAGGACTCTCAGGACAGCGGCAGTTCAAAAGGCTCCATATCGAGACCGAGAAAGATGTTCAGCTAGATACGCATCAATTCGCCATCATTCAATCTTTCAAAATGACAGGTTCCAATCGTCTTTCTAGACGGCTCGGGAAATATCTGTCCATTTATTCTCCTAGTATGACTGATGAGATGGTTTTGAACTTTCTTCGGGGGTTCGAAAATGATCGAATCCCAATTTAGCCCACGGCATGCCCTAAGCTTTTGTAATTTGTAAAAGCTCGGTCAAGAAATCTAGGAATGAGATCATTGTCCAAGGTCTGCTTTCCTGCCTCAATCTGTAAGTCGGAATTATATGAATAGGTCCCCAGATACTGTAAACTGCTGGTTGTCATACATGGAGAGTAGATACTCAACGGCCACTGGTTGTCTTCACTGAGCCAGCTGATATGTTGCTTGGACATGGAGGACCAAGTCGTGCTTTCCATCCAGGCTTATGCTGTGTCTTCTCAGTAACTGTGCGACGGTGTGATCAAGATGGGGAGCGAGGAGAAGGCTGTGTATCGCTGCATGCACAAATTGTTGTGGAATAAGCAACCCTTGAGTAAATATCACCAAAGGCACACCCTATATCGCTGTACACATACTGATGCATTTTCTGATAGAGTGTATAGATCGCATGCTCAATATTACGTTACAGTTTGATCAAGTTAAACAGACTGTCACCAACTCTACCTAATGGTTAGGGATCAACAATAAAAGCTAGCCCTAAACCGTCCTTAGCTTCCACTTGTCCCAGGAATTTTCTTTCATGTCTCTAAGTGTCCGAAAGTAACACTCTTCTCATTCCTTTTTCGAGAATGGGTTCGAACTCTCATCAAAGGTATAATTCCCCTAACCGCATATAGTTCCTCTACCTCAGTATAAGTTCGAGGGGAAGGGAATAGAAAGGTAGCCCTTATCCGTGCCTTTCTGCCTACCCAAACCGCTACCCGCTTTGGGTGCGCCACTACTTCTTCGTCATCACAACTTCTTCGTCACATTTTAAAGAAACTATGCAATTAACCACCAAATTAGCTAGTTATCAACAAAAAAAAGCTCTCCTCTCTCTCTTGCTTCAATCTCATTAGCTATTGCCCTTTAAATACTCTCCTCCGATCTCTGTGTAGGTTTATAGCTATACAACTTTTCAAACTGCTTTACTAGCTTCCTCTCCTCCGCGGCCGTATCTTTCTCCTTCCTAATACGAATTGACCGATTCGCATCGCGAGGCTTTAATATACTAGACTGGCTAAGCGGTTTAACCTGCCGCATAGTGTATTGACGACGTTGAGGTGCTTGCGCGGCTCTAATTCGCTGAATTGTATCCTGGGTTATAGCGAGCTCTTCAAGCTTCTCCCGCTGGTGTGTGAAGATTTTAGTAAGATCTCGCTGCGCTTTCTGCGAGAGAGAATCGAGATGCTTAATTATCTTCGCCTGATTCTTCTCGAGTGCTTTAATAGTATTTGGAGGGCTATTTTCCACACTAGAAGAAGAGATATTTAGTGGTGGTGAAGGAGATAGCGTATGTGTAGCCGATCGGAGTTCTGGTGTATAAAGATCAGGAATTACTAGTTGACTAGCAAGATTTTCAATAATCTTACTACCATCAACCGGCCAAATACCACGATCCTTAAACGATTCGCGAATAATTCGTTAGATAAAAGCCTTCTTGCGAATTAGTTCGATGATCTGCAAGAATTCCGATTTCCCATACAGCCGGCCACCCTAGAAGGATAGCTCATTATTCATAAGCCGAAATTGCTGCTTATAATTCAAGAAGGGCTTACCATCAAGTGGCTAGCAAAGATGTGTTGAATACGGTAGGAAACCGAATAGGATAACGTTATACTCTTCGCATCTCGTAAGAAATTCGAGGGTAAGGTGTGCACCATAGCCATCGAATATAAGATAGCGCTTTTCGCTTCGCTTTATACGATGAGCCGTCTGAATCACAAATTCATCTAGCCAGTAAAGGGCTAATTCATCAGAAATCCAGCCGTTTAGTGAGAGGGCAGTAGTAGTTTCGTGTGGTAAATTTTCGCTACCGTAGAACCAGGCCTCCATAAAGTTTTTCCCGCTACCTTTAAATATAAAGAGCGGGTCCATAAGCCAGCCATCTGCACTAATACACTCGACCGTAGTAATAGTTTCGCCTCGCTCAGTTTCGGCTAGATCAGGGCAAGATAATTTAGAACCAAGCACCTTTCTCGATCGCCCTTGACCAGGTTGAAAGCCGCATTCATCGAAGTTGTATACAAGCCGCGCAGGAACGTCATAGAGGAGATCTTTTAGCTAGTCGTACCAGTGCGCAAGAAACCCTGCATCTTCGGCTTGGATTCGCTTCAGTTCCTTGGTCTTCTGCTTCACTGGGGCTAGGTTTAGGTGCTCTGGGAGACGTGCTTCGAAGCGATACGCCCACATCTTACTAACCTGCCTATCCGGCTGGCCCGCGCGCGCGAGGGTATGATTCGCCCACGCCTGGATAAGCCCTGCAGTAGGTGGAAGATTCCAGCTATACATTTTGACTATCCAATTGACTAAGGCCTTCTCCTGGAAAGGCAGAAGGGCCTTACAAGCCGATTGGGTAGGTGTAGTAGGCGTTTTGGCTTTTTTGACGCGACTGGTCAGGCTGGTACGAGACACGCCGAATTCACGCGCAATCTTAGCGATATTAGGTTTTTTCTGCGCTAATACGGCTTTACAGGCTTCTGCTAAGCGATCTGCATCAAATTCGAGGGATTTAGGCATGTTGGGTGGTTGAAATAGCGAATTGTGTGGTATATTCGAAATGTGACGAAGAAGTTGTGATGACGAAGAAGTAGTGGCGCACCCAAAGCGGGTAGCGGTTTGGGTGGGCAGAAAGGCACGGATACTATCCGCTCGTCGGCTTCACTCTTCGATAGTGTAGTTCACAAGCGAGCCGATTACCCCAAAAGACTATTTTTTAATGCAACATTCGTACTTCTCTATAATCAAGAGTTTATTTTTCTCAAAATTGAAAAATTACACTTTCCTATACACAGGAAATATGAATCTTAATCTTTAAGCTATTTAGATTACAATCACGAAGCTTTACCATAGAATACAACGTAGATTTTACAGTTGAAACAATCAGGCATATTGCTGCGTATGTCAAATTTGCTGTATTGGATCTGCCGGAGAGGAAAGCCGCTCAACTGACTTTCAACAATGATAGCTTCTCGTCTTTTTCTAGAGTGTATCCAGAAAATTTGGCCTAGATCTTGAGAATAAATCAATGACGAAAGAACTCCAACAAGATCAATTTTAACAAGGGAGAAAACTAGAGGTTGACTGGACATTAAATTGATGGTAATTTCTGTTCTGTTTGCTTCATTTATTGACATTCCTGTTGGATACCATCACCCGAAGCGCACATTGCTAATCCTGCCTTTGTTGTTCCCTATCTGAAAGCCCGAGTTGGTTCCTGAAAAGACAACACTGTTGGTGTAGGTAGTACTCGACTGAATGACTTTTACGACAGTGTCACTCAGCATCTTGTCCTGCCCAGCAGCAACTTCTTTGAGTATAGGAAGGGCGTCTTTGATTTTGTTCATCTCCGCCACCTCTTCCTCACAAAGCTTGCGCTGAACTGCTTGCACTGCCGGGAACAGATCGATCAAATCATCAACTAGAGTGCTAGTGTCTTCGATCAGTCGAACAAAGTACTTCTCCTCGTAGAATGCCACATCATTTGCTGGGTCTAGCTCGGAATCACCCTGTCTTCTCTTAGCGAACTCACTCATTTGCTGGTGAAGCGATGCGGAGACAGAGTCTAGTTCCTTCGCAGGGTCAAGTGTCGACGTGGACGGGTTTTTACGCTTAAATCGGTTTGCATAGGTCTCAGCGTCGGAAAATTGGTCCATAATACCGCCCAGCAACTCCTCAACCTTGGGAATGTCTTCGGGTGAGAACTTTGCCTGCTGCAGACTTTTGAGATCCTCCAAGTTTGCCAATCCGACAGACTGGCCCCAGCGGGTGAGCCGCAGCCTAATCACGTCCACCTTCAAGAGACTGGTCTTAAAGGAATTGGAAAATCCTTCCCCAATTTGAACAGATCCAAAAAGCTGGATGACTCCATTGAGCATGCGAGATTGTTCTGTCATTTTTGCGAGTGTCTCTCGTTGCATTTCGCTCATCTCCCCCTGCCTGGATGCAAGGTTCTGGTTCTGCTCCAAAATCGTGTTCGTGTTTGATACAATGGCCGCTGTTCGCTCATCGATCATGGTAGCGCTGGAGACGAGAAACTCAACGTTTCCATTCATGCTTTCGACAACCTCATCCAGGATCTCGACCGTCCTTAGAGTAGCCAGACCAACGGCTTCATTCATCTCGTTTATTGCCTCCTCCAACTGCGCCCTGGCCCCGGCCAGTTCTCCATCAGTTCCATTTACCAGGTTATCAAACCACTTCTCTGATTCAACATATTAGCTTCTGATGCGGAGAAGAGGATATGATAGCTTTATATCAGGTGACTCACTGAATCGTTTTTCTTTGCAGTATTTTTGTGAAATTGCGCAAATCTTGAGTATGCTCGAAAATACACGGCTGACGCAATGTTGAAACTGAGGCAGGTCGGGCATCTTCTGCTCGATCATAGAAAGCCTGTCGAAAAATCGATGTGTGAAATCGAAAAACCCCATAACCTTGTCATAATCGGCAGAGACGTCAGCAAATGACTGCATGACCTGTCCGAAGGCCGTAAAGATCAAACTGGCGGGCATAGCTGGTGGGAAGGCCTGTACAAGATAGAACATTAGTCTCTTTAGCTCTCCTATGGGCTCATTTCAAGACTCACTGATGCGGCGTTGCCAACGGTTTGAACTGTGTTGACCACCTTCTGAATCAACCACATGTTATTTTTCAATGCAGTTCGCACTTTCGTCACTTTGGACTCATCGCTGCGAAAGTCCTTGAACTTGCTCGACAGGGTTTCAGTGCCAGCCATAATCTCGTCCATGCTTTTGAACTTCCCTAGTCGGAGGCTTTTGCCGGTCGCCTTCTCATATTCTTCGATCGATTCTTCCCATATTTGGGCGATTGTAGCTCTGCTGGTTGAGGACTGGGAGGTCATGATCGCGGGTGTTTCTGCTTAGAAAGTGGTTTCTCTTGGGCTATAGATGAAAAAAAAACGGTTGCCTCTCGGGCTCAAATAATCTGCAAGATCGGCCAGCTCCTATCTACTCTTACAATATCCTCTCGCGAGCCCCCGGCTGTAAAAATGAGTCCAGGCAGTATTTTACGTACGCCAAATAACCTCCCTGGCTTGAGAACAGAATTCGGTTAGCTCTTTCCATGTTTCCGGTGCAAGACTAGGACTTCAACCCCTCCTTTGAGTCGATCGCAGCTGAATATCCCTGACTATGCTCCAGTCCTATTTGGTATATCTTCGGGTCGCCATGATAGCGCCACCCCGCCTGTGAACCCACTAAATAATGTCCACGTAACATTTACCTTGCATGAACCCCGCTCTTGCTATGGTTGCCCGATAGTTCGTTTACGAAAAGTGAACAGAAGCCGAGAGCCATTCCTGAGGTCTCCACACCCGTTCTTCCGTCCACGTCGGTGATGTTTATAGCGTTTCCGAATGTCAACTAGATCCGAATATGTCATTACTAGGATCCACTTTAAACTCCGAGGGTTGATGTGCATATGCGATCATAAACTTCGATACGTAATGTACCTCGAAGCCCTAGGAAATATCTGCTGCAGATTATCATGGCTGACATGTGCAAACGACTGGTTCAAGAAGATTGGAATTTGGGCGGCGGATGCATGTGTCAGCATTCCCGGCAAGCCGCCGTTGTTTATGATTGTTTTTTAAGCGGCTGGCTTTTTCAGTGTCTGCTTATGGTATGGTGGCTGGCTGGAACTCCATGGCTGGCTGTATACGGGGACGCCCATTTCTGCATTGTCGGATTTTCTGTACATAACCCGTCCCGAAGTTATGCTGGCTGGCAGCTGATGTATTGACTTCACATATTCCTTAGAAATTTCAATATGAACATGCTATTCACGACTTACTGATTCAAGAACAGTCCCAAAAGATGATCATAAAGTGATCCAAAAAAGGTTAAAGGATGAAATGCATGATGGCGAGTGTCGAACAGGAAATGGATGGCCTGGATTAGGTACCACGACCCGTTTCAGGCACCATACCATTGTCGAGCCAAGCATCTTGTATTTTAATTCAGCCAAGTCTTTCAATTATGACCACCTGAAAACAGTACTTCAATCAAAATTTCGTAACACTATCACAGATGGACTATTTATCTGGCGCCGAAGGTGAATCCAGTCTGGTTGCCTGTGTTCTGACCAAGCTGGTAGCCGTAGTTGGTCGATCCGGAGAAGGAGGCATTCGAGATATTGTTAACTGTTCCTTTCTCTTCCGGCTCAGGGAGATCTTCAACCCAATCCTGAAGAACTCGGCAGACCTTCTTGAAGTCCTTGTCTTTTTCACTGTCAAATCGACCCATCTGGTGATGATTACCTGCTAGTCGAGTAGGGGGAGAATCATCCGTGAACTTTGCCACAGCCAGATCCACGATCTTCACCTCTCCATCATTGACCTTTGTAGATGATCCCTCATAGAAAGTTTCCAATTTCAGCGGGGATCCCTGTCTAAATTTTGCGAATTCCTGGGGGATCGCTAAAACAAATTTAGACTTGTCTTGAATGTCAGAGCTGCTTGGAACTTCTTGGTTGGCAAGTTGGAAAAACTTCGTCGCTTCGTTGATGTTTCCCAGGTGGAAATGTGGTGTTCCGAGAAGTAGAACACCCACAACGGAGTTGACCAGCTGTTTCTTCTTCTCATGATTTGCCCCTCTGATGAGGGCCTAGACAAAATAAAATGAAATCCATCAGTAGGTTCTATCAATATGTGGATCAAGAGAGCACCTACATTCTCGCAAACCAGGCCACCTACGCAGTGTGCGATAAATATGACGGGCCGTTCAGCCTGAGTTCAAGAGTCGACAGTCAGTACGAGGCATGAGACATCCATCCAAGGATGGGTAAAGCTAATATGAACCTTGTCACCACGCCGCTCTGCCATAAGCTCGCTAAGAAGATCATCCGAAATATCAGAGATCAAATCCTCCTCATTCCAAAAGGAATCCACTGTCGCATCCTCGTATTCGAATGTCAAAATGCGCGCATTCGATATCTGTCCAGGAAGAATTTTTTCTGGCCAGAATACAGAGTTATCTGTCGTCCAGTGTTCTTGGTCGGCCTTCAAGCCATGGACAAAGACAATGCTACAGGATGTGAATATTGGTCAACATCTTTAAAGTTTCATGAGAGCGGGGATTTTTTTCATACTCCAGCTTAGCATCAGATTGATCCTTGATAATGTTGATAGACATTTTGAAGACGTTAGAAAGTGTCGAATATGCTTTTTGGTCTTTTGGGGAGGGTTTGGCCTCTGTATTAGTACTACAAGGCATACCATCATAAGACAATGTAGGCCTCAGTCATCATCAATGTCCAATGGAGGTCCAAAGTTCTCGGAGCAAACGGGAGTACTATGTCTTGAAATATACATACAAGTACACGGATGTGGCACTGGCGACGCCGAACCAAGGCTGCTTGGTACCCTCGATTCCGATCAATTGTTTCTCTGGTGAAAGTTCTGGCGATCTTGGCTAACTGAGACCTTCTTGCAAATTAATCCTGTACATGGTTTATCACTCAGCCCATATACCCTCTCATTATTATTCTCCTGAAGTGTGTCTTGGAGAGGTAATTGCTGGATGGCAATATAACGGTGGTACTGGCACCGTTCGGGTTTCGAAAATAACAATTCTCTTTTGTCATTTACTTATAAAACACTCTCACACAAAATAGATTCAAGCTGCATAAGCACATGTGATTGAAAAGTTTAATCATGCAGATAGAAATAACCTGGCGCCTATGACAGTCATTTGAATTGTTTCTAGGCTACGTAGGACCGGCTGGTCGTCAGTCAACACGACTACGACATCAGGAAGATCTACCGCCTATCGGCTCTAGTAGCCTTTGGTTATTCCCGTCCGTTACCTTAACTTTTTGTTATTGGGTGAAACTAGTCCTGCATATAAGCTAAGGACAGCTTTACAGCCAGCCTCCTACGGGTCGTATTATTCACAAGCTGAACTGTGGGGCGGGGCACTGTCGTGGTGCCAGCTCGCAGATGGAATCTGGGGGTTCCGACAAGTCCGCAACATAACTTGGACACTTGGTGGACGAGACGAGAATACATTCAGATTTGACAGTGCTGCGCATTTCACTCGATTCGCTACTGTACACAATTTTTGATCGCAATTCTATTCCCTTGCAACCCAAGCAATATATCGCAATGAGACTACCAGGTTCAAAAACAGAGGTTCGTAAGGGATTCCACGAAACTTTGGCGGCAAACTATAGGCGTTTTGACTGATTTGTTTGGGCAGACACCGGCGCCGTCGGCCGACTTCTCGAAGTCGGAGAATAAGGGACTCCAAATAGGCCAAAATTTCGGAAATATGGAGGCTTCGTTCTATAGTGATTCAATTCAAGGAATCAACATTGCTGCGGGGGCATCCGTATTTATGGGTAGGCGAGGCCAAACATAACTTCCCCCTCATCGTCCAAAGAAAAGGAAGCTCCAAAAATAGCTTAATAACATCGAGTGACACTTGTGATCTTTAGGTGAACATAAAACCGTTGAAGATAAGCTCCTTGACATTCTTATCGGCGGGAATTCAAAAGACAGAGTCGATATAGCTCAAGCAGCGCGTGGAACATGCGAATGGATCTTTGAGAGTACCACATTCCGCAACTGGGCCCAAAGTGATTTCTCGACAACTGGGCCGCTCTATTTCCAAGGAATTCCCGGGAGTGGTAAAAGTGTGTTGCTGAAGTTTCTTATCAAGGAAATTGAGAAACGATTGCGTGTCGGGACCCCGTCTCTTTCATCCCCGGTGAATGAGGACCCCCCGCCGAACTGGGTATCCCCGGGAAGACGATTGCGGTTGCATGCTTTTGTGATGATCGTGATGAGCATCGACGGACCCCAATCTGGATACTGAGGACTCTATTGTACAGGTTAATCCAGAAGAATCGAAAACTGGTAAAGCATGTACAGAACCATGTCCAGAACATCGAGGATCTAGACACGATGGGCTCTGATTTGGATGAGTTCCAGTCTCGCGATGTTCTCCAAAAGATTCTGGAAGAGCTCATCCCAGATTCGGAGGTGGAGGTTGTCTATTTTGTCATCGATGGGTTAGATCAGTGTGGACCACATCTTCCTGCGGTTGTGCGGATGGTCCATGAGCTTTCTGCAAAGATGAATGCCGAAGCCAGCAAACAGGGCCAGCAATTCAGCTTGCGTTGCATTATCTCCGACCGAGGGAGTAAAATCGTCCGCGACAAAATGCTCCCCGAGAATATTATCGATATGCCGACAGAGAATCAGCGTGATATTGATGAAGTCACTGACCATCGGTTAAAGAGTATTCAGGAATATCGGAACTTCAGTGAAAACATCCGGAAGACTACCACCAATCTATTGAAGGATAACTCTAAGGGCATGTTCATGTGGCTATCGTTGGTTCTGGACGACCTAGGCACTTGGGAGGGTATCTGGACAGAAACTAAAGTCAAGGAGAAGCTACGCAATACACCTCTGGATGTGGCGGCTTTTTACAAGTCGATGCTTGAACGGCAACCGCGAGACTCTGTCAGAAGATTGCAAATGCTGCTCATGTGGGTCTTTTTTGCCTGTCGACCCATCACTCTGCAGGAGTTGGACGTGGTTTTGAAATTGCAAGAAGAAAAAGAATATACCTGTGGGAAGATCCCAGATGAGGATATTGAGGCATTGAGGAGTAGCATCGAGGGCAACTGGGGTGCTCTATTTGCAGTCCACGACAGTGTTGTACACCTAAGTCACCAGTCCGTGAAAGATTTCTTGGCAGATGTCTTCAGTGACGAAGGAGTGAAGGATTATCCAAAGTACGGGATGACCCAGGCAGACGCACACCGACAGATGGCATCTACCTGTTTGGTATATTTACAACTCGAGGAAGTTCAGGGGCGGGAAGTACCCAAGCCTCCGGTCAACAGCGAAGGAAAGATCGATGAGTCGCAGCTTATGACGGTCAGACAAGACTATCTTGATGGGTTTCCTTTCCTGCAGTATTCTGTCGAGTTCGTTGGTCATCATCTGAGAGGAAGTCAAATCCAAGAAGAAACGGAAGTCAAAGGAATGAAAGAATTTTTCGCTGTCAATTCTGCGGCCTTGTCTAGCTGGGTTCGAGCATACGATCTGCTGAAACGGTGGACAACTGGAAAGTGTAAGTTCTTCCTGGCTATATTCCAGACCAACTGCTGACCCTTCCTGTTCAAGATTCGGGGTTCAGCAGCAGTACCAGTCTTCTCTTCGTCGCAGCACGACTCAATCTTCCCTGGTTAGCGCAGAAGTCAACGACATGGGTTAATTACGGCTCACTTCCATCCGCTATATGCGCCCCGGACTCTTCTGGTTGGAGCGCCATTCATATTGCTGCGGATTCAGAGGCCGTTGGAATGGTGTCGTGGCTCCTCAAAAATGGTGCACTTGTGGATGTCGAAACCCTCGGCCTTCCGCACCTTGGCCGCACTGCCTTGCATTTTGCTGCTTCCAAGCGCTCTGAATCCGGGCCCCAAATGGTTGAGGAGCTGCTAAAAGGAGGCGCGAAGGCGAATGTTCAGACCAGACAAGGAGGAAACGCACCGCTTCACTATGCCATCGATGGTCGCTCGGTTAAGACAGTGAAGGCCCTACTGGACTCTGGTGCGGATGTAAATCTTGCAAACAGATCCGGTCTTACTGCTCTTCACAAAGCTGCAGCGATTCCCGGGTTGGAAGAGATTGTGGAAGTCCTCCTTAACAACGGCGCCGATCCCAACAAGAAAACCAGCGTGGGAGCCGTTTCAGCGGCCCGAGGGCTCGCGAGTCTCAGGGCCTCTGGGTCTTTGCGGAACACCTATTATGCTGTTAATACATCTCATACTGCGCTACATATCTCGACTAAGGTCGGAGATACAGAACGTACCGTGGAGGTTCTGTTAAAGAATGGGGCGGATCCGAATTCCCGAGATAGTTCTGGACGAACTCCGCTTCACGTTGCAGTAGTCGGGATAGAACCCACAGCCAACACAAAACTGTTGATTGAACATGGCGCTGACGTGAACGTACGGGATGCAGACGGGAGGACTCCGCTCCTTGTGCTTATAATAGCCATTTGTCTGCAAGCACAGCATCAACCTCAGTTGTTGAATGATGATCATGCCTCGCAGGAACGAATGATTGCGATTCTGCTATCCGCCGGTGCGGATCCGCTTGCCGAAGGGAACGACAAACAATCCCCGATCACCTGCGTCACGCAGGCCAAGCTACAGTGGGCTTCGTATCTGTTGACGCGGAGTTCCAATGAAGCAGCCGCTTCCAAAGCGGGCGATGCCTTGGATCAGAAAGATGTTGAAAAGACGGGATCTCAGAGTGGGCAGAAAGAACCCAAAAAGGGAATTCTTGAGACTCAGGCATCGCGATGGCTTCCTAAGAGGACCAGATGGTAAACAATTCCGCTATGTCAGGAGAAATTGGTCGCATTTACTTCTTGAAAGGCTCAACCAGTGCAGTATTTACCTTTAACAATCGAGAATACTATGACGCTTGTGCCAAGGGGGACTAGTCTCTGTCCCTAAAACGTTCTTAGGCTCCTCGATTATTTGGCTGTGAGGCAATGGAGATTGATCGGAAATTGTGGAGATCATAGGACAAGAGATGAATTTACCAGACTGTTCTACCAGACCATCTTCAAACTTAACATAGTGAGAAATTTCACCACTTACGGTTAATGAAAACGAAAAGCAAAAACTTCGACCAGACTGGTGTTCGATCCCAGGACCTTATCGGTGTTAACGATAATGATAATTGGGGGATAACGATGGAAAAGTCACGTTTGTGCGTGCTTTCCTATCCCTATACTCTGGTATTCTCCCCCGTTATCCGTGCCTTTCTGCCCACCCACCGCTTTCGCTTGTGGGTGCGCCCTAAATCCCCGTCATCCCGAAATCCCCGTCGCTTTTTGAAGGAATCGTCAAATTTATCAGCGAACTAGCTAGTTATCAATAAAAAATAGCTCTCCTGCCTCTCTAGCCTCTCTCTCGCGTATAATCGCCCGTTGAATACTATCCTCTGATCTCTGCGTGGGTTCGTAGCCATATATCTTCTTGAACTGCTTGGCTAGCTTCCTTTCCTCCTTCGCCATCTCTTCTTCCTTCCTGGCTACAATTGACCGATTTGCATCGCGAGTAGTCAATATACCAGTTGCACTAAGCAATTTGACCTGCCGCTTGGTGTATTTGCGTTTTACTGGCTCCTGCGCGGCCCTGATTCGCCGAATTGTATCCTGCGTCATCGCCAGCTCCTCCTGCTTCTCCCGCTGGTGGGCGAAAATCTTGGTAAGATTCCGCTGCGCCCTATTAGATAGGGCACTGAGCTCCTTTATAATCTTCGCCTGGTTCTTCTCTAGTGCCTCAATAGATTTTGGAGGGCTATTTTCCACACTAGAAGACGAGAGATTTGGTGGTGGTGGTGATGGTGTATGCGAGCCCCATAAGCGAAGATCTGGTGCATATAGATCAGGAATCTCTAGTTGATTCGCAAGATTCTCAACAATCTTACTACCGTCAACTGGATAGATACCACGATCTCTAAAGGATTCGCGAATAATTCGCTGCGTAAAGGCCTTCTTGCGAATTGGCCCGATAATCGCGAGGAAATCCGATTTCCCGTACGGCTTACCACCCCAGAAAGCTAGCTCATTATTCATCAACCGAAATTGCTGCTTATAATTCAGAAAGGGCTTTCCGTCAAGTGGCTGGCAGATATGCGTTGAATGCGGCATAAATGCAAAGGGATAATCGAATTCTCTTCGCAAGTCTCCAGAAATTCGAGTGTAAGATGCGCGCCATGGCCGTCGAATATAAGATAGCGCTTTTCGCCCCGTTTCACGCGATGAGAGGTCAGACGAATAAAATAATGTAGCCAGGATAGGGCTAATGCATCAGAAATCCAGCCATTCGGAGAAATAGCCGTCATCGTATCAGGTGGCAGATTTTCGCTACCGTAGAACCAGGCCTCCATAGGATTTTTGCCAGTTCCTTTGAAAATAAAGAGCGGATCCATATGCCAGCCGTCTGCAGCAATACACTCCAAAGCAGTAATATTTTCGCCTCTTTCGGTCTCTGCGAGATCAGGGCAAGATGATTTAGACCCGATGACGTTTCTTGATCGCCCTTGACCAGGTTGAAAGCCGCATTCATCGAAGTTGTATACTAGCCGGGCAGGAACATCATGGAGGACAATTGCAAGCTGGTCGTACCAATGCTGAAGAAACCCTGCATCCTCCGCTTGGATTCGCTTCAGTTCCTTAGTCTTCTGCTTCACTGGCGCTAGCTCTAGATGCTTTGGTAGGCGTGATATAAAGTAATATGCCCAATTCTTACCAACCTGCCTATCTAGCTGGCCCGTTCGCGACAAAGCGCGATTTGCCCACGCCTGGATAATCGCTGCGGTAGGTGGAAGATTCCAGCCATGCATTTGGGTAATCCAATTGATTAGGGCCTTCTCCTGATGTGGCTGTAGGGCGTTTTTCAACGATTTGGTAGGTTTCTTGCACGATCGGGCCTTTTTGACGCGATCGCTCAAGGTAGTGCGATTCACGTCGAATTCACGCGCAATCTTTGCGATATTTGATTTTTTTGGGATAAAACCGCTGTACAGGCTTCGGCCAATCGAGATTCATCAAATTCGCTGGATTTAGGCATATTGGGTGGTTGAATTGGCTAATAGTAGGCTACTGGTCAAAAAGTGACGGGGATTTCGGGATGACGGGGATTTAGGGCGCACCCACAAGCGAAAGCGGTGGGTGGGCAGAAAGGCACGGATACCATGATTTTTCCACTGTGGCGTTGGGCCCTCTCTCCCTTTGGTCCCGCGCTTTACCGCATCGAACTTACTCCTCTATCATTGTTTAGTACGGCACGCCTACGTCTCTATTATAATATTACGAATCTCGCGCGGAAGGGCACGACTGTTTGGAGAGTATCCGAGGACTAGTCAACCCACGGACGTCTTCTATTGACCATATCCTGTGCTTTTCCTTACTCTCCGACGTTCCCTGGAGCAGACTGAATGCCACTAACCAAGTCAATGTATACAAGCAACGAGCAAATTGTCGCACATTGACCATCCGTATGCGATAACTTTCTAGTATAAGGATTAGTGAAGTAGGAATAAAATGTTCAGAACGTAATTAGCTATGTGCAGTACCAATATTATGCTTCACTTAAGCGACGTCAATATCATATACAGATTGTCTTGACCCATTATATTTCACAAGCTCATAATATTACCTGGTATAGATATCTAACACTACTGTTCCTCAAAGACTACGTAATTATACTTGAGCGTCGTTGTGAGATAATGCATTCAGTATAGTGTGAGGTACGTCGATCAGGCGGAGATCACGTTATCTTTTGCCGTACCATCAAGTAAGTAGTACCCGACTGAGCCTGGGTTGTCTAGGCCACGCCAGAACACCATACTAAATAAAATATTTTGTAACATCATGTTTCAACGCCTGGGCTAAGTGTCTCTTAGAGAAAACCATGTCTTTATTAATATATCGCAGCCTCAAAGAGATAATTTAGTATGGTATTCTAGGATGGCTCAGTTGGTTTTGTCCAGTCGGGCGCGAGTTACGTTATTCGTAGCTTAGAATGCTAACAACGCGAGATTTAGCGACGATTTCTGCTAATCAACGCTTTTGTTAAAGCTATCACGTAATATTCAAAGATAGTCAGCTTAAATAAATGAAATATGGAAGGACAGAAAGGCCAGAAAGGCCAATAGCAACATAATTTTAAAATTCATCTCGTAGAATATGATATAACGATCTAGACGTGATGTAGGGAACCTTTGTATGTTGGATTAGTTTGGAGGTTTTAGCATAGAAAAATGGAAATATGGTTGAATAGATGGTACGAAAAAGTGCTTGTGATTGGGAGACATAACAATCACCGTCCCCCTAGATAGAGTTCTCTTTCCTTTCTTCCCGAGCCATGGCACGTTTGAATGCACGATTTGACTCCAATGTACATTTAGCAGTGATATGTGAGAGGAATGCCAGAATTTGCGTCAGCTCAACCATGTACATGCTCCCTTCAACATGGTGAGGGTACTATTAGCCGACGACAGGAATATTGTTTTCTCTTAACCTCAAAGCAATATTAGCCGAGGGAAAATTACTTCTAGATTATAAGAACCTAAACTGCCCTCACTACTCAAGTCGTTCCACCAACATCATTAGTCCTTCATAACCAGCAGCGCTTAAGCCGAACTTGCCTGTAGTATTCCTTTCCTCCTTTGTCCACATACAAGCCAGGTACATTGAGCTTATCCTTTCAATGCTTATCCAGCCCCATAGCTAATTCATTTATAGCCGACATTATGCTGTTCGCTTACCGAGCATTTGACGCCTTCATGGCTTTGATCCTCATAACTCCAGTCATTGCTGTGCCAGTCTCTACTACCGCTGCTGGTGCTGTGGCATGGGCGGACCCTCAAGACTGCCACCGATTTTACGAATGCCCCGTGGGCGGCAAGCCAGTTCTGAAGACTTGTGGCCCGGGAACTGCGTTTCAGGCGAAGACTAGCGTCTGTGACTTTGAGCGCCTAGTGGAAAGCTGCCGGCGTCATTAGGGGGCACCACGATAGCGTCGTTTATTTGTTTCAACAACTGAACGAGTCAGGTTTGGTAGGGAAGTCCTCAATCCATCACATGTTATTCAATACTATTTCTCTCTGGAGCCCAGAGTTGAATAAATGTTGTCACCGTGAAGCCTATTATAGCATAATAAAAGTTTTGAAGGGGTTAAAGCTTATATAAAATGAACAAGTGAATAACATATTTCACTAGCAGGTGGCTAAAAGTAAAGGTTTATCTCCTGTAGAGAAAATCTATCACAGAAAAGAGAAGAGAAGGTTCAAGGAAATGTATGAAAAAGAAGCCAACAATCAAAACATGCATTAGGGACTAAGCCCGTATGTAGATATTAAATCAACATGGTAGCATTCAATGAAGGCATCAAGACTAGAGAAATAAGACAGCTATCTACCATGTAGGCTCTTTTTAAAACCCCCTCGAGCAATCGTGGTCGCTTCCTTCATGGAGAATACCATGGCAATCTCCTCTATCCCAATCGTCACCTTCGTCACATAAATAGTCTCAAGATCAGAGAGAAAAACAACTACGCATAGTCATTGAGAATGCACGCCGGATAAGAGTTACGAGCAAATGGGAAAGTAGAGATTCTTTGAAATATTGGAAACCAAAACCTAATTCTCGATGACTTCCTTGATAAATCGACACTTCCTACCCAAATATAGCGATTATGATCGGATAAAGAAGGGATTGAATATCATTAAAACGTCCCTCACGTAAAGAGTAAGACAGCTGCAAGAGGACTTGTTATGTTACCCATAGACGAGCAGAAAGCATGCACTTATGTTAGGCTGCATGTATTACGCGAGGTGTGGATAACTAGAATTCGGTAATAGGACGTCCAAAGGATATTAATAGTGGTTATTTAGGCGCCTAACATACCGGCACCCGGCGTCGTGGTGCAATATAATAGCGAATAATTTGTCGTTTAGTCATTCTGTCATTTACATGGGCCGCGTAGTGGTTTATTTTCGTGCTGAAGCTAGCCCTTGGTCCGTAACGCATCATAGCTCTGTTACTCGTAAAGTTGGCAAATCCGTTTGGTATGTGAGAAGCTGTTTCTTCAAGTCAACTATAAACTACACGGGGCTTGCAGATCAACACGTAGCCCTACCTGAGATTACCACCCCCTCCAGCTACATTTATCCATGACTATCTGTTTACCATTTTCATCTTATGCTTCTGTTGAATGAAAGAGCGTGGTAAGTTGGAGAGGTACGTATCGCCCGGAGTTAATCAAACTCCCAAATGATTTCAATGAGCGGGACAAGTCAAATCCAAAATTTGGTGCTTTGTCGGGTTAAGCTCATGCCACTGAATGCCGACTGGATCCACATTCAAGTCAAAACACGGGAGAAGTCAGCCTGAGTAGCTGTTTATTTTGGAAATGGGGAGACAGTAGCTTTGTATAATACCATTACACGCTGACCAAACGAACGATGGTACGCTAATTCATGGCAAGAAAATTTCGGAATGTTACCTGACAAGCAATAGCGCCCTAATCGCGCTTATGAGGAGGCGTACACGGACTGTAGATTAGCTCGTTATGAGAAGACTGAAGGGCCGCTACGCTTCTGGTTCCTATTGTAATTAGTGGACGGACGAATTAACTGGGAATGTGTATGGTATATGAAAGTCATTGTAGGGGCCACGACTAGAGTGGAACCCAGTAGTTTATATAAGCCGTTGGAATGCGGTGCTCTCGTGCGACAGCCTGACAGCACGAATAATAGTAGTTCGCATGCGTAGAGTAAAGACAACTCAATATATTTCTGAGCCGAAGAATTTAATACGTAATCTAATCAGGGTGCGGGCGGATGCTTTAGCGATTTATTAATTTATACAAGGCGTGCAGATTTCCTCTGTCAAACCTCTTCTAAATCTCAGAAGCCTCCTGATTCTCAGCACCTAGCATACTCTTCTCCACGTTCTAGACCCTGAGTACTACAGAATGCTCTTTTCTCTGACTACGGAGTACAATGTATCTTCCGATCGAGCTTCTATTTCTACTGGCCGGTAGCACACGGTCCGCTGCCCAAGGCCTGGACCGACCACTGGAGGTAATCGGCTGCTACCCGTATTCATTCGCAGGCTCGATAACAACCGCTGGGCCCAATGTCACGAACATTGAAGGATACACGATCTACTGCGACAGCCTACAGGGCAATCCTTTCGGCCCTTACTACTCCGTGTATCGGTGCCATTCGGAAGTTTCACGCACGGCGGCGAATTTTGCATATGCACTACTAACCCAACCTCCCTAACTCCGGTCGACAATAGGCCTCGCCACAGTACTTGTCCTGGACATAGTACTAAAAGGCCTCAATATTGCGGTGGATCAAGCGGAGCAGATTATTTCTGCCTGCTAGTGTTTGCCTAGATCTAAATATGAGTGAAGATTGAGCGGAAGTGTTATTCGTGACGCTGTGTTCTTGCAGGTGAAGGGAATAGATAGATATCGGGAAAGGTTGCTAGGTGGCGACTGGAGGATAGTTTAAGAGATAAGTTTTAATGAAGTACTGCTTTATACATTCATGACCCACAGCTTCGGTACTTCTTAGGCTCTCGGATGAAGAAAGACGATGCTGTTTCCCGTTGAAAAATAATGTATCTACTATTAAAAATGAGTCATTCGTGCCTGTCTCTTTATTTAGAGAATCATGAATATCGGCTTCAACACGAAGACCACTTTATATTGAAGTACAGCTTCTATCTGAAGCCCTTGGGAACTGTCTTTTCATAGTTCCTCTATCACGCAAGTTGACAATGTCACGGTGTCATTAAAAATGATGGACACTTTCCCTGGACCGCAGGACCTTGTTGCGCACAACTCTTACATTGCTAAAGTGACTATAAGTCGCAGGGAAAGAAACTCAGCCGATGGGTGATACAGTATTTTGAATCAAACGTTAGGCACCTAGCGATCATGGAAATTGGGTACTTCGTGATTTTCCAGTCAGCAAGACTTTTATTAATCTTGCCTCTATCAATATCCTGCTTTATGGTGGCTATTCTTGTAATTATGCCAGTCGCGCGCCTGTTTACTTGATGAAAAGCTCGTGTCACAATGGGCAACTACGTGTAGATATGCCGATTAATTTTGAGTGATCTGATTTGCGGAGACAGTGGGGTATAAGGGCTTACACTGTTGCTCCATCACTCCTCACTCGCTTCGCTCAAATCCGACCAATTGCTACAGAATACACTATTTCCCTAATATCTAGGCTCTTGCCCTGGTCTTTCGCCACATTCCTGTCTTCCCGGCTTACGATGTCCAGTTATTTATGTATTAACCTCATGCTCCTGCAACTTTTAAATCATTTCCATAATTCTTGATGAATATGCCTTCAAAATATAGACAAGTAGTGTATTAATAACTTTTCTTGGTTCAATCGAGTGCATACAACTACAGCGTGGTGAGAGCAGCCCCCACCCCCTTTCCCGGTTCAGTAGAATGAAGCCGATACGATATATCATCACACACAACTCACATAACAGAAGCTAAATTCTAGGAACTGTGTACTCAATAGACGACTGGAGTGAATGTGACGTGATGCATTAAATTGAATGAACCAACTGAGAATGAAAGAGTTGATCGATAGTATAGAGGCAAGTCGATATGTCCCTTGAGTGTACCGAAAATGTGTCGAAACACAGAGCGGTCAGTTATTACTCAGACAGTTTGCGCTGAGTAAATAGTAAATCACCTTCCTTTATGTCTTATATAGTAATTTCGTGTCCGTGGTATCGCTGTCATCGTAATACCGAGGATTAGAGCCATACTCCCAACGGCCGCAGTACATTTAGTCTTTCTTCAATCAATCAACAACCTTTTGCATCCAAAACTGGTTCCACTTGAGCCTGCCCTCTACGTCATTCACCTGTGTGAATTACTTGCCTATACTGTCTCAGCTTGTTTCGATATAAATGTAATGAAAAGCACCAGAGACACCAAATTTTGCCTGAGAACGTTACCGAAAAGGAAATTACACTTGAATAAATTACTGTTCTTATGAAAATATATATGGAAGATTGGATTTTTCCTAAATATCCGGGCAATAGTACCATCTATAGCCTAGTGTTGGGATGTAGGATACGAGACTTGTATCTGAGATCAGTAGGATAGGCGAAGAGAGTCTACAGTCTGCGGCCGATAGGCCCGATCTAGTTAAACATACTAAATACCTGAATTTGTGTAGCATTACGAATTCCTCCGGGTAAACGGTGGGGAAAAAATGTGACCAGACAAAAATGTGACCAGACTGGGGTTCGATCCCAGGACCTTGTCGGTGTTAACGACACGTGATAACCAACTACACCATCCGGCCAATTCTGAATATTCAAACACTATTTTAATGAATCCATAAAGTCTTGACAGGCTTAAAAAGAAACGTTGAACGTACGCAGTAGGACAAGAGAAGGGTTACAGAGATATATAGAAAGAGAAGTTAGAGACTAGGAGAAGAGATCTATCTAGGAAGGCTATAGTATAAACCTATCAATATAGATAAACCAAACAACAGTCACCTTTATCGACTTTAGTTAATCCCGGCGAGGGAGGCAGTGTGTTTGCTGCTGGCAGCTTGCTTTAGTGTTGAATAATAAGTCTTAATTCAAACTTACGTTATTTGAAACTACTTCCTGGTTCGATATTCTTCCACCTTTAGTCAAGAAGCAACTTCAGTTCAGTCGATTCACATATTATTAGCGGGATTCTTAGTAAATCTGTTAGCCTCTTTATAATATTACCTTATTAGGTCCAGGATTGCAGTGGAGAGAGTCGAGCCTTGTATCTTGTAATCAGTAAATGTAGAAGCCTGGACATACTGATCTCTTTCATCTCCGTAGCAGTTCTTCACGGAGATAGAACATTCTATGGGAACTATTGGCATGATGGTAGCTGCCAGTTGGTCGAATTGGGCCCCTTGTTGTCTATCTGGTTTGAACAATACATATGGGTTAGGGGGAAGGCTTAGTGCAGAAGACATAAAAGTTATCCATATGGAAGAATTCAGCTATAAGCGTTAGTTAGCAACGCCCTTTAATCCGAGAATATAACTTCTAAGCTGGGTTCACGACAACGCCGACTCTAGTACCTGTAGCAACATTGACCTGGCCGAGTGTGATCACTGTGGGCATATCTTGAGTATGTAAAAGAAGGCCAAGAAATGGAATCCGGGCACTGTGATCCGGTTGAATCAGTAAGTCGTGAGCTTGAATTCGACGGTTAGTGGGGCTAGTCGATTTGGTTCGGGTGCAAACTGTGGCAAATAGGTAATTTTCCGAGATCGTTTTTACGTAAAATTTCCGATCCAGATGCGATTCGTTGGACACCAAACGGTATTCAGTTTCGCAATTACGGTGTCGCCCTCTAATCCGGGCAATGTAAGTGACGTGACGTTCTAGAGTTAAGGCGGGTAACGTCCTCGGTCTGTCGTGTGCGGAAAGAAAATTGCAGAACGAGGGATTTTCTGTCTCATCTCCTCAACAAGGATGACAACTTATGTAAACCAAGGGGACATCTACTTTGCTCATTTCCGGGGTGCCAGTGGACCGTTTCGAGGTCTAGGTCTAATTTCCATTCTAGCCCCTCCATGAAAGTGAATCCTTGCACGATAACATCATTGATTGCTCATAAGTATAATCTCGTTCAACAGATCACAGCACACACTCTGGATTACTTTACTGTCCCTTTGATATTCTGGATGCCGCTTCACAAACATCCTCATCCAGTTGGCTGGCGTTGATAGCTGTCCACTCGCCCTTTGGCTGACAATGTCTAGATAGCGTGAAAGCTGGACTTCCTGTGTCGGTGAGACCTGAATGCGCTTCAGGTAAGCGCGCACAATTGCAATAAGGCCCGGGAATAGTGATTCTTCCGTATTTTCTTTTGCATTCTCGCTATTGATGATTTCGTGAACACTCATCAGCTCGTATGGGTTGGTAAAATCTTTCGACGCACTGTGAGGGCATGTAACATAGCTCCCTGAAGACCAGTCGAACTTTCGAAACCAAAAGCGTTCTGACCGCACGGCGTTTGTCTTTCGGCTGTTTTCATCGATTCAGCCACCTTCTCAATGGGAATATACAGGCTAATGTCAAAAGTGAGAATTGCCCGCGATAGTAAGAACATAAAAATAGCGAAGGCGGCATTTTCCGAGTCTCGTGGCTGCATCTCCATAGGTCTGAACTCGACTCTCCAGCCAGTCTCACCACAGGGAGAGGGGAGTTTAAGTCGGACAGGCTGCCAGACACATGACTGGTAAGCATGGAATATGCCGTGATCCTCGTACGAATCCGCCTTCGCGATGTCTTCATGTGTAAGGAGGAATGGCTCCTGTGATAAAATGTAGGCAAAATGAGTGGCGAGTGGCTCATCCATTCCTCCGTTATAGAGGTCCATCTTGATATCCGGGTCAATTAGGGCTGCTATACGCGTCCATTCGTTCTTGCAGCGCGGGTCTCGAGAAATGTAGGTTGGATTGGGTGCAAAGCGCAATAGCTGAAGGAAATGTTAGTTATTATCAACTCCCTCTAGGAATGAAATCATTAATGTGACGTACATCCTTCGGATAGCTTGCTGTGTGTTCGTCAACAGTTGCTGTGAAACATCTCCATCTGACGTCAATATCGGCCAAAAACCCTTTATGAATGGGCGAAGACGCTGTCAGGGCAAGCATAATTGGGCCGAGTGGAATTAACTGGTCATGTAACCACCGTGCTTCAGATTCGTTCTTGACTTGTAGGGTTACATGCAGGCCGCAACTTCCACCTGCAAAACCGAAGCCATCTAGATGAATACAGTTCTCTTTCAAGATTGGCGACGTTTGGTGTTGTTCCTTTGCTGCCAGGTCAGCTACGCGATCTTGGAATGGCCACGGGGTTTTGATGTCGCGAAAGATTGGAATATGTGCTTCTAATCGGGTTGAGTGGGACGCTTTAATATTCTCCTCAAGTATCCTGTACCGAGTAAGGGGTGACCGAATCTCCGGCGGTAGCATATAGGACTGTGTAGCAGTAGCGGATGGCAAGAAATGGGGGGCTGTGAACTGTTCTCCGATTCCTAAGGAGGGAAACACAGCGAGAGTAACTGCATGTTGGCCGGGAAAGAGAAGCTTTTGGATCCATGATCTCCTGAAATAACCCATGTATCAGCTGAATATGCTTCCCTCAGCTATTAAGTGAATATTAACCAACCTCTCCTTCATGTTACTCTCCACGGACAAAACGGCTGAAATGTCGCCTCTGTAAGGCTTTTCTGGTATAGACTCGACCATGTACCTAGCCCATTCTGGCTGCAGACAAGGCAAGGCACTAATCCAATCCATCGTTACTGACTGGCATCGATTTCAATGTGCAGCACACACCTACTCTGGTTTTATCGGGGTCATGCATTTTACCCATTCCTTCAGGACTCGGCTCTGTTCGAGTAACAACATCGATCGTGACGAATCGCGACACAGTTGAATGAGCATGTACTCAATCTTGGTATATAGTCAGTGCGAGCTAGTGAGAGAAACGTTTGAATTTACCTCATCTCCCCATAGAGGTTCATAATGATCCCGGCCCTGTCCATCGTGCCAAAGGCGCAACAGTTGCTGATAGTGAGCGTTAGCAAATTTCCTTCTAGACAGTCGAGATCGTACCTTTACTGCCCATTTCTTCGTGATGTCCTTCAAACTTTGTATCTCGTCCCAAGATAAGGGCTCACCATTTATACTTCACAATTGTCAGATTTGGTCACACTGCGTATCAACATTTGGGTAACTTAGACTCACGGTAGGCCCATTATATATTGTATCCTTTCGTTCTTTGTTCTAATCGCAGTTCAACCCACAAGGTCTATAAGTTTTGTCGCGTCACAAAAGACGACCGGGCCAAGATACAAGCTTCCGTAGGTTTGATAGGTTCGGCTGTCAATTGCGCTATCCCCACGACCCCGATAGTGACCAGAGACCTTAAAAAATGATGAACGACGACGATCCAACATTATCTATCCGAAGGTCCCCCAACTAACTACTATTACTTCCCGTAGGAGTGCTTAAAATTCCGCAGAATTTCACGCTATTTAGCGGTAACGGGTTGCATACCTGTAGTATGCATGAATGACGGTCCTGAGATTACCAAGGAGACTTCGAATAGCCATGACACATATACCACCTTTTCACATGTACGTGCATATATTGAATTCGTCATTTTCCTACAGGGAATATCCATGGTCTATACACCGCTTTTTCCGGCGTATGTTGAATTCGGCATTGTCTTACAAGTCGTCACGTATTTTGTATTTAAAAACGGTACACGTTAGCTAACGACCAGGATTACTGGCTGAAGGAGAATTGTGGGATTCTAGATCTTCACCACCCAGTGTTCAGGGTGTACAACTACCATCTACCATAAATTGTAGATCATAAATCGACATGCTGTGTCCAAACACCAGCTAGATCTAAACCAAGCCCGAACTTTGTAATATGTTGAGGAAACAAGGGATGACCTGAGATAACCCACCTTAGCTACATAGTTATAATCATAAACATTTTCTGTGGTCAACGGTATTTCCAAAATAAGCCCGAAAAAGGCATATATCCTTTAAGCAGGTAGAAACCCAATAGTGGCACTGGCAACGCACGATAAAGTTTTCTCTTTGCGTGTATTTTATGGCGCTTGCCTTTTATGGAGCAGGTATGTGATATGTGTGCGCGAGGCCCTGCTGAGATCCTGTCGATCAACTCTGAGTGTAACACCTTTCTTTAATGCCTTAACAAAGCAACGTCCTCGCTTCGTCGTTTTTCACATTTCTAGTCGCGACGAAAGGCCCATTCCAAGCTAAACAAACCAAAGCAATGCACTATAAGTCTCGCTGGAATATTACCATCCCGAATGTCCACCTTGCAACCTTACTCTTTAAGTCGCCAACCCACCCATTGTCCAAGGCGCATCGATGTTTCATCGATGTAGCACGCCCAGACACGCACTACCTCACCACTCATGAGTTTCGACTTTGGTGCCAGCGTTTCGCGGTCGGACTCCGCAAATCTGGCATACAGTCTGGCGACCGCATTCTTGTCTTCTCCAACAATCAGCTCTTCTCTCCCGTTCTTTTCATTGGTGCCGTGTTGGCTGGCGCTATATACACTGGTTCGAATCCAGGATTTGGTTCAAGCGAGCTAGCTCAGCATGTCATCAATAGCGGAGCGACTTATATCATCTGTGAGGAGTCTCTTCTCGACACTGCAATTGATGGCGCAGAGCTGGCTGGTGTGGGTGAAGACCACATATTCATTTTCGATAGTCATCTATACGAACAAGACGCGTCTCCAGACCAATATGTCTATCGCAGAAGAAACGGACGCCAAACTCTATGTAGGTATTGGGGTGAGCTGATTGCACATTCCGAGGAAGGTAGCAAGTTTGTGTGGGAAGATTTCTCAACGCCAGAGTTGTGCAATCGAACCATTGCACTGAACTATTCCAGTGGTACGTCTGGAACTCCCAAAGGTGTGGAAATCACGCACAAAAACTGCGTCGCAAATGTTTTACAATGGGTGTATCCGTATTACCTAAACCCGGATTTCGAGGACAGACTTATTCGGACGCGCTGGTTATGTTGCCTGCCAATGTACCACTCGATTGGGCAAAATATATTCATTGCCGCAGCTTTGCAACTGAGGATCCCCGTGTACATCATGCCACGGTTTAATTTCTTGAATATGCTTGAGTACACAGAACGGTTCCGCATTACAGATCTCCTTCTAGTAGCACCTATCGTTGTGCAACTGGCGAAGGACCCAGAGAGCAAGAGTGGCAAGTATGATTTAAGCAGTGTTGAAGCTATAAGGAGCGGTGCTGCTCCATTAAGCCGGGAAGTCAGCGAAGAGGCCGAAGCGCTTTGGAAGGGTCGAGTTAATATCAAACAAGGGTGGGGGATGACTGAGTATGTGCTGTTTCTTGTGTGTTTAACAGGTACATAATGTCGGCCTCAATACTCACTTGGCCAACTCAGGACGACATGTTCCTTAATGGGATGGGATTCCCGTGATTGGAGTTCGACAGCGTCAGTGGGTGAATTGAATCCAAATTGCGAGGCTAAGATCATGGCTGAAGATGGCATGACCGAGCTTGGATACAACCAGTGTGGAGAACTATGGGTTCGTGGCCAGAATGTGATGAAGGGATATTGGAACAATCCGAAAGCCACTTCGGACATCAAGACCTCCGACGGCTGGTTGAAGACTGGAGATATTGTTTACATCGACAACGGTCATCGGTTTTATATAGTCGACAGGAAGAAGGTCTTGCCTCCCTCACCAAGTTGCTTCGATATAGCACAAATAAATCTGCCGAGGCTAAATGGCTACAGGAGTTGATCAAGGTGCACGGAAGGCAAGTTGCACCAGCTGAGTTAGAGGCATTGCTTCTTGAGCATCCTGCCATCGCTGAAGTCGCTGTAATTGGAATATCAATGTAAGAACCCCCTTTGTTTGAATTTGCGGGTCCTGATTGTATTTTATCCGCTGACACGAGCAGCGGTGATCACGAGCGACCACGTGCTTATGTAGTACGACAAGCGGGTGAAAAGCTCAGTGAGGAGGATATCGTCAGTTTCCTTAATACCAAGGTATCCATTCACAAGAGGATTACGGGTGGTGTCATATTTTGCACTTCCATTCCGAAGAATAGTTCTGGGAAAATTCTTCGAAAGGCACTCCGCACTCTAGCACAGAAAGAACTTGAAGACATGTAGCTAAAGCAAACCATTTACAGGTCGCTCTTGAATTGAGAAGTCGAGGATAGTCTTGGGCATGGGGCATTTTATTCCATGTTTTATTTCAGGATGTCCTTAACTCCAAGCAGCTAACTGGTGTAGTGGGTGCGCCCATATGTGACAGGTCTCGGTGCCTGAGGCCTCCGAGCCCCTCCCGTTTATAAATCGCAGGCAACAGATAGAAAATGGAACACACTCTTTTGCTCCTTTTCAGTTTTGTTTTAGGGGTCATTCCCCTTCCCTTGAGACTACGTTGGTGTATTTGGGTCTCAGATATATCTTCACATTGCGGATTTTGCTGGATCGACCCGTCCTGCCACGGACTAGCCTACGAGCGCCCACATTGACACTAGTTACTGTCCAGGCTCTGTCTAACTGAGAAGCACAGCGTGATCCTACCGGGCCGGGCTACAGAACTATGCAGATGACTAAAATATGACGGTAACGCAGGATGAGAAGGATGACTGGTAATCAAACCAAAAAGGCAAATTATAGGCAACGGTATAGGTAACAAGTAGGCTGTTACACCTTTTAGGCAGAGCGAGCAAACTGCTAAACAGTGAGCGGGGCAGGGTGGCGGTTAGATGGCCGTAGATAGATGCACCTGGCGACCATAGTCATAACAAAACGAAGAGTTAACAGAGTTAACATTAGAGAGTCTTACAACATAGGAATGTTGAGGGCAAAACCCAGGGACGACAAATGTACACAGAGGCAGACGTGGCAAATCGAAAAAGCGCGTCACAGTAAAAAGAGAGTCAGGAAAGGGAATTGAAGCAATCATCAATCAAAGTTGCATATGCATTGCAGATGAAACTGTAGAACCCTAACCTTATGATACACCAAACCCGAGATGGAAAACAGAGCGCGAAAGCGGTGGCCCAGACAGCACGCCGTGGCCCTAAAACGAAACAAGTGCGAAAGTGCAGCGAAGTTGGGTGATATCATGGACTAAAGTCGTAGAACCAGGTTCCATACCCGAAAAACAGTTTTATTGGCTGCAGCGATGGGGGGATAAGAACTGAAAGCTTATGTGGTCCTACCTACTTTCTGGTTCGGCTCCCCAACCCTCTCAGTACTATATACAAAGCAGGAGTAGCGTATGCCCTAATAGAACGCGGTTGCTTCCTAATCCTTACATCCACGCTTCTGGGGCGGTCTGATTATCAGGAAAACTCAACGTAATCTGGGCTTTTGAAATGGATCCAAGTGGCTTGCCGTAATGTGGATGCCTAACTCACGTAAATAATTTCTATGTTGCGCAATTTCATAAATAGCACCCTTAATAATCTAGAAAGCCTACTGATACTCGCTTGCTTCTGAGGCTTTTAGCTGGCGCAAAACTAGCCTAATCGAGAAGTCATGTGAATTACTCTCGGCGTATTTGTCCTGAATAGTCGTTGGTTTGGCGCATCCTTTGAAAGTTGTAATAGCACCCCGCACCCCTTATTCTAGAGAATCTAACTCCTTTATCCCCTCGCAACCCGATACGCTTACCACCAAAACTAGATGAACAGCGCATACTGGCCAAAGCTGTGCCCTTTATATTTTTCGTCTAGTCGATAATTAGCCTTTACTCATTTCCTTTACCCGGAGGAAAATCTATTCCACTCCAGTTGGACAAAACTCCAACATGTCCTGCAGGCCATGTTGCTGTGACGACGATGACATTATCATCAACGATTCAAGGCTTCCAATGAACCTCTGGGCGGATATTCTGATCACATGTGCCTGTTGCCCCCTTGTAGCCTACATGTACATCCAATCTGAGATTGAAACGCGTCGATGGGGGACTAGGCGACCTCCTCCCGTTGTAAGTCCTCCTGCTCCTCGTTGAGGGTTGCATGTACTGGTTCCGTAGACAACACCTCCAAAGTCGCCGGCCCCGCCAGTAGGGGTGCCTGAAGAGACGGAAGAGCATCATTCGGAGATAGCCAGAGACGAGCCGATAATAATACCCCCGCCGGAACCACCAGCAACAAACTCGGTAAGTAAAAAGTAGCATTTCGATTGACGCGAAAGGAGATAGGCTAAGATACAATTATAATAAGCGTATTAAAGGGAATCCTATAAAAATTTGAAACCAACCGCAGCTTGTTTTGTCACTATATGCCCCTCCAAAGAGGATTGTCCGTATCGAGTACGATTTAGCCTTAAAAAGGGACTTGGGTAGGGCCTTACAATCTACATTGAGCATACATGCGACCCTGAGACTCATCAAGCCTAGCCGCTTCCTCGGTCTGTTGAATACCTTGCCCTGAATCATGTAGAGGGATTCAATCGAGATCCTGCATTTAGACTAAGTCAATCTCGCGCTGCTACGCATCAAAATGGCAACCATATCAGCTATTAGCAATCCTGGCATACTGTTAGAACTATGTGAAGTCCAGTTCTAATGACGGTGTCGAGTCATGTAAAATCCTCATACCATTTCCAGCCAGCCGTTGCATCGTGCCGTAGGTTCTGCACGAATACAATCCGTATGACTTTAAGGCATTCGCATTCGCATTCGTAATTTGCAAATCTCTACAAATATTCGTAATCGCAGGTTAGACAGCTACTATAAGCTGCTTTTTTATGGACCATTCGTGCTGAGCAGTCAGGAACGGCTCCTATTGTTCTGCGCTCTGCCGGGCTGACACTGCACGTTCCAATCTTCCCTTTCAGAGTTGGCTCTTCAATAACTTGATAACATATCCGGATGAGTGGAATCTTGCAGAGGAGGTCGGTACTGTCAGAATATTATCTCGGGGCTTCCCGGAAATACCTCCCTATATCGTGGTGTATTCTTTGCATAGGTTCTGCATGTGAAGGGCTAAAGAAAGACTTAAATTCAATATAACTAGGCCATAGACTGTGTATAAATAGCTTGGAGAAGAGAACGAGCGAATAAGCAAAATAACAGAAGTAGCAGGTAGGGTTGTGGCAGAACGTGAATAGGTTATATATGCAGTAATAATGCAGTGAGAAGCGATCTAACTCGTTACACCGCCCACTGGCACCCACTTGCAGGGAGTTGACAAGGGACCTGTGTGACACTAAGTATGGTCTCAAGGCTAGATATCAAAGGGTTCTGTGTAGAGCTGAATAGGATGTGGATTCCCTCGTCCGTGAATAGTATTCCGGTTTGTTCTTAATAAAAAATCTCGCTGAAACCTGCATATGGAGGTTACAGGCATATCCCAGTGTACTTTGGTTTGCGTGAGAGTGGCAATAGGGATAATGTCGAGCGCAGAGGTTATTTCTGTTGGCCATTGTTTCTCACATTGTAACTCGCGCAAAAGCATATCTAACGGTAATAGAGTTAGAGGCCGGCCGTGCAGAGTATGCTTGGTCATCTTCCAAGAAAATGGCTGCTCTTCCTTCCATATATCTTGAAGAAATTGAATAGCATCAGGTTGCTTTTCATTCTTCACCAAAGACCATGCCAAGGCTCTGCCAAATGGGAAAAGCATTTATTCATATTTTTTCACTGCAAATAAAGGCCATGCAGCTTTAAATATTAACAATGCAATATCGCGGCGTATAATTTTTCGTGTGATAATAAACCTGAGCATTTGAAGAGCGTTGTAGATCCCATGGTCAGAATCAAGATAGACCGTTCGATGTAACAATAAACTGATCACGCGTTACTGCGATTCCTGGTAAACACTGCAGAGGGTATAACAGGTACTGATTACTGAATGAACGCTCTCTAGATCTGGTAGTTCCACGAGGATTTCTATAATAAGCTCAGGTGGAAGCTTTGTAAAGTAGGAATCAGCTGATGACGTCTTGGTTGAGGTCATGGTGGTGAGAGAAGATGTGAGAGAATTTGGAATTGTCTTCACTTAACGGGGTATGTCGGCACTTAAATATCGACACATGTCCCGGTAACTCACCGCCTGGATAGGGGTTACTAAAAACACACCAGGCATAGTTTTCGAGACGAAATAACGTGGCCGTGACGCATGTGAATGCACGAAAAGTAACAGCAAATAAGAGGAAAACTTGGCACACAAAATGACCAATCAGAGCTGCGATATGTAAGGGTCAGCGAATGGTTTAGTAGTGGGAATCGAAGCAAAGCTCTGCAGGGAGGCCGCGGAGGTAGTAAACTGGATAGGTCATAGCGTGGTTAAGGTTGCGGAAAGACAAACAAACCGAATCCGATAGGAGCGATTTGAAACATGGTGGCGTAACCCTAACCAAGCCTGTGAATAGCACCAAAACACGCTGTTCCAGTACTAGACGTGCACTTTGCGCACAGCGGCCCTGAAACGATAAATAGGAGAGGAAGGTAACGGCGCCCAATCAAAGATTTGACGGGGTGAGTTCGAGGGAAGGTGCATACAAAATAACAAGATTAACGAATGGGAGAGGCAAAAGCTATCTAATAGCCGTGATACTGAAGAAGAAAGTAGTATTTGAGGAGTTCCTTAGCATATTAATTGTTGCATTTCGATTGACTAAGTATGCAAGTGTAGGGTATCTTTCGTGCTCTTTAGGGACTGCGTCCTGGTATGGAAGAGTTTACTTATAGTGAGGATCTAGCGTTGTCAGCCGTGTTAGGTCGCGTTCTAAGAAGAGCGGGTAAATAGGTAAATCGGCTGACGTGACAACAACCGGGCTACTATATCCTCCAACTATCTGCCAGCACAAAACGGGAGTGCCTCTTGGTTATTTCGTCCCTACTTACGAAGCTCCATGTACCATATTTCCTCTTCGAGGTGAGGCTTTCCTTTCTTAGCTGCCGCCGCTTTTATGAGGGCGCTCGGAGTCAGGCTCATGAGCCGTCAGGCATGCACGACCTGGATCCACATGAAAGATTGCGCAGGGGTTTGTCTAAGCTCCCTTGGTCAACAGTAGCTACTAAGCGCTACAAGTCCCTTCTTCAAATATATGAATTATGAAAAGCCGGGAAACAATAAAAGAAAAAGCCACCTGTAAACCCTATACTTAATATATACTTGATATAATCAAGCCACTTGGTTGATAAATTTTTGAGTCTTATTTTACTTCTGTCGGAAGAGGATCAGAATCGACTCTTTAAGGCGCCCATAGATCGTCATGCACAGTTAGAAATCAGGCTTGGATACATATAATTATAGCCCAAATATCCTCCTTGTATTAACATGAGTGTTTACATCGGTCTGTCCCGCTTCCGCCTTTGCGGGGCATGCCAGAGGCATACTCTACGGAAACGTTGTAAAGTGGATCTACTTTGTCAAAACATGGAAATATTTCATCTATATAGTAGAAATGATATGCACGAGCCCTAAATAAGAGGTAGAAAATCAAGGAGGGGGTGTGGGCAAAAACACCGAGTCAGCACTCGAAGTCGGATCCCCCCGTTGTATGGCAGTGAAGGGGCAGCGTGTTTGTCTGCCCACTCGACTATTTTATCAAACTTGCGGCATTTATGCTGAGTACTAAAGTCAGGGTAGATGCCGAATTTTTCCACCCAGTTCATGGTAACGATTCCCACGTCCCCAGAGCACATGAGATACTGGCGAAGCATATCAATGCAGTGGTCAACGTGTTTTCGAAGTGTCGCTTCAGAATCTGTGAATTCTTCCGGCCTATTTTCAAGCAGGTCATAATATTCTCTGTAGGTGTACTTCCTGATAAGGTCCTGGTTTCTGTTGGCTTTGGTCTTGGGTATATCAGAGAAAACGGAACCCTTACAAGACAATGGAGTTGATGGAACACTTCAACCCCACTCATATATTTTCCACCGTATTCAGCTGGGAACTTAACGGCAATATCGGACTTGTTGATTCGGGGAAGGACTTCGGCATCAACTTGAGTTGAACCCACTGGATAGATCTCAGTTATTGCGAAGAGAAATTAAAGGATTGGACTTTCGCATACTGTGCTTGATATACGACCATGCGGCGTCCAGATCCTAAATCAAAGCTATATCAGTTGACAAAGTCCATGAGACATGGAGGCTTTAGTTTGCCTGACCTTGTTTGGACTTCCTTTATAGACAGTCTCGTATTCCAGCGCGCCATGAAACATCACAGTCTCATACTCAATAACACCAGCCGCCGGCTCTAGGAGGGGTGCTATACTCCGAACGCTGTGTTAGGTGCGGTTTCCAAATAAAAATTCCCTAAATATCTTACAGTAGTTTGATGTACGTGCTGCACAGTATTGCTCCGAGCAGCCTTTGACAAGGGAAACCGCCACTAACCCAACAGATAGCATGAAGAGTAGAAGATTTCCAGCGTAGATGAGAACTGTTCTAGGTTGCTTCCAAACTGGTTTCAATGGCAGGAGTGACTCTGGAAAGAGAGCTAGGTCGTCGGGTGCATCGTCGTACTCATCAGAACCAGCCCTCACGGCCATGTAAGTTTCTTCCCAGGTCTCTTTATATGGAAGCATGATGAGGCTAGTGAAGAAGGACGCAGGAGCCAGAACAAGAGAGAGAAGGGGGCTGAGAAAAAGATTACTCGAGGCAAAGAAGAGAAAGAGAAACAAGGGGAAAGATGCTTCCAATATTTGACCGCAATTTCAACTACTGATGGCCAGTCTCTAAAGCCAAGTTTATTGTGTGATACTGTAACACTAAGTCACTCCAAACTACTGTTGAGCCAGTCTAGAACAGGAAGGCTTTACGCCCTACTGCATAAGCTCCATTTTGGACCTTATTAACTAGTTCTAGTTGCAGTGCAGGTTTAAGACATACGATTTAATGAAGTGTTTTAGGAGTGGAGGCTCGCTTGCGAAATACGTTACATCGGTATATGCATAGTAAGCGAAACTATACCTAATTCAGCATGACATGCTTCAATTTGGGCGTTGATATACAGAGAGATAGAAAATAGGATAAGCATGATTTCGAATATTATCGTACCGTTCTATACACCGTCATTTTGCCGCCGTGATGGTTGTCAAGCGTATTGCTAAGTAGCTACGTAGGTGCCTAGGTACTCATACTCTCATCCGATCGATTTCCCGCCTCTTTTGAAAGTGGCGAGCCACGGTAACCGTTAACATACGTAGTCAAGCTTTGGATATTAGTCTCGTAATCCCTAGCTTTCTTGATAACAAGAGGTCTACCTAACAAAACCGCTAATATGACAAGGATCATAGTATGGCATCGCAACATCTTCGAAGTCGACAAAAATATGGCAATTTCAAAGAGTCAATCGAGCTGATCGCGCATCGTCATATGTAACCGTAGATCATTACCTATAGCAGACGTTATCGCACAATAGGACTGACTGAAATGGAAAATGGTGCACAAATCTTCCAGACTTAACTAATCACCTTATAGGTACCCCTCCTCGTGTTCCCGAGTTAAGGTGCCTCATAAAACTATAAAGTATCGAATATAACCCTCGCACCTAGGTTTTTTTAAACAGAAATCGACTGTTCTGAATATTTCATAGCCGATACAGATATATCTATTATCTAAGTCACCATGCACTTCTCCAAGACCTCCCTTATCCTTCTGGGGCTTGCTTCCAGCACTGTGTTTGGACTTGTGTAAGTACTTAAGGATTTGTCTGGGTAATGAAAGTAGTGCGGCGAGCTATGGAACTCTAACTTCACATAAGTGCTCGAGACAGCAGCAAAGTCAAGTACGATCGATACGACGTCCCGGCGGTTGAAGAACGTGACAGCAGCAAAGTCAAGTACGATCGATACGATGTCCCGGCGGTTGAAGAACGTGACAGCAGCAAAGTCAAGTACGATCGATACGATGCCCCTGCTGTTGAAACACGTGATAGCAGCAAAGTCAAGTACGACAGATATGACGCCAAGATTAGCGAGTAGTGGGAGATCACTGCTAGCGGAGAAGGGTATCATCGAGAAACTCTAGATACCTGGAAACCTAGATGATGAAGTATAGCTGAAATGATTGATACCGCTTACTGGGGGAAGCTGTGCTTCTGGCTCTCAATTTTATTCTTAAGCTATTCATGGTTAGTGTGAAAATTCCTGTATCATCCAGCATATAAAGTGGATACCTATGTGAGTAGAATCACTTTTACCCAATCTCAGTGTGCAAAGTTCTGTTGTGGAGTCCTGAAACGTTAGGGGAAAAACTAAGCTTTAGAGCCAAGTTTAGCAAGTGGAATTGTCTCAAGCTAATTCCAATCACCGCCCCCAATTCCGTATGTACGGAGCACTTTTCTTCTAATAACATGCTATAAACATATTACAATCGGGGGTTCTTCGGAGTCCGACTTCGATGACGTGATGGATGCATATTTAGTGCTTATCTTACTCTTACCAACGCAGCCCAGTTCATGCATTTTACTTATGTTTCCCTTCCTAGCCCGTATTCCCCATTGACCCTCTTTCAGGGGCTTAGATTTAGAACCAGTGATTGGTGCTAATCATACTCGCATTTACCTGAACCAGGCACAATTGCACCTTCAGAAAAAGGCGGGAACGCCGATGTTCCGACTCTTGGGGGAGAAAAAATTTTATACGTTCATTCTTTTACTTGGACACCATTTACCGGTCCGACAACTTGTTTAGAACTAATTCACTCGCTTCGCATCCCTTCCAAAATGCAGTTCAAGCTCCTTGCCATCCTCTTTCTCTGCCACAGCCGTGGCCGCCCTCCAGGACCCGGGCACCTTATCCTCTTCCTCCCCCTCTGATGAGTCCGGCCTCCTCCTCGACTCAGTCCCCAGCTTCATTCTGAGCGTCCTCGAGACCGCCATCCCGGCCACCTGGTGGAGTGGCATCACGAACCCAACCTCCGTCTCCTCTTTCATCTCCCAGATTGAAGCCGTTACCATGCCCGCCTGGTGCAACAGCCTGCCCAGCAGCGTCAAGGCCTGGTACACCAGTGCTTACAGCGGCGGTTTCGCCAACCCCTTCATCGATGCTTTGGCTACTCCTCTAATTACTGCTACTACCAGTACTACCGCTAGTGTTACGACTACTACTAGCTTGGCTCATTTGACTAGTTCCGCTAGTACGGCTAATTCCTCTGGTATTACTACTATAGGCGGCGCTATCTCTTCGGCTTCAGCTTCGGCTTCGTCTGATCTTTCTAATGCTACTTCTACTGGTGGTGTTGCTGTGAGTGGTACTACTGATACCACTACAATCGATCGTGCTTCTCCTTCACTTCGCATTCACCTTAGTTCTCATCAAAACCTTTCTGATAACGACGAAATCCTTGGAGATATACCGAATACACCACCTGAACCAAGATAAGACGAATACTTCTAGCTCCCTCATCTCCTAGCTAGTTACCGACCCTAAGTAGATCTAATATATAATTAGGCTAGACGGAATTTTTCTAGTTATTTTAGTTAGTAGTATAACAGGGTATATTACGATCGCTGGTTCTCCACAATGACATTGTCTTGAGTGTTTCCGATTTTCCGTTACGGGTCAAGAGAAAGATCCTGGATCAAACTGTACCATTCAACGAAGGTATCAAGTCTAGAGATGGAAGGGAAAGAAGAAGACAGCTATCTACCATGTAGGCTCCTTTTTAAACCCCCTCCAGCAATTGTGGTAAGTTCCATCATGGAGAATCCCATGGCAATCTCCTTTATCCCAATCGTCACATTCGTCACATCTTCCTCCGCTTCCATCATGATCCGACTTCCTCAGTCCCTTCTATGCCCAGAGTGATCCACTGCCTGATACTGGCCCAGGAGCCCATAGCCTGCAGCTGTGTTTGTTTCTGCACAAGAGACTCGCTGTCTGCTCTCGAGATCTAGTAGGATGGGAAGCACGGGTCTTAGAAGTTGGATATACCAGTCTTATGATGAGCTCTCCAATCATAATTCCGAGGATGGGAGTCCCTTTATTTCGTTATCTTCGAGCTCTTGGGCTACTTTCTTAATTCATAGGGGACATTCCTGATTAGGATACGCGCTTCAAGCTGCCACAAGATCTCGATCCGTTACTAGCTCCCATAGTTATGGATGTGAAAAGGAATGAGTTATACAAACTTCTTCTGTCAAGAATGTCCTGATACTGTATGTAGTGTACGGCAAAGCCTTATTGAAGAAGGGCAGCTGATTTCGAATTCGTAGGAAAAAAAGTATCTCCGAACTAAAACCGAACTAGATCAGAGAAATGGGACCATTCTACTCCAAGGTTGAGAAAGGAGAACTAGCGGACCAACCACACGCTGTGTTTTCTATGCTTACTCCAGAATATCAACACTAAGAGAAGCCAGGTTCGAGCTTTAATAGGAGCCTTAGGATGAGGCACTGTAGCCATAAATCATACTTCAGCACAGGCACCGTTTTAGCCATTCTTCGTTAGTAGGTGATTCGATAATTTTCGGTAGCAGGCTTTTTGACGGCGGCATTTTCGGCAGCGGGATTGTTGACAGCGAGCTGTTCGGGATCAAGCTCTGTTAATTCGAGACCCACCTGGCTTTCTTTTTATGGAGGGCAACGCTATTATAGTTAGGTGGCCGAAAGACGGCAAGCTGGTGAAGACAATGGCACAGGTGAACTAGTTCGGGTCAAGGGGATTGTGATTAGCTTTATGACACCCATTTCTAGACGAAGAGACAAAGGCAACCGCCCATCAACTTCCTCAGATTTGGACGGCGTAAATTTCACCCTCAACGGCAATCTTCGCCTAGGCTGAGGACGGCGCCTATGCCAGCTTCCTCTCTATAGACTCCTTAGGAGGCATCATACTGAAATTCTGATTTCCTTGCGCCTCAAAATAGCGACCGCCCGCGATTTTCTGTGCGCCCTCGTGCGCATCCCGTACGTTCTATTTCTTTGTACTCCAAGCTGTAGCCAGGGAATGCGGTTTGTGATGGCAATACTCGTTCGGGATTAGTTCCTAACCTGACAAATGCAGGTCCTGAGCAGAAACTACGTCGAGAGCCCTCGTGGTGTAGTAAAGCTCCAAGGAGCAAGCACATTTTTTGCCAGGTCTAACATATTCATGGACACACTTCAAATTGAATCAACAAGTTGGGGGGAGGGGTTTAGCATGACGACAAGTCACAAGTGATCCCTTCGCAAGCAAGGACATGCTTCTATCAAGCCAGGATAAGGATACACTCCCGTAAAGAGTCCTTGGTCATAGTAGAATGCCTGAAGGGGCCACAAGAGAAGCACAGACAGTCGCGAGGGGATAGGGGGCAAACCCGTGGCCGGGAAAGAGATAAGAAGGATGAACATGAACGCCTGATCGGCAGATCTGCGATATCATTGGCTGGCTCGAGTATTCATGCCGCCCCTCATGCGCGTTCCCTGGTAACCTGCAAGCTTGATTCATAACTCAACCTAATGAATACAGGGATCTGCCAGTTATAGGTCTAAGAATCGCTGCCTTACAGTGTGACTACAAGGTCAGCCCAGGTGGCCTGAGACCTCCCGTCACCGCGGTGATTTCTTCCTTGGGCCTTAAAGCCCCACCCCCCTCTCCTGAACTCTTACACCTCTCCACCTCTTACATTACCTTACCCACCTCCACTTTCCGCCAATACCAGTTCCTTACTATTCCCGTATGTTACAGCGAGGAAGAGATCAAGGATCAACTTGTGCCATTTGACGAGAGTATCAAGACTAGAGAGGGAGAAGAGAAGCAAAGAAACTATCTAGAGAGACGATGTTTGATATGTCCTCCGATAAGAAACGCCTTTTCTTATCTTCCTGATTTAGTCATGTTTGTTTCCATCGCCAAATCCCCCCTTCATGTCTAGGTCGTCACAACTAGTATAATTATTAGATAGAAGAGAATACTCATTGTATGTTAGGTCTGGTGTTTGCATCCGGCAAATCAAGTGCAAAATTTTATCCATAATCAACTATGGCGGCCGATTCGGTGGTGGTGGGGAATGCTTATGAAGTCCGCGAGAGTAGAAGTTTGTATATGGGTGTGTTTTAATATCTAACGGGATATAGGTACAGATATAAACTTCACAAGTATACTTTACCATTGTACCTTGTCCCTGTAGATGGATAATTCCTAATAATACTAGTTAGTAAGTACTCTATGACTAGTTAAGTTTATATCATACCACTGTTGTCATCGACTTGATTGCTGTTCAATCACACCACAATTTTGGAAGGTTGTAGATTGACCGGTCTGAATTAGACGCTTCAAAAGAGGTATATCAAGTGAAGATTCTTTGCCTAGTAGGCTAAAATGATAGTGATCCGTAGAATCACTAGTACTTGCATTACTACAAGCAAGATAATAGCTCTAAACATCGGCAGTATTCTGTATTACTAGTTAGGAAGTAGTTAGGATAAATAGTGTAGAAAGGATGAATAGCTTACTGGATGATGATATGTTCTACATGTAAGCCGACAGGTCTCATTCTGCGTGTAGCACGCACCCTGAACCTCAAATTTACGCTTGGTTGCACGATATAGCCTATTTTATTATTAGCGATATAGAACTATTATACATTAGTCGTGTACTAGTAAACTTACGCAGTTGTCCACTCTTGATCTTGTCTAAAGTGATCGGACTGATGAATTTGCTTTCGTATAGTTGCTATTGAGTGGAAAAGCTTCTCATCTGTATAATAGTGGGTATCTAGAGCTATACCTGGCTCTAGAAACTCACATGCCTTGATTCTACTACACCGATAGCCAGTTTTTAGCATTCGGCAATCTAAGGATGAGTTAAAAACCTCATATGATTACCCCTTTGCCTTGCGGGAATACTATATCTAATATACGTATTAGCAGAACTAGTCATGTACTAGTAAAATTAGGATTATACCGATGTGAGCGCTGCTCTGGGTTGTTGGGATGATAAACCTTCGAGATTGACCACATATGCATAACCAGCATCATGTATTTGAGGGTACTCTGGCAAAACAGCCACATGTTCAATGACTGCAGCTGAAACAGGCTTTGGTAGGCCATTTGTAAGTGGGATTGACACTTGATTTTGATGCTAAAAAAATTTGTTAGTGATTAGTCATACAGTAGTTAGTGATGATATAACTAACTAACTAACTAGTTAGTTAGTTAACTAGTTAGAGGATAGCGGCGATTAGTAATCTTTATCTCTCGGATTAACTTAAAGTTAGCGTCCTTTACTAGGAGTAGCTCGACAATAACGCTATGTCCGTACCATATAGCCTAGGATAGCGTCGTGTAACTATCTTTATCTCTAGGATTAGTATCGGCGCCCTTTACTAGAAGTCTGTCGACGATAGCCTTATATCCGTTCCCTATAGCAGTATAGCCGTAAATAGCGGCGTTCTGCTATTTATATCTCTCGGATTAAAGTCGGCGCCCTTTACTAGGAGTGTTCCGTGCTGGTCACTGCCGACACAAAGAACTCCCGTAAGCTGCGCTATTTCAACCTATTTCAACTTGGGCTTCCCTTGTTCTACTCCTGCTCCTGCTTTTTACCGGAGGTTTCAGCACATTTATTCATGGTCATTGGAATGCTGAAACATTTGTCTCAGCATACATCCTGGGGCAAAACACATATCATCACTTTAGTGAAATTCCGATTGTTGGTTTGATGCAGTTCTCCCTCAGCCAGGAAGCCTCTGAGCCCGAACCGCCACCAAAACGGAAATTTGAGAAACTTAATATTCTCTGGTCATAAATATTAGCGAATAAAGTTCAGGGCCGTGATACTGTGATGAAAACTAGAGCTTAATCCTTCTATGGGGGAACTTTTACCCCTGAAGACTTGATAAATTTACTTCTTCATTGTGGAGGTGCAATGCTCTTCACCCAATGTACTTGGCGAAATCTGTGGAAATATACGGGGCTCCTCGGGATCACAATTTCGACGGGGATTGAGACTTGCACAAAGCTCAATTTCGCATTGCTGTTCTCTCCTTTGCCTGCGCCATATTTCATTGTAGTGACGGAGAAGCCTGCTGATGGACGGCATGCATGCGCAAATAAGTCCTAGTCCACCTTCCGCATTACTGTATTGATTAGGTTTGATTCTTGAGGTATTAGATTTCGAAAAAAGACTCACTCGGACAGTAAAACTCTCATGAACACGTCGATGTCATCAGGGCTATTTCTTTGACATATGACCAGCACCAATCGGTTGATACTGAAAGCGACGGCAATACCTCCTGATCCGAGAATGACAATGGTACGTAGCTTCTTGGAAATAGGCATATGCAGCTTCCAAGACAAAACGATCGGAAAGATGAGTATGGCGAGATCGGTGATGACACTGACAAGCGAATCGGTGATGATGATTGCAGACCGGTTCAAACACGTCCCATCGTGATAATTGAAATCCCAGAATAAGTGAATCGGGCTGCAAGTAAAAATTTTCACAAACAGGATGACAGTATAGTACGCGATAATGAAACCCAGGAAACTGTACAAGGCGATTACCTTTCCCTGATAGGGACTCCACACCCGGATCATGATATATATTAGGGAGGTCTTGACGAAAAGAACCATGGGGACGTAGAACATCGTGGCTATGTAGAATATCTTGTTGGTCAGCATACATTGCTTTGAAGGAGCTTGGGAGCTTTGGTACTTTAGATTTGATTTCACGATCCCAGGTCGCGGATGGGTTGGAAGAAATTGTACCTCCAGCATAGGTATCTGCAGCAGATGATTCATAAGCAATTTGGATTAAGCCGGGCAAGTTGACTGGAATTCCTTACAAAATAGAGTTGAAATTGAATGACCCACAAAGAAGATCTGTCATGTGTCAAGATACATAAAGTAGTCTATCAGGCTCGCGTTTTCGTACCAACGCCGCATAACATGATGCTGCCAAGATTAGCTGAGAAACCTATGGTTTCGAAAATGAGACGTACCATCCTCCACCCCGAACGCGAGATGTAACTTATTTTTGGCAAAGGCTCGTATAGCGACTAAAAGCGGAATTGCACTAAAGCAAAGAAGTTGCGTGACCAGGCTGATTGACTCCAAGTTCCCGCGTTTCTGTGGCGAAAAGTTCATGACTAGGAGAATCAACGTGTCGAAGGATTATTGTCTCAACCAACTCGGAGACTCCACCATAACGGAGAGTTGCATATTACAGACGAGACGGATTCCCCTAATTGGATACAGGATAGTATTCATGAGAGTCGTGGTTGGAGCAGTGCGGCAAACCCCGTGGAGAGTGATTATGTCAGACTGACTCATTTCCCCCAATATTGGGGCGAAGCCCGGATATGAGGTTTGCCCCTCACAATTTGTATAATCTTCCTAAAAACGGGGTCGATCTACCCCCCTGCTGCACAGGCAAGGGTCACGTGTTGTGTTAAGGACTGAGGTACACAGGAATCTAGCCGTGCCGTGGTATATGGAGTATTAAGTGTGACGATCGTCAGCAGGATTGATGCCTGGTTCCTGAGGCATCAATCTACTATTTAGATAGCTCTCTCGCCATTCCGCCATCTTTCCTTCTTTCCTTCTCTCATGCTTAGTTGTTTTGGTCAAATGCTACCATGTTGATTGATCAATATCTCTCTCGTGCTTGAGCGTAACATTAAGTGCTTCCTGAATATTCCACTCGAGGGCCTTTGAGGGGTGCTCGGGGGTCAGGGGCGCACGTGATGCGCTAAGAAACCTCACAGTTTTCAGCGTAGAAGTGAAGGATTTAATACGCGTATTCTATTCATGTGAATTGTTTGTAATCCTGGGTACGGACACTGAACCCTACTGTATAAGGTCCCCCCATTCGCTCTCCCGATTTTAGTTTTAATTCTGTGAAATATGTTGTATTGTAAATACACGAAATCATACGACAATCCACGTGGAATACTACTAGAAATTTGGAAATTTCAGAACGGTTGTAAATGACAATTACGGCTGTATTTTTCACGCTCGATACTTTCTGGTCATTTCTCAGCTCTCTCTTCTATCAAAATGGTTAACTGAACCTTTGCTCTGATAATTCGTGACCTTTCAGAGGCTATTGTGGTGTTAAAGGTGTCTAATTTTCCAATAAGCACAGCTGCCGTCAGCCTTCCTACATCCTCTCTGTTGTGACTTTCACACAATGACTTCTAGATATTTGATATAAGTCTAATATATATACGACCATAAGCGTGCACAATTATCGGTACCATGACTTGACTTTATCAATATTTTATATAGTTGTTTCTACCTTCAGCTGCGGAAACTATAAATAGTCCTCGAATGATTGGGTGATTTTATCCACCTGGAGACCTCTCTTTCTGCAATTAGAACGTTCATTTCATCTGATGACTCTTCCACACTTCTTTCCTCTCTTTACTAAAGATGTAGGACGACCCCAGCACACCCGGAAGACAGGTCACGATCCAGCACCATTCCGCCCGATATCCCTTTTGAAACCTCCTGCGGGCCCTTTGTCTCCAGTATCTGGTTCCTTTCAGGCAGAAAGAGAGTATGTAGACTTCGTGCTTTTGACTTAATTGGCACCGATAACTGGCAAAGTACGGGGCCCAGAGACAACTACATTGCCTACACGATTGTCAAGTGGCGCTGTGTCAAAGACGATCGCGCTTCGGAGGATGAAACTAGCTTGAAGCAAATTCTGGCTATACTCAGTGTCACCTCCACTGCCCAACGCACTTACAGATTACTATCTCAGGAGGTATTTTATTACTTCGCCGAGTGGATTGTATTATTAGCTCCGTGGGCAATGTTGTATCTTCCCAGTCGCTGGATGACATACCAGCCTAAATTTGCAACAAAGAGGTCAATAGATAGATAACAGTGTGGTCCTTTCGAGCAATGGTATAGGGTTAGCCCGTCGATGAAGGTACCGACGCTTCCAGACCCGCAGAGTGAAGTTGTTCCAAGTAGATATTGTTCAGCACATGACCAATTCCCAAACCTCACTGAATTCGTATCAGTAGCATTCAAACAATGGACGTATAATGTCACATGGTTGGCCTATCAACGGGTCCACCATGGGGACAGTGACCGAAACTGATTCACTCTAGCTAACGGAAGATGAAGTATCGCTACTCCATCTTGGAGCTGTGTGGTAGAATGGAATTTATCCAGAGCTGGAATAGACGTCGTAGGTCGATATTGCTGGGCCAGAAACGACTCCAGGCGACGAGGCCGTTAATTGGTGGATGTAGGGCTCTTCCGATACACTTCGCCCATACTGTGTATTTAAGTAATAGTCATCAAGGAACAAGGGCTTGATATTTGGGGCCGTTAGGGGGGTTTGCTTCGTCTTCGATGACCTTGTTGGCTTGCAGTGGCTTGGAGCATGACTTGTGGAGCGTAGCTTCGGGAGGAGCCATGGGTTCAGCATATGACCCTTCTAGTGGGGCAGGACAAGCTACATGGCATTCCATCGCTGAGTTGTCGCTTCAGATTCCTACCTGTTCAAGCGGTTATTCTCATGAACGCGGGTGCTTGGGTATGTGCCAAAGAGAGACTCACGATACCTTCGTTGCGCAATTCGTTCTGCATGCGTCGGCGCTCTATAGGATCAGAGACCTGGCTCCAGTCATCATTCAGTGCTGCATTGGGCTTGAAAGTACTGCTATTACTGCGACCAGTGGAATGATGCATTCTGGACAGGCAATAGCTGCAGCGGTGATGGTGTAGTTATCGTTATACTAGCGTCGTTATTGGGAGAGTGATGTACCTATTTCGGAAGATCAATAGAGGCCAATAAGACACTCTGTGAAGTCCCTTGGAAGATAGAAAATATGCAGAGGAATAAAAAAGGCGGAGAGTTCAAATAGTAGTGGGAGAGGCTCTAGGAGAAAGTGGGGCGGTTCTGGCAGGAAGAGCACACCGCAAAGCGCTATTGCTATATCTAGGGGACCGCATATCTGCACATCGCCCGCGTCCGGTTGTCACTACCTGGTCGATAGAGCGTTGCTTGCCATTCGTTGCGTGGCCCAGGACCGAAAAGAAAACGTGCAGGACGCACAAACATTAGCTCTCTCGTCGTCTCCAGTCCGCGTGGCGCTCGTGCTCTACGAGTAAACCCTTGTTTTCCTATCCGTCTATCTCATCCTCTCCGCCAATCGATCATAAAGTCAACAGGGCTCCGGCGACAAGGCGCCTTCGGTGACAGGGGCGCTCTAGAATGCGAAAAGTGGCAAGAAAAACTACGTAGGTCGACGGGAATTGATGTTTGCACGTAGCCTAACGAGGTCGCCTTCCGGTTCAGATATCGGTCCTAAGGTTCGACGTGACCGCCGTGAATAGACGGAGTATCACTATTATCGTCTCGTTAACTCTTGCTGACTTAGCCACTACTACCTAATACATATAGCTGCTGAGACTTTCTAGCCGTTAATATAGGCTGACTAGTTCGATCCCGGTGTTCCCCTAGTTCCGAAATGATACGGACGCCACTAGCCAAGGCTGCCAACGCCTTTAACCTCGATTTGCGCCCCTAAGGTAGATTTGAAGCCCCGTTCTACACGGGCGATTGACTAGAAAGAGCAATACGCGAATATACCTCGACGCGCGCAAGCTCGACCGTCGGCTAACTGATTTCGGTCACCTGCGCCACGACGAGACCGTGGCATGTTGACAGGAGAAACACGCAGGAAGAACTTCTCTTTCTCAAGCATTGTTTACACATTTTGTGGCCTGGTTGAATAAATTCAAGTCTTGCTTCAGCTCCTCACACCGCGAGAGGTTGAGTGTGTGTTGTTGGCGAATTCTTGGCAAGTCTTTTGGCCTCTTTATAAATACAGAGAGCTCTCGGATAGTTTTACTGTTATGGGCGAGGAGGGATTCTAAGTTCTTCCATAAAACATGGTGCCTATAGCTGATGGATGTTATGGCTGCTGCCTGTGCTCTTACCTGAAAAAGGAAACCTTTTACTCACATGATAGTCGAAGTTTTCTTGCCTGCTAAGACGATATTAATGATGATAGGTGTGACGATCGAGAACGAACTGGAGTCAACGAGCCAAGTATCCAACTGATCCACTGGTGTTTGCTGGGAGGTTTCTTTCATTTGTAAACAAAAGGGCCTACCAACCTAGTATATGGAATTTTTTTTCTTCTCCTCTATAGACTTAGTTGCTTTGTTTGATGCACCGATTTGGACCCTGTTCTCTTACTTGGCTGTAGCAATAGGAGGGAGATTACCGAAAAGGAGAACATCGAAAGAAAACTACCGAGAGGATATTACCGTTGTTTCTCGTCAGGAGACTATTTAAATTACCGTTCCTGAGCTTTCTCTTCCTCTCTCCAGATTTGATAGCTTCCTTGAATAGTATAAACGATGAACAACGAAGGACTACCGCCTTCTCATATTTATCTATCCTACAAACCTATTACGATAACGCCCCGGGCGATCTCTTTTATATCCTCCTATTGTTCGGGAATAACTGACTCTAAAGTTATCCCGTGAAGTAAAGTCTTGAAATGGAAGGATGTCAGGATTTCGATCCCATAAAGTAAAACCTCTAGACAATCCTACATGTTAGGTTCTCCTCACTAAGGTCACACATAGGCTTAAGAAAGGCAACAATAAACACAAAACGGAACGATAATGTAGGGCTTTGTCTTATCCGAGATATTCTCGAGTACGCCTTTCTCGATAATACGTTTGCCAGTAAGTATATCGAATGCCCTCCAGATATCCGGAACCTCACAAAGGGCCTGGAACACCGACTTAGGACAGCTATTCACTCCAAAGACGCTATCGAAAAAATTCCAGTCTTTAGCAGAGCTAAGAAAAGTAAAGAGGGTCTTTGGATTACTAATCCAGAATTCTCGCTGGATTATGCTAAGGTGCTGGAGTATAAAAGTCTACAAGCCCTTCAGCTAGAGTGAAAGAGGAAGGAACACTCTACAAATGCAACCAAGCTACATGGACAAAATGAACAGCTGCAGGAGGAGATTCGAACACTTGGGTCACAGATCGAGTAGCTGAACATTCCAGCCCCGACTCGGCCGGACGTAAAGACCCTAGTCCTACTAGATTGGGATCTTCCCAGATGCTAGAAGTAAATAATTCTAAATTCTTCATCAAGGAAGTGATCAGTCAAAAAGGTCTTGGTTCAAGACAGTCTTCGTACTAGTGTTCGTTTGCTGAAGATGCTGTCCGTTCAAACCAATTTTGTTCATCAAATTACAAAGCTTGCAGGCCATTTTCAATGATTAGCTTCTTTATGTGCCAGATCTTCAATCATAGTGGATGTTTGAGTGAAAATGTGAAGTAACCTAATTACTCGCTAATTATACTAGGTTCGCTAGCTGTCTCTTGACAAAACTTGTCCGAGTCACTTCATAAATAGTATACGCACTCAAAACGACTAGAAGAGCCATAACGCAGAAGCTTTGATAGATTGACCTGATTCTCCCCAGTGCAACATGGCTTACACTGTCATTTCTCAATGCCATCCATTAGAAGCTGTGGAGTCCGTTTCCTGCGGCGTCGGAGTGGTACTACTTTGCGGCTGCTTTGGGCTAATTTGCTGTGGCTGTGGAGTTGGTTCCGCCGGGTTCGGGCAGTCATTTGGCGGAACAGCTCGAATGCAGACTGCATGCCCGGCCAGCATGTTGTCGCAATAAGGGTGAATCGCAGGGTTCAAGCTTAAAAATGTGGTCAAATCAAGCCCTGGATGCATATTGACAACGTCGACGCAGGTCTCTGGAGGAGTTCGCAGTTGGGGTGAGTACCACGCAATACCTGCGCATGTTTTAGCAATCCTCCATCTGAATGATAGTCAAGCAAGCCAGGGGTAATTTACAATCTCCCACTTGTTGAGCCTGAAGCTCTACTCCATTCACAGTGGCCGAAAAGATGAAGCTAACCCCCATAAGGAGAGTTCGAAGATTCACTGTCATCATGTTAAACCAGAAAATTGAGTCCGTTTAGGAATAAATGGCAGCGAGGTAATGAATGGGTTCTCAGTAGCGAGGAATTTCTTGTTCTGTAGAATATCCCTTCTGTTGGGTGGGAACAAATATCTTATAAAGGACCGAGGGTTACAACATACCTTGCAGTCGTGGCATTCCATTGCATTGTTGACGACTAGATGGGAAATTGCTTTAGGGCAAGCGTTGACGGCTCGGGGCCACAGAGGCGGGTAATTTAGCCGATTGGGCAGTCATTCATCTGGCAATGGCTGGCATGCCAAAACCTTGTTCTGTAGCAATAAACAACGAGCATAGTTCACCATGTCAGGAATTGAAAGACGTAATCCTTGACATATCAAGCATTCACGGGCCAGCGCGATTTTGGGAGTGCATAGGCTGCAGCTCCCTCCCTTGAGGAGCGGTTCGTGGTTCAAGAATTTAGAACCGCCCGGGCCCATCTTCAGAACTGGCCGTCTCGATCACCCTAAAACACTATGCTAAAAGCGATTTGTTGGTGCGGATATGTCAATAACGAGAAGATACTTTCACTTGATTTGTGGTATACCTGAATTCTCTTACATCAGAAATACTTTGGAGCAATGAGCATTAGCAGAAAACAGTTGTTTATCCACAATACCAAAAATACGCTCCGATAGTGTAATATAAATATATATATATACACATCATTATGCCCAAAATAGTTCTCAAGGCTATAAACACATACCTATATACCCGGAGTCTGTATAGTTAACCTTACGTGCTGAGATATTAAGTTATGAGACATTGTATTTACCATGATGTTCTCGGGTGATCGGGTCGGCTGGTAATTAAGATAGTTAAAACTAACTTTGGTGACAGGAAAATAGATATTCCGTGATTATCCCTAATATATGCTAGTGCCCGTCCGGGGCGGGGTTAATGGAACTTCTACGTGAGTGGGGGTGATCACACCAGGTTTGAGACACCGAAGGCTTGGGCAGCCTTGTTCCGTTGTACTTTCGGGAACACTGAAAATTTTGCTCTTGTATCCAGCCGAAATAGAGGTCGTTTCTCTGCATCATCGTTACTGCGGTTATCCAACTCACAGGGAGAATTGTGGAGACTTGCGGGAGCTATATACATATGGCGAAATATGCACGAGAAGATATTTTTGCCTTACAGAGGACGGTTACAGTTCTCAAAGATGTTCTCCAAGAGTCGCAGGGCGCAAATCTACCTAATTCCTCGTCGCTAGTCAATACTATCAACGATCGCAACTCGAGGCCTTAGAAGTGAAGATTGGTCCAGGGAAGGGGAAGCGAATGATGGACTTCCAGCCTTAGCATGGCCTCTTAAACACGCAGAAGTGGGCAGGATTATGAAGGATATCCAGAGCTATGAGGCATCCTTCTCGTTATATTAGCAGGTGGACTAGATGTAAGTTCATGATTAAATCCGAGTACGACTAGCTAACGTCTGCACAGGATTCTCTTAACCAATATTAACCGATATGGCTGGAAATACGGACTGGATTGACTAAAATGTTGTCCTCGCCAAATTGCCCACTGCACAAGGGGCCGAGTTTGACTCGTATATGGATCAGCATGAGAATGAATGTCTCTCAAGCACCGGTACCGAGCTACTCCAGCAAGTTTTAGAATGTGCTAGTTTGCCACAAAGCAAGTCCATCTTCTGATTGAATGGGATGGCTGGAACTGGGAAATCGACTGGGGACATCATCTGGCGCAATGCAAAAACTTGTGTGATGTGGAAAAGTCTTTTTCATTCCTGCGTAGGCACTTCCTTCCTTGGGTGGAGGGAATGAGCCTTATTGACGATGCATTGAAGCGGTGGAGATAATTGATCTTTCACAGGCGGTTGTATCGGTATGTGTCTTGTTTGGCCAATATATAATTCACACTGATAGATAAAGGACCCCAACCATTCTGCGATGGCGGATTTTCCGCATGACGCAAAGCGCTTTATACTCAACAACCTTCAGGTAGTCGATATTGTGCTCGTTCAGCTTTACTGCTCGGGACTTATCCTTGCACCCCAGAAAGCTCTAGTACGTAGAGAGTTTGAAATAGGTATTCCTGTCTGGGTATATCGCTTGCTACGTGTTGAAGAGACCTGGAGCGCTGAATTGTAAGCACTTGAAAGGCACTCGGGCTCCCTTGAGGCAGTCACTTTTGCTTCTAACGGTCAAATACTAGTCTCTGGCTTGTAGGATAATACCATCCGTCTATGGAACGCAGGCGTGCTGTGACAGATTCTTGAAGGTCACACCAGTTCGGTTCGGTCCGTGGCTCTATCTTTAGATGGCTGACTACTGGCATCTGGCTCCTACCTCCTACGATGAGATAATCTGGCTGTGGGACGTAATAATGGGAGGACTGCGGCGGAATCTTACGCCTGTTCAAATTCTGTTCAGTCGGTGGTATTCTCGCCTGACTCCTAGCTGGTAGCGTCCGGCTCTCATGATAGGACACTGTGGCTCTGGGACACTGAAATAGGATCGCTGCGAAAGACTTTCCGTGGCTATGAGGGTGAAGTCGAATCAGTAACATTCTCGCCAGAGGGCTAGTTATCAGCTTCTGACGCTCTGGACATGATAGTCCGGCTCTGGGACATAAATCGGGCACGTAAGAGCAAGTTCTGGAGGGCTATTTAAATTGGGTTTCGTCCGTAGCTTTTTCGCCTGACAGCCGACTCCCGGCGTCTGCCTCGGATGATATAACAGTCTGTCTCTGGTGTCCAGCGGTGGGTATAGTCCAGCGTAAACTTGAAGGTCACTTAAGGTCGGTTTACTCGGTAGTATTTTTACCCGATGGCTAGCTGCTAGCGACTGGGTCCTACGAAGAGATAGTTTGGCTTTGCAATACGGCGACGGGTAAACTGCGATGAATTTCCGAAGGTCACTCATCACGATAACGGGCGAGAATGCCACGGTATCGAGACAAAACATCACGCACAATCATAACCTTTCCATCGATACCCCCTAATTATCACGTATCCCACTTTGTTTGTGTTTGATTTGTTAGGTAACTACTTTTAACCCCACGATTTCTTCCCAAGATAAAATTACAACTACCCTTTATCTATCTATATCTAAAGGTCCTTCTGATAAGGTTCTATTATATGATTCTAGGCTTAACGGGGCTATTGTCAGAGTCATCAACATGGGCCCTATCGCCTGCAGTATAGGTATAGCGTTATACGTGTTATCCTGACCGGTCGGGGCGCTCAATGGCTATTGAGATACCAGTCGGAACCTTGATGTGGAGTTTAATTATATAGGAGACAGAATCAGTCGACATTTTTACTCTAGAGTACAGGAAACCATTTTGTCACATGTGGCGCGTTCACTCCAGAAGACAGACTCCTTGTCACGCAGTAGGTAACAGGTCATACCAGGCTCTCGATGGTGTTCAAGGTCCAAAGTGACATTAAACGGGGTGCCGCTAATCTCGAACGGTCAGACTCCAGGTAAAATCTGATCTGCTCGGCGCGGAGCTGCTCAGCTGCTGGATGCAAGCCTTGCGCTCGAATAGCCTCCAGCATAGACCTATCTGTTACTAAATAGAAACTCCTTCCTTTTACAAACCAGCACATCACAGCAACCGCCAACATAACGCCGAACACAGCAATTGCATAATTCATATCAGTAGAAGACGGCCGAGGCGAGCCTGGAAAGAAAAAGAAGACCGTGGTGACGACACAATAGCCAATACTAATCCAATTAATCAGAAGACCCCATCGGCCCAGATGGAATCTCCGTGGTGGTAGTTGATCGCGCCCAACATAGACTAAAATTATAATAGGCATTCCATAGGAGATGGTGAGGGAAATCGTGCTTACGCTCAACACGGCTTGCAGCACCGTATTGCTGAAGAGGTAAAGCACCCCCACGACTGCGATAAGAAATCCCTCGGCCCACAGGACTCGCATTGGAACGTTCCAATACGTGTCTATATGTGAAAGGTAGATGCTCCAGGGTAGCCCGCCATCTCGAGCAAAGCCCCAGGTCAAACGCGATGTAGCGGTCATAATACTGAGACCCTGACCTAAACCGTTAATCTCAAAAAGTACAATAAGCACAAGAGTGCCCTTTAACCCCACAGTACTGGAAACCAGCTCCGTAAAAGGAAAATCTGTAGGCGAATCCAGGATCTGATCAAGATCCTGTAAACAGAATAAGCAGAAAACCATGAAAAGAGCACCTGTGACGGCTCCAATAATGACGGCTAAGAGCAGAACACGAGGGATATTAACCCTTGGTGCAGGGATCTCCTCCGACATATGGATCACGGAATCGAATGCTGTTAGGCCATAGGCACCCTGGAGGAGCCCCATAAACCACACGACTCCATCAGGCCAGCCAGTCCGATTGATCCACTGACCGAAGACAAACCCGGCTGGCTGATAGTGCAGATCCGAGCGGACGGCGACTGAAATCAGCATGGCCAACGAGAAGATGATAAGCAAAGCTCCAAATTGGATGCCAAGGATGTTATTGAACCATGGCAGGTGACTGTCCTTGCGGCAAGCACCGGCGTTAAGCAAGGTGAGCAGTAAGGTGACGCCCAAATAGACAACAAATAACAGCCACCGATTCGGGCCAGGCCACATAGCGTCATATATTGCCTTGTTTGCAATCATAAAATTGGTCATAAAGGCGATTTGCGACGCGGTGAGCGTCCACCAGCCAAACACGTTTATCCACGCACATAGGTAGGAGACGAATCGGGCCCAAGGGGACCGCCACAGGCGGAAGATCCAGTAGGCCTGCCCCAGTGCCGTAGGCATACCACTACAAAGTTCACCTAGGGATGCCACCACGCAGAGGTTGCAGAATGTGACAAGACATAGGCCCCAGAGAATACTGACGGGCCCACCGTTCATCAAGCCGCCTGCCAAGTCTTGCGCAAACGTTGACCACGTTCCCAAGATGCTGAAAGCTAGCGCTAGCATACTCCAGGTGGTGAACTTGCGGGACAATGCCTGCTGGTACCCCATTCCTGCTAAGTCCAAGGTATCATAGGTCGCCTGGTCCATCTTTTCTCGTTTCAGCTGCGTTTCGAATGACAGCCATTTCATACTCCACGGAGCCTTGAAATAGTGCTAGCACAAGCCATTCAAACTGAGGCTCTTTGCATAATGGAAGCGTTGAAAGGACCATTTGTGTTTAGTTTGTTCGAGGTCGCTGATTTGCTTTTCGGCAGGTACGGAATGACCGATCGTCAGGTGCAAGCCGGAAAACTTCAAACGTAGAAGCTAGCCATCCGGAAAAAGCTTAATTCGGCAGCTTGACCAGGGTTTGATATATCTGAAAGAATTGATAGGACCTCGTACCGGACGGTCGTCAGACCTGAAAGCTCTAACGTATGGGAACGTGGAACGTGGGGCAGCGAAGTCACGGATGCGTAGTTATGACAGAAGATAACCCCAGACCTGGCTTATATAATTACCCGGTATTGCTGTGAATCGAGGAACGAGTGAAGGGGTTACTACCCCGCGCGAGCTGCCCACAAAGTTTGGTGTGTTCGTCACTGCAAAATCCTCACCCGTTCTCGCCGCTGATTCGTCGATTTTCGCAGCCAAGACGTGTCTGGTTCGCTCGAGTCTATCCATCTTAACTCTTAGGGTTCTAGGGCTTCGTTCCGCACTTCAGTCTAGGTTTCTCTTTTATGACTGGTTGGTGCTGACTCATCTGCAGTAGTAGTGTAACTCTCTTCTTGACTTAAGGTCTCTTACATCATTGATATTAACTTCCACGCTAAGCGTTGCTGATTGTAAGTAAGGTCTTGATCGTATTAGAATAGTGCAATGACGTAACATATTTCCTATAAGCTAGTGACTTTCATTCTTCAGACAAAACAGATCATGAAATACTCATAAACGCTTGCTCTCAGATGATATTCTTGACATAATAGTAGAGCGTGCAGAGCCAGCTTGCTTCTGCTCGTTTCCGGTAACGCAGGTAACTGACACAGCGATTCTTAATAATATGACCGTCTAGTTTTTCATAAACGATCCCTAGAACTCACCTATACTACGTGGAGGACTAGAACGAAGTAACTAGTATTCCGTAATATCCTAGTCAGACCTTAGGTACGAGGCGGCTCGCTGCCACAGAATCGGCCAGCGTTGGTTCAGCGATGCGCTAGAGCTACGAAAGGATTCCATTCTGTGGTACTGTAAACATGCCACACCAGCGGCAAATTTGACGTTATAGTAGAAAGTCTAGGGCTTTGTATGACCCTTATAAGTCGGCTGTCCTTAACCAGTCTCGAATTGTATCATAGCACGGATTTCGCTTTTGACTTGCGTGTCTAATATAGTGTCAGTCCTAAGCATGATTGTAGAATTTGTAGAACCCTTGCCATAGGAGTCACATGAGTATATGTCCTTCTCAAATTAAGAGACTTCAGAAACCATTCCCCATCCTTTAGCTTCCAAATTTCATGATAATAACCCCCACCCCTCACGCCCACAATATTGGCTGTTGACTTGAGAAAGATCTGGTCTTCCATGCGCCATATAACCTTAACTTTATCCTTTGGTATTTGCTTTAATTCGCTAGGCCCGAACATATAGAGGGTTTCCGCATCCGCAAAGAACCGGTGAAAAAAATCCGTGAATGCTTAGGTGGATCTAAATGACAGAGGCGTTCTTCCGACTAACAAAATCTGCCCGTTAGTATCCCAGAAGTGAAGTTCGGCGTCCGGTACGGCGATCTCGTTAAATTTCGAGTATTATTTTATATCGATAAAGCGGCCGTACTTCGCTTTTTGTTCAGTGATCGCTTATACAATTTCAAAAGATACCATATTTAAATATTTCGAACTATGTTCTACCTAGCAATTAATGCAAATCGCCTGAATTGTAAGCTTTTCTATTATAGGTCGGATAATAGATTAGACCGACGGAGAGATAATAAGTCCGGGCCGGATATCTATACTGATTAACTTAAGTATAGAGCCTTGAGCCTCGGTAAACTTAGTTATATCAAGATAATAGCGATTAAGTAGATGTATACTACGATATCACTAAGTCTAACGAGGAATACCCGTTAACTATTTAGTTAACTAATAATTAGCTAACTGGTGCTAGCTAGAACTACGGGCCCGTGCTTAAGGTCGATATTTAGGTTTCCACGATCTCGACGACCCGTTTGCCCGAGAAATAGACTAGCTCCAGGTACACTGACCGAATCTATGCTGTAGAGGACGCGATTTAGAGACATCTTCTCATCAGAAACATACTTTTTCAAAACAAACTCGAAGATAGTATCCTAGCCTTCACCCACGGCTTTTTCTATGTAAATGACACTTCGTTCTAGCGCTTACCGCGTGCGGCAGCGTTGATGCTTATATACGTCTGGCTTGTACTGCCCCGTACGCTGCTCGCCCCAAGAGAAGCATTTATAACAAGGTCATATGGCCCGTCAACTGTGAGTCTACGATCAAGTTTTAACTTGTATTTTACGTTGTTTCCATTGTGACCAGAGTTAAATATCCAGTGATATATTTATGTAAAATACTTTTGTTTATCCTCTTCTCTCTGTTCAATTCATTTTTGACTTAGCGAATATATTTTTGCATGTACGCTCGTCCAATCATTGCACCTTGCCCCGCATCTTGGTATGCATATAATTGGCTAATCCTAGCGAACATGTGTCCGTACCTTTCCGGTGCCTTATGAAAACTAAGCGTTTGACTTTCATCCTATCACTCAACTCCGCTTCACTTTTGACGCTTGTTTCGTTTCAGGGCCACTGCATGCGACAGCGCGCGTCACCAGTTTACGGCACACGGCCTAGAAACGGCGAGAGTTCTTTGACTATGCCAAAGGAAGCCTAGCTTTTCTTGGCATTAGGGGTCAAGAAACAATCGAAGATTGGAGGTAGTGACATCAATTTCCGGAAGTACTGTATAACGATAAATCAAGCTTCGAACAGGACTCTCCGACCAGGAAAGTGACCTTAAAGTCTGATAAAGACAAGAGTCAGGAGTTCCGATCAATCCCCTTTTGCCCCTCACATATCTCTTGATTGGCCCCCTTAGGATAGCTCTTGAAGTCTCTCACGGGAACTTCGGCTTGAAACATTCTATTGATATCTTCAAGAGATCTGCCCTTCATCCCTGGAACACAAAGATAGGCGAAAATAAAAGAGCAACATGCAAGAGCGCCAAAGACAAATCCAACCTTTGAATGAAGATTGGCGTAGGGGGCATCCAGAAGATAGGGTGTGCTGAAAGAAAACACGAAACTATATTTCGAAGATGTATGTCAGTCAAAGGGCAATTGAAATATGAAGAACAAGCCATACTTAGTGGCGATGTTGACAATGGAGGCCACACGTTGCGTCTTATCACGTAAACGAGTTGCTGGAAGTTCAGTAGTGATGATATAGTTCAAAGGGTCCCAACTGAAGCAGGGACTAGCTGATGACAGTGCAGTAGCGGCAACAATAACCCGGGTCTGCGTCACTGTTGGCGATGATACTGTTCCAACGCAGCCCATTATAAACAGCCATGCCACCTGCAATGCAGAACCGAGCATTAGTAGCGGCCGCCGTCCAACTTTGTCTGTGATGTAGATGGCGGTCACACATGCGAAGGTATTTATGCAAGAGCTCAAGAGTGAGAATTTGAATGGATTAATTGAATTCAGTGATTGGACGAAGAGCGTTCCATATGCTGCTGTAAATGGAGAGCCCGTTGCTTGGATGAAGAAGTTCGTACCGATGGCAATCAGGGTGCGCTTTCGATTGCGGCCTCGGAAAAGATCCGTATATGTGCCCCGATTCTGTTCCTCAACAAGGGAAGCCTGTAACCTTGCAAGCTCTTCTTCGGGTGAAGGACTATTGGGGTTTGAGCCGCGCAGCTTCCGTAATGAGTCTAATGCCTCGTCTATTCGATCGTTCATGAGCAGCCACCGAGGAGACTCGGGAATGAACCAGATACAAGATGCCACGATTGAAGGGACGACGTAGAATAGTCCCTGGGGGATCCTCCATGCAGCATTACTAGCCAAGGTGCTCGTGCCAAGGCAAATGCTGTTGATGATGATACCCCCTACCAGTAAGCTGGCTTGATATGTACCTACTGCAAATCCTCGAATTGGAGCTGGGATTATCTCAGCCTGGAACGGTGGACAGGTTGCCAATTCCATACCAACGTAGGCATAATTCAGGATACGGCCAGCAAGAACTTGCTCGATCCGAGTGGAGGTAATGAGTACGGTAGCAGACATGATTGCCCAAATTGACATGGTAAACATCGAGATGCGGCGGCCATATCGAGCACTCACGACACTCCCAATATATAGTCCTTGGCATATATTAGTTCGATCTACTCAATTTGAAATGCATGAACTTACCGATTGCAAACCCGATAAAGTTCAAACTGTTTAACAAGGATGTCCAGTATGTCGGGATAGCCCAGGTCTTTTTGGCCGCATCATAGACTCCAAATTGCGTCTTGTAAGCTGCCATCGCCTGACTGGTCGCTATGCCTTGGTTGTCAAAACCATAGTTGAGTGTGGACAGACTGATGAGCCCCACTGCCCCAGCTAATCTCGGGGTGAAGTGTTGGCCAAGGTGGCTCTTCTTCCAAATTGAAGAAATCATCTTCCGGGCCAACCTGCTCGATCCTGGATGGGAGGATTGGCCGCCAAAGTGCGCTGGGAATTTGATAGTATATATATGCGGGCCATTTCGAGAGGCCTCCAAAATCGTTGCAGTCGCAATGCACACAATCAATCACGCGAAAGATAAAAGCGGGGCCGTTTCTTGAATGCGGATAGCGTTTGAACTTTCAAGGTTCATTTTTGGCGGGGAAAGATTTGGCGGAAAGTTTTTGGTTGTGTCGGAGAGATTTTTTTAGAACCAGGAGCGGAACCCCCCTCACACTAAGGTCCTGGGAGTTGGGCAACCCAGGAACGGTTTTGCGAAGTGAAAGTTTGACGCTAATGATGAAATGAACGTGTGATATGGGGTCTGGGATCGCGCGCGAGAGATTCTTCCCGAACTTTTTGTTTGATCTTTTTCTCACGGAACTGATGTTATGGATCTCTGGATGTTCGTTTTGATTGTATTCCAGATCAACATAATTTTCGATAAATAATTTGTTTAGATTCACTAAGTTACAAACCACAGGTCCTTTCAAATAAGGAGCTAGCCCTGCGCGGCAGTTGCATCATGGTCTTGACTGCGGTGCTGAAACATCGAAATCAAATCGATCGGGAACTTGCAATCCTGCCTTGAGATGTCCGCCCATTTCCAGCAAGGAGACTCCATCCCGGAATAGCCAAGGGTCTTTGGTTCTTCTTTGCCAGTCTTCTAACTCACCGCGCAGGCTCCTCAGTAGGTCTTGGTGCCTAGGATCAGAGGCGATATTGGTGATTTCTGTAGGATCGTTGAGCATGTCATACAATTCTTCTGGCGGACGCTCAATATAGGATTTCAGCGCCCGTTTTCCAATCATCACTGGCCCAGGGGCATTTCGAATCCCCTCCCATGACATGGAGGCGTACAGGTCTGTAGAGAAGGGAAAATCAAGTTTCCAAGCAACGTTTCGGTGGTACTTGTATCGAGTTGTGCGGAGAAATCGCGTGGGATAGTAATTGGTGATTTCATGGAATGTGTGGGATCCAAACACTCGCGTCCACGATTCATCGATCGTGGGACTTGCCATGATAGGTAGTAACGAGCGCCCCAGGCGAGGCGGGTCTGTTTGTTTAACGTCCTTGTACCCGGCCCAGTCCAGAATTGTGGGCAAAATGTCGATGTAGGACACCATATTTGGATTCCTCGAGCCGGAACCGCAGCCTGGTTGCCGGATGATGAGAGGTAGACGGATACCGGCATCATAGAGTGTTGTCTTGGAGTTGAGGAATGGTGGGCCGTTGTCGCTCATAAAAATGACCATGGTATTTTCATCGAAGCCATTCTTCCTAAGGGTGTCCATGATCAAACCAAGCCCTCGATCGACACGGCCGATCGCCCGGTAGTATTCGGCTAATTCATGTCGGACCTCAGGAATGTCGCTCAAGAATTCTGGAACGGTCACCGCATCAGAGTCGTAACAGGCATCTGGTGCAGAGACTTCTCGATCGCCGTTTCCAAACCCACCACGAGTGTGATCTCGATGGGGATCCATGTAACCGACCGTGAGAAAGAATGGCCGGTCACCATTCTTTGCTTCTTCGAAGAAAGACGCAGACTGCTCCGCGACCCACGCAACGTCTCGACTAGGGCTCTCCACCACATGCTCCCAAGGGTACACGGCGAGAGGACCGACATGGATCTTGCCAATGATGGCGGTCAAATAGCCGTGATTCTGAAGAATTCCAGGCGCAGTTTGGATATGATCGAACGTCATGAAGTGGTGAGTGAAGTGATTGAGACCGTACTGGCCATTTTCATGAGTATGCAGGCCTGTATATATGACAGATCGACTTCCACTGCAGGAGGCAGTGCTCGCGAATGCATTTTCGAAGACGGTGCCTTCGTTGGCGAGCGCATCGATATGCGGGGTCTTGACGGCTTTGTCGCCATAGCAGGGTAACGTACGTCCCAGGTCATCGGCGATGACTAAAAGAATATTTTTCTTGGACCTGTACATTTTGGAAGGCGTTTCTATGAATGCAGCTTGGTTGAGCGTGATTTTGCCCAGCTGTACCACATTCACGATTATATAGATGCTGTTTCTGGCGGGTCATTGCAAAGTTATCTCAGGAGCAAATCCAGATTGGTGGGGCTCAGGAACGGAGGATTTTGCGGAGAGATTCTTGTCTCATGGCTCGTGAGGGAAAGACTGGCCTCCCCCAGTCGCGTGGGGGCTCGTTGATTGGCACCTGAGTTGCTGGGGGATAACCGAGCCGTGCTGTGTGACGCGATCCCTCGGCAAAGTGGCATGATTCGACCTGGCCGAGATCTACGATGATGGTCGATCTCTGACAACCCCCCCTGTCCGGTTTCTCCTGGCTGCATCGAGCCCCTTCGAAAAACGGCCTGCGCTAGCTCTTGCTGTGTTAATTTCGTGCGGATCGGCCGATGATTCGAGCTCGGGCCTGTGACCCATGCGCGCTCCGAAAGGCCAAGTGCGACAGGGGATCACCCTGTCGACGGTGCAGCGCGCAGGGCTTAAGCTGCACACTATTGCGGAAATCTTCAAAGCCAGGACCTAAGGGGCCATGGGCTGGGAAGAAACGTGCAAGAGTTAAATTGCAGAGTGCTCCACTGAAGAATTCGTCCGTCGGCCTCGCTGAGGGTGGCCAGCCGGGGAATCTGGGTCCTCCAAACCAGGATGAAAGCAACTACGATGCAGTTTTAGCAAAAGTTGAACGCTGTCTGCGCATCTACAGGCAACATTCGTATAGCCTCTGGCCAGTGGTGGATGTTCAGAATCTTCGGACTCGGCTTCGCAATCATTTAGATGTCGCGGCATATGCACTGGGCACTGCACTTGGTGCGGTTATGTCGGACCGCATACATCATCTCCAGGCTTCGAGTGACACCGACGAATATCCCGAGCTTGACAGCCAGCGATTAGCGTCCGAGTCAGAGACAGCAAGGATGGAAGGCGCCTATCAGGAAAACCCCAGTCTCTACACGATATTATCTTCGTTCTTTTTGCATATTCACTCGGCCAATCGAGGCCAGATATTCAAAGCTACTTTGCTTCTCCGTGAAGCCATTACGATCGCGCAGCTACTGGGATTAGACCGGCCCGGCCACTATGCCGGCCGATCTGCTACTGAAGCGCAGGACCGGCTTCGAATCATCTGGCTACTTCACATCACAGAAAGGTATGACAGAGGTTTCTTCCCTGTTCGAAAAGGACTGTCTTTGAGCCAATTTGGCACTCTAGGGGTCACGCAACACGCTTCGATCTCCCGTGTACCCTTCACCTTGATTCACGTCAACCCAGCACTGCACGTAGATGAAAACCCGTTCGGCTTGCTGCCCTTTTTAGGTATGGTCCAGCTCTTTCAAACATTCGGTACTGCCATAAATAGCTTTGAATTTCATGGTGAATGCCATCTCCTCCTGGCCATGGATATGCAAATCCAGCAAATACCGCAATTACTGGACCATTCTCCCGACTCTCAACTGGTCGACTTTCTCATCACGAAACAGTGGATGAGGCTGATTCTATGGAGACGAGCTATGTTCCATGTGGAGCTATCACTTAATATGGCTGCCGAGAGTCTCAGCTTATTCTTCCCCGAACAGCTTGCGGAGAAAGTGGTCGCGCATATTAGCACTTTTCCACGAGGCGTTGTCGAATCTCATGGTCTAGGAATGGTAAGTGGTCGGCATCCAACCACTTCGTGGTGTATAGGACGAGGCTGTTGCTGTCGGTTCACCAGTTATTGACTAGAGACACAGCAGATGAAACTTGCAGACATCGCAATATCCCTTGCAGATGTCCTGTCTTGTAGATCCAGCAATTCCGAACCGCATGAATGTATGCGGGTTGGGTCCAGAAACCTCCTACATTATCCGTGCCTTACTGCCCACCCAAACCGGGAAGCGGTTTGGGTGCGCCTGGTGTTATGGCCATTCCGGTGTTATGGCCAATTTTCTACCAGTAGCCTTCTACTAGCTAATTCAACCACCAACGATGCCTAAATCTATCAATTTTGATGAATCTCGCCTGGCCGAGGCCTGCCAAGTGGCCTTATCCAGCAAAAAACCGAATTTTTCTAAGATTGCGCGTGAATTCGGCGTGGCTCGCAAGACCTTAGCCAATCGCGTCGAAATAGCTAAATCGCCTACTACACCTACCAAATCGCTAAGAAACGCCCTAGAGCTATACCAGGAGAAAGCCTTGATTAGCTGGATAGTCCAAATGCATAGCTGGAATCTCCCACCTACCCCTGCGGTAGTAGGTATATAGGCAAATCGCGCACTGGCGCGAACAGATCAGCCAGATAGGCAGGTTGGTAAAAACTGGGCGTACGGCATTATAAAGCCCCTACCAAAAAACCTTGGCCTAGGCCCTGTGAAGTAAAAGACCAAGGAACTGAAGCGAATCCAATCGGAAGATACAGGCCTTCTTCAGCACTAGTACGACTAGCTAGAACGGGTCCTCTATAACGTCCCTGCCCGGCTAGTATATAACTTCGATGAATACGGGTTTTAACCTAGTCAAGGGCGATCACGAAACGTTATTAGTGCTAAATCATCTTGCCCTGACCTTGCTGAGACCGAGAAAGGCGAAAATATTACTGCATTAGAGTGTATTACTACGGACGGCTAGTAGATAGACCCTCTCTTTATATTCAAGGGAACTAGCAAAAATCTTATAGAGGCCTGGTTCTACGGTAGCGAAAACCTCTCACCAGACACGATAACGGCTATTTCTCCTAATAGCTAGATTTCTGATAAATTAGCCCTAGCCTAGCTAGGCTATTTTATTTAATTGATAGCTCATCGTATGAAACAGGGCGAAAAGCGCGTTCTTATATTCGATAGCTATAGCGCGTATCTTATACTCGAATTTCTTCAACTTTACGAGGATAATACGATTATCCCTTTTGCATTCGTACCGTATTTAACCTATCTTTGCCAGCTACTTGACGGAAAGCCCTTCTTGAATTATAAGCAGCAATTTCGCTTAATAAATAATAAACTAGCTTTCTGGGGTAGCTAGCTATATAGGAAATCAGATTTCCTCGCGATTATCGGGCCAATTCGCAAGAAGGCGTTTACGCAGCGAATTATCCGCGAATCCTTTAGTGATCGCGGAATCTATCCAGTTGATAGTACTAAGGTTGTTGACGATCCTGCTAAAGAACTGGTGATTCCTGATCTATACGCACCAGATCTTCGCTTATAGGGCTCGCATACACCATCACCACCACCACCTAATCTCTCGTCTTCTAGTGTTGAAAATAGCCCTCCAAAATCTATTAAAGCACTAAATAAGAACCAGGCGAAGATTACTAAACACCTCGAGGATCTATCAGATAAGATACAGCGAAATCTATCGAGGTTGATAGCGCACCAGCGGGAGATAGCGGAGGAGCTTTCGATGACGCGGGATACAATTCAGCGTATTAGGGCCGCGCAGGCCCCAGTGCGTCGAAAATACACCAAGCGACAGGTTAAGCCACTTAGCCAGACTAGTATATTAACTACACGCGATGCGAATCGATCGATTGATACTAGGAAGAAGGAGGAATTAGCCAAGCAGGAAAGGAAGCTAGCTAAGCAGTTCAAGAAGATTTATGGCTACGAGCCCACACAGCGATCGGAGGAATCTATCCAGCGGGCAATTGCTAATGAGGAAGCGGCTAGACGGGCGGGAGAGCTTTTTTTTATTGATAATTAGCTAGTTGGGTGGTAAATTTGACGATTTCTATGAAAATTGGCCATAACACCGGAATGGCCATAACACCGGGCGCACCCAAAGCGGGAAGCGCTTTGGGTGGGCAGAAAGGCACGGATACCTAGCCGCATTCCTGACATCTATTCCGAACAGCGTGAACCCGCGACTTGGCCTATTACAAGAAAAGATCGCTCAAACTGGCTGGATACTTCCCTTAGAACACCTGGTTTTGCCTACGGGAGAAGAGGAATGAAACGCAACGGACGAACAGTTGCCACATGTACCACATGGTGGGGAGCTCCGATAGAAGTGACATGGTTCACATCACCCACCGAGCTTTATAGGCTATAGACAGAATATATTGAATCCTGACGACCACCCTCAAGGGCCGAACCACTCTGCGCTTGCAAATTTGGCGAAATGAAGTTGTCCTGGTGAACGTCGGGAAACTACAGCGAGGGGCACACATTTGGCGGTTCCGGGCGTCTGTGCATCATAGGTATCATCCTATCGTGACCAAATCTCGAAATCTCCATCTCTCTTCCAGCTGGGATGTTTCCAGATAAGCCTAGATCCCAACATTCAACAAAATCCGGGAGAACTCGTAGAGGGATCCACTTTGAGTCTCAAGCGGCAGCTCTGAGAATTATTGCCAAAAGGCGAAGCTGATATCACTTCAGAATGCTATTCAGGATGGAAAGAAACTCGTTGGCAGAGTTAAGTCGGAACCCCCGAGTTACTGAAACAATCGCTGCGTATTAACAGTCACAGTTGTGTCTTGCAAGTCTGTTGACAAACGGTGATGCTGCTTCGCCACAGTTGATGTCAAGGACCACGAAGACCTTGCAATGAGGCACAATTTCGAAACTTTGCCAACCTTTATTCTCATCGAGCACGAAATCGAAATTGACAATCTCGCGGGCACAAACATGGAGGAACTCGAAAAACAATCAAGTCTTCTTGTACTTGAGTCCTATCAGTCCTCCAAGGAACAACGGGGCGTCTAGGTACATAGGGCCTTCTTTCACTACAGCTATCAAAGTTGCTTACTATTTCATGTCTGAACAGCTTGAATAAGCTCTAAAATTGATTCTAAGCCGATCAAAATAACTATGTATCGCGGGGAAACCCTTTCTTCTTTCCGAGTCCCTATGATCTCTCTGTCCCGGAGGACCATTGTCATCGGGAAATGTATCAGAATCATTCACAAAGTTCTCGAGATATTTTCTTAGTGGAAGATAGTTGTTAATTTATGACTGTCAAGTGCCCTTGATAAGATTAGCACGGTGTGCCATTGAAATTTGAATTGCACCAAGTATGGATCGCGAGCTGACCCTCAAGTTCCCCGATGAAGTCAGACCTAGGAGTGCATGGACAAATTACTTTTGTTTACTAGGGGACGCAGAACATTTAGCGAACGCAGCAAGATAACAGCCAGATGGGGATTCAATGCAATGCCAAGATCAACGGTTTGGGGTAGAAGTGCAGAGGATTAGTAGAACGCGTTCTAATGGAAATAACTTTTAGGTGATTTTTTAGCGATAACGAAATGAAACTCTGAATTTCACACCTTACTAGTCTCCTAGGTTTCTGAATACCCTAGATCCTACTAAGAGTCTCGTTGAATATAAATATATAATGCGTAGCTTTTGCTAGGTAACTTAAGGCGAATGATTAAAACTAGCTATTAAACGAGGAGATGCGCTAACTGCAGTCTAGGCAAAACAGAGAGGTCGAGGCACAAAAGAGATAGGCGATTGGAGAAGGGCTTAGGGCCACACAAAACACCACTAGCATAGACAGGAAGAAGGCATACAACACTAAACCAGCAGAGAAGCTCGAGGGCTTCGAGGGCAATATCGATTGAGCCAATCAAATCATAAGAAAGCGACCGTCAAAAGATAATCTAAACAAGCTAAATTGATTGCTACTGAAAGAGATATAATAGTGTTATGGGGTTAACTACTTGCAGGGTAGTAGGCCTGTCAACTAGATAGGAGAGCAAAGCCTTAAGTCAGATTGCAACAGAGACTGTTTCTTGGGGAGCTTCATGTCTCTCCCCTTCTGCCAATTTATAATACAGTCTTCTTCTTAGTAAGGAAGAGGGGTAAAAGATGATGAGACAGATTACATAGGAAACAACTTGGCGGGGTGTGGTGAGGTCTGGTGATGTTTCTGAAGGCTGTTTCGCCATCATCCCAAGTTGCATGAGCGAGTTACGCGACCAGCGAGATCTAGGTGGCGTGAGCGGCGTGAAAAAGCACCCCAAAATTATTTCAGCCCTTTGAACACCAGTTGCACGCAGATCAGTCAACAGTACACCCACCTACCCCGACAACCACAACTATGATTACATAACATTCTGCCTTTACAAATCCTCCGCTAATGTATGATGTTTCATCTTTATGGGAGGCGGTGGATCCTAATTTAGGCGGTTTGTTGGGTGGTCGTGTTAACCCAAACCTACCAGCCCGCCCGCGTGACATGCAACATCCTCTTTCTTCGTGCCACAACTTGCAGCAATGGATAGTCAGGTATTCTACCCTCCCAACTATTAAGTGAGTTTCGCTTACCATTCTTAGAAAAACATTACCAGCCCCGAAGAGTACAAAGCTGCTCGATCTCGTCTTCTTCAGAAGGAGAAAGCAGCAACTCACCTGCTTCAGGAGCTAGCCGAGTTGCGCCGTGAGTTGCCCATGGTGCGCATCCACGACCCAGCTCGGTTCCAATTCGACACACCTGACGGAGTGAAGAGCCTATTGGATCTATTTAATGGGCACAAGCAGCTAATACTTTACCATTTTATGCTGGGGCCCCAGGAGACTCAGGGCTGCGTGGGTTGCTCATTTTGTATGGACCATATCCCCGATCTCCGCCACCTGTCAAGTAGGGATACATCTTTCGCCGCCGTAGCCACCGCGCCCTTGTCTGAAATCTCCGCCTACAGAACCCGGATGGGCTGGAAGTTTCCTTTTTTCAGTTCCGCGAGAACGCATAAGACGTGGGCCGAACTTGAGGCACAAGGAGAGACTATCACCTGGAAGCCCGGGAACGGCTACTTTGGTCTATGCTCGTTCTTCCGGGAAGGTGACGAGGTTTTTCATACCTATGAGACCTCATCCCGTGGATTAGAGATTATCCTATCCACCTATCATTTATTGGATATGACCTTGATGGGTCGGCAGGAAGCGGGAAATGGAATGAACAACTTCCGCCGTCATGATGAATACTAAATCAGCAAGAAATAAAAGTAACAACTGTGGATATCTACCTCTTCTCTACCCGGCCTTTCCTTTAACCATAAGCTGCTTTCGACTCCGCTACGAAATAAGCATCATCCGTGAATTGGTTTAGAGATGCACGGCTTGCAATGAATAAGACGCGCCGCAAATAACAAATCTATGGAGATAAAGTAAACATCCTTCTTAACGAGAATTAGATCCATGCAGCGTAAGCACAGGCTTCTGTGCGATGACTGCGGGTGTACACGAAGGCATGCTGTATGTGGGAGGAATGAGAGGAAGTGGGAACTTGGGACTGGGGGGCCAGGAAGCAGGCAGACCAATCAAGCGGCGACCTCAAACGGGATTAGCGTATTTAGGATTTATTTTCTGGAATCAAGTACGAGCACGCTAAATTGAAGCCTGGCGGCTATTTGATTTAAGGTGTTGACCTCATGGGAGGTTGGAGCCATTACTGACCGCTTTCAGTTGAATAAATTGAGGTGGGTTACTGAATGTCCGGAAATAATTCCCCTCTTTCGACTTAGGAATTCAGCACGGAGAAATTTCCGTCTGGTAATCGTCTATTTCATGTTATTAAGCCAATGAACCATCACACCTGCGTACTAATGTTCTTTGCATAAGACCATACACACCGTACGAGAGGCAATGATATGCCAGGAATGTACCAATGATAGAGATGCAGAGGAAGCAGCAGGCCATTGTGAGGGCTAATTGAAAGATTTATCGTGGGGCTGAGGACATTGAGGGCGTTTTGGTACTGTTTTCGAGCTGATTTTATATAGCAAAACGCCGATTTCCTATGTATCTACTACTTCATGCGCGGGTCTAGCGTTCGGATCACTCTTGCTTCCGCCGGAGGGAGCGCCTGAATAGCCATTACGCCACGAGCTAGGCTGCATCAGGTTAATAGAGTGTTGATGGATTGATTGATTGATGTACCAATGATAACGCACGCGATAAGCAGATACGGGAAAAGTCATCCCACGCCTATAAAGCCATCCTCGAGTGCCAGCTTCCATATTATCTTTTGTCAGCTTTAAAGTTGAAAAGGGAATGAAATCGTGGCCACCAGTAAGAAAGTAACGACGATTGATATGCGAGTTCGACTCCGATGGACAGATTCCCGAACGTTGGCACGCTTTGCCTCTGAAACATATCTTGCACCAAATGCTATGAGATCCAGGTTGAATTTCATATTGGCGACTTGCTCAGTTTGAAATCAGGACTTCCTTAATTCTCGCTAAATATCAGACCTGGACTTTTTGTATATAGTGATGATACCATTTCAGGAATCGATCGGATGTGGGGGCAGTTGGTGTCAAGGAGGAAATACTTTTGTTTTCCGACTCTGGAATAGTTTGTGGTCTTCCGTAGAAAGATTCCCCCTCCGTCGTCAGGCCAAAACTCCAATCCGTCGATGTCATCGTCATAGGGTTGAGGAGGATAAAATGGTTAAATCGGCTACCGAAAGCCCCTGTTTTGTCCTTTCTTTTAGACTGCAAACTTCTGCTCAATCCAAACAACCAGAACCCATATTCGGCGACCCTTGCCGAATCCCTCAAAAGAATTTTACCCAAATCAACTCTATTATCACTAAACGATGTCTATCCAGGATGTAGAACATGGCTTTGTCGCTAGGCTTAACCCTTATGTACAAGAATCGCGAGGGCCATGTTGTTTGGAATAATATCGCCTATGATTTCTTGTCTAACACGCCTTATCCAGAGATAGCGAACCCGAAACTATAGCCACAAGTGTAACTTATAAGCAAACAAGGCTTGTTCAAGGTCACTAGTGGTATCTATTAGGTTCGCTTGTTTGACCTTTCTAATATGACTATCATTAAAGGTGATCGTAGAATTGTTATAATAGACCCCCTTATATCTACAGAATATACACACGCCGCTCTGAGCGGGTATTATACGAATCGTGCCGAAAAGCCTGTACTAGACATAATCTATACGTATTCTCACGCTAATTATTTCCTGGCTTCACAAATATTATCTCGTTCTCAGCAGATTTCGATGATTCCTCAATAATAGTGCTTGGAATACCATCGAGTCAGGTATCACCTGTCCCAAGTGACACGGAAAAGCGTCATCCGGGACCTGAGCATACAGGACACGGACGACAGTGTCTAATCAAGTGGGCTGTGTTTCGATGCCGAATAGAATCGGGCAAGGAGGAACCCCCTATCGGGTGGTAGGAGCAGTATGGAATTCTCTAATTATATGTCCGAAAACCTGCATTTTAGGCTCCGTTCACTACCACAAGATCAATCAAACCTCATTCTAGACCTCCCCCGGGTTTATTAAGCAGCGCCTTCGAGTTGTCCAGCACCGAACCGTTAGACATCTCGAGGCTACTTTAAAATATTGGACCTGAGAGGAATCCTCAGGCTCCGTGTGCTTCTAGCACTGACGCAGTATTGCCAAAGGTGATTTTCCCATTGAAATTAATTTCATATATTATTGCCCAACTTTTGCCTCTAAAGGCAGTGTTTTGACTCGACTGTAGCATCGTAGTATTCTCATTAGATATAGAGATGTCCCCGTTTATTATTATGATAAATCATCAGAAATAGCACTCGATATATCTTCCTTTAAATGCCCACTCCCTCCCACACACCTGATTCGAGTTCTCTTCTCCATGACATACTGTGTTCGGGAATAAGACGGTGACCTTGCAGCCGGTTTTAATACCACTAAACAAGGGCTTGACAGTTGGCGGATCTTAGTGTCCGCATCAGCGTCCAGAGACGAGTCGCAGGCATCCTCGAGGAAACCATCCAAATGTCGAAAAAACACGGGGTCACGAGGGATGTAGTGGGTACCAAAATGCCGGAAGATGTTGGGTTGCTCAAAAGCCGTTGCGAGGACCTCACTTTCTAGTTCCTCAACTACCGTATCTAAGGTGCCAATGATGTGAAATGAGCGTGTGGAGAGACTCTGGGAGTACAAGCTGCTGTAGTACTTCATCGTGCCCCGGTACGCAGAGATACATATCACAAACTTCAGAGGACGCTGGCCGGGAATATTTTCAAGGATAAATTCATTGGTAGCCCCTGGGCTTCGAGCACTCTTCTCTTCCCGGGATTGTGCGTGGCTTCACAAAGCGAGGCAATCATGGCTGCGAAGGCACTCCCTTGGGAGAACCCTACGGCGGCATGACCTGGCCGCCCTCCAAGTGACTGAGCCAGGGTGACGATGGTATCTTCCAAGCCTATATATCGGCTGGTGTTGTCTAGATTCAGCCACCAAGCGCGGCGGTTGACGCCACTATGGTGATCTTGCTCGTCGGCAAGGACTTCGTTCAGGGAGATTGGTGCGTCGGGGAAGATGAACTCTATACCCCCAGCATATTCCTCTGTTATCTGCGGCAGAAGAGCTTGACTTATGTGTTGCATAAGTAGACGCCCCTTCACCTTGAAGGCTTCTCTCGACTGGGCATACCCTAGAAGATATCAGCTGATAAACGCGTTGTGTTCCAGGAGGTAACTGTTCTCACCATGTAGCATAAGAATCCTGAAAGTTTCTTCACTCGATACGAGAGCAGGCATCGTTTCACAATGGCTAATTCCCCCAAGAAATTAATTGGTTAGGTGGAGAAGAGAATAAAAAAAAGACAGAGCAAAATCAAAGAAAATATGGATTCACAGCTGCAATATAGTCCGTAGGAAGGGAGTATTACTGATTGTTGGATGTTTTCTGGCAGTAAAGTCAGGCTTATATCCGGTCATGGTTCACGGCCCAATTTTTGATCAGCTAGCCCTGCCCTCGACAGCTCCCACCGAAGCGGTCTGACAAGGATCGCGTATCGGTCTTTGGTTTTTTCCATTATATTTAGAAATTTTGCTAGTCTTTTTTCCCTCGTGGACAACTATTGTCAATTGAACGTGGTCAAGATCCTCGAGTTAGCGCCCGCCACAAGATTCTCATGACTCCTCAAGGCCTACGCAACAACCGAAGACGATCCATTTTCGACAAATAGGAGGTGGATGCAGCTGAGTACTATGTAATGCCTCTTCAGGATCAACGGCATGTCCGAAGTGGGTCCATTCTGACAGAAAGTGAAATGCACACAGCTGACGTTGGATACTATTCACACATGGGACTTGGACCTCCCTTCATAAACGGCCGCTCGGGTAAGAAGACCGAGAAAAAATTTGGCACTTACTATACAGTCTTGCTGAATGAGGTATAGAGCTTGCTTTCCCCCTACCACGAAACTCATTATTGACCGGAGAAGGTTTCCTGTTCTCCCGGCGGGTGGAGTTAGTCAGGATAACGGCCTGTCGGATATTTTAAGAGGCTTTCGTCTTCTACACTGGGGTTTCCTAAGTTTGTACATAGCCCCCGGAAGGTTCAAAATCATCTCATCAGGCAGACATGAAAGGTAAGTTGAAGGATAATGCCTGGGATATCTAGAAATACATTTCAAAAGACTCCCAGAAAGATTCTTTGAAAAAAAAAAATTACAAAGTTGAAGAGTATTAAGATGATCTTTTTTTCTTGCTCTCTACTCTCGGAATTTTGAACTGCCACTGTACCAATGCAATTGTACACAAAACCGGAAAGACATGATGTCTCACTTCGCTCGCGTATATCGCGAGCAATGATTGGATGTTTAAGCCGCCTGGATTCGCGGCTTTTGGAATCGTTGATTCCGACTACTTGAGCGCCTGGTGCGTGGCTGAGACGCCACAGATAACAAGCGCCTGGTGCATGGCTGAGACGCCACAGATAACAAGCGCCTAATAGTAAGGAACCACATTGGGTTCGCAGTTGTTTGTCGGTGGGTCCTGCCGTGTCCTGCCGGGTGATAGCGTTTGGTAGCCCGGCAGAAAGGCTTGAGTTAGGGCTCGGTTCAGGGATACGAATAAGGTTCATGGATGCGATTTTATCCTGGCGCTGTTGTTTTGTTTATTTCTCTTTTCTCCGAATCAGTATTGCTTTGTATTACTAGTCATGCCAAATTCCGGTTGATGCCACGTTGGCACTGCCATCGTTATGTGGCTGGCTAGGAGCTGCTTTCAGGGCAATGAACGGCAATCCTCGGAAGCATATGCGCCAAGCTTGCAGGGCGCCCGTCAGAGATTTCTGAACGGGAGTTCGCGCTATCTGGATCTAATTGACGAGCGCAACGAATTATAGATTGCCGAGCCCCCAGTCAGCCCAGCCACTTAGGCACTTTTTTTCACATTATTTCCCTGAATTCCTGAAGAAAGAGTAAAGACGGCATGGTATCATCGCTTCGGTGTCGCCGACAAAAAAGACGTGAACAAGCTTGTCCGGCTCCACGGGAATTTCAGAGTCGAACAACCGACGGAAGAGCAAGAAGTGACAATGCAAAACCGATGGGAAGTCTCTCAGCTCTCCACATCGGTGGGTCGTTCTCTACTGTACAGTTTCATTGCAGTTCATCTAAGTTCTACCGTCCCTGCCTCGACCCGCCCGGCTACTGATACACAGGTACACTACATATATGATGATATCCCTAGACTCTCTCTAAAGAGAGATTTGGACAAGGTTCTTGAGCTTCATATTTGCGTGGCACCACATTTGGGATTAAGATAAAGTTCCTTGCTAGACCAATGGCATCGTCGTCACCGTTCCTCATCGCCGAGCACGTTATTGACTCGCAGCACATCCGAGAGTATCCCCACGCGATAAGAAGGGGCGACGATGCTCTGAAACTAGTGGTCAAGAGATACACCCCAAAATCAAATCCAGACCCCCAGCCAGGCGACCTGACTATCATCGGGGCTCACGGAAGTGGATTTCCCAAGGTAAGTAGGCTTTATGATTCATTCGGCTCCTGGACAGTGAACACTGTTCAGTTCATCCTGATAGTTACTAATCCAAAGAGAAAGGAACTCTACGAACCGATCTGGGAGGGGGTTCTCTCACAACTAAATGACGAGGGAATTCGCATCCGGTCAATCTGGATAGCAGACATTGCCAATCAAGCGGCGAGCGGGGTCTTGAACGAGGAGTACCTGGGAAACGACCGTTAGTGTGCTTCCATGTTCTCTAAAATAAATTGTCCAATTGACTCACGTCACCAGCATCGTGGTTTGACCATGCCCGCGATCTCCTTTACATGATCAACCAATTCAAGGCCGATATGCCTCGCCCAATTGTTGGAATCGGCCATAGTCTTGGGGCGGGTCAATTGTAGGTTACCTTCCTATCCCAGTGGTGTGTCTTCAAGCAAAAAGAAAAGGCACTGGCTGATGAGATATTGGTTTAGAGTACTACTATCATTGATGCACCCACGCTTGCTGACCTCTCTGGTGCTTATTGAGCCGGTCATCGAAAAGGACATGTACACTGGCAAGGGGCCGATCTTTGTCAAACTCTCGCTGGACAAGAAAGATACGTGGAAGTCTCGTGCGGAAGCGGCTTCCCATTTCAAGAAGCAGTTCAAGACCTGGGATCCGAGGGTACTCGAGCGCTGGCTGCAATACGGTCTGCACGAACTTCCAAGTTCGGATGCTGTCACTCTCACAACCTCCCGCAGCCAAGAGGTGATGTACTACCTGCGTCCTAACTTTGGCGATCGGAAACCATTGAGCTCAAAACATGACCCCGCTGCCCTGAGTGAACACGATCCTTGCTTCCACGCCGACATCATTGGCCCCGCCCACGCGATATATCCCTTTTATCGCTACGAGCCTATTCTAATGTGGCACTTGTTACGGCACGTCCGCCCATCTGTACTTTATCTCTTTGGCGATCGTAGCCCCGTCTCAACAGCAAATCTACGCAGAGAGAAGCTCACGAGGACGGGGACAGGCATTGGGGGCAGTGGTGGCTCGAGGATTAATCGAGTGAAGGAGATCACAATCCCTCGTACGGGGCACCAACTTCCCTTCGAGGATGTGTCTCGAATATGCGAGGAGACGGCATGCTGGCTCAACCAAGAGCTCACGCGATGGTCTGAAGATGAAGCACGTATTCTTCAAGACTGGTTAGATGATACGCCGAAAGCTCGATCTTCGGTCCCAAATGGTTGGCACACACATCTCGATTCTTGTCTATCTCAGACTAGCGAGAAGCCTAAGCCACAGTCAAAATTATAAATGTGTAAGATGCCATCATATGACGATGCCGCCGTAGCGCAATGCCAGCCAGGAAAAGAATGCTCAATGGAGGGTTCATCTTGGCAGAAAGCAAGCCGCAGACAACACAAAACTCCTGTTCTGACTCAATTGTGATGACATTTGTGTTGTAGATAACTAGTAGTTAGATAACTTAATACATTTAGGACGTTAAAATGGCAGAGATTTTTCACTTGTCATTATGCTCAAACTACCTTCCATTGTCTAGGATAACTTTTATAGGAAGCTATGTATCGATAAAAGACATAGATGACAGGGAATTGAACACAAAGGGAACTTGATCTTTATCTACTTCTATATTGAGACTTGAACTACCACTGTACTGCAGGTAGCTTACGAGTACATTTGAATAGTAGAGACATCTGCGATTTGAGTTTGATTGATAATATGCAAGGGGCAATTAATTGGACAGTCAATTTAGATGATGGAAATAACCTAATAATGATCGGATAAAACGAAGAAATATGTGTTCCAACTCAACCCGAGTGAAGCCAACCTAGCTTTATTCAATGGGCTTCTGTTTGAATAACTTCAGAATATGCTCATTGCCGCAAGCGGCAGCAACATCCAAAGGAGTCCGCTGCTGAGCATCCTCAAGCATAGGGTCCAAGCCCATATCCATAAGGAATTTGAACCACTGGACAAGATTTTCTGTGGGCGCTTTTAACTCAAATTCACGATGAAAACTACTACTGCCAACCTCCCTACCAGCAACCACATGAAGCAGCGACGTCCCAAAATTGTCAATTGCAAAAAAGTCTGCACCAAAATCTTTGAAGAATAGTAGGCCATCATTATCTCCGCGCACACCGGTCTCGGCCATGGGCCAAAACCTGCACCCACGTCGCAATGAACCATGTGCAAGATACCGCACGAGTGGGGTATTTCCCAGCTTGTTGCGTGAGTTCATGTGTAACCCAAGGTCCAAGAATTGCTGCATGCGTGCTTTGTTGGTGATGGGCTGGATGGCGAGAAAGTGGAGGGCTGTGTCGCCGTTTGAATCTGGCTGAAGGGGATCGGCGCCATGTTCAAGCAGTAGGTCAACATATTGAAAGTGCATATCTCTTGATCTGAGCACATAGTGAAGTGGGGTGTCACCAGTGTTGTCGCTTATCTGCACAAGCTTAGGATCTTTTGTAAAGAAAGCCCCAAGGGTGCTGATAATCTGCTCATTGGGCCGGCGTTGTATGAGTGCGTGAACAACTGTTTGACCTAATTTGTTCTGGGCAGTAATGTCAGCTCCACGGTCGACAAGGCTCCACATTCGCTCAATTCGAGCAGCACAAAGGATCAATGTTCTTCCTTGGTCATCTCGTGATTCAAGCTGGAGTGATGGAAGTTGAAGCAGTGGCTCAACCATGTCCCCTCCCATCAATATCTCATGTATGACAGTGCATGTTTCGGACTCCCAATTTCCTTGAGAGTCTTCATTTGATTCCTCTGATTTGTCGTCGTCCTTGAAAGAGCTGTCATTTACTCGATGAAGCTTGACAAAAGTGGCGTAAGGATCTGCACCGTGCTGAAGAAGCGCAGTCATCATGCGCTTTCGAACAGGTGTAAGATCGACCTTTTTGAGAGGGCTAGTAGATTTGAAAGTTGCTGCGTGTAATAACGGATATATCTCAGCACCTGGAATTCTGGTTTGCTCAATTGAATGGATTCTTTCCGGGGTTTCGGCAACGGGTCGTCTCATGTTGGCTAGATCACCATGAGTGAGAAAGAGTTCCAATAATTCAACTTTGCCGAGCTCGATTGCGGAAAATACAGCAGCAGGAGAGATCTTCGCGCCGTGGAATAGAAGCAGTTCGATCAGCTCCATATCAGCACCAGCTTTCGATAAGCAGGTCTCTCCCTTGGAATTCACAGCGTTGGCATCTGCGCCATGCTCCAGAAGAATTTTCACAGCTTCCTTGTAGAAAACGCCCTTATACCTTTCATAGTCTAGGGCAATGTGCAGAGGCGTCTCGCCGTCATCATTGCGAAGATCCAGATTGGCACCCTTTCTGATCAGATACGGCAAAGCTTGATGCACATTCCACCAAGTTGTGCCCTCTGCAAGGTCATGTAAAATGCCATTGCCCAACACAATCTCGCGCTTCCCGCTAGCCCAGGTTTCCTTTCTGCACTTTGAGTTGATGTTGATACCCATTTTTTCCACAAGGATCCGGACAACTTCCATATTTGGCAATTCACGATTGCATGCGGTGATCAAGAGCGGCTTCACTGCGTTGAGATGACAGTGATCTGCAGCCTCAGCCTGGGCGCACCATTCATGATCATCAAATTTTAAAGCGGCATTAGGAGTACAGATACGATCCAGAATATCCGACAGACCGGCACCCACAAGGCAGTGTAAAAGAGACACACTGGTCCAATTGAGCTGGAGGATGTCTATTTCTGGCATTTTCTCCTCTAATAGACCGTATTGGCGAAGACCTAACAGCTTGACTGTGTGCATAAACCGTGCGTCATTGCGTGATCGTTCTGTGGGTTTCCAGGTCTTTCGCGACTTCTCTTCCTTTTTCAACGATGATTTCTCATTTTCCAACCGAGAATTGCAGAGAATGAAGCCATGGGCATATGGTCCTTCTTGGAGGTTCATGTTGGGGAGAAACCGCGACTGGATCCGCACCAAAAGTTCGGCAGTATAGTCGCATTGATTAGATACGGCTGCTTGGAATGCATGACGAAGAGAGCCATTCTCTCCAGTAATGTTTGCGCCATGAAGCACCAAGGAAACCAAAATTTCCTCCAGGCGTGTGGAGTCTGACTCATTGAGATTATGCGATTTCCATTGGAAGGCTTTAATATCTTCTCCCACTGACGGTATACTTCGCGTGCCCAGCCAGGTGCTGGCTGTCTTGATAGCTTTGGCGCTGTCTTTTTTGCCAATCATTTTCCATCTTGCTTGTTCGGTCTCAAACTCGGCACATGCTCTGAAAGGCGCATGTCCGTCCTTGCCTAGCAAGTTAGGATCTGCGCCGGCCTCCAACAGAAGATAAACAGTTTCAGGACGGCCCGAGCAGCAGGCGTAGTGAAGGGCTGCGTTTCCCTCCTGATTTCTCTGATTGATGAAGGCTTTTCGTTTTTCATCATCAAGGTCGTCGATTTTGGAAAGGACAAGACCGATAATTCCAGACTGTCGGGCTCGAGCTGCAATATGCAGAATCGTCATGCCTTCTTTTGTGACGCTGAAAAGATCAGCCCCAGCATTGAGAAGCTTGAAAACATAACTTTCAGACACAGCGGCAGCAATATGCAAGGGCTGGATTCCGTCAATGTCTTGATGACTGAGGCTCTTGCACTCTTGAGTCACGTAGCCAAATAGTGTCTCCACAGAAGGCTTCCAACTGCGACTTCTTGGTTTTCGTGAGCACAGCTTGTGCAAGACCGTCTTCCCGCAGTTGTTAGGCTGCTCGATATCAACCCCCAGCTTCTTGAGATGTTTGTATCTTGTAATGCCGTCGGAGCTATTTCTCTTTGAAGCGAGCTCAAGCAAAAGCGTATTTCCTTTATTGTCGATTACGAAAGGGTCAAAGTCCATAAGGCCTAGTAGCTCGTCCAAACGACCAGGATCCCCGGCGACTTGATGCAGAAGGGTCCGGCCCTTATTATCTCGGGTATCAAGTCGAGCACCAAGCTCAATAAGTGTTCTGAAGAGGTTAGGTTTGCCCTTGTTAAAATTCGAATGTGTGACATTTTTGAACAGGGGTGTTTGCCCTTGTGCATCCCGAATCTCAAGATTTGCGCCGGCCTTGAGCAGCTTGGAGACCGATTCAACTTCACCATCACTTCTCATCAAATGCAACGGAGTCTCACCCTTTTGGTTTTGGAGGTTTGGATCTGCGCCAGCTGACAGCAAGGCATCAAGAACAGCGTTCCGGGATTTGAAACCCCAGTTATTGAATAGCGCATGCAGCAGACCATTGCCATCTGCCGCAGTCATATTCAGGTCTGGTTTGTACTTTAAAAATTCCAGAGCGGACTCGAAGTAATGACCTTGAAGTCGAAGGAACAAAGGCCCTCCGTTGTTTTCTGCTATCACTTTGTTGACATCAACAAGCCCTGATTCGAGAAGTACGGGAAGCAACTCCTTGTCCGTCGCTCCATCGGTGTGGAGGATTGTACCTCCACCGTCGGTCTTGGCATAAGGATCTGCCCCTGCTTCCAACAGTAGTTTGACAATATCTATGTTGTTTAAACAGGCGATATGCAGGGCTGTCTCGCCATTTGGAGCCTTTAAATTAATATCCGCACCAGCTTGGAGGAGGACTGAAACACAGTCCAGTAGAGACTGACGACGACCAGATCCGCCATCTATTCCACTGAGAGCGTGCAGGGCAGTGTAGCCTCTGGGTTCGTCTGGACGCTTAGAGGGTTGGTGTAACTGTCGCATGTTGGAGTTTATACCCCTAAGCTCATTATGAGGATAAGGGGAGAAGATATTGGGATCCGCTCCAGCCGCGAGAATGACCTTGATTGTATTCAGGTCGCCATTGGTGCAGGCTTTGAACAGCAGAGTTTGTCCCCCGTAGATTGAATTCACATCCACAGTGGCATGTTGAAGAATCCGATCTACACAGGCCGCATGTCCTGAGCCTGCAGACCAAAAAAGGGCCTTCGTGATAGTATCAGCATCTTTGAGATAGGGTAGGAATTCAGCCACTGCCTTAGTTTGGCCATTATTGCAGGCGTACATGAGTGGGGTATGACCGATTGATGTTGGAGCATTGCCACAGAATCCGCCTGGGGCCTCTTTTGTCTTTGGCGTTAATGGATCAACGCCAGCGACAAGCAGGATTTTGACCACGTCAGCGTGGTTCTTGCTAGCCGCTTCATGAAGAGGTTTGTATCCTTCGTGCGCCTCTCCATCCGGATCCGCTCCGTTGTTAATGAGAACCTGCGCCACATCCGCATGGCCACTGGAAGCAGCCCAATAGAGAGGGGGATCCCCACGCTTACTTTTGGAATTCGGGTCGGCACCGTTCCTCTGAATCAAGTGCGTAGCGTATTGAGCCAGTCCGGTTTTGGCGGCAGCATGGAGGGGGGTCAGACCTTGGATTACATTCTCCGGCCAGTCGATATCCAGCCAAGCAATAAATCGTTGATTGCTCGCAAAGAACTTGTCCAGTGTCGTGTATAATGATGACAAATCCATGCCAGCTAGTACTGCTCGGCGAGTATGGATGTACCAATTGATCGCTGCGTATTCGAGGAATGGAAATTGCAGGCGGATTCCACTCTGCTGGGCTTTCTTGGGGTTAAAGAACTCATCCTCTGCACGGCGTTTCTTGATCTCAAGCTTGTCTAAGCAGCCAGACATGAGATAGTCCAAGCATGCAATGGCAAGCCGCTGGTTTGTCGGGCCAGCCTTCAGAACAGGGTAAGTTGAACCATCAAGGACACCGGAGCGAGTGGATCCCTTCAGAAACTCGGTAAATGAGTGATGAATGACCGAGACTGTCTCATCATGAAGAATTTGGAGCAGCGGACCACAAGCCGCCCGGACTAGATCTTTGATCTCTTTCAAGTTCCAGTTCTTAATTGGAGCATGGGTGGCTTTGATTAACTCAGCAACCTCAAGAAGACGAAGGGGGCGAGTTGCATGTGTAACGGACTGCAGGATAAGTAGCTGAAGGTCTTCGGGAACTTTTGAGCGCTTTGCATGCTCGCGTAATAGGTCATTATACATCACGTTCAGGTCCTGAGGCAACTTTTGGAGAACGTCTTTAGCATCAGCACCGGGCTTCAAGAACGCGTCCATTGAAAGCCGGGCATATAAGAACAGACCATTCGCTCGACCAGGAACAGCTTCGGTTATGAGATTCCAGTATTCCTTGGGCACGGAGGAATGTCGCAAGCGGTACTGCACATACTCAGCAATATCCATATCGACAAGTTGTTCTTCCAGACGAAGAGTGGACACAGATAAGGACCTCAGGGGAGATTCCACTGCGACAACTGGGCGCGAGAAAATGAGAACTTTGAGATTCGCAGGACGCCATTGGCCCAGCTCGGCTAACGCCTGAATAAAGTCATCATTGCCTTGGTCCATTTCGTCCAAAGCATCTGTGACACAATAGGCCTTAGGGAATGCCGAAAGAGCAAAATTGATGTGTTTCCAGAGATCGTTCATAGCTAGACTATCAATAGAGCGTTTTTGACCGAGGTATTCATTTTTCAACTTGACCTGCAAGGGCGGGCTAAAGGGGAGAATTTGGCATAGCCAGTCCCGCAACGCCCCTACTGGTTGATGGTTTGCATCGATAATTTGTCGGAAGAAGAAAAATAAAACAGGCACATTTTCTTTGCGTAGTTGGTGGATTATCGAAGCAGCCATGACAGATTTGCCTGACCCTGGTATGCCTTTGATCCAAAGAAGGCCATTCGCGTCGCCTCCATGCCACTGTTGATATGTATCTGTGGATATAAGCCATTGGCAGGTACCCGCCAGATATGACTCGAGATGTCTCGAAAACTCAGATCTCTCTAGATCATAGGGTGTAGGCTGCAGCCAATCTCTGATATTTTTGAGGTCCTCTGCAGGAAGCGGAAGGATGTTATCTTCGTTGAAATCGCGAATATCACCAGGGCCGACCACAACCGCATCATACCCCTCAGAATCTGATAGCGACATGGTATGGATTCGGTGTAGGCTATTCAGTTATGATTTCTATTGAGCTGAATGCTTTGAAAGGTTGACAGTAGAGGCGGGGACGGGAGGAGGAGGGGGCTTATGAATTGCTTGGACGCGCGGCGCTCGGAGCCTTAAATGGGCTAGTTGAGGCGCATTAGACTGATGCCTTGGACTGGAGTCATTCGTCAACCTGGGTATCTGAATGCCGTAATCATCTAGTTAAACAAGGCTTGAGGCTGGAAGGTTAAATCTCATTAAATTCCGTTGTCTTGTTATAATCGGAACCGAGAGAAGAAGTGTGAAAAACATCCATATTGTTCGTGCCCACTGTTCTAGATACCAGAGCCCTCATCTAGTCCTCGATCAGACTGTTTTCGATGAAAACCGTTAAATATCGAGCTTTACTCCGGAAATAGTAAATTGAAGGGTGAAGTCGAGTAGCGGGGCAGCCAGGCCCGCCTTTATACACTCCTTCCGTCTGCCTCGCAGACCCGCCATTGGGCCGCCGACGCGTTAGAGGATACTAGAATAGAAGAATAGGCATGAATTGGTAAAGGAACATGAGTGGAGGCGACGACATCACGGTGAAAAGGTCGCTGTTAGGAGGATGAATGCCACGGTATTCTGACAAAACGCCACGCTCGTCCATGCACTTCCCTCATGCCCTTCCCCTCCTAATTATCATTGTCTGATAAGTATCAGACCACGTCTCAAAGCGGGGTTCAAAGTTCGTATGAAGCCGTGATTTGTACCTCCTAGATTTGGCTCTACTCTTCTTAACTCACAGTGTGTGACATCCGAGAATTGTTTGCTTATTACGACACATGGCAACATGGCAGATGGCAAGAATAGTCTGCTTCCAGGGAATGCAGTGAAATTTTGGCAAATGTGCTAAAACAGCAAAATAAAAATTTTTACAAAGTAGGTGGTATTTACAACCATAATGAGTCCCAATATATGCGCCTAAAGCTTCGCCCGGAAAGCACGTCGTAAAGGGCCTAGAGCAGATGGACCGTCGTAAATCTGCTGCTCGACCATGCGAGTGTTGATCTAAAAGAGTCAGTATTTTACTTCATAGTGGACGAAGGGCACAGTGAGGAAAGCATACATGTTGAGGGCCAAGCTGATCCACGGTTTCCACACCGAGCAGGCGCATGCAAGACTTGGTTTCGTCGGCAAGAACTATAGCAGACTATTAGTGGGAATTATTTATCAAATTAAAGGGGTACGTACTCTGCAATGTCCTGCGAACACCATCAGGGCCACCAGCTGCCAGACCCCACAGTGCAGCGCGTCCAAGACCAACTGCCTTGGCTCCGAGGCAGAGGGCTTTCACAACGTCTGTGCCACGGCGAATACCGCCATCAACGTGGACCTCGATCTTGTCGAAGACCTCGGGGCAGTATTTCCGGATCTCCAAGAGAGTGTGCACAGCTGGCGGGGCAGTATCCAAGGCTCGTCCTCCGTGGTTAGAGAGAATGATACCCTTGACCTGTGGAGCGTGGAGTGGAGGCAAGGTATGCATCCTCGTGAGTTTGCAGGCCCTTCAGAATGATAGGGAGATCTGTGTGCTTGGCCAGCCAGGGCAGGGTCTCCTGCCACGTCAAGGATGGATCGGTACCAGCAAAGAGCTGCTGGCCAACACCACCAGATCCACCCGGACCACTCACATCGGGAGTGCCATCAGCAGAGCGCTCAGCTGCCTTCACACCGCTTGACACAGGGGTGGAGGCACCCACAAGACTGTTTCGCTCGTCTTCTTCACGCTTACCCGGAACGGGTGCATCGAGCGTGAGAACGATGAACTTGATAGCCTTGAGTTTGTTGATACGCGCCAGCATCGCCTCGCTCTTCTTGCGGTCAACTTGAACATAGAGCTGCCAGCCAAAGACCTGATCCGGAGCTGCATCCTTGACAATTTGTTCGGGGGTCATTGATGCATTATTGGAAATGACTTGCATCGCACCGAAGCTTCGGCATGCCTCTGCAATACCCGCTTCACCGGAAGGATGGCCGAGACGCGCCATAGCCGCGGGAGATACATAAATTGGCATTCCCAATTTGTGTCCCAGTACTGACGTATCCAAGTCGCACTTGGTGCAATCAATGAAAACTCTTGGCCGAAGGAGAATGGATCGGTAGATTTCGTTGTTAAATCGCTTGGAAAACTTGTCGTCCGATGCTGACCAGTAATAGGCCCATGCCTTCTTGCTTACTTGTTTCGTGGCAACTTCTTCGATTTCGTCGAGATTGAGGAGGTTTTGCATAGGAGGGGGTCCTGCCGCCGGCTCCTGAGGCTTTGCTGGTGTCTCGTCCTTGGATACCGTGTTTGGATCCACCGTTCCAAGACAAGCCTCTGGCTTGAGTTCTTCCTCTAGAATGCCTGGAGGATGAATGGGGTCATATTCCTCGGTCGCATCTTTTCCTGAAAGCTTCAGAATGATCTTTGCACCGCCAGGGTGACTGGACAGGAAATCAGTGACCTAAAAACAGCGCATGGCGTTAGCTCTTGGGCGCTGCTTGCGCTAGCAATTAAGGAAAGACTGGAGCGATCATACATCGTAGACCTTGCCGTAGAGAATCACCCAGCAGCTCTCGGGCGTATTGTGCTTCGCGACTGCGCAATCGAGTCAGTGTGCCCCCACGATTCCAGTTGGAAACCCCGTTATCCATTGAGAAGGGTTCCGTGCGGAGAAACGAAACGTACCTTCTGCAGCGTCGAATACCTTTGCCATTTTGGACCAGCTCAGCGCGACAATCGCAGAGAGTCAATTCACATATGAAGCGTCAAAGGGCGGGAGAGAAATGAGAATTGAGATAAGTTTTAAGAAAGTCGGGGAAACAGAACAGAACTGGTTCGGAGAATGCGCCGACCGTCAACGCTGGCCGTGTGGGGGTTCTTGGGGAAATGTCCGGCGATTGGGCTCCCTCGTTGGGCAAATTCGATAGCCGACCATCGAGAGTCGAGAGCATTAGAAACACCCCCACGTCATTGGTGGGGAAATTGCGCGGTTGTTTTTGCACGACTCAGCAGCCACTGGACGTTGTTCTGGAAGTCGTGGTCATCGATACATGGGGACCTCAGGAACTCGGAAATCAATCTCCTAAGGTTCTAGGGTACCAAAGGGTCAGAATGCTAACAGCAGTAAGGTCGGCCGTTAATGCTAAGCCGAAAACAGTCGAAGTCGAGAGGCGACGAGAAGATGGCCGAGTCCACGTGAACGCTGATCACGCGCTTCCTTCTCCATCTTTCCCCATCGAAATGACCGCATCGTCTGCCTTTGAAGGTAACTCCTCAGGAACCTTTTCCTTGATATTGTGGGAAGGGGAGTAGTCACTATGTTTGAGGTGTGTGTTTATTCACTACTACGTATTCCCGGCTCTCGTACACCGTCAAGCCATGTTCTACCTGACTAACAGCTTCAGCGACGAGCGGCCGATCGATATCGCCTGCGGATGCACCGTGCCCGCTCTGCAGTGCTGACCTCGGACGAAATCGTCGAGGTGCGCGCTGCTCAGCGAACCTTTGAAGGTGCCTACGTCCGTACTGCTCTCTCCCAGTTCTCCTTCGCCCTCGTCGTCCTCAAGATCTTCACCGCCGAGTTCTACAGTATCGGTGCGCTGTTTGCCATTTACGGTACCGGTGTCCTCATTATTGGCTTGTTTCGCCGCTCCCAGGGAAACCGACAATTTTTCTCAGAAGTGGGAGATGATGGCATCCATCGACACAAGTTTCGGACCAGTGGAAATGCCGTGGTGGTGCTGACTGCGCTGAGTGTAGCCGCCTACGCCTGCCTGATCGGCCTCACTGTGAACCTGAGCAACTAGTCAACCGCGGGCTTCGGAGGGGGGAATGGCAGGACTCGGGGGAATGGTGGGATACTCCGCCTCCCTCCTGATGGAGCACCCTCCCTGCAAGACCACATCTTCCGCGCACACAGAATCACGCCCACTCCCGCCTTCCTCCCCCCTGCGTTACCGCCAAGCGCCAAGAATGATGTACCACACTCCCGGCGACATTATCATCTGCCCGCGGGTACGGGCGGCGGAGATCACCCGTGAGTCCGCGGCGGCATCCAGTTAGTCGGAGTCCGATCTGCTGCGCTGGCTGGGGACCGAGAAACCGCCAAGAAGCCTGAGTATGTCGGAATGGGAGGAGGACTGGCCCGACCGGTGAGGCGTACATCGTACAAGGCGTCCCAAGAGTCGGCTGTGCCATCACCGGAGTCGTTCGGGTTGAAATCGGTCGATCAATCGCTCCTCTGGGGTTTTACTTGGGCTTTGATGTTGACTCTGGATGTCCGCGGACTGGGCGCTGGCTGCACCCACTTGCTTGGCAATTCCGAGAGGCATCAGGGGCAAAGTGATGCTGACCGAGACCCTCGGTGGATATTCCGGGGGGCATTTCAGGGTTGGAGATTTACACAGGGGTAGCGGACGCAGCTGAGGAGGTTGATCCACCGTTCTGATTTGGCCTGGGGGTCTCGAGCCAAGCATTCTGGGTAAGATAAAGATTGATGTATCGCCAATAGACTCGCAAGACCTTCCTCGTTCCTTTCCAGGAGGGCGTGTGTGTATATATAGGAAGTTAGAAAGCTGCACAATCCAATATTTCGGGTTCTCCGTGTTTATTTTGCGTCACAGAGACTCTCACTTCCATTGCTTCAACATTGACATCATATCGTACAGCCACTGATGCCCCCAGAGATCCACCAAGTGGGTTCTGGCGATCAGTTGTTCACTGACTTCATTTACGGGGGAAAGGGCTTCGATGCTCTGAAGTGGACGCTTCTCGATCTTCAAGTTTCTATCTTATTCCAACCACGTAGAAAGAAGAGCACAAATCACCTCCAATACCATCCTAACTCTTGTCCGCGGCATCACGTTGTTTCTCTTGTCTCTGATCAACCTCAACCTCATCCACAACTCGCCTTCAATCAACCGTCAGCCTTTCTCAAGTGAACCCACCAGATTCCCCCAAATCACCAGCACCTCGAGAATCCCAAACCCCCTCGTCTCACTTTTCATCTCCGTGGCATTTCCATCGCGTGCTGGTGCTCCCAAAACCGTTGAGTGAGGCAGCTCACCAACCAAATCACCGAAGTGAAGCACACTGTCGAAGTGACGTTTTTCCCGGAGTTGAGTCATCCGCTTCTCCCGCCCTCTTTCTTTCTCCCCTCCCGCTTTGTTCTTCAGGGCCGTTTTTTCCATCAAAAATCTGTCCTCATCCTCGAGAGCACACCTTTTAAGTGCCCGAAGACTCGAATCTCGGGTCTCAAGTCCTCTCAAATACTGTTTCGCCCCGGAAAGTACCGATCCCCCGCAGAGCCGGGGATGGCGCAGCATTCCACCATCGCACGGTCGGCTATCATGACGTCGGCCACCTCGCCTGATCTCACAAGCCTGGGCGATCAAAGAATTATGAACCAGCGGCCCAACGACATCGGTTCGCACGGAGCTAGTCTCGGCTCGGGAAAAGAAGGAGCTCTGATGCCTCCTCCGAAGACTGTGGTCGGCAGAGCGCTAGGGAATGACCTGCATTCCGATGCCCACAGAACCTCTCAGCCGCCCAAGGGCGGAGTCGGAACCGCGCTGACGGACACTCCGATTTCTACCGCTCCCCCGTCTCCACAGATGTGAGTCTCCCCTGCGTCTGAGTCGTCAATATCCTTCCATTCCCCTGGAGTCTAGAACCTTGTCTCGTGTCAAATGATTTGCTTGTTTCATCCCGGACCTATGGGAGGTGGCCTCTGATCGGTAACCCTGCGAAATGCCTCGGGTGAAGTCCTTCCCGCAAACGCGGGCCTGGAGCTTGTCCCCGGAGACACAAAGCTTGGGCTTGACCGCTACTGAGTCCTGACTGCCTGACTGGTTGCTGGTTTGATGTGGCTGTATCCGCTTCTGGAGCCTCATCGTGTGATCTTGTTGCATTTGATCACGAGCCTCGGGTTGCTCGTCTCTTTCTTATGATGATGACTCTTAGCTAATCCATCTATCTCACTACAGCAACGGTCTCTCTACCGCCAGTACTCCCAGCCGAGTCCGGGCAACTACTCTTGATATTCCCGGCTTGACCAAGTCCAAGGTCTCCCCGGATGGACGCATCGCTCAGCGCGATGTCGGCTCCAAGCTGGTTATTGTCATGGTCGGTCTGCCGGCTCGAGGCAAGAGTTACATCACCAAGAAGCTGGCTCGATACCTGAACTGGCTTCAGCATGATACCGAGATCTTCAACGTTGGTGAGCGTCGTCGTGTGGCCGCTGGCAAGTCCCCCTCGCCGGCCAAGCCTGGACGTCCCTTGGAGAAACGCGCGAGCAATGTCCACAAGGATCTCGTGGACTCTGTGCGCCGACTGAGTGTCAGCGTTGGAACGATGAATCAGAACGAATCTTCTCCAGAGAACATTTCACCACCCAACGACGCTGCTCTGCCGCCTCCCGTGGTTCCAACCAAGATTCTCATCAACGGACAAGACCCTGGATCCTCCATCTCCCAGAACGAAAGCACCGTCATTCCTTCTGCCGATGCAGGTGATGGCCAGTCTACTGGCAATGAAGAGGTTATCAAGGAAGCCTCCCCAGAACCCATGGATCAGTCCGCAAACTTCTTCGACCCCCAGAACCAGCGTGCTGTCAAGCTCCGTGAGCAAGTGGCCCTGGATACCCTCGACGAGCTGCTCGAGTACATTCTCGAGGAAGGCGGTAGCGTTGGCATCCTTGATGCCACAAACAGCACCATGGAACGTCGCAAGGCTATTGTCGACCATATTCGCCAGCGTGCTGGCCCCGAGCTGGGCATTCTGTTCCTTGAGAGCAGCTGTGTGGACAAGAACCTTTTGGAGGCTAACATGCGCCTGAAGCTTTCCGGTCCCGACTACAAGGGTCAAGATCCAGTCACGGCTCTGGAAGACTTCAAGAAGCGCGTGGCTCTGTACGAAAATTCTTACGTTCCACTCGGCGAGTACGAGGAGAAGCACGACATGGCCTACATTCAAATGATTGATGTCGGCCGCAAGATCGTCTCGCACCAGACTCACGGCTTCCTTTCTTCTCAAGTCGTCTATTACTTGCTCAACTTCAACCTTTCTCCGCGCCAGATCTGGATCACTCGCCACGGCGAGAGCCTGGACGACGAAGCCGGCCGTATTGGCGGTGACTCTGACCTTAGCGAGAATGGCAAGCGCTACGCAGAGGCCCTGGCTCGCTTTATCGACCACCAGCGGAAGCAATGGGAGCTTTACCAGCGCCAGAAGAACCTGATCAAGCACTTCCCGCCTCGCCCTGGTGACAGCACCCCTCCCAATCCGTCGTACATTCCTCGCGATCGCCCACGCAACTTTTGTGTGTGGTCTTCTATGATGAAGCGTGCCGTTCAGACGGTGGAGCACTTCAATGAGGACGACTACGATGTCAAGGAGATGCGCATGCTCGACGAGCTCCACTCCGGAAAGATGGAGGGCATGACCTACAAGGAGATTCAGGAGCAGTATCCCGAGGAGTATGCCCACCGCAAGAAGGACAAGCTCTTCTACCGTTACCCTGGTCCTGGCGGAGAAAGCTATTTGGACATTATCAACCGTCTTCGAGCCGTTATTGTTGAGGTTGAGCGCACCACCGACCACGTCCTTCTGGTCAGCCACCGATCCACTGCCCGCGTCCTCCTTTCGTACTTCCGCGGCTTGAAGCGCGACAAGGTCGCCGATCTGGATGTTCCCATGGGCATGTTGTATATGCTGGAGCCCAAGCCTTATGGTGTCGAATTCAAGGCTTACCAATACAACCCTGAGACTGATTGGTTCGACTACATTCCCAATTACGAGCTGCACCAAGTGGGTGCGCATTAAATTTGCCCTAAGTCAAATTTGCCAACCTTGCTTGGGGCCTTGGGGTTCCCCATTGCTCTCTATTTTATGACATGCCATGAATGGCTACGACATCTTTTTCAACATCACACCGACTGGCCGTTCACATACGCCAAGTCTTCATCACTATCCATATTCATATCCATTGCTGCACATGATTTTCCGTCTTCGCCCTGTGTCCCATTTTCCCTCTACCTTTCACAGGGTCGGAGCTTCCCTGTATCTCTAGATGTGTCCCCGACCCCCTCTGTGTATTATCACCCCAAATCTCCCGCCACTTCAATCTCCATTCTCGCTTTGTTTCCCACCATGGCTGTTCCCTTTCCCCGAGCTCCCGCTGCATCAATGGGCGTTCTGGGTTCTGATCTTCCTCTATTCTTACGACTCATTCAGCCTTTCCCATTATGTGTTTTCATTCCTCACTGCGGGTCTCTCTGCATGGGTTTGGCGTTCAGGCGGAGGTTATGCTACCTTTGACCCGCCCCCGAGCGTCATGACTACATGAGATTCCATTTTTCTATTTTTCCATCGGCGGGCATTTCTCGATGCTTATCGAGACTGGGCTGATAGATCGTGACGGTGAGACATTTGCTTTTCTATGCTCTGTCGCCGGAATTTCCGGCGTTTATCTTAGTGGTCATACACTTATTCTTACTTATTCTTGTGTGTTTGTTGTGTATTATCTCATGCTGTAGAAGTAAATGTCTTTTTAAGAGTATGATATGCTCGCTAAGTGTCAGTGCTTGGTTCTTAAAGAATCAGATAAAATTCTCTGAATAGGTTAGTTGTACACGTGGATTGGAAGCACGTATCTAATTCTTGTGAGTCTCTGTTCAACAATAGAAAGAGCCTGCTGGCTAAAGAATTTGTATCAGAAGAAAAGGTACGACCCGAAACAGAGGGAATTTAGGCCCGGCGCTTGCGTTAATACGTCATGTAAGTACATAATCACTAATTCCGTCAAGTTTTAGGCCAGGTGGTATTTATGTATCTTGTAGTGACGATGATGATGATGATGATGATGATATTCTATTAACCTGATGCAGCCTAACTCGCGTCGTATGGCTATGCAGGCGCTTCCTCCGGCGGAAGCAAGAGTATCCCGAACGCTAGTCCTTACGCATGAAATAGTAGATATATAAGAAAGCGGCGTTTTGCCATAGAAAGTCCTATAGTAAACAGTACCAAAACGCTAGTTATTAGATCCTATAGCCTTATATCTCTCCTAGTATAGCGGCCTGACTCTCTAGTATCTCTATCCCCTGCTATTCTCTAGTAAACTCGTCCTAAACTGCTTCGTTCTTAATTAATCGTGGTTCAGTGTCGGTGTCTAGTGTTCTCTTGTGAGCAAGCGATGCTGCGCAGGTAGGTAGAAGAAGAAAGAAGATTGAATAAGATTGATCGATCTTCTTCCTTCAATTGAAAAGGAAGGATAAAATCAATTCGGCTTGGAATCATAAAGATGAGATGAGAGAAAAGTAAGGTAGGACTGAAGCTTGGTTGATTGTATTGAATCTCTTGTTACTTGTTGAACATGATTATTCGATCTTGGTAGAGAAACCAGGGCATATTTATAATCAAGATTTTATGCAAACTTATCAAACTTGTTTCTTGCATATGATCGTTCTAGATAGGCCTAGATGCATTCTAGATATATAGTGATCTCATACAGTAGCTGTTTGATTGGTGGTTACTTGATTGTACGATATAATTGACCGTAGTGATGATGTAGATCGCATGACTATTGTATGCGTCTTTTTATGACTGATTATCCGATTGGATAATGATGATATAATAGCATAAAGCTTATAAAGATTCAGCATGTAGTTTCGGCCATAGAGTAGTTCTTGTATAGGCCTTATGAATCTGGCTTGATATGCTGCCTGACGGCTTAGGCATCACGCCCTAACGTGGTCGGTAAGCGAGTGAGCCATGTAAGCGAGCGAGCCACCCAACCACTTTTTCGCGTCCTACCGTGTTCATCTATCTCCTATCCACCACCATGCCTCCAAATCAGGTTAGATTACGCCAGGATCCGATCCAGCAAGAAGGTCGCCTTCTGCTTGCAATACAGGCTATTAAAAGCAAAGAAATAAGCTCTATACGACGGGCTACGGATCAATTCCACGTTAACCGTTGTACGCTCGCGCGTCGCCTACGCGGTACTACAAACCGCGCTGAATCTCGCGCAAATTCTCATAAATTAACTGAGATCGAGGAGGAACTACTTCAGCAGCGGATACTATCGCTAGATCGACGTGGAGCAGCCCCTACACAAGCTCACGTACGAGAAATAGCTAATTTGCTGCTCGCGAAGCGTGGTTCTATCTCTATCCAAACCGTCGGCGAAAAATAGGTATATAACTTTATCCAACGCCATCCAGAGCTTAAATCTCGCTTTTCACGACGATACGACTACCAGCGGGCACTACAAGAGGATCCAAAGATCATTCAAGAGTGGTTTAACCTCGTACAAACCACGATTTAGCAATACGGTATCCTCGCGGACGATATCTATAACTTTGACGAGACTAGGTTCGCGATAGGCCTTTGTGCGCATCAAAAAGTGATTACTCGAGCGGAATACTACGGTCGGAGATCGGTTTTACAGCTAGGGAACCGCGAGTAGGTAACCGCGATCGAGTCAATTAACGCTTCGGGGTAGGCACTTCCACCGACGCTTATATTTAAGGGCAAGCAATATAATCAAGCCTGGTTCAAAGATCTTCCGTACGACTAGCGCTTCGAAGTTAGTACGAACGGGTAGACTTCCGACGAAATAGGCCTTCGCTAGCTTCAAAAGCAATTTATTCCGTCGATAAATAGTCGTACGCGCGGAAGATATCGACTCTTAGTCCTCGACGGACACGGAAGCTATCTAAGGGCAGAATTCGACCAAATCTGCGCGGATCACGATATTATACCGATCTGTATGCCAGCGCATTCCTCGTATCTTTTATAACCGCTTGATATCGGATATTTCGCGGTTTTAAAGCGCTCGTACGGTGGTTTAGTCGGCCAGAAAATACGGCTCGGGATCAGCTATATCGACAAGCTTGATTTCCTCACAGCTTATCCACAAGCTCGCACCGACGCATTTAAATCAGAGACGATTCGAAATAGCTTCCGAGCAGCAGGATTAGTGCCTTTTGATCCCGAACCAGTACTATCAAAGCTTAATATTCAACTTCGGACGCCTACGCCACCCGCAAGCCGCGGTAGTCCAGCAAGCGCTTTTTGCCCCCATACGCCCGCGAACGTAGACGAGCTTTATAAGCAAGCAGCTTCAATTAAAGCTTTCCTAAAACAACGCTCGAAAAGTCCCCCATCGCCGTCGCAGGCCGCGCTAAACCAGCTTATTAAAGGCTGTCAAATCGTAATACAAAACGGTATCTTTCTCGAGCAAGAAAACAAGCAGCTACGCGAGGAAAATACTATACAGAAGAAAAAGCGTGCTCGTACGACTAGGTGGATAGCTCACGATGACGGTCTATCTGTACAAGAAACAATAGAGCTCGAGGAAGCTCATAATGCCTTCTTTCAGGCTATACCAGGTCCACGAGTACCATCAGCGCAGGGTATACCGGCACCGAAGCCGAGGGCCTTACCTAAATGCGGCAATTGCAGTGAAATAGGGCATAAGAAGAATTCTTGTCCAAATAGAGAATAATGAATATAAAGGAGTTGTGGTTGATATATATCGATAAATGTGTAGAAATTCTGGTTGGGTGGCTCGCTCGCTTACATGGCTCACTCGCTTACCGACCACGTTAAGAGCTCTGCGACGGTAGACTAAGTTCAAGACAGCAATCGTAAACACGTATGATAGCTAGATATGGAACCCGCGGGATATAGCGTCCAGAATCCAGATTGATAGTAACTTCCTCGCTAGTTCGGTCAACGAAGAGCAAGATTCCGTGTACAATGTATAATACTTACGATATTGATTTACCCTACGACGACAAATATAGGAAAAAAATTGAAAATCTTTATCAATAATGTCTATGATATCCTGAATTCGAGATAAACCGCAGCAAATTCAGCGGCACTATATTCGCTATATTTATGCCTAGGTACAATATGCGGCGCTGTACGCTGGAGTCTACAAATTCTTAATTAGGAAGGCACCGTCGAGTGCACGATCAACAACAGAGCTTCTTCACCGTTGCACCTCGCTCTGATACTGCTAGTTTTCTTATTTTCAACAAGCTCCCGATCAATACTTCGCTATCAGGCTTCAAGCTCCCACTTTATCAACAATCACTCTACAGCTACATCATCATGGCAGTCTCAGTCACGCATAGAGCGTCCGGCCTCTTACTCGAACCACTCCCTAATCTCGACATTCCCGCTCGCCGCACTGTCAGCCACGCGTTGCACCGGATCAAGTTCGTCGGAGCTCTGGGGCAATGGACCAACTTCAAAACAGAAGTCGCGAACACCTACAACAGCCAGACATGGAACCCGCGCGAAATAGCGTCTAGATTGACAGCCAACTTCCTCGCCGGTTCAGTCCACGAAGAGCAAGTTTTCGTGAGTGACGAGCGCGGTGTGCAAGGCAGACTCGAGGGACGAGCAGGAATAGCTCTAGGAGCTGTCTTCGGGGCCCAGAACCATGATCTTAAGCTAGGTGCCTCTAAGGGTGCTTTGCCGCCGTATCCAGGATACAAAAAAGCCCCTGACTTTGTGCTTATGACCTCGGCTCACGAAGCAAAGGTTGTGGGAGAAGTCAAGGTTCCCTGGATACGCGAGCACAACCTAAGGAAGTTGATCACTGAGTTTGAGTCTGGGGCTAAGCAAGATAATTTCCGGCACGTACTAGGTTAGTCTTATGAGCTATTGATAGGAATAAATATACACTGACGCGCATATGTAGGCCAAATTGCGGAGTATATGTTCGACTCACGCTTGAAGTATGGGTTCTTGACTACGTACGAGCATACGATTTTTCTTCGAAAGGAGGAAGTCGGTCGAGCTTGGGGACTGGAGTATTCTCCGGTGATTTACCACAGTGACAGAGGAAGTACTTCAGGCAGGACGGTGCCATTTTGTCAGAGTCTCTACCATATTGGATTATTAGCCCTCGCGGACTCGAATTTTGACACTAGCACAGGCATGCGGAACCAGAAGTGGACGGCTCCCTTATAAAAGGCCACAGTCTTGTCACCGAATTCAACATAATAAGAGGACAAACAAACAATCTTGCTTCCTCCTCAGCTACCATTGCCAGCGTGACGTATCTTTATCCCAGTCACTATCACGTTCATCCGTAGAGGGTTCCGGCTTGGCGAGATCGAAATGCGCAATCCAGTTGGCACCGAACATAATCGGACGTTCGGGCTTGCCGGCCTTCTCAAAGGGTCCGATAAAGTAGCTATATGGAGTAAATTAGTAAGTTCGTCACCTTGTCGTTGGGATAATATAGCAATAACGTACAGTGTTTGCGTCTCCTGGTGCCAAACTAGGCTGCTTGCCCCGCACACACGGGGGAACCACCCGTTCTCATGCAGCTTACTACATAGTCGACAATGATTAGATCCAGTATCGAATACAGAAGAAACATCAACTTACGGTAGAGCCTTAAGAAAAGCCAAGCGAACCTGCTCCCTTTCGTAGCTTTCAAGAGCCCAAAATGGGTCAGCGCCATTGCCGTCTCCGAGGCGCAGCCCTGGGACGATCTCCCACACAAGCCAGATAATGAACCCACCCGGAACTAGCCCCGAGCGATCCTGTTTATCGGTCTTGTATCCGAGAAGCTTTGGTGTGTCACTCGAGCCCTTTTCAGTGAGGTCCCGGTAGGCGATCAATTCTGGGGGTTGTATGTTGAGGCTTGTCGGCTTCTGGTATCCGCATCATCCATTTCAGTCTTCCGATGGGGAACTTGAATGTAGATGCGCATGAAGGCTTTCTTAGTCCGGGCTCTGGGATCGCAGCATAGATATTTAGCCGAGGCGAAAGAACGGAAGCCATACTCATCGTTTTCCTCCTCGTTAACCTGATAGTCATGCTCGTTCAGCTTCTCAAGAATCTTCCACCGGGAAGGGACTGGTTGGTCAAGGGTGATGATAGTTCCAGGGTCAGGGCCCTTACGGAACCAGGCTGAGTATGAGGACGACATTGGAGTTGCTTTGGATGCTTTGGAGATGGGTTTCCCGGATAGGTTACGAGGTTGAGAGGAGGAGCGTTGATGTGAGGCTCTTATGTGGGGCAGACTGGCAGCTATAGCGCCTTGCGCTAGCCGTATTGGGAGGTGGATACCTGGTGGCTTAATTGCCTAAAATTCCAGGCCGACAATCAAGCTAACTATCTACGGTATAGTTGCATAGGGGGGATTACTACAGCGACCCCCCCTTGTCCTAGAGCGACTTCCCCTGCTTGAAGATGCCTGAAATTTGAGATGTCTTTTTAAAATCAGGCATTAAGGCAGCAATTTACGATTATGTTAGCAGGAAAATTTATTTCTCCGTAAGCCTAGCCCTGACCGCCCTGACTGTTTTCCCCAACTATTTCCACTCTGACCGCCCTACCTACCCCTTCACCGCTATCAACACCGCGTCGCCATCAATATCGCATTGCGGTTGCTATTAATACTATTTTTCAAATCAAACAGATTAAAAACCGCGGAGGATATACATTAATAGGGTCTAATCTACACCCTTCAAAATCCGCATTTATTATGTATAAAACAGAATGGTATACTACAGAATGGTAAGCTACAGAAACAAGAGTGGCAGAATAGGTGGCAGAATAGGTGGCAGAATTTATGGCAGAAATCAGCCCGGGGGGGGGGGGTCATTTTATCAATCCCCTGAAAAGATTGGCTAGCCAAGAGACCTTCTCACATCAAGCGTAGGTCCGTGCATTTCATATTACCTTGGGAGCCCCCCAGGTCTCGACCAGAAAGTATTTCAACCTACGAAGTACTTGACGAGCACTACTACCTCCGCTCCATCCCGAGCGATCAGACTAGACCGGAGAACCCGAATCTACAATCCTCATGCTCACCTATGTTCAGTATCTCCGTATCGAGGAGAGAGATACAGTTGAACGTAATATTAACATGAGTATTTGCTTCCTTTCCTCCACAATTCTCATACTGTATTAAGGTCCTAGGAGCTTCATCCTCCGTGGTTCAATTGTAACCGTTTGAGTTCAACTCGGCTATAGAACCAGTGGAACCCAGCATGCCAAAGGGCAAGGCTGATATGGTATGGGATAGAGAGATGGGATGGCACGGTGTACAGGAGCTAACGGATCTTACCCCCATAGTGTCAGTTACTAGGTAAACAATATGTCATGTCGTCAGGTCACGTTCTTTGGCTAGCTCTGGATTGATGGCGTTCTCCGAATTAACGACCAGCATACTCCGTACAACTACACGATATTGCAAGCACCATAATAACACAATTAACCCAACCAGTCTATTCTTTCATTCCTCTCTATGCCACAATCCTTTCAACCAGGCCAAAATATGATGGCCACTAAAGTAATACATGGCTCCTGTCATCAACAGCTAACTGGCTGATATGATCCAACGTACAAAATGCCGACGATCACACCGCAATTTCCACGAATATACAGTATAACTTCTTGATATGCTAGGAAACTCTTATAGAGATATGAATCCTCAGCCGCCTTTTCTTAACGGGCAATAGGCTGCATAATACGTATTACTGCCGAGTCGAGCCTGCGCGATGTACCTGAACCCTCTTAGCAGGTGTCTAGACTGCCATTAAACCCAGATTGGAAGTAAGTACATCATATAATCAACTTATCTTGATACCTAACTAGTACTCCGTAAAGGCGACTGAGCTGGTGATTGGGGACGCATTCAGAGTTTCGGCCGAGCAGGTGGTTCTGTGCAATTTGTTCAAGTCAAACCCTTTGATTAACGCTAAGCCTCAGGACGTTACAAAGGGTAAAATATAATCCACCTTGCCTAGAGGCACGCCTTCCTTGCGCAAGATGCCATAGGCAGTAGTTACATGAAAGAAGATATTAGCCTGCATAATGCACGCGTATGTAATCCCAGACAGGAGTTGTATATCCACTCCAAGAGGCGTGGGATTGACCGCCTCGCAGTGTTCGAGGATAAAGTCTTTATCAACCGCATCAAGGGCCTGGAGTACCTTGCTGATGCGAGCGTACATTTCCGCATATGTGTAGACGACATCCGTACTCGTGTCTTCGGTTGGGAATGACTCGGCTGTTAACTTAGCCAAAACTAGCGATGTTTGCGTGGTTGCCGCGAACACCTGATAGCTGAGAGATTTCATGTCATTGTGGAGTCGACACGACGGAAGGCTGGATGCGTTGGGCTGCTCCTCGGCTTTGTGGAGAATATGCGAAAGTGTGGTTAAAGCCCGCTTTGTTTGAAGAACAAAGCCCTCATAAAGAGTATACACCATTCTGAAAATTGGATTTGTTTGTGTTTGGAAGGGATTTTGCCTCTGAACAAGGAGGCTGGTTGGTTATGTAGCTTACGCTTTGTTCCTAAGAACGTGGATACGACTGTGCTGCACACCTATCGGGTTTCCCGCTGTCCATTGGACGCCTTAGGCCTCCAGTCCACAACAGATCTACCCCTCACGGATGAAATTAGACAGAACCCCTTCATATAATAAAATGCCTCAGGACCTGTTAACAAAATTAACTACAGCGTTAAGTATACGGATTTCTATACGTGCCTAGAAAGAATATTCTCCCTCGCACGCTATTCATATCTCGTTGAAATGGTCAAAGTTGCAGTTGCGGGTGGCTCCAGCAGTAAGTTCTAATCAGTACCTAATCATGGATTCTTTTGCAGCATCGCCTAAAGTGTTAGTAGGTGTTGCACGTGAGGTCATAGAGGCCTTAATTTCTCAAAAGCATGATATTATAGTTCTGTCCAGGAATGAAAGGGTACAGTTTTTCCGCTTCAGTACCTTGGACTTTTAACTGACCAAGTGATACAGTGCAGCTCAGCTCACGAGGCTACACCAGGCGTAGATTGGGCACAGGTGGACTACAACGACCCAAAAAAATTGGAACAAAGCCTTCGTGGAGTCCATACTCTGCTGTCATTTGTTGTTATACAACATGACCCAGGAAGCATGACACAGAAAAATCTCATCAATGCTGCCGTGCGAGCCGGTGTAAAACGATTTGCTCCCAGCGAATGGGCTACGTTAGTTATTCAACCCCCGATATTGCGTGCAGTATTTGACCCTGCTCAGATCTAGTATGGAATATATGCGCTGGTATGCTTACAAGGAAGAAACTCGGCGATATCTCGAAGGGCTGAACAGGCAGCAGACGGTAATAGCCCATAACAGCAAGACGCGCGCACATCTTAATTATAATCAACAGGTTCTTGAGTACACGCTATTTCAGCCAGGTTTATTTATAAACTATCTCACGACCCCCTTCAAGTCTGCAGCCCACCTTCATCAGACGGAACTTCCATTCGATTTTAACAACCGCCGAGCTATTGTGCCAGAGAACTATGACCAAATTTATGTCACGCTGACGAAAGTGCAGGATCTTGCACAAGTCGTTGCTAGAGCCATTAGCTTTGAGGGCAAGTGGCCTGTTGTTGGGGGCGTGAAAGGCACTGATATATCCCTGGGGCAAATAATCTCCGTTGGGGAGAAAGTCCGCGGTATGAGCTCACACGATTCATATAACTTAGCGCAACTAACACCAGAACTAGGTGGCCAGCCTTTTCAAATCGAAAAGGTGAAGCCACGGGATTTGGAGAGTGGGGCATGGTCAGCCTCGTGGATGCCGAGAATCAGTCACCCTGCAATACCTCCTGAATTAGTGAGCGATACGCTGTCTAAAACGGTGGTTTCAGGTATCTTGCTAGGAATCTCTGCTGGATGCTTCAAGGTCTCTGATGAATGGAACCGGCTACTGCCTGACTATGAGTTTACTACGGCCGAGGACTTTTTGACCGAGGCCTGGACTGGGAAACCTTAGGCTTTTAAAGCGGTCCACTGGAGTAATACTGAAGGCTTGAAAGCCTCACTAAGGCTGGATTGTGTTGAATCCGTCAGGCTATTTATGGTGTCAAAGCAAGGCCGAATTAGTGCATAGACTAGTATGAATTAGGAAGAAGGATAACTACCGGAATCATCAGATAAAGATTGATTGATTGAAGAAGGAAACTTCTAAGTACTCCGTACACAGAAAGAACAGGGGCTGGGCTGAACCGTCCCTGTGTACGAAGCTATCTATCAACCATCTAATTTTAGTACGTAGACTAATTAGACCAGAACCCTCTACGACTACCATAAATGTACATACACTACAACCTCGGTAATCAGGATATCGGCAACGTCCTCTACACCTATTTGGTGGTTGAGAGGGGCGGAAGCAGAGGAGAAAGGGTTAGGGATTTGAAGGGATTTCTTGTCATGTGATCTAGTGTTGCCGCCTAGCTATAGTGTCCTGCCAACAAATCGGACTACCGCCTGACAGATCCGTGTGTTACGCGGTGCCTGCTGGTCACTGTGAGTCAGTGCGGGAAGGGTGGTAGTTACCTGAGTTGTAATGGGGTATAACTATGATATGTGCTGAGGCGGCTGATTCCGACCCTGTCGGTATAGATTTCGATCCCAAGAATATCTCTTAACCGTACCGTTGCTATGCTAAGCCTTACACGGCTCGGGTCCTTTTAAGTATCTTGCAAGATGTACTAGAGTGCGCGCGAAGTAAGTCAGTCACTAGGTGTTGCCACGAAGTGAGCTCCCCTACTTATAGGTTAGGTTGTCTTGAAGGTGAACTATGAAGTACAAAGTACTAAGGTAGTAACTAAGTAACAATATGAGATTGATCGCGAAGAACTAAATATATGATGCTGAAATGAGTGTCCTTATATCTTTAGTCCGCTAACCTATTCTCGTTGGGCATCTCGACGAGTATTCACAGAATCGGATTATAGGTTATATCTAAGGGGGAACATTTGCTAATTATATCTCGATCATAGATAACACCTAATCTATCTTTATAGAGATGCTATCTCGAAAGTCCTTACTTAGCCTCGCGACCTACGTAAGTATTACGCGGGACCCTTTAGTACTATAATAAGCTACGCCGGCGTAGAAAGCGACTATAGAATTAGATACTAAACTAGTTAAATAGAAAAAAGAATACTAGAGAGTACACGCGGATCTTATTATAGAGTATAGCTAGTTATAGGCTATATATAAGCTTAGTAACGAGCGTTCTATTAAATTATAAAAGCTATAGAATAAAATCAAGTCTCGGCGAAAGAAACTCTATAATTCGGCGAAGAGTAAGACTCGTGCCGAATTCTTCTATTAAATCGGTAATCGTATTATCGAGAGTAACTACTTAGGGGAATAGATTAACTTTATACTAGACGAAGCCGAATCTAACTAGAGAGGATTACTCTTACTAAACTTAAATTTTAAAATCGAGACGTCGATAAGATTAATAACGCTCTATTAATATAAGACTAGATCCGCTCTCTAGATCTCCGACTAGAACTAAACTAGCTTTACGTGCCTCGTAGCCTAAAAAGCGTATATTTAGTTTAATAAAATAAATATCAAGGTCCCTTCTTATAAAGGATCTAAAGATACTAAACCTAAATATATTCTCTAATACCCGGTATACTCAGCGTGTCTAGAACTCCTTCCCGTCGCTAAGGATTTCTACTACTCTCGAAAGGACGCGCTTTAGACGTATTTCCGGACTTATAAATTACCTATATTCTTCGATAATCCTAGTCGTTAATATAACATCCCCGGTTATGTCTAAGTATTCCCCTTACTCAACAGCTATAAGCTTTATCTATCTAAGCACTATAGTATCTATCTTTGATAGTTTAACCCCTTATTGCGTAAGAGGGATAACAAAAGAAATTATCAATCTAAGATTACGAGGATCATATGCTACGTCGAAGAGATAGAATACAAAACAGATTTAGCACTGTGTAAATTATGGCTTATAGTCCTTAGCGGTGGCTAGTTGGTCCTGAGCGGTAGGGAGTAATCAACCTATAGTATGCTTTAATGGATGGTTAACAAAGTACTGTAATTGATCATTCAACCTTGGATATTATTCAACGGTCGTGAAATCCAGATCAAGAACCGCCCGTGGGTCCAATTATTTTCCATATCAGTAGCGCTCCATAATAACCGATGCCTTTAGTGAGTCCTTTGCGAGAAACCAACCCTTGCTCTGCAAGTAAGCGGTTAAATTGGTCTTCTCGGTTAAGGCTGTCTTGTGGTTCTTTGTTTTGAAAGAAACCTCAACCATGTACTCAATTCCCGTACCCTGGAGGTCCAGGAGGGGCCAGATCTCCAGGTATAGGGGCATCTCGTTCCACGAGCCAGCAGAGCGCCTCACGAGGATGGGGCCAAAGATGCGCGATACTGCTAACGTGTCAGTACCCCATTTGTTGGACCTCCAATTATCGAACTTGTTCGGCGCATTATCGATCAGCATTTTACGGGAGTTGCTTGTTCCTGGCAGATCCATTCCGGTTTTCCCAGAGTCCGCTACCGTTTTTTTGCGGCTAACAGAAAGTGTCTGCTTCTGGTAACCCCATTCGACTTGCGCCTCGTATTTTGCGTTGCCAGCGTTGAAGCCATCGTTGTTAGCCACAAGGAGAGCAGCTTCAATATCGCCGCCTGTGACGGCATACCGCTTCTTATACGTCAGCTCGAAGTTATCCTCGTTTTCGATCTTACGGATACGGGCGCTCCAGTCGGCGGCATAGAGTTCCTTGGAGCTCTTATCGAGGAATTGGACATTCAGTTTTGTGACAGTCGGGGGCATCTCGAAGGTCGATAGGACGGTAGCCGTTACCTCGTGTTCAGGGCTGAGGACTGCAGTTGGGTTGAGCAGGAGCCGAACCTCGTAGTCGGGCATCATATTTGGTACTGCCCGTGTTGGGGACATGATAGTGGCAGTCGTGGCGAAGGAGGGGCGCGGGCGGGATATGTATGGTAGCTGTGAGCTCGCAGGCTGACTCAGATGAAGCCACTAAAGCAATAGAGGACCCGGTATTCCACAAGTAGATCAAGGTAGTCAATATCGCGTGCTGTTAAGGTATTTATGCGTATTGGGAGACTTGGTTGTGTTTGGCATGATAGAATCAGCTCGCGTAAATCAAAATAAGCTTTGATTATTGGCATCTAGGAATCGACAAGCATTTACCTATGACAACAATCGTAGGTTGTGTCATTCCCAATAACCAAGAATAAAATAAAGTTTAGTTTACTTCGATGGCATGGATCTTCCCAAGAGGACCTCCGCTTATTATCCGCAAACGGTGCCGGTCCAACCCGGGGGTACCGGCGGGATCCAGACCGGGCATTTGCGATGGACTCGCAATATACTTTAAAGTTTAAATCATAACGATCAGTACCCCTTCCGCAAACAGGGTTACTGGGCTCCAAATCGCCTGCCAGAGGTCCTGGATATTAGTCATACACCACTCAGTTTCAAACCCCCCTATGCAAGTCTTTACATCCCAATAACTACGAGCATTGCAGCTACCAGTAGGTGACTAATATGGATATGGATAATTGGCCACAATAGCCATCCAGTTCGATTATCCGTCCAGCTTACTTATCATGTACATTAATTACAAAGAAATTAAAAGAGAATATACATCAAGAGAGCGAGTCCGTTAAATTAGAGTGTCATATAAATGGTTGGACGGACCACGGACCGATCACAGTTCGTACTAACGTACTGAACTATGAACCTTTGCTCCTAACATTTATGCTTGGTCATTTAGCCGTCGAAACACAAGCGATTTTCTTGGGCGTGCTAGAGCCATGGGACAGACGTCTCTGGTTTACGGTCATGGTATATCACCTGAGATCCAAATAATGCATTTATCATTATTTTGCCACAAATAGCGTAATGTTCATATTTGGCGTGACGTCACTGCAAGCCTTCCTGAATCTAGACTGCCTGGTGGACTTTTCACCTAAGAGGACTGGTTGCGCAGACATTCCGATAATGATAGATATCAGCTACAAGTATGCAATAACAATGCATTATCTCTGGTTAGTTTGTTGCTCATTCATATACTCCATGTCACTCAGGACTGGGGAGATATCGGCCATCGAACGGTAGCCTATTTAGCCAAGAAATATCTAGCAGATACGCGTTCAATCCATCCTGGTAGCAAGAAATTTTCTTTAAATATGTAATGCTGCTGCAGTTCAATATGGATATATAGTTTCTTGATCGCCACGCAAACATACCACAAACATAAACAAGAATTGGTTGCACAAGACACATGTCATTGAATGGCAGTCGTCTCACTAGCAGGTATGGGTATACCGTTATGTCGATCGAGGTCCGCCAACAGGCTCTTTGGACATAGAGCTCTGGATAGGCTGGGCCGAGACACATAATCCGAATTATGCGTCACAGTCATCTTATTATCTGGGCGCAAAACGTACTCTGGCAACGCCAGCAAAATGTCCTTTTTGACCCATTGCCAGCCGGTTTGGCCACCACTACCATCACCGGGCCCCTCGATCACATACCCAGCCAGCGCAGCTGGAGAATAACTTGGAGCCAGATTGGTCTTCCGGATACGGGCAATCGGATGGAAGGATTCTTTAGTGGTGCGAGCGCTCTTGTCATCCCCTGGACCCTGCGGATAGTTTCCCGGCGTGCGGTCCTGTTTCCCTAGCCCCCGGAAGAACGCACCCTGCAGGCCAGCAAAATTGGACTTGATGTACCCACAGCCCCAGTCATCGTTTTGTTGGCCTAGGGCGTTACGTTCGGCCCGCGCAGCCCGGTGTTTCTGGATTAGTTCCTCGATTATCACACTTTCAAAGGTCAACATTCCAGAAAGATTGTCCACCTAGAGGTCAGGAGTTAGTAGTCAATGAATCGTGATAATAAATCAAGTGGAAGAAGAGGTGGTAAAAAGGGCGTACCATCCATGCAAATGTGATATCCTCGATTTCACAATCTGGAGCTCCACCCCCAATATTTTGGTGTACGCCGGGAAACCAACATTGCTGTAGATCCTTGGCTGGCGCATCCTGAGTTCTGTGCCAAAGGGTCGGTGGGAAGGTGAGTCGTCTCTCATCGATAGATAGGGCTTGAAAGGCATAGTCTATATCTACACCATCTGGTAAGCGGGGTTGCATTCAAAGTATAAGACAGTGTGCAGGTGATGAGCGATGAACTCACTTTTTGACACATTTGTGTTGTGAAATGCGTACTGCTTTGAAAGATTGATACCCACTTTTGAAGCCATATTTACCAACGGCCAATCAGGGATCCCCTGATTAACACAATGTTAGCTCCTGTCACTTGCTACTTCAGAAGAATCTGCACGTACTAGAGCGCCAACCGTGTCCCAAACGCCCACTACTTTGATGCGGACATCATCCTCTAAGCGCAGTTTGCCTTGATTCTGCTGATACCATGTGGTCTTCCGGAAAGGCTGTCCGCCGGTATTCTCCCGGTAAGCCTTCCACATTTCGGTGAAGTGCGACATGTGTTGTGATGAGAGCACACCTATGTCGGAGACTAGGCCAGCCACAGAGCGGACGGTAAAAGCGCCGCGCGAGAATCCAAAAAAGAACAACTCGTCGCCTTTAACGTAGTTGTTGGATATGAACTCGTAGATCTGACAGACTTCATTGTCTAAACCCCAGCCGATGCCGCCTATGATAGAAAGGAAGCAGTTATTACATTAGCCCTGCACGGTATCAAATTGACAATATCGGACCTTACCATAAATAGCCTTCTGGAAAGGGAGCTCTCCCGCTCCCAGTCCAGAATGATATGAGACAATTTGCTGAACGATGTTTCCATGGAGGTCTGGGCCACTGGTCGCGATGGTGCGAGCGATTCTCGCGACGTTGGACGGCACGGACGCGTCTCCTAGGTCGGACGCAAGCCAGGTTCCGTCTGCACAAAGGATGATACGTTTATAACTTGCCAGCCGGGCCGCTAGCTGCGCCGATTCGCGGGGCATAACTGGAAGGACTAGAGACGTTAAGCTGGTCTGCGAGGTAATTTGTGTGTATGATGATCATATTGTCTGGACAAGGGGAGTTAATATTAATATATCCATTTGTGTCACGCGATCGAGCCTGGAATATTGTCCTCAAAGGTGTATCGAGTGACCGGCTCCCGATAGCAAATCAAACCTAGCTATCATTATGGGAGAATCTCTCAAAGGAGCCTCACGGTTTGACAGTAAGATGATGTCTTGCGATTTGGCTTAGCAGAGAAAAATCCCCGCTTGCAGTCAAGTCTCAGTCCCAGCTCATGGTTCATGGCGGATTTAATTGGTGGGTATGAAACACTGGGGTTGAACCAAAAAGACACCCAAACACCCCGCTTGCAGCAAAGGCCTCGAATCTGACTGAAACCAACCCATTCTTTTTGCATCTGCAGCTGCAATAGCCTACACGATTTGAATAATAATACCGACAGTAGATCTTAAAGACTGCGCAATGGCAATGGATGGGAACCATGAGAGATAGTGTAAGGTTTGGCTAGTGGATTTGATCCGTTCCAGGTTTCGCTTGTTTGGGAGGTGATTAACGCAATCTTGTAACGAGGTATTTAGATGACGTACTTCCATAAGCTAGAAGGGCGATTCCGTCACTAGTCTACTACTTAACCTAATATAATGGCACGCACCTATTGAGCGGTAAGAGCAGACAATGATACCCTCTTTCCGAAAACATCCCACTAGTTAATAGGTGGAACTTGGAATATGCAACTAAGTTCATTCTTTGTCTTTGATCACGATCCGAGTAAATCTAGAACCTGTGGAATATCCAAAAGCTGAATACCGGTCTTCGCGCATTTTAAAGTTTGGATATACCATAGAACCTTAAAAAATAAGCGCACCCGTGAAAACACACAATGTTAACATGGGACTAGATCCTGCTAGGTATCTAGAGTGTTCTTTGCCAAAAGACAACGCACGTATCAAGTCACCTACACCGAGAAAAATGGCTTCAAAGAAGAAACTTTCCATTCACACATGCGTTGATCGTGTCCTGATTCCTCAAATTCCCCCCTTGATCAAGAATCGACTCAAGTTTATTGGAATTCGTCTATCGCTACTACGAGAGAGCAGTGTGTAATACTCGATACGTGGTGACTTTGAATCAGGACTATATGTTTCTATAACCATCCATACGTATCATTCTACTTACTGAAGTAAGTAATTTATGTACTTTTGTTGTCTTGGTTTGACAAAAACTCCATCTCGGCTCTAGAAGCCGTCGGCTGGGCTCCCTTGCCCAGCGAACAATAGCTTCATGTTGAAAACACCCTATTGATTTCAATGGTAAATCAAGTTGCAAAATAATTATTCTGGGACAGAAACTAAGAAAAGCTAGTGGCAAGATTACATTTTGGATTGGGTGATGAGTGACCTCGGTCGTGTACATTTAATGTAATTCACGGGTTAAATCCAAGCTTCATGCTTGGTTCGTTCAGCCACCCAGTCACCAGCGATCTCCTTGCGAGGGCTCGGGCCATGGAGCAGGAATTTTAGGTCATTGTGAAACCAGCTGTAACCCGTTGTAATGGATACATCATTTTTCTTGCTGCAAACGGCAGAAAATTCGTATCGAGGCTTATCCCATCCGCTAAGCTTGTTGGATCTAGACTGTTCGGAGGGCTTTCTACATAGTACAACTGATTATTGCTTATAAATATTTGACCACTATATCTATTAGGATATTTTTCCTTTTATGACTCAAAAAGTTCTATCCACAGCTCAGCTTTCCAATAGCGATTTATCAGTTGCGTGTCCACCAGCAATGTACTCCCTCTGGTCACTCCTGTTACTCAGTTATACAGTCCCGTTCACTTGGGGCTGGGGAGACCTCGGTCATCGAACGGTAGCATATTTGGCAGAGAAGTATCTAAATGAGGATGGCACTCGGCTAGTGGAAGACCTTATTCACCCGGATGGGGATTTTGATATCTCAGATGCGGCAGTGTGGGCTGATCTTCAGAAACGGAAACTTCCATTTACTAGACCATGGCATTTTATAGGTATGTACTAATGCTAGCTACTCTAGATCCCTAAGCTTATTCAAATAGATGCCAAGGATCAACCGCCTGATTCGTGTCGTGTCTCCTATGAAGCAGATTGCACGAAGGACGGATGTGTTATATCTGCGATTGAAAATATGGTCAGTGAGAGAGGCCTCTGAATAATACAACACAATTAGATACCAACATCAGGGAACCGTTACTGACGGTAAAAAGACACACCAAGTTCAAGACCCCACTCTAGAGAAGACGCAGCAAGGTGACGCGCTGAAGTTCTTAATGCATTTCATTGGTGATCTACACCAACCACTGCATGTTGAGGATAAGTGTCGAGGAGGCAACGATATTCATGTTTGCTTTGACAATCACTGCGGCAAGACGAACCTTCACAGTGTGTGGGACACGGATATCCCCCATAAACTGAACGGACTTAAGCACAGCCTGAAGCACAACGAAGAAAAAAGCCTGCCGTGAAGTGGGCCGAAAAATTGTTCCAGTCTCAGGGACTGAGGCCCCTTCATGCAGAATGCTCTGACATAAAGAGGCCATTAAAATGCCCTATGATATGGGCAACTGAGACAAACAGACTGAATTGTGATTTTGTTTTCAAAAATGGCGTTGAATGGCTTACAAATGAAGATCTGGGTGGACAGTATTACGACGAGGCTGCTCCTATTGTGGAAGCACAAATTCTCAAAGCAGGGATTCGCCTGGCCGTGTGGTTGAATGCTTTGGCAGCTGACAGAGCTTCATCAGGGGAGCGATGTGATTATCGATATGGAAAGGTGAGAAGTAGTCTCCGTTCCTGACTCTGGCCATCTTTACAAGAGCGACAATTTAACTTTTATCTACAGATGAGAATACAAAAGGGGCTATAGTATAATCGAAATACGATAAGGAAACTGGAATGGCAACGGCTATATGACAGCTTCAAAAGTGAGGTATTATTCGATCCCATCTGACAGGTTGGCGTATTTATTATTTTATCGATGTTCATGTAGTAGGATATTCTGTCTATTCTAGGATGAAATTAGTCTTAGTTATCCGCTCTTCAAATATCACAAAAGCTCCCAAGTCATCACCATTCGAGGCTATTTTGTCAAGAAAGTGACGTAGATAACGTGTGAGAGTAATAGTAGATAGCATCCAGTTAACCTCCGAGGAGATACAAATGCAGGAGCTCCAGTCGCCATGAACGATATTATCGTACGGATTTGTCCCGATTGAACCACATCTGGATGCTTATATGATGTGTCCAGTCTTGGCTGCTGCATGCGTGGTTGTGAAGGCCAGACCGGCAGTCACCACCACCGCCGCTTTCCAACGGACCAACACCAAAGACTCTGGAACTAAAGCTCAGGATAAACTTGATACAGGATCCCAACCTGGCAAGCGGTCACTTTCCATACCACGTTGGTGTCCAGGTGGCCAAAAATAGAATCTGATATCCGCTTGTAGTGAAAACGAGAATTTTTGGAATGTTGCTTCGTCGTCTTTGTTTTTCCTTATTGTCAGCGTATGCTGTGGTAACTTACCACTAGCAAGCGATTGGTTACCCAGGAACCCACATTTCTTTGTGTTTTCTCCGTAAATTGGTTCAGCCCGCAACCTCGGTGTAGTAACCACCGAGTATATGCACATACGTGGGGTATTTCAACCTGCCCTCGATCGAATGTCTATCTTTCTAATCGATCAATCTTGTTATCCTAAATTGGTTCCGCTTGATCTCATTCGCCCTGAATGCATGCTAGTCCATACGCTTTTAGCAAGTGCTGATACTTATGTTTTGGGAGTTCCTCAACAATCCAACCAGATCAACAAAGAGGCCGAACATCGCCCTAGCAGTTTTCTTCGTTTTTCTCGTGGTTTTTTTTTTTTGGTTCCTAGTCATTAAAGTCCGCTTTTTTGTATTTGAAGCTACAGGTTGGATCGAAAGGGTTTAACTTCAGCACTGTGCAAATTATGGCCGTGACGAGGTGGACAAAAAAGTAAGTTGACCAGACTGGGGTTCGATCCCAGGACCTTGTCGGTGTTAACGACACGTGATAACCAACTACACCATCCGGCCAGCTGTGAATATTCAACGAGTCTCTTAATGAATTCATGAAATATTAAAAGTTAAAAAGAAACAGATCCATACACGGACAGTGCATTTAGTCTAAAAGAATAATTCTCAATTCAAACTTAAGTTATTCGTGATTGCTTCCTAGCTCCCTAACTTCCGCCTTTAGTCAAGTAGCGACTTAAGTTCACTTAATTCCTCTACTGCTCCTACAAGAGGTTAAGAGTGATTTGTTAACGAATTCTTAGCAAGTCTATTAGCCACCGGCGGCCAAAGGGGTGGCGGAGCTCGGTGATCCGGATCAATAGCAAAAATGCCTCGCTACCCGGGCATGCGTGGGAACCGGGGAGAAAGAAAGAGCAGGAAGGGTGAAAAAACAATGAAACGTTGAAGCGGCGATGGAGGGGACTTTATAGAAACACGCACCGGGACGGGAGGTCAGCTAGTGACGCTAAACCCAAACAGGCATGCTATACCGCATGGCGTAAATCATAGGCAGCACCAGATACGTGATAATTAGGGGGTGACAGTGGAAAAGTCATGGTTGTGCGTGGTGTTTTACTAGCATATCGTGGCGTTCTGCCTAATACCGTGTTGTTTCCACCGCGATGTCGATGTCGGCGCGGCGGCGCCTCCATCCAACGACGTCCACGCTTTACCGTATCAAACCAGCTCTTCCATCCCAGTATCTAGTATAGCATACCATGCCGGCGGCTCTATCCTAGGTCTACGCGGGGAGAGAGAGAGGGATGACATAAAGGCGGGCCTTGCCATATGCTAGTCGACTTTACCCTTCGATTACCATCTTCCATCAACATCATCCTTATTAGCGCGCGCATACTAGGGACACGTTGTCGCCATAATTCTCAATTTTCCGACGTTATAGTTGTACCAAAACCGGAACTGCATATAGCAACGATGCAGACATTGAAGTACGTACTGACTAAGGAGATAGCGGTGGCGACTGAGAATGAACGGGGAAGGATACCTTACAAACCTGAAGCTTTAGATTATAAAATGGAGATGAAGGAAAGCAAAAGAAGGAATAAACCTTAAATTTTTCTTGCTTGCGGTCTATTGATCTAGCCTACAAAAAAAGATATCTAACGACACTATGTTAGTATATCAAGAGCGATATCATTTCAAATTTGAAAAGCAGTCTTATTGGGCGATTTGTAGGATCTGCTACGCAACACAAACTGAGTGTTTCTCGAAATACCTCTCGATTATATTGACATAGTATATAATAAAATTAGCGTTGAGGCTTTCCAGTTGATTTCTGACATTTTTTTTCCAAGTGGCAGCCTATATCAGGATAGATTTTTTCCATTGCTACGGTCTAGCGCAACTTATTGCGTCTTTATGAATGAGCATAGCATGCTTAACTACGGATGCTCTTGCTCCCAGTGTGCAGCAATCCCATCTCACATCTTGGGGCTCTCTTTCCGAGGCGCGCACCTTCCTTCAAGGTAACCCAATCACTATCCAGTAATTTTGAAAGCTCATCCCCTTAAGTCTACTCTTCTTGCTGTATCTTCACAGTTTGTCTCTCTCAATTTCCGCAGAACTCACGCTCACCATGGACGCTGGATTCAAGATCGGTATCGAGCTCGAACTGCTGTTGCGGCCAATCCGCAGAAGCAAAAACGAATTCAAGGACCTGGAGGATTTTGCCCAGTTTATTGTGGCCCATTGCAATGCTGCCCGTCGTCCTGCCCCACGAATGTACAACGACGTTGATGGTATCTACGAGGGGCCGAACACCACAACTGAGTGGTCTCTTACGGACGACGCTACCATCAAAACAGACGAAGATGATCAGTGTAAGTGAATCCATGAGCTCTAAGCCAATTGGTGTAATGCTAACTAAAACAAGGGCCTCTAGAGCTAGTATCTCCCATCCTTAGATACCATGCGCAAAGCACCTGGCGCGATCAAGTCCGTCTTGTCTTCAAAGCCATTCGACTCGTTTGCGAAGTCACAAGCAATCGATCCTGTGGCGTCCATGTCCACATTTCACCCCCCGGGGAGTCCAGCTGGAGCCTCGGCACCTTGAAGTCCCTTTGCCGGTCCATATTCTACTTTGAGGGAGCCATTGAAGCCCTAGTCCAACCGCAACGAAGGAGCAATGAATACACGGCGAACAATCGTCGCGATAACTCATTGCTCAAAGGAAAATCCATCACCACTTGCCTAAATCTTGTGAATCGTTGCAATCACCCCTCCGAAATTGCAGACTTGATGAATGACGGCGGCGCAAGATATTTCTCTTGGAACTTCACAAATCTATACTACGGTGGCTTGGCTACTGTCGAATTCAGACAGGCACCGGGGGCAATTGACGAAACAATGTGTATACCATGGGTAGAGTTTGTGGTCAGTTTCGTTCATGGGTCTAAGATGACCTCATCCTATCGTGACCTTCTTCAGTACTCTCGAGATGTCGAGGGGCTTCGCAGGTTTCTTACGAGACATGAAGTCTCTGGGTTCAAGCGTTCTCTCTTGGACCATATTTTCCGAGGGAAATCCGGATTTGTGGTACCACAAGCTGTCCGAACTTTGAGCGAAGAAGAGCGGACAGCGTTGTGGGCGAAGATGGAAGAGGGTCGCAAGAGAAATCTTATGATGATGAAGTTGGGTCTCAAGCCCAGGTAGGAAGCATCTTTCTAGCTTTGTCATGCAGTTAATCCAGGAGAAGCAACTTCACAATACAGCATAAGTCCAATCTTAATTGTCATGAAGTTAACTACGTAGGGGGATACTTGGGAATCGATTACCTGAGATGACGTTCCAAGAACGGAGCGCTGCACCTACACAAGAAGCTTATCGGCTCTTGCCGCGACCAACATAACTTTCTTACCTTCTCTCATTCCAGAAACACACAGTGATGATAATTCAAGTCTATCTGAATGATTTGATATTCTCACTACGCTTGAATTAGCCTGGCTTCATTATCCACTAGGGCGGACATCCTCCACGTATCTAACAGTAAGTCCTCCAAGCTTCTGAGGGGCAAGAGGTTCAGACCCAGGCCTGACACTCCAACTTTACCATCCAGTCCATCCAACCGGACTTCGACTTGAACCGCTTTTCCAAGCCCATAGGAAACCACATACCTTCTGAAGCGTTTTGACTTAATCAGAATGAGCGAGAACCGGAGACCAATTCCCCCGCCATCCCGCATGGTTCGCAAATTCCTCGAATACAAGGCTTCGGAAGATCCAACGTTATATTTCCCATCCCAAGCCAGGTCCCCTAGATCTTCTGAAACAGACTGGCCGCAGACGCCTTTCAGTGAAGGTTATTTCTTCTTCTATGGGACACTGATGGACTCCTCCACTCTTGCCAAAGTTCTGCAATTGTCTGAGCCTCCACAAATGCGACCAGCCAGAGTGATCGGCTACACGACTAAGCTCTGGGGAAAGTACGCAGCCCTTGTCAGTGGAAAGCCATTTCAACCAATTGACGGCTTAGCCTACGAAATTCGTCTACGGGAGGAGTGGGATCGGCTTCGTGCCTACCATTCCGATCATTATGACCTGGTACCTATTTTGATTGACTTTCTTGACACCGGAGAACAGGAAGTCGAGGGATTTGCCTTTGAGTGGAGGGGTGACCCCGAAGAGTTGCGAAATGGGAGCTTTAGCCTTGAAAAGTGGCTGCAGGAACGGAACTTGACCGGATCAAAATAACAGCAGGGGTGCGGACAGACATCGAAGGGATAAAACAGGCTTTGCGTCTCAGATTATGGACTTTCAGCCAGGGTTTATTGTCGATGTGGAGAACTTGCGTATTGCTACTAGTGTTGAAGACCGAGGTCGGTCCGGGTCAATACTGCTCTGAACCCGACCGTGCTCCTCGAGCCTGTATCCCGTCTCACCCCTTTTTTTGGTGTATAAATTTAGCTATTTCATCAATTGATTCACTGCCTACACTCTTCGATTACTCTGTATGCTATAGCCAGTAGTATCAATAGGCTCTAAGGGCGAGTTTTGCGCTTTCTACCCCTATGACTTATACTTACAGTAACTCAACGTTAAGGCCCCTAGGTTCAAAGTGGTAGATATTGGTGGCAGAACAAAAATGGTTGATCAAGAAGCAGTCGCTCGGCAATAAGCATGGTATCCATGAAATCTATCGTATTGACAACTCGACAACGGTATAGTTCAAATCTTTCAGCCTCTAGGACGCATCGAATATACTAGTACTCCGGAAAGCCTACAGGAGCAGATCAAGTAGGGGCCCATGAACTATGCCTACCAATAAGCCCTTGTGGGCCATCAAAGTAATGGTGGATTGGATCCTTCACGGTTACGTTTTACTAATTCAATTTGCAAGCGCAACTGTTAATCCCATATGAGTATGTAATCCTCACTAGATACGCAACCCAAACAGGGAGCACCCTTATATCGTAAAAATTATCTTCCTAAGTTCCTAACTTCTCCTCTTCCTGATATCCGCTCCGTAAATCCGTCAGCTTGGGTATTGTTGCTGATAAGTACCTAAGGAGTCTTTTTTCATGTGTGCGTATCATTCTGGCTACTTGAATCAACAACAGTGAGAATCCTCTCTTTCCGACTCCCCTTGCTTCCTTTGCCTTCCAGCTTCAGGCATCTTGAATTGCTGGCCACCGCGTCCAATCTTACTTGTCTCAAAGCAAAGTTCTCAGGACGTTTGGATGCGTGGCGGGCTTGGTGGAACTCTTTTCCCTCTATATCAGCTTCGTCAGTCGTGATACGGTTGGATCGACTGATGGCAACGCTAACCTACTATAGTAAGATATCGCAGCGGTATTTGCGCTTGTTCTGCACTGAAAGACCGAATGCAACGCCTCCTACGCCGATGTAGTAGCAGAAATTCTGAGATACTGGAGTTGGGAGCTTACTTCTATCTGCTCCAATGACAAGCAGCACCTTCTAGCTGGGCTGTAAGGCTGTTAGTTAGACAACGCTAGAGAGCTTCTGCGGGACTACACCCCTTTCCAAACCGATAGGCTAGGTGTTTTTAAGAAGATGGTGGCTGACGTGTTTCATGGGAAGAAATTTTATTTCTCTAGCATTAAGCTGGTTCTGAACACCTGCGCCTATTAGGAACTGGCGCAGGTAGCTTCTACTATGGCCATTGGGGTCCTCACTGATAATACAATCCCCCGGGGGGGGATGCTGTTGATTACTTCAAGAATAGGACAGGCAAAGGTGCGATCAATAATGCTGTGACAAACACCATGGCCGAGCCAGATGCAATAATCGCTATGGTTCATGGGCAAGACGAGGGTCGGGATTAAGGCCATTCTGCCTTGGACTATGCTTTGCCCGGTGTTATTGGACAGCAAGCGTGGAATCAAGGTGAAGATGCTCGGATGTGGAAGCGATTCCTGTACTTCCGGGCCTCGAGAAAAACCACACCATTGCATACAAAGCCCGATATTTTCTCGAAAATCCCGTAGTTATTGTAGAAAGGGCTACACCCTATGGAAAATAACCAAGGCCATTGACAATGAGTGGGCTAAAATGGGTCAAACTCTGTTGGGTACAGCCACGAAGAGGTTGAAGACGATCAATAGCCAAGTTTACGGGTCGAGGATGGCCTCCTTGTTCTTGTTCATATGTCATGTTCTTAATGCCGGTTTGATAATCTCTGAGATTCGAGACGAGCTACGACGACTGTCTTTTCTCGATCGGTTAAAAAACTTGGCTATGATCTGGTTGTCGGGAAGAACAATGCTAGTGAAAATGGCCAGACAACTACAAGTCCTCCTAGGTTTCAGAAGAATAGTCGCCAAGGATTGAACCAGGTCCCAGTAATAAATTTATTCGAGATTATGAAACTAAGGTGGATGATTTCGCGTGGGAAGCCTCAAGGGCCAGTTTAGTGTCAAAATGATCTTAAAGTCTCGCACATAGTAGTTTTCGAATTCAGTTTGCCTTCTCACTCTTAACACTTGATTTCGGAAAATATATCCTGAATATGCGGGCTCTGATTGGTTGTTATTTAAGCGTTGTGATATCGACCGCTTTCTACAATAGTCCATGCATATTACAATACGTCCTTAGTACCATGGATGGTGTATTTTACACGAAATCAGCATACACGCTACCTCCTCTCCCGTCTATCTTTCGGGACAATTAGCAACTTCTTGCATAACTGATATGGCCGAATGAGCTGAATGCAGCAGGCAGATCATTATCAGTACCCGTAACAACTTGCGACAATTTGGGAGTATATACGCACTAGAAACCCGAGTAGGACAAAAGTGAACTATGACGCCCCTAATGATAGAAACAAAGAGTGATCATCTATATGAGAAACCTAGCCTCTACCTCGAGGAGATAGTTATATTCCTATGGGATAGGATGAATTTCAGGCTAAAGTTACCATCTCCAGCACTAAGAGCCTTTGTCGTAAAAGGTTGATCTAAAAGAACTTCATGGAGATGAAAGATCTAAATCAGCCTCCAGAAACAAAAAGGTATAGAATTAGATCCGTGAAATCAGCCTAGGCCTAGTTACAGCCCTTCATTTATGACGATATACCACGAACAAAAATGTCCTTCATAAAGTTATCAGTTGCTCATTTCGGTACACGTACTGCTTCTCATTTATTATTATTGCGTCTCCACGTGCGTTAAAATATCAACTGTTCTTGTAATGCATGTGCTATCGGGTGGTAAACCGCCCGAAACTTCCGGAGCATTGGTGTCTCCCTGGATAGTTGTTCGGATCGTCGAGTTCCCGTGTGTGTTATACATCCAGGTGTCTTCGGCTGGCTCTGCATTCCGTGTTTCGACCTTCATCCTACGTTCAGAGGTACGGGTTGCTCTGCTGCTCTGATATTCGTGGTCGATGTGTCTGACGAAGGTTAAAAGGGCAGGTAAACATGTGCAGATCACTCCGATGGAGACTTCGGCATTTCCTAGCATATTGATCCTCATGAATGCAAGAGTAATATCCTTTGACTGTCCGGTAACGATAATAAGCACGAGGCGGATGATACTAGCCAAAACAGCAAGTCCACCTGCGCCAAGGACAGCCGCGACCCTGATCTTTTTCTTCGTTGACATTTGTAAGTGCATGGTTAATATTAACGGTAAAATAAGAATAGCGAAGTCGCTTGCCACACTGACGACGGCGTCGGCAAGAATAATCGATTTCTGATCAAGACAGGTGCCATCAATATTTGCGTTCCAGAATCTAGCAATCGGACTGCAGATCCTGATCTTGACGATGAGAACTGGGATGTAATAGGCAAGCATAATGCCTATAAAGATATAGATAAAAATGACAACATCACGGACTGGACTGAAGACACGAGTCAAAACCCATAATAGACACACCTTAGTCACATATGCGGTTGGTCCATACATGACCATTGTCACGTAGACAGTCTTCTCAAATGGAATGTGATCTTCAACAGGGACGTCGAAGTAATGCAAACCTCCTCCGAAATATCCCATGATGATAGCAATAACAGAGTAGCAGACACCAAGGAACCATGCTATAGAGCACGTCCAATCCTCCTTCCCAAAACCACGGACTATGAAAAGCCGGGTATATAGGCGGATACCAAAGAAGGCGGACATCCCAAAGATGCATAATGACTGGCACACATAATTCCAGGTCTGCACGCTCCGATCGATAGGCGTATCCCAGTTCTCACGTTGTAGGAATGTTGGAGGCAATCGCATTTTGGACCGCGATGTGACCAGAATCGAGAGATCATTTTCTCCACTCCGCGGTGGAGCATTAACTATATAGCCGAACTTTGGGCTACTCCACATTACGTCATCATTTCCCCGGCGCTGATTTTTCAGCCTTATCGGGCTCATAACTTGTATTTATGATGGAGCATAGATTTTGAAAAGGGCCGGTCGGCCTTCAAAGCTCGATAGGTTTGTCACTCAGATTGGAGGGAGTAGGATTGAGACGAAAGAAGAGCAGGCGAAGCGGGGCTTCGAGGAGCCAATTTTAAAGAACCAAAGAGAATAGACATGGCCACGTAAAGTGTTTTTAGATATTCAAATTCTATAGTTACCTGTCAGAACAAGCTGGACAGTATAGTTATGTAATCCTGGTAGGCGAAAGAGATGGAGATAGGCTCAAGAGGAACCAATCTTCTCGATGCAAAAGGGTTGATCGATTAAAAATTGAATGAATCTCATGGGGCAGATTAGAATATTCGAGCTACAGCTTGGGTTGTGATGGCAATCATAATGCCAAGAACACCAAAGAAGGGTCAATGAATAAAATTTCCATCTGTGGGGTAATTTACACCGTGGATCTACGAAGCGGCTCTAGGGGATTCGATGTATAGTTACAGTATTATAACAATACAGTGGCGCCGCAAAAGTCTGAGACCCCCTTGTTGACCGCTTTGGTCTCCGCTTTCCTATTCTGGACTAATATCTACCTTAAGTAGTATAGTGTGGTCTATCACTTCTAGTTTAGGCGAGCACTAGTCTATCTTAAGAAGGCGGTCAGTAGGGGGGTCTCAGACTTTTGCGGCGCCACTGTACGTCCTTGGACGAGGCATGGTCATTACCACCATACTTCTGCCCAATAAATAAAGCGGTGACCTCAAACAGGATTAGTGTATTTTTGATTTATTTTCCGGGAATCAGGTCTAAAGAGTGTTCGGTCAAACTGAATTCGAAAACTACTGTATAGCTCCTTCAAAGTCGACAGAACAAACCCAATCGGTTGGAGTATAGTATAAATTGCAAGAGAAGTCCCTGAGTCAAATGGACAGAACATTGTCTTAATGTGACACTGTTGCAAAGAGGTGATTCACTCTTGCTCTAGTGGATTGAAGAATTTTCTGCAATAAATCTTTACCCATCGCATATCTAAATAGCAACTCATGCAGTAGTTCTCCCGATCCTTCTATTGCACCATGCCCTTTTAGAACATCCTTACAGCTAGGATAAGACCATGGAATGACAAGAGATAACGATAGATTTCACAAGTGTCCCACATGTGGGGAAATCAAGAAGAGAAAGATAGAAAGAAATCTAAATACACAATATCTGCGTCTTCGATCCTCCCAGTAATCTATCTGCAGCCACTCTTATCTTGCAGGCTGCTCAACTATCGTCGCCACTTCAAGAACTGTATATACATGTACACAGAAATCGGGTCCATCCTTGGCTAACTCCAAAACAGTACTCAAGCTCGGGCTTAATCCTTAACACGGATGTATCTGTAGGGCTTGGAGGTGAAACTGCCATCCTTCCAACTAACAGCGCGCTTGTATGCGACACAGCCATAGGTGCCGCGGCACTCAAGCGTATTGTACTCCTTCTTGGAGTTATCAGCCCACGAATGGAAGAGAGTGACATGACCAGCAGCACCGCCAGTTCCAGGTCCAAGAGTTCCAACAAGGTCACCGGGCTGGAGATCGTCCCAAGAGATGGCTTTCGCGATTTCCGGAAGACTGACAGTGTTGAAGCCTGGCGAAGTCGCGTGAAGAGCCATGCTAACGAAGCCCGAGCAGTCGGTCCGGTATTCGCGGCCCTGAGGATCCGGGTATTCGGCGTTCATGGAGTATGGAATGTGGCGGGAGACCCAAAACTCTGCGCGTGAGATGATCTCCTTGCGGCTGATCTCGCCGTTGTAGGACGAGGTACCGCTACCAGAGCTCCCACCACCGCAGTCCTTGGTGACCATGCTGCTTGAACCCGTCTTCACGTAGTAGTCGGTGACATAGCAGCCGTCAGAGGTCTTGTCCCAGATAGTGGTACCCTGAATGTTTTCACCATGGGTTTGGCAAGTGATCTTGACATCGACACCCTTTTGGTAGCTTGTGACAACCGCATCATTCGTGGAGGGACCTGTGCGACAGTGTACTCCATCTCCGGAGATGGTGTACGCATTGGCCACGGAGAAAACCGCAGCGAGGGTGAGAGCCAAATTTGTGAGCTGCATATTGGTGAATAGGTGTAGATATGTAGACTCTGCGATGGTCAATCTTTCGGCAAGTGTCGCAGTATTCGTTAAGGATTGCTCTTTCTTTGACTGAAGTGCTCGACGATAGAATACCGAGTCGATAAGAGGAGTAGTGAAGAAATGGAGGAGCTGGATGATTGTGAAAAAAAAACCTTTTGCATCAGGTAGGAGCTGGGTACTTATACTTTGACATGCACCCCAATGCTCACCACGTGCATGTCCAATTCGGACCAACAACCACGGATATTTCCCATACGAACATGCCTAAATTTAGCGCCGAGAAGATCATTTTGGAAGCTGAGATTGTGTTTTGCGTCAAAGAATACGATATTTTCCGTGGACGGCACATCATTATGCTCAAAGTGCTATTGATTCATATGGGCTAGTGGCCCGCGACCTTGAATCCACACCCGTAAAGAGCTCTAAATTAGGGCTTCGTCAGTTCTATTGATCATAATACGAGAGTAATTCTATTCGCTTGAGAATATCAATCCTACCCTGGGGCCAAAAAGACCACTCGTATCAAGCATCTGGGGTAAATACGATCGGGGGCGAAAAGTACTAGATATGGTTACTACCAAAAATAGTTCCATTTTACGAGCCGCACAAGTGATCGGCAGGGCCTAATGTAAAATAAGGTAAATCAAGGCCGAAGAAAACACGAGTTTGCTTGGCAGGGCGAACATGATCGTCAACCTCATGAAGAATTGATGAATGGAATAAACGAATCTCGCGATGGTGGAAGTACTTCGCGGATGGGACACTAAAAATAGTCTGTTTTCTTCACGCTAGCTCTCCCAATACGAGTTGTGTTAATGATCGGCATGGCATGGCTAACCTTAAAAGGGAGGAAAACGCGGGTAAAGAACACGAGATTGCTTGGCAGGGTGAGTGGGGTCGACATGCGGACATACCACTCCAACATGAAGAAACGAGAGAAAAAACACATACTCAGGGTGAATAGGTAATATCAATCTCTTCAGCAGAAGGTAAGGGCCGCAGGTTGAGTTTCCCCTTCCTCCTTTCTTGATATTCTGTGTCTATATCATCCTTCAACCTCACGACTGCCTCAATTCCTCGGTTCTACTGCTGTCTCTGCAGCTTGGCTGATGCCCACCTCATCGACGGCGTTGTTGCTAGTTCTAGCCTTGAACCTACACCGATACAGAGTCATGAATACTTGCAACCTTGACAGCAACTGTTCCTCGTATGCAGAGCCCTTGGCACATGTGCTCATCGGAACGATTTGTTGGTCAAGCTCCATCGATGGCTGCTCTGCGATAATTAGTATACGTACACTGATACTCAATTGATAATATTACTATCAGGTGTTTCAATAGCTCTGGTGGAATATATTAGCACATTTGGCTGTAGCGTTAATCTCTATAACGTAGAACTCCCCTTAGGACCACAGTCCGCCCTAAACCCCTTAAAAGCAAATAGGTTGGGGTTCGAAGGAGTGTCACAAGAATACGAACCTGGAAAGAGACAGGCTCTTGTCGTAGGAACAAGGGATACGTACATTAACAGACCCTATCTGGTAGGATAGAAGGAGCTACGATCAGAGAAGCTCTTCTTTTAGGCACGCACAGCTCGGTTCTCACCCAATAAATTGACAAAGGTTCTAAACATGATTCATTATAAAAATCTGTAGTCTTACTATAACTAGTGAAATGATCAAATTATATGCTCCCTAACCTCCTCTTATTGGGATAATCTCTGTGAATGTTATTAGAAGCGCCTGGAGATTTCCCTCAAGTGAAATATCTTCCATCTCAATGTAGGGCTCGTCTAGTCGAAGAAGGGAAGTACTGAAGACAAATAGGCCATCATTGTCTTGCTTTGGTGAGCTGACAAGGCCGTGTACGCTATATACATAGTGAATTAAATCGAAGTCACAGACAAATCACCTCATTAATCCAGATTACAGAATCGTAAGTAACAACCACCTAAAGATTAAACCCCCGCTGTACGAGTTATTGTTCCCTGCGTACCCAAAACATTGGCCTGGCCAATCATCATTGACGAATCCATTCCTCCAGCAAACCGAAGAACAAACATTTTTCCAGTACTCTTTGTCTCATTGATTTCATTATATGACGCGCAGAGGTTGATGCAGTTATTCAGCGTGCTAGTTGCTTGGTGATCGCTCAAGCTCCAATAGCTGGAATGAGTACCATCTAAGGGCGGAACTTCGAGCTTAACCTTAGGGGGTTGGAATTTGGTATTCGCCTTGCTAAGGATCATGTCGGTGTATGCCAGCAGGCTGAAGCTGGCTTGTGAGCCAACGCCTTTGCCCTTGTGTTTTGTGATAAACTCCTGGGTTTTGATCAGGTCCTGCTTGGTGCAGAGAGTGTGGAGAGCTCGCGGTTGAAAACCGAGGGGGCCTTCTTCTTCTTAGTCATGTCCTCCGTCCTCGGTCCAGGGTTGTCGCCCGTGCCAGGGTTGGCTGTGGCCTGCGAACCTGCGATGCGTGGTCTTTTGGCTTTGGAAGGCATGTGGATCAGTGTGATGCCGTGTGTCACCTCAGGGAAAGGTGAGAGAAAATGTGTCTATCAGTGATCGATGTTAGCGTGTTGATATAGGCTGTTGCGTGTAAGATGTGTCGGAAGGATACTGTAGCTAAATGGTGTGAGAGGGTCTTAGTCAGTGCTGAGGAGCGTGGGAGAGATGAAGTGGATGGTTATTGTTGAGGGGAAGAATTCTTGGAGAGGAAGAAATTTTGAGAGGAAGGAAAACCTATTGGCAAGGAAGAATCCGTTTGGGAAGGCAGGAAGGAATGTAACAGGTAAGGATAATGAGTGTGTTTGCGGTGGGATCGCTCAGGGCCTGGTTTATTTGACGAGCTTCGAATTTGGCGAGGTCATCGGCAGCAATGTCGTCTGCGGTAACCCATTATACATCTCCGCCATGAAGGAAGGCATACAGGACTCCCTGAAAAATGTTACAGACATGGAAGGCCCCGATTGTGGGGGGTCTAGATCTTCCTCCAAGGTTCTGGGCAGCGGTGATCCGTGGCCAGAAATGGTCTCGTGGCCGATGGCTGCGAGTAAAGCCTGGGACGGTCCTGCACCGGAACCAGCAGAGGCCATTTTATAGGGAGCCCACAATCAAGGTCCCGAACAGACCCAAGATCGCCTGGCCCATGACTGGCAAACAATTCCACACACTCATTGGCCAACAGACTGTGACTGTTGAGGCCATTGAGTCCCAGGCCAAGGGTGACCCCTTCGAGCAGCCACGCGGGAACTGCCAGAAGGGGGATGGATTGTTTTCAGGCTGTATACAAGACCCGGGGGAGATTCAAACGCTGCAGCCATCGGAGAGTTGCAGCGCAGTCAAAAGAGACTGCCGCGACAACCATGGGCCATTCGAAAACTTCTGGGATGAGCAAACTAAGCTCATTGAAGCAGGCCACCTTGTGCAAGACCGCATTACAGGCCATGGTTATCATGGAAGAGAAGAATATTGCCCACCTACTTGAAGAACAGAGCAAGGTCTAGGCATTTCAAGTTCGAGGTTCGAGAGGGAGATCGGGAAGAGGAGCGATGGGGAACGGGACCATGAGCATACTTTTGTCTTTCACTGCGCCGCTCCCGCAGTATATAAAAGACACGTATCTGAATACAAGCCGTGAGCAAGACGATGCATTTTGGGTACAATGTACTATTAAATAGGAAACGAGCATAGAGGTTGATACTACACGTGCAGGGTTGTTGTTTGCCTGAAAGGTCAGGCATTTATCAAACCTGCCAAATCGGGCAGGTAGGAGGGTTAGCAACATAATATTGGAAACTTCCAGTTGATTCATGTTCTTCCTATTTACCCCCTCCCAGATCTCATCCCCCTCTCTCTTCCCACGAGTCATTTCAGAACTCGAAGTTCTCGAGACATCTCCTCCCAGACCTCCTCCGTTTCTTTCTTCACACGAGCCATTTTCTTCGTTTCCTTCGCACCCAACCCTTTCTCCCCCACACTCTTCACTTCTTCACCAAACACTCGAACTTCACCAGTCATGGCGTCGTAAGTCACCCTTCACCTTTTCCCGTTGTCACCATGAGCACTCAAGACTGATCTCCTTGAATAGAGGCTACCAAGGACAGGGGGATCCCCCCATACCAGCAGAACGTACCGGTGGTACCTCATGGACTGTAAGGCACTATGCGTTTTGGCTCTCTGTTTCAATACTAACTGATATAGGGACCGACCTGAGCCCCCAAACATGGTAATTGGGCCTCCTGAGGATGTCCCAGCTGTCGGTGTGGGTGCTATTCTTTGCCCAGCCGGGCCATGGGCGACTTTCATCAAGGGATACCCGTTAAAGGTGGCTGCAACGGGTGAATTGTTCAAGTCCTCTCTCCTGGAGAGCCTCGCCCAGGAAAGAATCTTGTGGGAACCACTTTTCCGCCTTAATTATGCCGTGTTCTTTACGCCAACCGCACCGGCTGGTGAAGTCGTTGCTACCCGTGCCCGGGTTGAGGCCGCCACAATTCAGATCGTCGGACGGTCAGAGAATACAGCTTGTCGGTGCTGTAAGGTCCACAGGGGACCCTTCGTCCATTGTGTTCGGGATATCGCTGCTCCACGGTGTGGCACCGGCCACCGACTTGGTAAGCCTTGCTCTCTCAGTTCTGAGCAAGCTGAGCCAAGAGCGGCTCGTCGTTTGTAAGGAACAGAAAGGCCTCCAAGAGCAGCAGACTATCCTGGAAGAGCACCTCAGCCAACTATTCCAACGTCTCAAGGAGGTCAATCATGGCCTGGACAGAATCAGGCATGGAAACCTCCTCACGCACATAGCGTTGAGATCATCAAGTGTGGCTGCAGCACGGCACCATGAAGACGTGGAAACCGCGAGGTTTCCCAAATTAAACGGATTCAAGAGGGAATTCTACTGGAGATAAATGTCATCAAGAATCTCATTGCCAACAACAAATGCCAGTACGAGTCCATCTTCGACCAGCTGATCAGATGATCCAGCCAAGCAGCTCGAGGTCCTCGGGGCCTTCGGACCGGACACCCGATATGATGGTCAGAGGACATAGATGGAACGGTTTTCGAGGTGCGGCTGAATGCCAACCTCAGGGATGATTTTGCGGTTTCATTCTTCCTTTTGCTTTCTTTTTCATTTGGTCCATTTACATTTCAAATGAGGTATTTCGTGCTGAACGTGACAATTTAGATCTCACCCCTACTAGCAGCGTTGTGAGATTCAATTGAGCCTCAATGCATCGATTATAGCTCGGTTAACCTAACCTATGGTTGCTCGGAACTGGGTACAGCTCATGGAGGTCACACTAAACCTAAAAAGGTCAGAAATTTAGGCATTAATTATTCTTCCTTATACAAACTTAACTTCATGTAGAGAGCCCTACACGCTTTGTTAATCGCTAACAAAAATTAGTGTGCAGGATCATTTTATTGATAGTCATGAAACACGGCTTTCTACCTCTCTTTTGACCTCTCTTTCTGTGTCTCCTTCCTTAATAGATAAAATTAGTAACTTCTATTCGATTGTGTGATTAGCGCATCGTTAGGCATGATCTCCTACCTTGTCTTAGCAGATTCCTTGGTCATTAAATAAAAAGGATCTTGTCACTGGCACGACAAGAAAATTATTGCATGACAGACTAGTTCTTATTAGGAACCTCCTTGCTCTACGACAAGGAGCTACTTCCAACACCTACATAGCCACTTGTTAAGGTATGCATTATGACGACGACGATTATCTAATTATCTATAGGACGTGGACGTGGTTACATGCCTTAAGTCGCAGCTAATATTAAGGGCAACCACGAGAAGCGCTTCCGGCGTAGACGTCGAAAGTAACTTCCAGTGAGAGAGCAAGGAGGTTCCTAATTGGAGCTAGCTAGTCTGTCGTGCAATAAAGTTTCTTGTCGTACCATTAACAAGATCCAATAGAACATGCCTATAGGCCAAAATTTTGATACCCTAACAAAGGATTTCCAACCCCCCGCAGCGAGCCTAAACGAAATAAGAGAAACCAAGGAAACCCGGAAATCTTAAATCCTCCGAAGAATAGTGGGACCCCACTGAGCTAGATCCATGCCTGATGCTTACCAATTAGTCAATCTCCGCAAGCCGAGCGGGGAAGGGCGCCTGATATTATCATCAAATTGAAATACGCACCCTTGTTCCTATATAAAGTGGGGCAGCCATGGAGAAATTACTTAAGTACTACACGAGATTAAAATATTCTAAAGCTTACTAAGTTCGAGAACAGGCGGCCCTGTTGCTGTCTGATAAGCTCTAAGTTATGGCATCAAAAGGCTTACCAGAGCGTCTGCTGAAACGGTGGTTTCCACACACAACAACCCCGTTCATCGCGAATGCCCCGATGTTTGGATTCGCGGACTGCCGTCTAGCAGGTGCCGTCACCACAGCTGGAGGCTTAGGTATGTATAGATCATGCGAGAACAAGAATTATGAACAGAATCCCAATCTTTCTGATCACGGGCCAAATCGGCTCGCTCGGTCAGGGACGTATACACAAGCCAGGAAAAAACACATCGCTGACGACCTGTAGGCTTCATTGGGGGCGGCTTTGATTTCGGACCCGAATCAACCCAACTCGCAAATCTTGATGCAACCCTGACAAAAGCGCATGCAGAACTCGGGAGTATCGCTTCAATACAAACTCTCCCAATTGGCATTGGATTCATCACTTTTACGCCAACGGGATTCGAAGATCATGCGGTCGCCATCCTCGAAAAGCATCGGGTCGCCGCAGTCTGGTTGTCATTTCCCAAATCGGACGCTGACCATCAACCTTTAATCAAAGCGATTCACAAAGTGCAGAGCAAGAGCCATTGGGATGTTAAGATTTTCGTCCAAGTTGGCACTGTACAATCCGCTAAAGTAGCCTTGGAGCAGGGCGTTGATGTTCTGGTTGTCCAAGGTGTCGATGCGGGAGGACACCAGTGGGCGCAGGGGGCCAGTTTGATGTCGCTTTTGCCCGAGGTACGAGATCTCGTGTCGAAGAGTGCTAGAGTCGATGATGTTGCGATACTCGCAGCTGGTGGTATTGTAGACGGACGAGGATGTGTGGCTGCTCTGGGGTTAGGTGAGTTGCATGTATCCCGAACTATGAGAATGGTCGATAGTAACCTGAACAGGTGCCGATGGCATTGTTATGGGGACGAGGGTACGCATACCATAAGCGGTTCCATAATAATGAAAATGCTAACCGTGTATAGTTTATTGCAACCTCGGAATGCCCAGCTCCTCTTTCTATGAAAGAGTCAATCATAGCGGCGACGGACGGCGGCGTCTCGACCGTTAAGACGACCAAGCACGACGTTTTTCAGTCTACGGATGTGTTTCCAAGACAGTATGATGGACGGGCTATTATTGGAATTAGCTATAATGAGTTCGAGAGTGGCGCCAGTGATGAGGGGATCATTCAACGATACAACGAGGCTAGAGAGAAGGGAGATGATCACAGACGTACAGTGTGGGCGTGAGTTTCGTTTATCTTTGGCTGAATATTTACCAACTATACTTACAAGTGATGCAGAGGTACAGGCGTGGGAGTTATTGACAAGATTGTATCGGTTGAGGAGTTGGTTAGGAGCATCCAGCAAGAGGCAAAACTGGCCGTTGCAAGGGCTATGGAGATGATATAAAATCGAGATCATGATCTGTATTGCTGTTTCAAAAGCATAATTTATAATCATACTATTTGATTCCTCGTGTTCTGGTGTACGTGTTTCGATGATCCTCCATAGCAGGCATATTGTTCAAGCAAGTGCCAAGTGCAAGATGTCTACTCCAGTAGGCGATGTGGATCTAAGCTGGGGATTGAGTCGTACTCAGCAAAGATTCATGAAGCTGGCCAGAAATCCGTGCATGACCTAGGAACGAGTCCAAATACCTACGTCCAAATACCTACAGGGCTGTCATGACATGCTGGTCACATCGCAGACATTCAGCAAATCAAAAGGGCAGACTTGGACGAGGTTATCGGGAGCTACTGGTGGAGGCCCCAATCAGGCAAGATTCCCCCCTCCCATTCCAACCCCCCCCCCCCCTTCTCTTCTTCTTGAATTTACCTCAGTTCCGAACCCTCCACACCCCCCCTCCTCCCTTATCTCCCTCTCTACGCTCCGTGAAAACTCCCCTTTGCTTCGGGGTCGATCACAATTAGCAGACGCGTCTGCCTCCCAGCCCCAAATCTGGGGTCTTGGTACTCGCTTCCGAGGCGCCGTCCGCAATCCACTCCGCACTGCTGGAGAATTTGCCCAGCAGGCCTTTCGCTATTCAATCGCGACTATCCTATTCTGAGACCCTTTCCTACGACCCTCACATCCGTCAGGCACTTTGCTACACCACATCTACTTGATTTAACTTCCTACGAACACGAGATCGCCCCGATGAGCACGACCACGCCCTCACCTAGTCCGGCGCCCGGGCCGAAGGCCTCCCCTCGCTCCAAGCCGTCTCCTTCGCCGACTGCCGGGACAAAGCGCAAGAGAACCACCGGCAACAAATTATATGCTGTCAAGAAGGGGAGCAAACCTGGCATTTACTACAGCTGGCCTGACTGTCTTGCCCAAATCACTGGCTTCAAAGGAGCTATCTGTAAGTTCCTGCTCGCTCGTCAGACCAGAGCTTCGAGAGCTTTGCAAGCTTCGCGACGTACCATACCGTGTCGCTGGATACTGACCTTCAACGCGCACTCTACAGTTCAATCGTTTCTCACCTTCGAAGATGCCAACGCGTTTCTATCCGGCGCCAAAGTCCCGTCCGCAAACGCCTCCGCACATGGCGCGGAAAATACACGGTTCTATGGTGTACAACGAGGCCGAGTTCCCGGCGTGTACACGGACTGGACCGCAGCGCAAGACCAGATCCGCGGGTTTACGCGACCTCGGTACCGGAAGTTTTCGACGCGCGAAGAGGCGGAAGAATTCGTGAATGCAGGGAAAGAAGGGGCGCTTGTGTCGCTTGAATTTGGAGCTCCTGGTATGACTGCGGAGAACCCCAGGCTTGCAGATGGTGTGGAAATCACAGCTGGTGAGGGACCTCTGCCGCCAGGTGCAGAGGATGGATTCGATCCAAATGTGCTGCTCGACCCAAGCACGGGCAAACTGGTGTACAAGACGGTTGCCAAGAAAGCAGCTACGAAAACGCAGGCCGCAGGGATCCCGGGAATGTTGCGGATATACACAGATGGTAGCTCACTACGGAATGGCACCAAATTGGCCTCGGCCGGAGTCGGTGTATACTTTGGACCTGGAGACTCGAGGTTTGTGACTTTTCTTGAACAACCTAAATTTGGCCAAGTTATTCTGACTCATGCTTGATTGTCCTAGCAGGAATGTCTCAGAGCCACTGAAGGGAAGCCGACAGACCAACCAACGCGCAGAGCTGACCGCCATTCTACGAGCCATTGACATCGCGCCTCGTCATCGGGATGTTACAATCTTCACCGACAGCCGATACGCGATTGACTGTGTGACCGTGTGGTTTGTCAATTGGCGGCGCAACAACTGGATGACCAAGGACAGCAAGCCGGTCGAGAATCGTGACTTGATCGAGTCGATTCTGGTCAAGATTGAGGAGCGTAACGAACTCAAAGTAAAGACATTGTTTCAGTGGATCAAGGGACATAATCGCGACCCTGGCAATGAGGCGGCCGATCGGTTAGCGGTCAATGGAGCCCACGAAGGAGTGAGGCAAAAAGCAGAGGCATTGGAAGTCAGTCGGAGGGTGCCTGCAGCGGTGTTTGAAGATGACTTTTAAAGATGTTCCTTATTTCTTCCCAGGGCCACGATAGTCATGAAATATTGCCAGGATCGGTATCGATAATCCATGGTTTGTTGATTAAGCAAGTGCATACACTGCACCTATGTCAATGTAGTGGCGTAGATGTAAATAAATATTTGTACAAGCTAAGAATTTAGAGATCATGTACAGCATATACATACTCAACAATAATCAGTAAATAATATTATTATTTCGGGTACGTAGGATCCTAAATCGGAAACTCGAAATTGTCCGGAGATCGGGATCGGAGCATTATCGAGGCCCTGCCAAGACGTGGGATTTCTTCCTCCGCACCCGCTTTCGACGTTTGCTTCCACTGTCACACCTCAACCTCCATCTCCACGGTCCACTCGATAGGATATTCACCCCTAAAAAGAAGGAACATCGTTTCCACCGTGGCTTCCTTCCTCTTCCAACTCTTCCAAATCTACCACATGGTCGCCTTGCGTCGCATCCAGTACCTCAAGACTATGATTGCCTAACATTTGCTTACACCCCCCGCTGCCACGTCTTTTCCGCTTGTGGCAGTTCGAAGCAGGTCAGCCGTGAATAGTATTTTTGTCAAGTCGAACGAAATACTTCGCCTGGTTTCAATCCCCGATATCTTGATCGCTCCCGTCATTACCAGTGGCTGCTACATCGTCGGGACCCCCGCCGCCGAGCAAAAGCCAAGAGCGAGATGCCGACTCTCGCCTTGATCAACTTCAACATCGTCTGTGCGACGCTCGGAGGCTTTGTCTCCCTCTTTGGACTGGTATCCTACCTATGCAAAGAGCGATTCTACCTTTCCGAAGCCTGTAAGTAATTCTCTCGATTGACGAAACTCCCACTACGATTGATGGCCTCTGACCTCATCCGCAGTGATCTCGCTTCTAGCGGGCGTCGCATTCTCCCCGCATGCCGCGAATTTCATCCGCCCGGATGACTATGCCATGCATTCAGAGCAGAATCTGGAGGCCATCACTCTGCACTTCACTCGTCTCGTCCTCGGTGTGCAGTTGGTTCTAGCAGGCGTCCAGCTCCCCAAGCGTTATCTCCAGATCGAATGGCGGAGCTTGTCGCTTCTCCTTGGGCCCGGAATGGCGGCCATGTGGTTATGCAGTAGCCTGGTCATCTGGGCTATGGTTCCCAATTTCAAGTTCCTCCATGCGCTGATCGTCGCCGCTTGCGTGACACCTACTGACCCGGTCTTGTCCAATTCCATTGTTAAGGGCAAGTTCGCGGACAAGCATGTTCCGCGCCCACTGCAGCGGATCATCGTGGCCGAGTCTGGTGCTAATGATGGTCTGGGTTATCCTTTTCTTTTCTTTGGCATCTACTTGCTCAAGTATGTTGGTATGGATGGTGAAGGATATAGTGGAGGGGCCGGGAGGGCGATGGGTCAGTGGTTCTTGGAGACTTGGCTGTATACCATCATCTTGAGTGTGGTGTACGGTATCGTTGTTGGTTGGTTGTCGCGGAAACTTCTCCACTGGGCGGAGGAGAAGCGTTACGTTGATCGCGAGAGTTTCCTGGTTTTTGCCATTGCGCTTGCTGTGAGTTCTGTTCTATACATGAAGCATGTGGGAATACTTGGATTTTCGCTGACACCCCGGGATAGCTCTTCATCGTGGGAACTTGTGGTCTTATTGGCACTGATGACCTTCTCGCATGCTTTATTGCTGGTAATGTGTTCACGCAGGAGTAAGTCACATCGCAGATGCTATGAAGGCAGACCACTGACAAGAGTAGTGACTGGTTCCGTCTTGAAACTATGGATGACTCGCTCCAGCCGACCATTGACATGCTTCTCAATCTTGCAGTCTTCATGTGGTTTGGCGCCGTCTGCCCGTGGTCATCTTTCTTGAACAACGACATCATCCCGATCTACCGCCTCGTCCTTTTGGGAATTCTGATCTTGTTGGTTCGCCGAATGCCAATTATCTTCGCGATGCACAAGTACATCCATCAAATCGAGCAAATTTCCCACGCAGCATTTGTTGGATTTTTTGGTCCAATTGGCGTCGGTGCTATCTTCTACCTCTCTATTAGCCGAGAATTCCTGCGAGAAATCACTGTTGATGGTAAAGTGCGAGAGGATGCCCAGCAAGTCATGGATGTCATCAACGTCGTTGTCTGGTTCCTAGTGATCTGCAGTATTGTAAGTACCTGAAATCTCCTTCATACTCGATCATGCGCCTCTAACCCCCATTCAAGATCGTCCATGGCCTATCGGTCCCGGTCGGAAAAGCCGGATACAATCTCCCACGCACCATCTCCAGCGCCATCAGCACTAGTACTGTTGATGAGCCTGAGCCAGTGCCCATTTCAAACATTCGCCACACCCACAGTACCGCCACACCTCGTGGGAATCTTTCAGGCCCGAGCCACCGGTCTCGCAAGCGTGGCAACCAGCGTGAATCACCTCACCCGCCGTTGTTCCGCATTGGTGGTACAGTGATTCGACCACGTTCGCCTGACAGACAGTTCGGTGTTGGATCCCTTGATGAACCTGAGCGCCCTGTCAACCTTGTCACGCACGAGGCAGTGGTTGGTGGGAAGGACCGGGGGCAGGACTCGCCGAGTCCGGCGTAAACACTTACAATGCCAGCCCAGGGGTCGAAAGACCTCGTGCAACTTACTCTGGCATTGACAGGATTGCTTACCGTTAAGCAAATGTAGAAGGGAAGGGCAGGGCAGCCTTTTTCTGATCATTTACAAGAGCAATCTTGTTCCCGTTCTTGGACATTGAACTTTTTCTTTTTCAACATACATTTTGTGTAGGTGAAAGGTGGTTTGGAGATTTCATTGTTCATAGATTTACTTTTATCTCTGTGAATACGATAGAGTGCCGTTTTGTGTGCTTGATTAAATTGTCCTTATACAAATCTCGTAGACGAAGTCGAATATTCTAGGTCTCATTGAGCCACAGATTACGGTATTATTGCAAGCATCAAATTTGCACCATGGCCAATGTTGAAATCTCGGAGTATGTGCTGCCAAGGATGGTTTATTGGAGCTATGTGACCTGTTCTCGGGACTAACCAAGTATCAAAAGCATATACAGCATGTCCTCATGTGTTCAGACTATTGTTAGAAGTAACGCAGCTAGAGCGCATTCGTAATGGCAGTGTACGCAGCCTTAGGGTTGTAGTTGCCATCAAACAGGAGCGGAGTAGAGCTGGAGCGCCACGAATCCTAAGGAATCCTCTAATATTAGTACACTGTCTTCTTAACTTCTATGACAAAGGCTACTTACCGGGTCAGCGACTCCCCAAACTGTGATTCCGATACACTTGGCCTGGTTCAGACAAGCATTGACAACCTGTGAAAATATGGTTAATCCCCGGCCAAAGTATAGTAATGGCATCTGATACTAACATTGACGTAGTCGGTAGAGCTAGCACCAGCGATATCAAGCTCGGTGATAGCAATTTCTGAGGTTCCAGCACCGGCAAGGGCATTCAGAGCTGTGAGAGGCTGTTAGTTTTTCTTCAGTGGACAAGAGGTAGGAGGGTACTTATCCAGCAACACCAGCACCGCCACCAGCGCCCAGGTGGGTTTGGGAGCCTTGAAACGGGTCAGTCATTATTTACGGCGGGCATCATGTATTATGACAGAGATCTTACCGATTCCATCGATTGGAATACCAGCAGCAAGCCACGTCTTGACGTGGCTGACCATACCGTTCACCTTGGAATATGAGGCGGAATCCAGACTTTTAAAGTCAGAAGGCATAAGTTTCCAGCAGAGCAGAGAGTAACAACTCACTTGTAGTCATTGATGTAGAGCTTTGCATTGGGGTCAGCAGCGCGAGCTGTTTCGAAAGCGATGCGTACATAGTCCTCGCCGATGACATTGTAGAAAACACTGTTCCGCAGGGAACCATCCTCGTTGAATATTTCATTCAGAACATCCTGGGTAGGGTCAATAAATGGCCTTTTCTTGGCCTTTTTCTGTGGGTAGAACTTACCCAGGCGTAGATCTTGCCCTTGTAGCGGGTCATCAGCGTAGTGATGTGGTTCTGCATGACGCTGATGAGAGTGTTCTTGTCCGTGATGGAGGAGACCCATGATGGAAGCTGGGAGTGCCACACTTGACGAGTTTAGCTTTACTAGAATATAGATGTTGAGTTTCGCGGTTTCAAAGACTTACCGAGAGTATGGCCACGGATCAGTTTGCCATTGGATTGGGCAAAGTTGACCTATGTTTCGTGAGAACAAAGCAAACGAATATATGTCACGGAAGATTCAGGTACACACCAGATAATCCGATCCTGAGAAGGAGAACTGGCCTCGGTTTGCTGTTTTGACAGTCAGTTTCCGATGTTATAGTTGTGTTCAAGAGGTGTGTTTACTCACGCTCAGTAGCATCCCACTTCATACTGTTCTCCGGGGTCAGTTGGCCAAAGTCAGCCTTGATGATAGCTGGGTTCTTCGTATTCTTGGTCAAGGTGTACTGGTCACCAATAGTTCCAAAATACTTCTTTCCGTGGGCCTTGAATTTAGCATCAATGCTCACAGAGGCCTGTCGAGATTCGACAGGGCTGGCAAGCGTTTGGCCAGCGAAAAGAAGAGCTAGAGCAGCTGCCTTGAGTTGAACCATCTTTGCGAAGATCTACGCTTTCGAGTGTATAGATGATGAGAATTTGTGATGATCAAATGATAACATTCGAAGAAATCGACCCGATATTTATACAAGATCGAGGTGCCTTCGCTAATGGAAGTGAGTTCATAGTTTAGATGCTAGCTAGTCGAAAATCCTTCCTGATGCAAAACGGACGTCGCACCATCCATCCACTTCACCGATGAGAAACGGATATTTCCTATTCTATCCAAGACCCCTGCAACTGACTTGAAGAGAATGATGTTCGATCGTTATTTTAGCCGAAGCTCTTGCACAGAAGACTTTAGCCTGAAACCTAACACACTGCCAAGAATATCTCTGGAAGAGCCATTGCACGTCCTGGGCTTGATATGTAACAATAAAGGACCTAAGGGTCTTGGCATGTTGTCAGAGGGGGCGGAATCTGCTGTGAGAGGAAACAGAAAGGGTCATTCCCTAGTGGAGACAGCGGGGACGTGGCTGAAGACGTGGATCACCTGAAGGTTGAAGGATAATTAACCTAAAACTAGAACAGGCGTCGTTAGTTCAGGGTCCAAAGTTCGTCACGGACTATCGGCCCCACACACTCCTTTGCAACTTCCCCCTCCGAGGTACCTCCGCGCCACATTGTTGCCTGCCAGTCTTTAGATAGATCTCGGTAAGCCCTGATTTTGACGAGCGATCCCTGGCCCCCGGGACTAGTACGTTTCATAGCAAGACAGCTCTGTGATAGGCCAGTCCAGAAGATATTCAGCAAGCACCCTCACCATGACTCTCACCGATCCATACCATATTTGTGGATAAATGTCAGCGTCAGTATACTCTGCCGGCCATGCACATCTTCATCGCGAGGTTCTCGAAGAAAGTCCGGGTTAGGTAACATTTCCACGGTTTTGGAGTAAGCCTCAAAGAAGAGCTGAACTGGGTCATAACCACATTCAACATCATCGGGCGACAAAGTCTATCAGTCTTCCATAACTCTAGAAACTGTGAATAGAATCGCGTCCAAACGCCGCTGCAAGTATGCCTTGAGGGGTTTCACCTTGGCATGACAAACTTCATCCAAGTATAGCCGGATGAAGGGGTTCTCTTCATGAAAATGTACTCAGGACCCTGCGTGACTAGCGTAGGGCCAGCTTGACCAATAGGTGCTCGCAATCGCTCACTGAGCTGCTTGGCGTCACTTAGCGAGCGGACGCCTACCCCGGAAAATCCCCCGATCTAGTTAGTCAAATGTAACGGCCAAGCCTCCACTTGTAGCTAACACGATGGATAAAGTCGATTATTTTCGGCTGATTGTTACAGTTCGGCAGTTGGAGAAAATATCTATGCCGGGATGATAAACAAGGGCGTTGTGCATACATTGTACATAGGTTCGGTCCAAACAAAACGGTAACTATATGGAGAGTATGTATCCTGGACACCTGATCCCCAAGAGTTTCACTTTGTGGCATTCAACTAACAGTAGAGTGTCCCCGGAACGTCTCTCACGATCTGGAATATCACAATCCACTCAATACTACAACTCAAATGTACTGGTTGGCCGAAGTTGCAATCCAGCTTTCTCATAAGTCCGATCAATGGTCTCCATCTGCGCAATACTCTCTTTCCCATCAACCCAGACGCCAGATCCTTCACGACCCTTGACTCTATTCACAAATTCTTCCAACTGACAGCGGTACGTGGTCCACCAGTCTTTGTATACAGCAGCACGTTTGTCTCCTTCGGGCCAGTTATATGCCGTTTTGTAAGTTGTCTCATTCCAGGTCTTGGTAATATGATCTCCCTGTCGCAGGATGTGCTGATCCGAAATATCAATCCGATGGTAGAACGTTGGAATTAAAGGATTCCGCATTGTCAAAGTTCGTTGCATAAAGTGCTGGGACGGAGTATGACCTTCCCCATTCTGAGAGTCAACGACTACAGGTTCGAAAGTAACCGAGCTCTTTGGCCAGTTGAAAGATGGTAATCTCCGGGTCAATGATGCCGGGAAGAAGGAAGGCCAATTCCCTCTAGTAACAAGGTCGCCACTTATGTGGACATCGACTGAATCAGCTGTGCGGTATTTCGCGTCAATCGCCTCATCAATTTGTGGCTCCTTGGCTTTTCCGTCCGTTCCTGGCGGCAATCCACGATAGCTCACTTCAACAGGCTCGAGGACCTTCTCCCGTCCTAGAATCTGACGAACGATAGAAAGAGCGTAGGTTCCCACATCCATCATGCAACCCCCGCCTAGGTCATACGTGAACCGAATATCGTCAGACCCCAATAGGCCGGGTGATAGGAGAAATTCAGCATGGACGCTTTTGATGCTACCCGGAGACTTACGAACCTCCGAGAGGTATGTCTGCCAGGCTGGGTGAAATTGATAGTGGAAGGCTTCCAGGAGAACGGGTGCATTTTTGGCGGTCACCAGCGGATGATTGAAAAGCTGCTTCGCCTCAATGGCATTTGAGCAAGAAGGTTTTTCGAGAAGAACATGCTTTCCTGCACGAATGGATCGCAGGGCCCATTCGTAGTGCAGACCATTCGGCAGAGCAACGTAGATTGCATCAATCGATGGGTCATCTATCAGGTCTGTTCAATTCATGACGCATCAGCATTTGTGCACTGTGAATGTATCGAGGAAGATAGTTAAAGTACCTTGGTAAGATGAATGCACGATGGGAATTCCATGCGTCTTGGCATATCGTTTTGCGCGTTCACTATCACGAGCTGCCACAGCTGCCACGATGACATCTGGATGGGACTTGGCCGGGTTTACAACAACAAATGGTCTATGAAGACAAGTAATGTAATTAGCTCGTAGCTCAGTCAAGGCATGATTTTAGAAACACGAACGCTATCTTGGAGGCCCCTAGCAGCCCGATCCGGATAGCATCGTCATTCTTAGTTGCAGTCGGAGGAAATATGATGGTATAAGTCCTCTGCAAAATGTCAAAGGGGAACATGTTGGCTTCAAGCCTGCCGTCCGAGCAATCAATAGATGGAACAATTTCTTGCTGATCACTTGATGGTGCTGGTCAAGGAAGTTCGGATCAAGACTCAAAGGGGCTGGGGCAGAGTCATGTGTCCCGCCCCTAAGTCAACGCTTAAATTCCCCGCACCCACAAGGTAGCCAATGGCAGGGATGGTATGACGTGCTGCCTACGTGGACACAATGATAAAGCTCCTTCAGATAACTAGCTTCAATCGGGCCAGAATGGGGAAGAAGTAAGCCTGTACCATCACTGGCTCAGGATATCATCAATATTCTACGCCGCCACTTGATAGCCCAGGTGGTCATAATGTCACCCGTCTTCTTTTTTGCAAATAATGTCCAAAATTGAGGGAGTCACAGTCACAATGACCAATGCAGAGAAGGCTATACACGTGGAATAATTCCAAGAAAATATAGCTGTTGCTTGCTATTTTACCATACTATCTTGATTTCTTGCCAGAAACGTTTCAGAATGGGAAACTCGATACATGATCGCGATCCATTTTTGAAGGATCGATGTAGACGACTATACAAAGCGATTTACTTTTTCTTTCATCAGGCGCTCATTCTCGTTTTGTTTTTCATCATGACTATTTGAATGAGATCCATGAATGCGCTACTGAATGTGGGGATTTGGTATGAGGACTCGATTGCATCGAAAAGTTCGGCATCATGAAGGTACCCGACGGGTCTTGGTCTCCGTCTCTTTCAACCGCATTACGAACCCTTCCCTCTGAAAACCTGCCATCATTCCCGGACCATGGTCTAAATCGGAGCTGGAAAACACCGATCCAAGCTCGGCGCCACACGGTTCCATCGAGGTAAGCTGTCCGTGGAGCTCGTATTCCTAAAAGGCCCCCACCCGAGTCCCTGATTTCAAAGCAAGTTGACAGCTTGTGGTAAGCAGCACCCGTAGTGATACGAGTGGAGGTAAAGTTAACTTTCTCCGTCCAGGTCTCATTGGACCATTTATTAACGTTAAGCTACAAGATGCTCATTAAGTTTCAATGTCTACACGAACTAAGTCGGATGTGGAAACTCCGACAGTTACCATCGGTCTCCGAATTACCGATGGCCGATCACTCGAGGATCCATAAAAATGTGAAGTTGAAGCCGTGCATCATCATCATCATCGTTCAAATCATTCACCTATTCAACAAGCTTTAGCTCATAAGCATCATACAATGTCTCCTCCTACCACCATTATCTTCGGTCCAACCGGTCACGTCGGCTCCGCCGCCGCCATCACCGCACATGAACTAGGTGCAAAAGTAGTGCTCGCTTTACGTGACACCCAAAAACCCATCCCAGGTCTGACTACAGACCAAGAAAAGTCCGGCAACTTCGAAAGAGTCCAGGCCGATCTCACCAAACCCGAAACCATCGAAGCCGCCGTACGCACAACCAGCGCCAAACATGCCTTTATATACCTTGCCAATGGCAGTTCCGACCACATGCGAGGAACCATCGAAGCACTCAAGAATTCCGGCGTAGAATTCGTGGTGTTTTTAAGTAGTTTCTCCGTTCAGGGAGATATCAGGAGTCTTGAGCCGACGACTCTCATCCCTTATCTCCATGCACAGGTTGAGATCAACCTAGAAGATGTTTTTGGTAAGGATGGCTACGTCGCGCTTCGACCGGCGTTCTTCAATACCAACGCCCGTTGGTGGGCGAGTATGCTTCGCGAGGGCGAAGTCAGAATTGCGTACCCGAATAGCGCCTTTGACTGGATCTCCCCTGGAGATATTGGCCGAATTGCGGGGACGGTACTCAGCCAAGGTATAGAGGCGACATCCGGCGCGAAAGAACGGAACTTTATCGCTCTTTGTGGACCGAAGCTGGTGTCTCAGCGGGATGCCATGGGTATATTTGGCAGGGCGATTGGCAAAGATGTCAAAGTCACGGAGGTGGATGAGGAAGAGGGTACCAAGATTCTAGTTGAGCGTGGTGTACCTGAATTTGTGGCTGGGCCATTGGTCAAGTCTCTGGGTACTCCAGGCGGTCGCTCGAGTATGTATGAAGGAGAGGGGTATGCGGAGGGATCTCTGAACCTGAAGAAGTATGCCGGGCAGGTCACCAGCTTGGAAGAGTGGGCTGTGGCCAACAAGGAAATATTCGGTGTCTGAGCAGCATAGTTATATTTGGATATCTCGAATACATGCCATATTATTTCTGATCCAACATGTGGATGTGTTTTGTATGTGTAGTAGGCAATGTGTCAACAGCGGACCTATTGTTGTACTCGAATAGTCCATTCTAAGTACTGACAGTATTAAATCACACCTCAGAAGAGACGGAAAATTTCATGATCCATGTAACAGGCCACCTGGAGAGCTGCCAGGCTCCTGAGATGTACAGTAGAAACAGGTTGCCCTTGGCGCAACCCAATGGCCGGACCAGAGCACAAAGGTTTACACAAGAATTTATCATGATGATCCCAACGCCATGTAGTGACGCAGGTATCACTATAAAAAGGAGGAATTGATAAAGAGAACGAAAAACTTCAAAATCAGGCGGATCAAGGGTCCAGAACAACTTCTGCGAAGCGCTCCCAGACACTATAACCACCGCTAGTGCACATCAAAAGAAAAGAAAAAGAAAAACAATGCTCGAATCCGGTGACCCGGTATTATCGATTAACATGAAAGAGCTCGGCGTCAGGGAACTCAACCTCGAGTTTGAGGACAAGTTCCCGGTTAGATCAAGCATTAATGAGATCATATTGAAATTCATTGCCGCTGTTCAGATTGATATCCATGTTCATGCCCCTGTCCTCCTCCGGGCGTATCATCTCCATTCGTTCCATGCGTAGTTTAGTTCTCATGCATCAGGTATCGTAGCAAATCATGCAGAAAGGGAAAGTTGACTCCATTGATGCGTGTGCAAAACACAATAGTGAGGGCAGCTGTAAATAACCTTTGTGAAGCTAAACAGGCGCACTGTAGTCGTTGAGAATCTTGCGGGTGAAATGCATCACCCGGACGACCCATTCAACAAGCGCGGGGCTCGGCTTGTTCTGCTGGTTGGGCTCCTGAGTGGCGGTGATGTAGAAGCCGTGAAGGCGCTGACCAAGCTTGTTCATGGTGATGGGAACGACTTGGCGGAGGTCCTCGTTCATGACGAGAGACATGCGCATTCCAGCGTTCTAGGAGAAACACATGTTAGTATAGGAGACCAAGACAATGAAGAGTGAAACCTACCTGGCGAGATTCAGGATCCACCATCGTGAGAACAGTCTCCAGCCACTTGAGGCGCTTGGTGATATTGGTGTCCAAGGAGACGGTCACAGCGACAGCGACCGAGAGATTGAGCATCACATTCAGGTTGAGCATATACTCTGGGTCGATACGGAGGAAGAGGCAGTCGAAAAGATCAGTCTGGCGACTGGATTCGATCCACTATGAGAAAGACAGTGTTAGATGCGACAGTTCACCCCATTTCAGAACTCCAGGGAGGTAACGTACCTTCAGAGTAGCTGCTTCATATTTACCCTCTTCGAAAAAGAGCTTCATAATGGCATTCATCTCGGAATCACCCGAGGACTGGGCAGGTGCCTGCTGTCCAAGCAGAGTTGCAACCTTGCCTGTAAGCTCCTGCAGGGCAGCGGACAGCTGGTCGATCTTGGCATTATCGCTCTGGCGCTGAATCTCGTAGTGCTTCATCTGCGAGCGGAAGAACCGGTCAAGATCAGCCTCGACCTTCTGAGTGCTGCGAGTCGCATTCTCCACCAGAGGCGCAATAGCACCCTGGACAACAGCATCGAGGCGTGGCGACAACTTCTGGACCACAGAGTCCGAGATGGTCTTCATCACAGCGGGCTGCTGGAGGGCAGCGTTGACAGCCGTAGGCAGGGCCTGGCGGAGCTCGTCGTTGAGTGCACCACCAAGCTGCTGAGAGAGGGCTGCACCAATCTGCTTGCCGACAGCGGCAGAGGTGGCATCACCAATGGCGGGGACGACCTCGGTCTGGATGCTGTTCGACACGATGCGAGCCAGATTCTTCTCCACGTTGTCGGAAAGCGTGCTGGAAACCAGGCGGAGCACTTGATCCTGCTTCGCGGACGACGCAGCATCCCAGCTGCGGCGCTCATCATCGAAGCGACGGTAGAGCGACTCAAACTCACGGCCAAGGCTCTTTTTGAGCTCGCTGGAGACGCTGCTCTGAAGGCTCTCCAGGTACTTGTTCAGGGCTTCATCAGAGATGACCGCGCCGGACCAGCCAGAGGGGGATCCAGCCGGGATCGTACGCTCAGCGGCATCGATTGCAGTCATGGCGGCAGTCGAAGTTGCAAGGATATCGTTGTCCTTGGAAGCGGGAAGAGGTTCCATGCCGACTATGGCAGTGGGCTCCTTAGCCTTCACATTCGTCTCAGAAGTGACGGCAGGTGATTTCTTCTTCTTCTTTGGAACAGCCTTCTCCGCGCTGCTGGGAGCCTCAACCTGATCCTTGGCGACCTCCTCCGCAACCTTCTTCTTGCCAGCGGCCTTGGTAGGCGACGCGTTGCGCGAAGGAATCACGCCAGCAGTCGACTCAACGGCATCCGTCTTTTTGACGGCCGCCTCCTTGGCAGAGCGGGATGGGGTCGACGCAGCATCACCATTAACAGAGGGTTCATCGGTGACGTATGCAGGGAAGGTCTGGAGATCAGAAATCTCAATAGAACCAGCCTCCAAGCCATCAATGGCACGGGAGACCTTGTTATCCTCAGTCCAACCCAGATCCTCCTTCTTGATGTTCAGGCAGGTAACACCACGCGAGTGCATAACATACAGCTCGAACAAGTCAGTCTCCTCAGTACCGCGCTTATCAGCAGCAGACTTTGTAATCGGCAGAAGCTCCAGGCTTCGCAGTTGGCCCTTGGAACCAAGAGAGATCTCCCGGATTCCGCTCAGGCAGGCAGTCGAATCAGGCTTGGGCAGACCACTGTCCTTGTCGGTAGAGGCCTTGATGAACGCCGCCTGGGACATGGTCGGCAGGTTATAGCGAGGAGCGGACAGATGCACGAAATAGATCGAGTTGCGCGTAGGGTGTCCAACAACAATGATTCCAGATGAAGGGTGGTATGCGACGCTGCAGATGGCGTCCGACTCGTTCTCGTGAGGGAACTTGATCTCCTCCACAGCCTTGCCTAGCCCAATATCCCAGAGCTGCAAGGTGTGGTTCTGCTTGAGACCGACCAGAACGTACCGCAGCGCCATACCGCGCGAGTAAGGGCGAAGCTTGTCGAGGAACAGCACCGAAGTAGGCCAAGACTTCTCAGCAGGCGAGCCGGTGACGAAGGTGTTGAGAGGCACCCGGACTTCCGTCGGGGCCTGGCCCTCGAGGAAGGAAGGATTTTCCAGAATGTCACTAATATCCCAGAAACGCAGACGACCGGTCTTGTCGAGGGACGCAATGACAGTATCATCGTCACTGAAGGCAAAGTCCTTTCCAGCCTTGCCAGTCGAGATCTTCAACGCACGCTCCTTGAAGAACTTCTCGGTGTTGACAGTGCGCTGGGAACCGGCGACACCGTAGGCGGGGGACATGGCCGCCTGGGGAGAGATCACGTAGATGTTCTTGCCGCGACCAATGGCAAAGAGATCAGGGTGACGAGAGCTTCGCTTGGCCCGCGTTTTCAGCTGGCCGCCCGAAGTGTTCTCGTCGGAAGCAGGGAAGGGCGGGAAAATCAAGCTTTCACTTTCCAGAGCATCCAGCTCAAACAGATCCTTTCCAGCACGGGAAATCAAAGCCCAGTAGACAGCACCGCTGACACCAATGCCAAGAATTGCCTGGACGTCGGACTGGCCAGACGTCGTGTGAGTGGTGCAGAGGGCAACATTGAATACACGATCGCGAGTAGCACGGAAGACCTGTCGGTCACTTCCGTCATCCTGGCGAATGATTCTGATACCGCCAGTCTTAGCTAGGGCATACACAATATAATCCGAAGTCGCTGCGGTCAGCGAACGATCCAACTGATCAAACTCCTTCTTTAGACGTGCAATATCCATAATACCATCGTCACGGAAATCCACAAGCTTAGTAGCAGATGGCTTCACGGTGATCGAGATGAAAGGACGCAGAGGGAAGTTGTGAACCGATACCACGCGCTCCTCGTCCTTCTCGGCGCTATCTTCGGCGCTCTCCCAACTATCAGCCAAAGCCTCGACAGCTTCGTTGCCACTCTGGACAACTGGGGTCGGGACACTGTCGGTTGCAATCTCCTTGGCAGGCTCAGTATCAGTTTCAGGCTGGCTGACTGCTTGGATGTCTTGACTCTCAACCTCGGCGCGAATGTCTTCGACTCTGGAAATTGTCTCACGCATGTGGTTCCGGATCGCGGAGAGAATATCTTCAGACTCTCCAGCCTTGGTGGCTGGAATCTCAATGTCCAATTCAACGTCACGCTGGGAGTCAGATCCGTTGACAGTGCGTCCGATTTCGCCCACCAAACGGCTAACAACGTCATTCATAGCCTTGCGCTGCTCAGGTTCCAAGACAGGGGACTGGTTGCGCTTCGGGGGTCGTGCCACTTGAGGAGCAAGAGAGGGTTCAATCGTAGCAGTGACATTGACCTTCTCCTTCGTGGTAACTTCCGCAGCTGGAGTCTCATTGTCAGACTTAGGCTGTGGGGACTTGTTACGAGGAGAGATGGCAGCCAGCTGGTCGAAGGGGTTGACGTAGGTAAACATAGAATCCTTAGCTGGAGATGCGACCGTTTCCGGAATCACAGTCTCCTCGGGGTCGGTATCCACAACTTCCATGAGAATGCCGTTGTCACCTTGCTCAAGGACAGGCTGGCCAGACACTTGCTGCGGAGAAACTGCCTGAGCAGCTGGAACCAAGGCAGGCGCCTCTACTACGGCTGGGCCGGGCTGGGCTCGGTTGAGAAGGCGGAGTAGCATGTCCTGGGTGTTCTCACTGGGACCCTCAGGCTGAACAGAGGGCACTGGGGCCGGTGCAACGGCGGGAGCGGGCGAGGCAGCTTTAGGAATCGCCTTCTGTCCGAACAGGGAGGCGACCAAGTCTGACGCGGAAATGTTTCGTCCGTGCGACGGGGTCGGCTCTTGGACGGGAGGAGAACGAGGCTGCTCGACAGCAATGGGCGGGGCAGGCTGGGGAACGGCAGCAGGACCCTGGCTGAATCTCAGCAGGCTGAGCAAGCTCGCAGCACTATCCTGGTTGCTTTGCTGACGATGCGGCGGCGGCGGCGGCGGCGTGTATGGCTGCTGCTGCCACTCGGCACGGGGGTTGGCACTTTGGGGCTGAGAATGTCGGAACCATGGTGAGGTGGGGTATTCACAGGAGAAGGACTGTGGATAGCAGAGGAGACCGAGGGATGGTTATACCCGTGCAGCTGGGGATGAGGGAAGCTCTGACCATCGTATGGCTGCTGCTGCTGCTGGGGGTGAGGCGGGAACATGCCCTGAGGGTAGGGCTGCTGATAAGGCTGCTGAGGCCGCTGATAGTGAGGGTTCTCCTGGCCAGGGGCATTGGATGGCGAAGGCCGGGGGCGAATGCTAGCCAGCAGGGCCTGGAGATCGTTCGGGGTGGACATTTCTGCCGCGCGCCGTGGGTTACAGGCGACCTCCGCACGAAAGCCAAGCTTTGCAAGCTCTCAAGTAGCTCTCTTTCGAGAGGAAGGTAGGAGTAAAAGCCAGTAGAAGTGAAGAAGTTAAAGGGAATGACCAAATTGGGGTGGTTGCGAATGGAATGATGACGAGTTGACGAGGAAGCAGAGTGAGGAGATGGTTGTGCGAGATGAAAAGGATGTGACGGCCAAATTGGAGAAGTAAAACGCCGCGGTGGCTGGTGCGTGGCTGGTGCGTATTAATTACGGTAATTACCATACTGCGTCATGGTTGGATGTGTAATTAGGATCTGAGGCTGACTCTTGGGAGGTCGCCACGCCTTCGATCCCGATCACTTCAATCCCTCGACATTTTATATCCGTCATCTCCATCTCGCATGGCACTCTGTTGATAACGCCAGTCTTTTCTTAGAGACCCCCTCTACATACACCCTCGCATCTCAAATACATCTCACTTCGGCCCAGTTTCGCCGTGGGCTGGCGTCATCCACCATGTTCTGTCTCCGCAGGTAAGAACAGAGACCTACTCGACATTCAAGGTCGGACCGCAACAACACAAATGGATCCGAAACTAATCATTTCATCTGATTGTCTACAGTTGGCTCCCACTATTATTCATCCCAACCAACGCCTCCCCGCTATTCATCATCTCCTTCATCGCCCTCACCTACGTAATCCACCGACCATGCATCTACTGCTCCGCCCTCCTCCTCATCCTCTTCGTATCATCCTGCCACTGGTCAGACCGCTGTATATTTGATCTCCGCAGCAACTGGTTTGCGCCACGCTACAGCTCTACGCCCGCCGACAGCTTCGTTCCAGGCAACGCCACCATGGAGGCGCCTTTGCCGGGTGATAGCCTTGCGAGCTTCGTCTTTGACACCTTCAACTCAACCGCCAAAGCGTTGGCTGGTGCTGCACTTGAAAGTGCACAGCAAAAACTTGGAGTGGAATCAAGGGCGGAGGAGTGGACTGGCGTGGGCTTAGAGTGGCTGCGCAGTCTGTTGGGACGGCGGGAGTGGACGCTCCCTTGTGTGGATGTGAAGGTGCGATTATAACCTGATGAGTACCAAGATTTATTTCAGAGCTGGGCTTTGAACTGTTCGTCCTTATCCCTCGCGTGTCATTTGGGACGAAAGCTTGTCTTTCCTTGATGAGAGGCCGTGAACTCAATTCCCCACTGTTGATGCTGTTTTTGAGTACCCAGATGGATCACTGAACATGAAGACCGCCCACATCGCGCTGTCTGTAACTGACCTGGCTCCCGAATTTCAACGTGGCTTTGCAAGAATCGCTGATCACTTGAGATCCACCCGGGTGTTGCTTTGGATACGCATTGCACTGTATATATGACATTGGAGGTACTTTTATGATTAGACGGCCTAACCTTGGCAAAGCAAATTTCCATTCCTATTCAACGTGAACACAATTATCCAGATCCACAACACAACCTCGACACACATCCATATCCCAAGTCCCACAACCACACCAGCAGAGAAAATCTCTCTGAAAACACTCCATTCAAACCATATAAGTCGGAGTCACAACCACACTACTACTAACACCAGGCTTCCGCGAAACAGGAGTAGAAGTCACAAACGTATTCCAAGGCACCGAAGGACTCATAGTGGCATTCCCACCCCCACCGGGCCCCGACAAACATATACCGAGAGCATTCAACACGCTATTCACAGCGGGGATGCACGCCGCGCAAGCGCAGATCTACACGAAGCGGAGAAACAATATCGCATCAGTATCGATTTTCCCGGAAGAGAATATGCACTTACGCCCTGTAGTCCAGCGGTCAAACATTTCGACAACGCTGCGGGATCTCTAGCCTGGAGTGCAGACGCGATGCAAGAAAAAGTGCCAGTGAGACCGAGGCATGCGTTTAGATTGCATGTTGGTGGGAGGAGTTCGACGGTTAATCGATTTTGTTCGAGTACTAACGATGATGGGGTTAGTATAAGCTTGGCAGTGGGAGGATTAGATTTCATACAAGATAGGGGTTCTGCATTGCTTCGATCATGGAGTACTCGAGAAGACGATACTGGAGAAGACAGTACCCGCGAGAACGAGGACGGGGACGGGGACGAGGACGACGACGCCGTGCCAGCAACACCGGACGTCAAGCCCGCCGCAAGAACGAAGGTCGAGATACTAATCCGCATATTTGAGCTGTCCACTGAATAAATCAATCTTGATAGTAATCGGGTCGGTGCTCAAATCCAGTCTTGAATCAAATATACTCTCCCCAACGGAGATCAGCAGCAGTCTCGCTGCTATTTATCTCCACTCCCTTTCCAGCTCATTCCCATGTATCCATCCATATCCTCCCAAGCCCCGTCATACTCACACTTACAACCCTCCCCCCTCTCCAAGTCCTACCTCTCACCACACAAGCGAAATACTCGCAGCTATCCCACAGCCCGGATACTCCGGTGTGATATTCATACGGATAGCTGCGAGTATAAGGAAGGCAAACTTGGTAGATTGAGGTCACACTAGGTCACATCCGGGGGATCGAGCGTTGTGGGTATACCTGGTCTGGGAAGTTGGAAGCAATCGGGCTTGACTGGTGATGGGGTCAATCTAAACACATAGCTTAGAGTGTCCGGGCTTGATTGCCTAGGAAGGAGGTGGACTGGTGTTTGATTCGATGCGTCATCAGTGAAGTTTGGGGGATTGTGCTAACGGATGTGGAATTGGATATTGAGGAAGCTGGATTATCAACACAGCCAGAACATTGATATTTATGATGATAAATAAGGATTTTCTCGGTCTGATTTGCTATCATACACGTTGAATTAACGTATATACGTCTTCAATCCCTTGCATACATCAATGGAGCACGGTATAACTTCCTAGCTAAAGGATGATTAGCCTCCCAGACACAGCACACGAATGATGAATCAATTATTGGACATGGATTATAACCTTAGGTACATGACGGAGAGGTATCTGAAAAATAAAAAGAGAAGGAAAAAAAAACAAGAGATGTCCAAAAGAACATCCCATCCCCTATCAGGACTCAATCACCGACCCGTGTACAGATCACAGCCGCACCAGCGGGAAAAGACATCCAGGAAACATTACCCAGGACGACATAAAAAAACATCGAAGAAATATTGCAACACAATAAAATGGCGCCTGCCATTTAGGCACGTAGAGAGTGATAGAGGACAATGGGAGGGGGGAAAGCAGAACAACAAGCAGACGCAAAAATCGTGAAACATGACCCAGAGGAATGTGGTATCACAAAGTCAAAAGCTCTGTTTATCATTGACGGTGGGCAGAGCTGGGGCTGGAGCAGGAGACTTGTCACCAGGAAAAGAACTCAAAACGCCTCGGGGGGTCTCTGAAGACATAAATTCCATGTATGTATCGGAAGAGCATGTAAAAGAGAAATGTAAAAGGAAAACATAACACAGATTCCGCACGTAAGAAGACGAGGCTTCAAGATCATAAGTTTTAGGAGGTCGGGTTTAGTTGTATCCACTGCCGACAGGCAGGGGCCAATCGTCTTCAGTGATACTGCTCCAGAAGCCCCAGACGCCAATGACGGAGAGGAGAGTGAAGAGGGTTTCGAATAAAGCACCGTTGATATTGCCCGATGTGGCCGAGCACAGATGCGTACTGATCACATACTGGAAGATCTGGCCAATGGCGAACAGCAGAGCGGCGCCGACTAGGTAGACTGTGACACGAGTAGTTAGTTAAACGGTACCCCATTAGATAGACGTGCTGCAGAGATACGTACGCATCGGACGGAACTCGCCCAGCACCCGCAACACCAGCACGGTTTCGAGCAAGAAGAATACCACCAGGCAAACCAGCGGGAAGAGCTGGTACAACACGTAGAGGCCGATGTTGCGGTTGTTGCTGCCCGTCAAGCTAGAGTCGAAATGGCCGGTCCATGAGAACGCCGTGTCAAGGGCGATATACCCAGTACCAATGAACAAAACGAGCGCAGATGCGGAAATGAGACCAATCGAGGCCGGAGTACCGTCATCAATGAGCTGAAATCCGACAAGCGCGTTCATAAGAAGGATCCAGCAGGTGGCAGTGATGGCTGCAATATGGACCGCCGAAAAACCCTAGTCAATCCCCAAAAATTAGAACAGTGATCTTCTCCCGCTCGCAGCCTCCAAGACCAAGTCCCTACCTTTCGAACATTATCGTCAAGTGGAATACCACCGACGGTGAAGATTTCACAAATCTCGATCACGATAAAACCCAACAAGAACATTTGGATCTCACTACACAGCCCATCTCATTAGCCAATCACTTCCCAATCTCGAATCTCTTTTTCGCGGATTGTACGTACCGACGCCCGACGGCGGCATGCTTCCTGTCCGACCTCCATAGCAGCGCAATAGAGACCAGAATAGCGATAAATGCGAAAAGAATCGAGCCTGCCTCCGAATTAACCCAACCATCCCTCCAAAACACGCGACGCCGAAACAATCTCATGGCATACCTAAATTAGCGAGATGTCTACCTCCACTAAGGCTGATACCTTCCAAAACACATCCACCATAGTGAAGTCCCGGCGGTTGGTTGACCTTGAAAAGCTAGACACAACAAGAAATACACGGTCAGTCTGGGCGGGGGCGGGCGCAAACACAAATACAAGTACAAGCTGAAAGGGAAGAAAGAGGTCTCACGAACATTGCAAACGGGTAATGTCGAGTCGCGACAAAAGTCCTGCAGTACCCTCCATGGTCAGTGACTGATCTTGTCCAATTTCCAGCATACATCTGTTGTTCCGTTCCCCATTGCCGTTGCGCTGTGCCTGTTCCTATTCGGCATGGGCAGACAAGGCCGCCGATTGGGCGGGGGAGCGCAGAGCATTCCAGGTCGGAGATCGCAGGAGACTCGACTCACGTGGAAATTGCCGAATTGCGTCGATCCCATGGCGAATTGAAGGGGCTCACGATGCCGACGAGTAGGCAAAGAGCGAAGACAAGATGCCTTGGTCGGGCGGTGGGACGTTTTAGTTGGGGGGCCTTGGGGGTGTCTTTGCGATGAGTCCCCTGACCCGTGGCTGGGGAGAATCGGTCACGGTCGCGTTGGTAGGTCGAATCGTGCGAATGGGGGTGGGTGGAGTTCGTGAGGTCGGGCGGGAGGGCGACAGAGGGTAGGCCAGCGGGAGGTTGGATGAAGATCGGGGAGAGATCAAGAAGGGTGGAGGTGTGGTGGAGGTCAGCGAAGAGCGATGGAGGTGCGCTGGTCAACGGTGGTGGTGGTGGCTAGCGCCTGGGTCTTGTCTTAGACCATCTTTAGTGCACTCCGCTTGCTGCTGCTGCTGTTGCTGCTACGCCTCAGTCCTCAGGCCAACGCAGATTAGCGTCCTCGAGCAGGGAATCGACCACGCTAACTTCCACCGTCTAGCCTCTTTCGTAGTGACGAGCCCTCCAGCCCTGGAAAAAATTGGGTCTACAACTGCCTCCTTATTACTTTTTTCCCCGTACGTTCCCCTGTCCTGAGAACTCTGGCTCAGAGAACTGAGAAGCCAGGGACCAGCCAGTTCCACGGGCGAGGCCACTGGGAGTCGCGGACCGTCCGTGGGTGACCCCAGCTTGGGTCCGCTAAGAATAGAAAGCCACCGACTGTGTTTATACGAAGGACAATACACTAAGCAGGCCTCGAGGGCTGCACGACGATGTGGCTGCAGTAATTCCCGAGGCCCCTCTGCAGAACCTGCACAGACCTGGCTGGGTGAATGTACACAGTAACCTAGCACCCAGATCAGATTATCCATCATCCATGATCGAATATCACATTCGATGAGGGTCCAGTAGTAGTACTAGCGATCTTTTCCCCTTCCAGTCCTCCCGTCCCCCCGACCGCCGCAAGAAACTGAGTGGCTGTACAACAAGAATACTCAGGAACCGGATAGTCAACACAGGAAAAAGCCGCTAGTCTATCACGACGTCACCATACAACTCTAACTACAACTACAATTATTAATATGCGATCCTTCTACAGTATGTACCTCCGACATTCTCCAAATCTCAGCTCGACAAACCGAACTTCTATTCCCAAGGTTCCAGACCAGCCACCCCCGCCCTTACACCGCACATCGGCATTCCATCGATCGGGGGTCGGCCTGGCGACCGCGCAGATGATGCAGATAATAATATCGGGCAGAGAATGATTCTAGACTCTCATACTTCAAAAACTTGGCTTTGGCTATCTCAGAAATTTTCAAGGTTCACCTCCATAGTAATATCCCAGAGAATACGTATAACTTCCCTGATCGCCCACTTTCGGTCCATCCATTATACTCTACTCCCGTCCATGTTTCCCCCAAACACCCCTTGAAATCCACACCAGCCCTCTTCACAATCCACCCTGGCCGGGCGTAAACACTAGAGTACAATCGACTCCCACCAAACACCCATCCCGTCATCCCGTCATTCCCCCTTTTTCTATGCGGATCTTGTCCAATTCACTCCCCATTCTCACATCGGAGCTCCCGCGAGCCCGCAACGGACAGAGCACGGCACTGCAAATGACTAGTACACCCCCTTAGCAAACATCCTCAACCACCAACTTCTTCCCGTCATGCTCGCCCAGATCCAGCTTCAAGGTGCGTCCGAATAGTTCCAGGAGCATCTCGAAGCACGCCTTGGTGATGGCAGGGTCGTACCGGCCCTTGCTGAGCTCATCTCGGATAAAGGCATCTACACCGTAGTCAGTTGAACTCTGTTCAAAGAAGCGGGAAGAGAATCGGGTATATGGAATTGCTCACGTTGCGCCCAGGCGACTTCGTAGAAACTGAAGAGAACGCCCTTGTCATGCAGGGTCTTGCGGATCAAGTCGCGACCCTCTGGCGGGACGTGGTTGTCGTTTTTACCGAAGATCTAATTAGTTAGTAGGAATATATCAAGTCAGCGCATCAACCGTACCAAATAGCCAACGGCACCATTTTCCAAGAAGGAGAATGGCAACGGTACCATCACAAGAGAAAAACTCAACTACAAACAAAACTCACCATCAACAACTCCCCCTTAATATCCCCCGCCCTCGCCAAACTATCATCATTCTTCCCCTCTGCCAACGTCTTGCTATGAATATCAGTAGCAAAGTAACACACCGCCGCCTTAATCCGACTATCCAACGCACACCGGTACGCAAGGTGACCACCCAGACACATACCCGTCGCGCCAACACGGCCATTGCACGTCGGCAGCGAGAGCAGATAGTCTATCGAGAGACTGGCGTCTTCGTCGTAGGCGGCTAGTTTCTATTTTCGTGGGTTGACTAGTCAGTAACACAGCTACGCCGCCGCGCACGAGAGGGGATCGAGGATCGAGGATCGAATGGAAGGGCATGTATAGAAACAACCCGCCCTGAGTGGGAATATTTCCAAAGGACTCATGCTGGTGTTAAGGTCCTGTGTATGGGTTGAGTGAATAACATACCTTGCCAATTTTCCACGCATTGCCCTTATCCGTATCCTCCGCGTCATACTTCAGAGGCTCCGGACCCGTGAATTCATGGTAGCTGGACGGGGCCGCGCAAATATATCCCTGGCCCGCAATCTGACGCGCGAAGCGGGCTACGGGGCCAGTCACTGTGAACAGCCACGCAGAGATGTCAGTTGTATTTTTTTCTTTGGATAGCGTGACCAGATCCGATGCTGTCTCCGGACCGGGGGGGGGGGGGCTCATCCCACCTTGGTAGATCTCGCTGAAGACGACTACGCCCGGGAACCGGGCATTGGGGTATCCCGGGATTGTCGGGTGGTAGATGTAGATTCCTGGATAATAATTAGCATCAAATTGCCTTGGTAAGATAGCAGGGTTGTGCTTGTGCTTGTTCTATGATTGGACATGGACATGGACATGTCATGGATATGTATGGTGAGGGGTATCTCGGCAGTTAAGCTGTGCACTTACGCATCGTCCCCTGGCCATCGGCCGTAGTGGGAACATCGACATGGGACTCTTCAATGAGCATGATGTTAACTCCGGCGGATTAGAAGATTCAATGAGGTCTCGAGGAATGAAGGCCCGGAATTGACTGTCGTTGACGTTTGTTGGAACTCGCAAAAACAGTTTATCGATAAGGCCGCGGGGTGGCCCAGTCATCTGACCTGATAACATGAGGTTGGCATACTACAGTACCCTCACGGCTAAACATGTTACATTACATCCAGCGAGATATCACGGTGTGGAGATGCAGGAATTTTGAGAATAACTTTCACGTCACATATGTGGACAGCATCAATTGTTGAAGGATTCCTGGCTTTGCCTATGGCATTTCTCACAATATAGAAACACCAGGAAGGATCTCGACAGCAAGATACAGCTCTTCAAAGGTAGAAAAAATCGAAATATTAACCCAAAAAAAATATTATGAAAAAGAAAACTTCATTGAATAATGTACACGAAGCAGAATATGGAACCCGCCACCACGAGACATCCCCCATCCCGGGATTCCGAGGCAGCAGAACCATGACAAGCATTATAAGAAAAAATATCTCGAATCGTGTCTTAGAAGTCCCCAAAAAAGGTGGTCAGAGAAAAAGAATTTTGATGGGCTGCCAGGAAGCAGAATGACCTTGAAGCCCCTGTACAGAGATTATAAGAAAAAAGGGGGATTGTTAAAGAGAAGTCGAGGGCACCCAAAGTAGCGGGTAAATTAGAAGACGTACTGTAGTCGTGGCTGGTCAGCATTGCTCGAAAATGTAGGCCTGGGTAGTCTGGTGATACTCACAGGAATGAACAAGTAGGGAACCTGCTTCTCATACTCAGTCCAGGTCTCGCCGTATTTGATACGGCAACGCTGGATATCACGCAGAGCACGGTGGGAGATCATGCAAGCGAAGAAGAGGGGGTAGAACCAAGGGAAGGGGCTGGAGAAGCCAGTGATCAGACCCCAGTTCAGGGCAAAGTACAGATCGCAAGTGTAGTGGATCTTGCGGGCCTTGCCGTCTGTTAAAAGTGTTAGTATATGATTCCATAAGAGCAGTTGCTTCTTGGGGTAAAACTTACACCATCCATCAACCAGAATCTTAGATCCATCGGGACCGGTCAGAGTCTTGGGGTTCTCCAGAGTCTGCCACGGCAGCTGGGGGAAAGACTTGCGCTGGACCATAGTGCCACGCTCCTGCTGACGGAATCGGTTCTTCTGGCTGTTGGTGGTGTCCCAGACCCAGTAGACGAAGAGGTAGGCGATGTACAGGAAAGCGAGGAAGAAGCGGTTCCAGTGGTACTCGGAGGGGTCGTGGTTGGCCAGGTAGATGGTGCAGTGGCAGTAGCTCAAGGGCACACCGGCCAGGTTCCAGAAGATGAGCATGAAGCCCCACTTCTCGTAGTACATATCCCTAATTCCAAGATTAGCTAGGCTCCTGGAACCCGTCATTGCATGCAGGGTGAGAACTTACCAGGTAGACACGATGCACTCCTCACCCTTAGAGCAAGCGTTGGCATAAAGGAAGTGAGCCATGACGAGGAACATAACCTCACCAGACACATAACCGTAGTTCTCGTACTGACGAGCGGCAGCACCCATGGACAGGCCCAGCAGAATGTACCAAGGCAGACGGACCTCGAAGAACATCTTGAAGTCCAGAATGCCGAACATGCGCGGGTTAAGCTCCGCACCCATGAAGAAGTCATAGATCGGGGAGCCTGTCATACGGTGCTGCTGGCCACGGTACAGAGCCGAGAAGTAGGCCACGAAGGAGACCAGATAGCCGGACAGAATCGCAACGCTCAGAAGAGGGCCGAACTCGTCAATTATGGTGTACAGCTTGAACAGGCCAGTGAAGTGAAGGGCAAGCGCCAAGATAATGCTAGTGTAGAACGACCACACGCCCGAGCAGTAGTAGGGAAGCTGCTTACCCCCAAGTGAGGCAGCGGCCGACCAGAGACAGAAACACCGGGCAGAAGAACGTAGCAGGCACCCTCAAAGATGAAGAAAACCCAGTAGATCGTCCACGCCTTCAGCGAAGGGAACGCGCCAGTATAGACCAAGTTCACCAGATGGGAGAAGAACTCGCCATAGCTCTGGCCCTCCTCCGGACGAGGGAACTTGCCATCGTAATAGGTCGCGCCAATCCACATGTAGTACATGAGCATGGGGAAACCGATCATCATGGCCAGGACACCTGGAGAGCCACCAAACTCATAGTGTCCGCTGTAGTCAATCTTCGGGTCCAAGCCTTCCTCCCAACCATCAACGATGCGCGACTTGGGCTTGGCCGAACCATTGGCGGCGTGGCCATTAGTCGCAACCTTCGCGGGGACCTCTACCTCATCCTCATCCTCGGACTTGACCTTGGCGGAAGTGCGACGGCGAGTGGTAGACTTGGATCCGGTCTCGGAGGGCGTATCGGACACGTCTTTCTCGCTCATCTCGAATGCAGCGCTCTTGCGAGTGGAACGACGGCCAGGGGTCTCGATATAACCGGGGCGCTCCATCTTCCTAAGTCAATGCGAAAGCACACAAGATTAGCGAAAAGAATTTTCCAAGAAACAGTGCACAGGAATTGACAGGGGAGGGGTTTTCGTTCTTATAGTAGTCCGTGCCGCGACGGGGGAGTTTGCGCTCGGCGGATCGCAAAACACATTTGATGGGAACCACTTACTTGGGGGTTTTCCCCGTTTGAGAGCGGGTCAAAGTCATGATTGCCTAATCGGAAGTCCGATATCCGACAGCAATTGGAGGTGGATAGAAGGGGAGGGAGGGGGGAAGAGGAAGGAGTGTAAGAGAAGGGGTCACGCAGTAGAAGTGGGAAGGAGAAAAACAGCGAGATTGTTTACACGTACGACAGTCCGGGAGTACCTGCGTGTACTGTACTGACCCAAATAATACTTCTACGTTACCAGTTGCTCGTAATTTACTTTCAGAATACGTCCGGCTCGCGCCTCTTCCGCCCGTCTGTCTTCCCCACACATTCGCTGGTCATTTCTAGCCGATGCCCTACATACATACTAACCGTGCAGGAGTAGTGGACTCTCATGATACTGTACATGTTCATGATATGGCCTAGCCCGTGGAATTGGCCCGTCCCGCGGTTCTGTGCTGCCTACCCTTGGCAACTTACTCCGTTAGTCGGGCCCAATCTGGGACTGAGTGGGTATCCTCGCTATCTCCTTCCCTGCCGTGACGATCTCAATGCCAAGCTTATCGTTCTATGCAGGCTCTCTGTTAAAGTGCGACTGGGCGCTGATCTAGTCAGGCACGCATTCGTGGCTTTGCTCGGATTACGCAAACGATTGAGAATACAGGAGACAAATCATTTAATAAAAGATATGTGGTTTCATGTCCACGATGTTTTGATTATTGTTATTTATACTGTATAATTTGACAATCGAACAGAAACGTTGTGTGCTGGAATGTGGGCCCACAGCCGAGATGCGACAGGCTGAACAGAGATCAAACACTCGAGTTATCAGGAAATGATGTATATAATGATGAGATATGACAATGCACGGCGATACGCGGAGACAGTAAAACAGACACAACTCCAAGTGACCTTCTTCAAGGCATGTAGATATTCACTCTGCGATGAGCATCTGCGCCTGATCCGGCCGATCGCTCGTGGTCTATGCTCCTCTATGGCTGTTGGTCGACATCAAGGTGATCTTGTTCTTCTTTTTCTTCTTACCGCCAGCTCCCCCGCCACCGCTACTACTTTGAGAAGCTGAAGGTTCCGGATGCTGGCTTTCATGAATAGTCTGGGCAATGATTTCAGACTCCTGCCGGGCCAGGAGCTCCTCTTCCCAGCCCTGTAACCAGCCGTCATTGCGTGCTGTACTTTGAACCTCCAAAGTCGGAGACAGCGATGGTATCGCGGTGGTTCCCCAGACGGTGCGAGCGCCCGGTGGGCTGCTCGAAGGGGATTCCAATGCCCCAAATTGAGAAGCCGCGCGAGGAGGCGAGGCAGAAGACACGCCGCTGTCAAATTGGGCCGACTCGGCATTGTCAGCTAGCGGTTGAAAGTCATGAGCAGAGAATGCCGCTTCGCTCGCACTGCCAAAGCTTGGTCGCTTGCGTCGTGCAGCAGCCCACCGCTCCTCGTCCTCCTTTTTCTCCGCGCGGATGCGATCTTTCTCTTCGCGAGCTTCTTTATCTCGGTTACGTTTGCGTCTCTTCTCCGTCTCGGAGCGGAAACGGTTCAAAACTTCCGGCACGACGACATCCCTCCAGTCACATTCAAGGAAGTTGACCTCACATCCGTAAGGCAGGTGGCCCAAGTATTTGACACGCTTGCGAAGCTCATCATCAACCATGTGGCCAGTGGAAATGTGCTCTACCCGGGGCAGAATGGTAGCGGGGAAATAAGCATAATCGCCAAAAGCTGCCTTGAGAATGCGAATGTCAAGAGGAGACAGATAGAACTGGGGCAGTGCCTGGTAAAAGTAATATGGTTGATCAGACGGCTGTGAAACCTGAGGGTCCTTGCCCCTGCTCTTTTGCTTTGATTTGACCGGAGACTTTGGGTTGAGCTGAATGTTGCCCACGGCCTCTGATAGATGTTCCGCTTCATCTGAAGTATTTGGGGCTGATACTGCGTCTGTGGAAGGTTGTGTGATGTCCGTGCCAGAAGCAGCAGCTGATGGAGCGGAGGATCCGTTACCAGATAGATCCATATTTTCAGAGGAAAAAGATGCAGAGGCATCGGGCTCCATTGCTGGGTCTCTGATCGGCTTATTTGCAGCAGGCTGACGAGAGATGTCGGGTGGATTGCCAATCCCCTGTACCTTTTCTTTAGCCTCATTGATAGCGCTGATCGCCTTCCGTGTCCAGGTATTCTCATCGCCAAACAAAAGCTGATCTTCAATTTCCTGTCTGCGAAGGTCCTCAATCTCGGCCTCGTACTGAGATATCATGTAGTCTTGCCCTCCCTTCATGATTCGAGAGTAATCAGCTACCTCCGCGACATGGAACCATGGAATATCGTCCCCGGCATTGAGGGTCTCGGCACCGTCCCGGGGAAGAGCAAGAGTACTGCCAGGCTCTCGCTTGACTAGCCTCAAAACAACATCCCCACCTTCAACGGGGAGATCACCCTCTTGACCGCGGAACCATCGAACGGGGCGAGCCTCAGAGGCGTAAATCGAGTCCCAGCAAATTGGACATTTCTTCCATCGAGGTTTTTTCTCTGGGACATGGTGGTTATCGTCATCCGACGAATGCATGTACCGAATGAGACAGGGCAGGCAAAAAATATGGCCGCATCGAGCCATTCGTGGAGCGACTGGTGTAGACAGGCAAATGGGACAACTAGCAGCCTGAGTTTGAGCGGAGACCAGTACCTGAAGTACTGAAGCCCAGTCCAGATGGACGTCGGCATTGGCGGCTTGGGCATGGTAATTTTGGTTCGGCGAGACAATGAATCGATAATTGGCATGAACGTAGCGCGCTTTATCCACCGCGTGATATCCAGATCCCGCTCCCCAAGATGTGTATCTCCTAGTATTGCGCGGCGGCGGCTGATATTGCGGACGGGGTGGCAACGAAAAGTTCATCAAATGGGTGATGGACGTCTGTCCCTTGCGACTATTTGTTGATCTCATCACGGCCTGGACATAACCGACTGTGTCAGTAGAAAGCTCCGGGTTAAGTCACGTAATCTGGGAATGCCTACCGATTCACTGTACTCGTTATCATCCAACAATCGGGGTTTCCTCTGTCGCTTATGCTGACTCTTCAGGGCCTGGTTATTCCTTGGTGCAGCCAGGCTTCTTGTAGATAGACCTGCACCAAGACTCCCAGAGCCCCCTGCGCGTCGTTGGAAGCTGTTGTCGGTCGGGGCTGTCGAGTGAAATGTCGCCGGAGCGGCCGAGGTATTTGATATATTTACTTTAGAGGGAGCCTGGTTGTTTCCCGCATTGGACGACATCTCCGAGCAGGTATTGATGACGTAGTGACCGAAAGATTCCTCGAATGAAGCGGTTGGGGTTTAACCAAGGAAACCCAGCTGGTCAGGAAGCAGACGAGAGGGGGTTTGCTCGGATCTGGATAGTCACAGCTAGGTAAGGTGGAGCGTCAAATCACCTGGGGCAGACAGTATCAAGACCTCCGCCACAGCTTAACAAGAACAGAGCACTTTGTAAATGATAAGAATAGACGACGCCTCGAGAGGCCATCTAAGAATAGACGAAGCGTCCGGGAATGGGACGCCGTTGCTTTGGCAGAGTCGTCGAGGAGGGGCGGCGGGCATGACATCGCCAGCCCTGCACGTGCCGGATGACTCAGCGTCTTGCTGATTCAGCGCCGGGAATTCCACCTCGCGGCACTTCAGCTTCGCTTCGGAAGAGGGTCGATGAGAGACTATCTGCTTCTTCCCCTGACCCCCCTTTCACTTACCCAGACTCTCTGGTCTGCTGGCCGTCATTACCAACCTCCCCACTCTTTGATGTGACTTCTCAGGTATTGAAACCCTCACTTCCAAGCTGTCCTTTGGCGCATCGAAGTTAACCATCATTTGTTCTGCTCATTCAGCACCTTCATCCCATCCGAATTCCGCTATATTCTCTACGCTTCTAACCTCCTTCCCTACCTCCGGACGGGGCCAAAATGGCTGCATAAGTGCGCCTGAGGCTTCATGTTTCTTTCACAATAACTTGATCATCTTGATTTTCCCAATAGCGCATGGCTCCCTTTGAGGCAACGCGTGTGGCTAAAACATAAAGGCAACACCTCCCTCCGAGCCCGATCAAGATGAACCACCACTTGCCCGCGATGCCCCATGGGCAGCCGCCAATACCCCCATCGCGGAGACAGCAAGACTTCTACAACCCCGGCCCGCCCAACATGCGCGCTCCGGCCTATATGGGCTATCCTCCACACATGAATGGGCATATGCCTCCTGCGTATTCGCCGCAACAGTTCCCTCCGTGGTATCCTCCCTATGGACATATGCAGCAGATGCCACCTCGTCCTTATCAACCTCCATATGGACCCATGATTGTGTCCTCATACCCTCAGGCACAGCCGATCATGGCCCCCAGTCATATCCCACATCACTCATTGCCCATGCAACCAAGGACATCGACTCCCATGCAGCCAACTATGTCTCCATCGATTCCCCCACCGCCATTACAACATGAGATGCACGACCCTCACGCCATCCTTCCCATCCAGCAGCCTCCTCAGCCTTATCCGGTGGCGTCTCCTCCGCGATGGGAACCTAAGCCAGTCATGCCAGAGCCCGAGCCTGTCTTCACTGCACCAGTAAGTTGGTTTTAAAAAACTGATTGTTGAAGTATCCAATGAGTGCTGATCTTTATTACAGGTGCCCTGGCTCTCTATGCCCGAGATCACCTTTCCCGCCGGTCCACCCTTCAGACGCAGAAACATTCGACCCATCCCGGACCGAGTCCAGTTTCCTCCGAAAGACGGACGCTGGATCATTGGAGACCGGAAGGGTCAATTTGTGAAACCCAAGTCTGGAAATGCAAATACAGCCGCTCCCATCATCTCAGAGCCTCAGACGCCAACTACTTCCATCCCTCTCTCGGATGGTCACTCCACGCAAGCCACCACACCCTCCCCCACCCCCACCCCCAAGTCTCAGACCCAGAAAAAGGACGCCAAGCCCGCCATTCCTATCGTCCCGGTTGTACCAGTAGCCTCACGCCGCGAACCCAAGGATACCTCCATTGCCGGCTCGGAGACTCCAAAGTCAACCACTGCCACTACAGTGTCAGAGAATGGCTCAGCACCCGCTGCCGACGACGTTGCAAAGCCCACTTCACCTGTTCGCTCTGCGCCAAAGTCCTGGGCTGATCTTGTTCGATCGAAGAATGCTGCCCGTGCCTCAGGCGCTCCTGCACCCTCAGATTCAACCGCCCTGGCTTTGCAAAAGAGCGAGTCGCTCGCGGACGTTCTGAGCAGCTTGGGTGAGGATGTCTCCCAATATAGCGATAAGATCGCCTTCCTCGAGCCCCGAGGATTGATAAACACGGGCAACATGTGCTACATGAACTCTATCTTGCAAATCCTGGTTTCATGCGTTCCATTCCATCAGTTCCTGGATCACGTTGGTCGTCGAGCCGCTCACAGCTTCCACAGCGACATGCCTTTGATCGACGCCATGATTATGTTCATGCGTGAGTTTAACGTCATTGATGCCGCCTCGGAGGAGGAACAGCTGAGACTCCGATTGAAACCAAACGAGCTGGAGCAGTATGGCGAAGCCTTTGTCCCCGAGTTCGTATACGAGATGATCCGACAGTTGCCTCGTTTCCGCGACATGCGTCGTGGCCACCAACAAGATGCCCAGGAGTTCCTTGGTTTCCTTCTCGAGGAACTGCACGAGGAATGCGACCGCGCTGCAAAGCACGTATCCAAGCCTGAGGGTACTAACGGTGTCAATGGACACGCCGCTACCAACGGAGCGTCCGGGGATGGGGAATGGATGGAGGTTGGCCACAAGCAAAAGGCGGCGGTGACGCAGTCATCCGGTGCCGTCGCTACCGAATCTCCCATCACCCGAATCTTTGGAGGCAAGCTTCGATCGGAGTTCAAGGTGCCAGGTAACAAGACCTCGGTCACCATGGAACCTTATCAGCCCCTGCAGCTCGATATTGGTGCACCTGATGTCCACAACATCGTTGACGCGCTCAAGGGACTGACCAAGCCTGAGAGTATTCAAGGCGATTTCAATTCGTCCCGTGGTCCCAACGTGACAGCCACCAAGCAGATCTTTATTGAAACGCTTCCTCCCGTTCTGATTCTACACCTCAAGCGCTTCCACTACGACAGCCTGACTGGTGCCACTCAGAAGATTTGGAAGAAGGTTGGCTATCCCCTCGACTTGGAGATCCCACGTGAGGTTTTCCCGGCCCACCGGCGTAATACTCTAACAGCTCAAGGTGGTCTTCCCAAGTACCGCCTTATGGGTGTCATCTACCACCACGGAAAGAATGCCAGCGGCGGTCACTATACTGTTGATGTGCGACGCCAGGATGGCCGCGAATGGATCCGCATGGACGACACCGTCATTCGTCGTGTTCGCAGTGAGGACGTTGCAGAGGCTGGTGGTGAGGAGGATCCCAAGGTTCTTGCGGCTGCCCTTGAGCAGCACAGGCAGGACAAGATTCCTCGCTCCAACATTTTCGAGAACATCGATCAGGAGGACACCGAGTCGGCTGATAGCGAGAAGGGCTGGAGTCAAGTTAGCGGCTCCGGTTCATCTGGTCACTCGAGCAAGAAATCCATTGCCGGTGTCGCTGCCTCCTCCGGACCCTCGTCTGGTGTGCGCACTCCGATTGGCAGATATGGTTCTCGGGACAACCGCGTTGCCTATCTGTTGTTCTACCAGCGTATCGCTTAGGTGGCTCGATGCTAGATAAGCATGGAACTACTTGATCTTCTCTTTGACTGTCCGATTCCTCACTGGGCATCATCACAGCCTCTAGGCCCTTATTCTATCCCTTCATTGTTATCATACATTCTCATGACAGCATCATACCCTCTATTCTTACAGCGCCCATCGCATCCGGTGCTATCTATCATCATTACACTCTGCGTTTCCTGCTTCATCGACACTGGCAGGGCACGAAAATCTCCCTGTCTCCAATTGGTTGTACATACCGCTTTCTGGTTGAATTGCGACCATACATTCATGTCTTTACGGCCTCCGCCTGCACATGTGAGGCGTGGATCAGCATCCTTGGGCAGGATATCGATATAGTCACGGGCATGGCGGGCTCTCTGAATTTATCGACATCCTTCTCCCATCGATCGTCTTCCGACGACCCATGACGAATTTTGAACTTGGGGTCACTAAATCCGCACTTCAACACGGATTGCTCATAAACATCCATCACATAATCTTCACACCTGACAACTCTCAACCATGGGCTCTCAATCTTCTTGCTTGCGTTTTTGTTATCATCACTATGCGCCTCATCTCTGCAATCACCCATGTGATCTACACTAGCCTGCGAGTCCCTTTTTTGATTCATTTCCGGGGCTGTATCTTATGGGATGTCAAATTCGGTTTATACCCCCACTTTTCTGTTCCGTTGCTTCTCACGGATACATCCCCTGTCTTTCGACGGAGAAGAGAAGAGTTTCGCTTTCCTCTTCATGGTTGATATCGTCTTTCGATATTTTTCTCTTCTCTGGCTTTCTTGCATGTACTTTTGTCGTGCCGCTGACGCGCGGCGTGGCTAGGGGATCTGTGACGACGTCATGAATTTCCTTGTCTGTTTTATTTTTCCTTCCCATAGACCTGCGGAGGTTGAGCATGGGGGATGGTCTGGCGGTACTGGGGGTGGTTGATTGTTTCAGATCTGATCTGATGCTGCTTTGTTTTGCCGGTCGCGGTGGTGAATACCGTGGCTCTGGCTCTTTGTGAAAGGAGAGTTTGAGGTGGTTGGTGGTCCTTGTTGTGACTGACTACACCCAAGAGTGGTGCTCCCTGGCTCTAGGAGAAGAGGAGAGAGGAGAGGATGGAGTGTGGAGATACAAGATTACAAGTTGGAGGGCGGGCGATGTGGGAAAAGATGAAGTCGAGAATGGAGGTGACGGACCTCCGAAAAGCATGTCTTTACAGAAGCTCCAAAAAAATTCAAAGGAATTTTCATTTCAATGGTTTAATCATGTAAATCGTAGATACGTAGATGTTTACAACTAGAATATAGGGACCTGTGAAAACGACGCCGAAAATGGCTCCCCTCTGCATCCAAACCCAGGGCCCCCTCTGTTTTGCCCAGACTGGTCGAGCGGCTATTTTCCTTCATTGACCATAGTAAATTGGTGTACAACGTCATAGTCTACAAGCAGAAACTAGAACGTGGTTTCAGTTCAGATCGCCCTAGAACTGTTGCACCTAGATGGTGAAGGCTCCGACATTCCAAAGTGTCCGTAGAAACGGCCCTGATTGGCTATTCGGGAATTGCTGTCCCCTAAAAGTGGAGGAAGCGAGACACCAAAAGAGTGTCGCGGAGACTACGTAAATGAATTTAGCCATTTCTTTAGCTGATACAATTATGAGGATCAACACGGCGGAATGCTGTGCTTCTTTTCTTGCCCACCTGGGTAGGTAGCTTTTCCTATCGATAGAGGTGAAAAAGCGCTAGTACCAGTTAGAAATAGTACTGTACAGTGGGTGTTCAAAAGTTTGGAACACCCTCGCCAACCGTTTTTCTACACCGCGCACACCGCCTCCTTTGTGCTGGTTGCGTAATTCGTATATGAGCATTAATTTCTTGATAAAATAATCTGAAAACATAAATTCAACCTTTGCTAGATACCCTCCTTCCTATACTTTCTTCAAGAGTTAAAAATCAAGCATTCGAGCGCGGAGCCGATGTCAATGCCCAGGGTGGCTACTGCGGAAACGCCCTGGAGGCCGCTTGTTCTAGAGGACACGGTATGATAGTGCAGCTACTGCTCGAGCACGGAGCCAATATCAACGCCCAGGGGACTATGGAAGCGCACTCCAGGCCGCTTATTCTAGAGGACACGAAGTGATAGTGCAGCTGCTGCTCCAGCACGGAGCCGATATCAACGCCTGACCATATGGAATGTATCTCGGAGTCCACATTCAAAGTCTGACCCCGTCTGATTTCTATCAAATGTAAAGTGGTCATCTAGAAAGTTAAATCTTAAATATTACTCAACTGCTGGCTTATAACTAGTGTCGCTCCCTATATATGATTTCTTATCTTAACAGAGTTAGGGTCGATTTCAACTATTACAACGATTCAAAATCGATTTCAGGTTTGTTATCTTATTTTTCCCTGGCCATTTGTACTGGAGCTAGCTAGCTATCTGCAGAGTAGGAGCCCTGGAGCCAACATATTCACTCTGAAAGTCTTGCTAAGCAAAATCGCCACGTAGGCTGATGTCCGTTCACGTGAGTCCTGAACAACTTTTCAAACGCAGATAACCTTTCTTTGCCCGATATGAAATATCGTAACTCGCCTCATGACCCGCAAGCTCTTTTGGAACGTCTTTCAGCTCGAACTTGAGCACCATCAATGTCGTCATGATCCTCAACTCCAACATGGCAAGTCTACGTCCCCAGCATGCTCGGATCCCAAGTCCAAAGGCCAACTGAGGGTAACTAGAACCATCAAATTCGATATTTCCGTTCTCATCACGCACGAGCCATCTCTCTGGATCAAAGATTTCCAAGTCCGGATTTCCCTTGCCGGGGTACAGTCTTGACGCTTTCACATCGCTCCAGTACTTTGACGGGGGTGAGGGCCTGTAGTCAGGTCCTTGACAGACAAGAAGAACCACTGTGTCTTTAGGAATCTGGTAGCCTAGCAGCTGTGTATCTTTTGTAGCGTCGCGTGGAACCAGCATTGCTGCACGAAGTCTCAGCATTTCTTCGAGCACCGCGTCCAAGTATGGAAGCTTTGTATTTATGATTTCGGCCGCCGTAGGTAGCCGGTTGTCCTGTATAGGACCAGCAAATTTAGTGCGCAGGTGCTCTCGTAGCTTGACTTGAATATCGGGATAGTCGGCTAGGAGTTTTAAAATCCACACCAGGGCTGCGCTCGTAGTATGTTGGCCCGCAATGAGGTTTCCATATGCCTATATAAGTTAGCTCAACCATTTTCAGTATTAGTTTCTCTCCTGGAAGAAAGGGTTCACACCTCATCGATCATTATTTGTTTGCCAAATAGCGGTTCACGATCGGCCTTTCGCGCTGCCTTTGCCTCTCGGTACACCATATGATCAATGCCGGTGGTAGGATCCTGGTCGTTGTAGTGGCGCCGTATAGCAAGATCTATGTGCTTGCGGATGAACCTATCCTTTGCCTCGAAGAATGGCCTGTAGTAGGGAGACATATAACGTGCCCACCACGATACCAGCGACGGAGGGAATTTCGTAGTGTAGATAGCAGCCATTCTATCACCGACATCGGTGAGGCCCTGCTGAAACTCGTGCAAGAGTGCACTGGGGAAAGTGACCTCGCCGTGCTGACCGGATGGTAGCTTTGTGCCATCAAGGTTGTCGATGTGATTGACTTGTCTATCAAGGGCCGAGTCTTGGAAGTCGGCTCCGAAATGGAAGGTCACAATAACGTCCAAAGCCATAGTCTTAAGGTCAGAAATCATGCTGAACACCTGTCCGTTGGCCAGGCGAGACTTGGACTCCCATAATTTGATTAACTTCAGCGTCGACGAGTGAATAGCGGGACCGGCAACATTGTGCAGATACTGTGGGGCAAGAAGATCTTTGAGCCAGCCGCGAGACTGCCTCCAGCGGTCTCCAGTCTTCATATTGAGATGGAACTCGCCAAACAGCGGGAATCGATCGATAATATAGGCAGACCGGTCAAAGTCACTTCGTCCCATCAGCATCTCACGCGCGTTCCCAACATCGGCAACTAGAACCACTGGTTTTGACAAGGGTCCCATCAATGCCTGACAAACTGGTGATCCATGTTTCTCAAGTTGTTTGCTACACCATTTGGCCAAGCCTGAGGGATCGTTTCGAAGCTCCAAGACGTCACCCCAAATCGATTTGGCGGCCTCTGAGTTGAACGGGATACCCAGAAGGGGGCTGGGGAGAAGCCATCTATAGAGCGCATAGAAGCCAATAAGAGGTAAAGAAATGAGCAAAGACACTCTCAAAGCCTGATATGGCTCATAATTTGGTGCTATCTTGAGCCACGACATGATTGAAAATACTGTAGTGTTCTTCATCAACGTCAAAAATGATTGATGCCAGAGACTGGACGTAGGCCATTTCGAATATATCTCGACCACAATAAGTACCCAGACAGCAAGTCATGGCATCCTTGCTGCTATTGGCCCAATTGTCTCCATAATGCTCGATGCTTATGGGATGAAACCATCTTCAACGTGGCTAGATGCCAAGATTGGGGACAGACGGGGAACTCCGGGGAGAACATCGGACATATTTTGAAACAAATGCATTGGAATGATTCTTCTCCACAATGTCCGCCGTTTCCCCGACGCACATCGGCCGACAGATGTTAGAGACGTTGCATGCATGATGCATGATGTATGATGCGTGATGACAATATAACAGTCCGCAGCTTGAGCGCTTTATCTAAACGAGTGAAACAATGGCATCATAACAATTGTCAGAGCCGTGCAGGGTTTCAGATTAGCATATCTGATCGTCATGATTTGATTCAATGGCTTATTATCCGGCGTCAAACCCGGCTCAGGTGGGGAATCTCAACGAACCCATGGCGCATGGGTTGGCATCCATGTCCGCACATGGTCCCTGCCAGATCTAACCAAAATACGTAGATTAATGGATTCCCTACGGAACAAGTCCCCTTGTTCAAGTTTTTATTACCATCCTTTGTTTACGTAAATTTTTTTTGTAGGATTTTGT